TTTTGAACCAAGAGTATGAAAAAGCTTAATATTTGGTATAGATTTGTGACGTTAAATTGTAAAGTTATAGGACGACGAAACCAGCTATGCTCTTAAATAGATTCTATCTAAAATATATTTTCTAGAAGCGTGTATTCGTTTTAACATCATATCTGTACTTCGACATGGTTTTTGTCTCATAATGCACCAAATTTGAGCTGCAGGAATTTTACAAAGATTAAGTCTTGAAATATTGAAATCGAACTAAAATGTGTTAAATGAATCCCAAGTTTTCTAAACTATCTAAATAATCCAATGTTCAATAATGGTAGCTAAGGTCATCTTGAAGCCGCGGTACAAATTTAGTCTTTGGGTTCGATTCCCAACACACTGTTGTTTCTTAATGTGATCTGAAATTGCCTTGAGGGAGAAGTGTTTTTATAGAAAGGGTTTCTATCTTATTCTTTGCAATAACATAAATGATGTCAACATAGGAAGTGTATTTAGAAGATGCATATTGATAATATATATAATAAATAAATTCTAGGGTATAATTTTGTTGACAAATGCGTATGTGGACACAAATTTCTTTGACATTATTTCACTCAAAAGACATCTATACTGAAAGATGGTCAAATACGAATGTTTTGACTTTTGATCCACTTATCTTCATTATTTCGTACCAAAAAATTCTCAATAGATATATCTTCACCAATTTTTCACCACGTCATTTTTTTGTAATGATATAAATAAATCTGCATGCAAACTAGTAATTTTTCTAAATATTAATAAAAAACATACATACACGCAAAATCTTCGTTAAATTTTTATTTTCTAAGAATGTACAGAATTGATTTTTAGTTGTCCTTCAATTTTCTAGATTATTTAAGGATAGATTCTTGAAAAGGCTGAGAACCCTTAATTTTGAGCTTAAGGGGTAGCTTTGGGTAGTTTCTACCAAAACGCTGGGAAATATTTGGTCCTTTCCAGCCAAAACAGTAGACAATCAACTATGGTTGTCAGCTGACAAATTCGTACTGATCTCACTGGTATGATGCATTACTAATCAATTCATAGTCACATAATGAGCTATGTCACCATTGTTTAATACTTCTTACACGTAATGATTGTAGACTATTATGCTAGCAAGACTTACAAGATCACAATTATAAGGTTTTTTTTCTTGTTAGAAAATCTAGATGCCACGGCCCTAACTTCCTCTTCCTTCGTCACTGCTTACTTTTTGCTACTTTTTAACCATCCAGATTGCTAAACAGTATTTTCTAAAAATTATTTCTATTGTGTCGTTCTTACATGCATTCTTTTAGCCACCTTGTGCAAAATTTCCCACCAGTTGAAAATGAGCAATAATCGGTGACCATTAAGCTTATTATAAATGGCCAAAATATTTTATTTACATTTACAAGTAGCTAAGTAAAGTACGATATCAGTTAGTAAAAATTAAGTACTCAAGCAATATATACACAGCGTTTATTTTGACCGTAATAATATGCACTAGCCAATCAATACCGGGCATGATAGTGTTTTGTTATGTCAATGAATTTCATGTCGGGCAATTTTCGTTCTCGTCCGGCAAGAAAGTGTCTCACCCCCAATGTTTGCTGTCCCGTACCGTACGCCCTAGTATATAGAACTATTATGACGTATATCCCATAGTCGTCGATCAGTCTCTCTTGCTTGCGCAAGATTCCCATCCATAGATACCACTGTGGATGAATAACTTCTGCCTCATGTGTTATATTTTGCATCCTTTGATTGGCAAATCTTGCCAATATGTGATGTGGAATGTCTCTTGTAAATACAGATCAATGCAAGAGGACCGGAATGTTTTGTTAGCAACAAACACATGCAACTCGTGCTGTGCTAACCTTAGTAGTTTAAAGTAAACGATGTCATTTGACAATTATTTAAAGTAATTAACAAGAATTAAGCTACTTGCAAATGTACTCATTATGTTAACCAAACATGCTTAACATTTTAGACTCAACATGTTGAGACCAATTGCAGGCTCTGTTGTGTGGTGTTGACAGGTGTTGAGCGTTGTTGACCGTTGTTGAGAGAAAATGTTGAGTGCGTTTACACGTAACTTTACTTGTTGCAAAAATTAAGGCATCCATGCACCAATATTAAGTATTCACGGGTAGGTACAACTTTTTGAAAACGTTAACGATTGACCATATGTTGAAGACGGATGAAACTCTTTGGACTATGTAGTCAAACCATGCATACTTACGTGTTCATTTAACATTTTTCATTGATTCATCTAACCTTCAAATTATCACTATCGGTATATATTTCGTGTGATAATCCACCCGGTTGCAACGAATTTTGCAGCCTTTTGCTACATATTGCTTTGCAATTTTTATTCATCGTTGCAACTTTTGAATATGGTCATGCATTCCCAGACACGGCAAAAATCTTGTCAATTGCTGCCTCACATGTTGTCCTGCTTGTGAAACATACGGTACACAATAGAACCACATTGTCGGAGTCATTCTTTAATGGTATATTTCCATTTGTTTTCACTCTCTTAGTTTGCTATCGTTTTAGGGACATCGCGAAAGGGGGTCGTGAGAGGATGTGACCCCCTTCCTCCCTGCCAAATGCACTGTTAAATGCACTTTTTTCTTTCACTATTGTTCTTACATGTTCTTGTTCAGGCCTTTCTTCCTTTTGTTACGAGTCTTGTTTTTGTTTAGTATAAGATTCCATGACAATTGACATGAAGTACTCTGACCAGTCGATGTCATTAATCCTGTGAATCCCTCATTATCATTCACTATATAAACAAATTTCTATTTTGATCGGTCAACTTGCTTGCAAAGAAATAAATGCTTACTAGTAACTCCTGGTATTCTGATATTCTGAAGAAATCAAATAATGGCAAGATTTGCCATAAATCCTAAAAACGATATGCAGAAGTTTTTGGACGAAAAGGATGCGGAAAACACAAAAAAGCAACGAAGCTGGATTTGAATGTATTTACAACATATCTAAGGGAGAGGTAATTGAATAAAACGTCTCAAAAAGACAAATAAGTTGAGGTCTTGAAGATTTCTTTACTAGCTATTTCAGTTAGTTAAAAGTGAATAGTAAAAGTAAATTGAATTCGGCTTTCGCATAAAGTCAATGCAGTATTATTTTGTCCAAAGTCAGTGTTATCCTCCTCAATTTTGCTTCGGCAGTAACATTGTCAAGACAACTATTGTTATGATGCTCACTGATGACATGACTTTAAGAGCAATGCAGAAATCGCTTTAATGAATATAAGTATCTTGAAATTGTGTGAAAAACGTATAGTCTTTTTATAAAAACGTTTGAAAATAAGTGAAAAAGGGTGAATTATAATCTTTGCATGAAAATGTGTGAAAATTCGTGAGTTATAGTCTTTGCTTGAAAATGAGTGAATTATAGTCTTTTGTGAAAATGTATGAAAATGCGTGAAGTATTGTCTTTTTGTAAAAATGTATGAAAATTCGTGAATTATAGTCTTTGGTGTAAAATTGCATGAAGTATAAGTCTTTGGCGTATAAATGCATAAAGTATAGTTTTGGTGTGGAAGTGCATGGACTATATAGTTTTTGGTGTGAAAATGTGCGAACTATAGTCTTTGGTGTGAAAATGAACTATAGTCTTTGATGTAAAAATGTGTGAACTATAGTCTTTGGTGTAAATATGTGTGTGAAAATGTGTATATGAATAGTGTGAAAATGTGAAATATGAAATAGTCTTTGTGAAAATGTGTGAAATGTAGTGTGAAAATTCGTGAACTATAGTCTTTGTTATGAAATTCATGACCAGTAGTCTTTGGTGTGAAAATTTGTGAACTATAGTCTTGGGTGTGAAAATGTGTAAACTATACTCTTTGGTGTGAAAATACATGAACTATAGTCTTTGGTTTGAAAATTTGTGAACTATAGTCTTTGGTGTAAAAATGTGTGAGCTAAAGTCTTTGGTGTGAAATTTCATGAACTATAGTCTTTGGTGTAAAAATGTGTGAAATATATAATCTTTGGTGTAAAATTTCATGAACTATAGTCTTTTGCTAGAAATTTCATGAACTATAGTCTTGGGTGTGAAAATGTGTAAACTATACTCTTTGGTGTGAAAATACATGAACTATAGTCTTTGGTTTGAAAATTTGTGAACTATAGTCTTTGGTGTAAAAATGTGTGAGCTAAAGTCTTTGGTGTAAAAATGTGTGAAATATATAATCTTTGGTGTAAAATTTCATGAACTATAGTCTTTTGCTAGAAAATTCGTGGACTATAGTCTTTTATGTGAAAATGTGTGAATTATAGTCTTTGGTGTGAATATGTTTGAACTATAGTCTTTGATGTAGAAATGTGTGAACTATAGTCTTTGGTGTGAAATTTCATGAAATATTGTCTTTTGCTTGAAAATTCATGAAATATTGTCTTTTGCGTGAAAATTCATGAACTATAGTATTTGGTGTAAAAATTCATGAACTATAGTCTTTGGTGTAAAAATTCATGAACTATAGTCTGTGTTGTGAAAATGTGTGAACTATAGTCTTAGGTGTAAAATTTTATACACTATAGTCTTTATCGTGAAAATGTGTGAACTATAGGCTTTGGTGTAAAAATGCGTGAATTATAGTCTTTGTGTGAAAATGTATGAAAATGCTTGAATTATAGTCTTTTTCAACAACAATGCGTGAAATACCATAAAAATTCTTGCTTGATTCATTGCTGTATTTATGCAAGAATCAACATTTACAGAAATTAAAATATGATGTTGAAGAAACACTATTCCGTAGCTAAGTTTCCACTTCTCATAACACCTGACGTTATTTTAATGACGGATATTCTAGCGTGTCTGCATCAATCAACAATGTTTCAGGAAAATCCCCCAAATTGAGCAAAAATTTCATTTCATACTCTGTTAAGCATTGGAACTTTAATATAATCCTTCAGCATGGCTGCTAAGATGAAATAAGATGTGAGAGGAGACGAGACAAGACTAAATAAATCGTTATGTTTTGAAGACTATAGTAACAACATTTTATTGAGGATCAAATGCATCATTGTTAGATCAAAGGTATTTCCAATAATTCCAGCATCATTTTTTCTCTTACTCCCACATACGTAATTTCCACAAATGAATGATAAATTTAAAATACACTTTAAAAGTTATTTTTCGTCTTCCTCTTTGTTGAAAAGCACGTTGTTCTTTTACTAAACACAGAGAAGACTTAGTAGAAATAGTTTTAAATCACGTCGCTTGATTGTTGGAGACGTCGCTTTTGAAGTCCTGAAACAAAAACGTTTTAAGAACTATTATTCAAGCAATAAAAGTTGCAAATATTCAAAAATGAATTGTATTGTAATCCTTGTTATGTCCAACCTCGTTCCCATTCCCTCATGAGATCCTCTTTTTTAAAACCAAGAATCCGATCCCGTCCAGTAAGATCGCTTTCACGTAGTTCATGAATGGGTTGCAAAAACGATCGTACTCTGTCCATTCTTTTCATATCTCTTTCGGAGATGCGAAACAGTTTCTTCGCGTGCTCTGGATAGGGTGGGAGTTTCACTCTTGGCATGGACACGATTTGTTGCATGGAAAAAGCTATGGAGAGGAAATTTACTTTAACGCTTGACAAATTTTAATGAGATAAGTGAGAAAGGAAATTTATCACTTTATTATTTAAATCAAGTGAGAAGTTAATTAGAGTTTGACTAGCGAGAGGAACATTTGATTCTTAAAAGCCGACACATGAAAACACAACTATAACCCAATAAGAATGATAAAAAACAAAGTATTAAAAGAAGACAAAGCTATTTCGAAAGCTAATGCAAAAACACGTACCCATCAACGTCCGATACACACTGTCGTCAGGATCACGATACTTTACACATACGCATTCCGGCTGATGGCGAAGATCAAGCAAATCCTTTGACAACAAGTCCGTTCCTGGCATTGGACTTTTTTGAGACACAAAATGGTCGTGTACAGTGTGCTCCCTGCTCTGTCGTTGCCAGTCGGACCACAGTTTGTCGACAAAACCGTGATGCAAAAAAAACTCCGGAGCAGCTGCAGAGTTATCCGTACACATAAGTCCACCAATGACACAATGTACAGCATCATGGAATTCCCGGTGGAGGAAATACTCAAAGTCTTCAAACTTACTTGCATTTGAAAACTCGAGTATTGCCTGCATAACGGCTACACAATCAGGATAACGACCGTTGAAGTTTCGTGTCAAGCAACCGCCTCCAGCACTTTCAATGACTGACCAAACCTTTAAGATTACAGTATTTATAAAAAAAAGTTCTCTGGTAGTTGATGAACATTGAATACTGCATTACTATGACCTTTACTTAACTTGGGGTCAAAATCAAAATAGATTACATCAGAACATTGTGGAAGAACAAAGACAATTCTAAAAATGAGATAGTCTTCCAATTTCAAAAAATATACAAACTGCCATGAGTACCTCAGCTCTAAATGGACCATCACGAACACAACCTGAAGAACCAGTGCCATTTCCACCAAGTCCATGCTCAGCAGTGTTCCACACATCGCTGGACAAAGCATCATTAGCCTCTTCAGCCGACTCCCAATATGGCACAGTTACACTGCAGTCAATCTCGCGCAGCATGTTTTCGTATTGTAAAATGAACCAACGATGCCATGGTAAAAAGAATGTTTGTTGGTGTATGCCCGTGCGAAAAAGTGTTTTGTGTGTTGTCAGCAATGCCTCGTAGCGTTCAATGAAATGATCATGTGTCGAAGCTGTTTTTATGACTTGAATGTATCTCTTTCTTTCTTCTTCACTCATTTCGGTGAACGGTTTGCGAATTCGACAACAGTCTACAAGTTTACCGTGCACACATTTACAGCGTCTTTTACATTGATCATAAACGATTTTTCCAGACTTACAGTTCAATGGAATTTCTGAAAATACAGAATGATATTGGATGCATTCTGAATGATTCAATATTGTATACATGGACAAAAATTGAAAAAAAATGTCAGAAGTTCTGATTGATAAACAAATGTCATCGTTCAATATTTTTTGGAGGGCTTTCTGACAATGTTTAAAAAAAGTGCATGAAACATATTTAATAGCAAAACATAGTATATAATAGAAAACATAATCCAAAAACATGATGTTATAAACTCAAGATTCGAGTTATGTTAACAAGAGACAAATATAAAATCATCATTTCGTCAAACTTATTTTTTTCAAAATCTTTATTAAACTTTCTCTAAATTGTTGATTGGAAAAGGATTACGTATTGGATGGAGAAGCATATTTCAAAACAGATGTTCGTCTTGTAAACTCAAAATCGAGATTTACTGCATGTGTGCCTATTTGTATGATTCAAATGAAAATCCAGCGCTATTAAGTCTGTACACAATCCTTTCCAATATAGTTCAGCACTATAAAAATTTTGTCTCTTTACCTGTTCCTAACAAAGATCCAATTCTTTTAAAAGTGTTACGTAGCTCACTAGGCAATCTTAATGTTTGAAATTGAGCCGGAATTTTACGCAGTTTGATAAAAATGAGCTCCACATTCAATTGATGCAAAATGTTTTTCCAGCGTCTTTTCTCTTCAACATCAGGCACGCGTTCAGAGAAAATAGCAATTATTTTCATGGCATTTGATCGAGCATTTCTGTCCGAGTTGAAGATCACGTTTTCTACGACATAATTGAGTCCATCGCTTAACAAGGTCTTTAATCCTTCTCTGTATCTAAAAGATTAGTTTGCGTAAGAAGTCCTGCTCATCAAATCTTGATTCCTACACTGTAGATTTCACCCACTAGATTCAGAATTAAATGTGTTTGTACAGTCAACTTTTAGCAGATTCAGGATTGCAGAAAATAATGCTTGGATGCGATTTAAATTTCAAACAGATCCCAAATTCTTATATATGCAAAATTTCAAATTATGAATCAACTCTTCCGTAAATAAAGCTTCTAGCCAGTAGCTATAATCTACGCAGCTTAACTGCATGGGGAAACAAATGGCTATTGAAGGTTTCCCTTGGCTTGAAGAAACACAAAGTGAAAGCGGCTATTCTTGGCTCTACCACTGAATTTACCTGATTTTATCGATGCGTTTCAAAGCACACTCTTTGTTTATCGATTCCTTGAAATCAAATTCCAAAGTAACTTTCGATGAAACAGACACAGCAGCAACTCGTACCCTGTTGGGAAAGATTGGCAAGTAGCCCAAAAGCTCCTTGATGATACGTTTGCGAAAGTCAAAGCTTTGCCGTCCTTTCTTCGAGTATTCATCAACAAGAATAGCAAAATCTACTTTTGAAGGATCTGTAAAGAAAAATATTTTTTCTTCTCATGCAATAAACATAGCTACACATCTTTTTTATGGACATCGCTCCATACACTTTTCACAAAGATTCTACGACAAGTGTACCTTGAACTTCTTTTTGTCTCAGATTGCGCGATTTGCTGATCTTTGCTTCATGCATGTAATTGCGGCGGAATGTGTCTTCATTTGTTTCAGGTGTCTCCATTTTTTTATAATCATCGTATTCATTCGAAGAGAAACCAATAGCTTTGAAATTTTCTGAGGAAAGTAAAAAGCAGAAAGTGTTGCAAATTACAAGCGCTAAAATCTTTCGGTCATTTTAGTTTCACAAACAGTTTTTTGAAGCAATAAAATATACCAAATCACCAAAAAAGGATCCTTGCAAAAACTAAATAAGTGACAAAACCATAGAGTTTATTTTAATGCAAATTGAACGAATGACATTTATCACTGATAACTGTTATAACTGACTGTTCTTTGATGTCAGTATCCGAAGAATTAATCAAGTCTTTCGAAGCAGCTGTGTACATATTTGCGATTTGCAACAAACTTTGCATGCAATATATACAGAAATAACCCAAATGGCCAAAACAACTTTTCGCTTGAGTTTAAAACTAGAGATGAAAAATCATAGTGGATACAAATACAAGGGCTTGATATCAAGGATTATTTTGTACGCGTAATCCTTATTGTTCTATTTTTGTAAATGATTAAATGAAGCGCGCACGATTTTTGAGAATGGCAGAACGACAAAGTCCCCCTTTTACAAACAAACCAAATTTAACATTAAATTTTATTTCAAGACAGTTACCGATTTTTTCTTTGTGATGAGCATAAAAATTACTATTTTATCTACGATAGAAACGCGTTCGCCATGCCGAACGGATTTTCACTTCTAAAATGTTGAACCGAATGAGCTTTTCCAATAGAGTACATAGATTAAAGAAACATTGCTAAGACAACTTAAATCTCACCAAATAAAATATGGCTTTTTCGAACATGCGTTGAAGGAAGTAGAAGCGCAAGCAACAAGGATATAATAACAAAAAAAACTTTATGAGAGTATCAATGTCCTTCCTACAAATTAAATACCAAACTCTTCGAGAAGCCACATTCACGTAGTGACTGAGCCTGCAACACTTTCTTCTCCTTACACTTGTCTAATCAATATCATAAATTGATATCAACAACTAATCATCACAAAAAGCATGATTGGTTGGAAACTGAGTAGATCAGGATCATACTCATACTTAATAATATAACCCATTAGCTTTCCCCCCTAGTACCAATCCCCCTCTTCCCTTGCATCCAATACACTCATTATTTAGCGTAGAGACGCCTTCTACAATAAAACTTCAATATTTTGTCGCAGTGTCTAAGAGAACCTCTTTCCTTCGATTTGGTAATAATTAATATGTACGTAAAACACAATGAATTCAACAAATGCTATAGCTATCGATAAGGTTAACAAAGAAATAAGATCGTGCTGTTCGCGTCCCTATTATCATATATGTTAAACTATTTCCCACTATATAACTATTTTCCACTATTTTCCACTAAAGAACTGCAGCAAAGCTACACTGATAACATTCATTCTCATACATATTTGATTTGTACCTTCGACATTTCCTTCAACATTAAAGAACAAGTTGCATAACAGAAGAAACTTAACAACAAGGAACTGTGAAACTAACGCCATGATCAAGCATCAAACATCAAGCACTTAGTTTGAAATACGTTTTCATACTGTCGCAAGCTTGACACATTTATGCTAATAGGAAGCCTGCTCTATTGTCCATCTTTCAAACCAATCATTGTGGATAAAGTATAATCATGCAGACAAGCTGCACACCAGCTGTTTTTGGACTTATCTACATTCTTTTCCTGAGAATAGCACTGCAACAGACATAGGCGTGAAGATTGAAAAGTTGGGCAAATTTTAAGCGTTTGTCGGACGAAAATATAGCAGCACCTTCATTGTGAGTGGTAGAAAATATTTACTGCCTCGCCAGAAATGATAGCTCTCGACACCTATGGCAACAGACAAACACAACTTAAGCAATTAGAGCTCGATAACCCGAACTCTTAAAGAAAATAGAAAATTGTTTCTGTTAGCAAGGTGTTGCTACTTTGTAAATTTGGTCGATACTACAGCATTTGCAAGCCATAAAAAAGCAATATACTAATGTCATGAAATACTTTAAAAGATCCGTTCGTTATATAAGTAGAGGAAAGGAACTCGATAACTATAAAAGAGGCAAAATGTTTACAGCGAATTTTTGTAACCAGAGATGACCAAATTTGGCTGCCAGCAAAACGTATACAAGGCAAGTCATCTGTGTACTTCATATAAAATTAGATCTTGTTGTTTAAGCTATTAAGGTTTACCCTTTAGCGTTTCGAGATTAAAGTTCGACAGTTAAAACCTCTTCCGGTATATCTCTTGTGGTCAAAAGAATTTGCTAGCAGTAAAAAGATTATCTCTATATTATACAATATACGTCATGTGGTCACTATAGATTAATGGCGGTGTTTTAACTCACCATGGATACAAAATACTTGCTTCATTTCAACAGTTCAACATTAAATGGTAAATTTACCGATTCATTGACAAGAATTTTTTTTACCTTTATGAAATTGGAGGACAAACAAATCTTCTGGTTTTTATGAAACATCTCGACAGTCCCAGTATTTCTTTTTCGAAGCTAAACGTCCAAAGAAAAAAGCTTTTTCTTCTTCATCTTGTGAACACAGAATTCGAATTCGTTTTCCCATGATATATATCCTGACGTCTGTTTGAAGAAGAATTTTCTCACAAAAGAATCAAAATCACTAAAAGAAAGAAATTTTTATGGAAAATATAATGCATTTAAAAATATATCAAGTTAAAATCAAACGATTCAATGACAGAAAATTGCGTCCGCTGTCAATTTTTCGTTACATTCAATTATTAGTTCAACATTTAACAGTGCGTTCTTTATAAGAACAACCATCAGTTATAAGGATCGCTTATCGTTCATAATCGTTAGAAGAAAAAAATCACGGCTGGACGCTAAACTACAGCTGAAGGCTGTGCTACCTCAAGGATAATTTATTTCTAGAAGATAACCGAACGCTAGAAGGATAAACTCGTACCCACTGTGATGATATATTCCAACTCGAAGGCCAACTTATCGTAAGAAGATAATCCATCGCTAGGTGGGTGACAGAGCCCTGGAAGAGAACGATAACCAGGACAAGCAGACAATTTTAAGTAAAACAAAATAAAACAAATTCCGAAAATAGACATCTCGTTTTCTTGATATTCAAGATGATACAAGAGTTTTAAAACAAAAGATGGTGCAATATTTCGTCTTTATTCCAAAGACATCATCAGACTAATGGTTTTAATGATATCAACTATTAGTCTGATGATGTCTTTGGAATAAAGACGATATATTACAACATGTTTTTTTTAAAACTCTTGTATCATCTTGGAAGAAACGGAACAGTGAATTTCGACGGCGTAGAGCTTGTCACGGACATAAATTCTAGTGTGTGCTTAACAGAAAACATTAAAATAGGTAACGGGCTATAACAATGTGTCGCCTAGGTGCAACCACCTCTAAATACTGCTTACCTGGAAAACGTTTCAAGTGATTTTTTCTCGTTTTCAATTGAAAACGTCGTTCGAACGATTGCAAATCATTCATCGAAAGGCACTTGAATGCAACTTTCGAAACATCTCCATATATAGGCACAAATTAAGTGTATGACCCGTGTAATCGAAGAGACAGGCATTGCTTATTGTTGGGTGAATTGAATGTTCTACAGTATACATCTAAAGAAGTGCTCTCCAAACTATTTCTTTCTAACGTTCGTTTTCTAAAAGCTCACTCACACCAAGCTGGGTGCTCACTGAGTGGGGCTTCAAGTCACCTCATAGTTATTTGAACACGACATTTTCTCTTTACTCATTTGCTAGATTTGAGATATTTTGGCAAAAATCTTGTTATCGAAGGAGAAATGACTTAGTCATTGATTAAAGAAAATACTTAGTCCCGCCATGCAATTTTTATGTCTAACTCAGTGAGGGTGAGTGAACTCTTAGAATACGTGTATAGTGGTGGGGCACTTTTTCTCCACGTGGTGTGGCAGACCCTCCAACCGCTGGCCATCATTTAAAATTTTATACATCCAAACTCCCTCTATAAATCATCAGTAGCGTCGCCAGCCTGCGAGTTTAGTCACGCTACATATGCAAATTTCAGAACATCATCATCGCTCATTTCTTTAGCGAAATGTTTTATTTTCACAGTGACTTATCGTCGGAAAATTTGCATCGCACGACTAAATAAACGGGCTGGCTACGCGTCTGCTAACCAGAATTTGTTGGTATCGTAGAACAAACATACAAAGTCAACTGAGTACCAATTTCGATTGCTCAAGCGCGAAAATAAAGCTTCAGAACATTTCCCCTCGTTTCCCTTGTATGTGTTGGCTATACGTATGCCCATCTCGACGTAGTACCCCAGCTAATTCGCAGTAATTATTAAGTAAAACACATCAAATGTTGAAATGATTTAATGTTCAAACCATTGGAACTATCAATACAATTATACTATTACTATATTAACAATAGGGTTTAGTCGGTTTGTTCTAATCCTGCCACGCCCATTTCTAAACATTACCAGTACTCATTTAATTAGTTATAAAAATACAACAGACAGATTTATTATTATCGATAGAATCGTCAAATTTTAAGAATTTTGATAACTGAAGTCCCTCCACATCTCCAGAAACTTGAAAAAAGTTAGCAGCTTGCTGGTGATCGACATTCAACGGTGACTTTTTGTGACCCTCAATGCAACATATACCGTTATCTTCAAAACGACAGATGACAGTTTATCCTTTTGCTTTATCCTTTCGTTAAATAATGTACACTACTTTGTTAAAACCACAACAAACATTACATTTTACAAAGCGATGTGTCAAGACTACTGCACCACTACTCAAACTAAAACGAATTGATTCAAAATTCCCTAAGATTTCTTAGAAGAGCTACTAGAATGTCTCTGTTTCAGTTCATTCACAACTTTTGTTGAAAAGCCAGGAACACTTTGTCGATTTTGCCCACTCTGTTTGGTAAAAAATACAATTTTATAACGATCAAAAATGAAATGATTAACAATTGCAAAGTAATTTCAAAAATATAAAAAATATAATAGCATCAATCACTACAAGGGATAAAGGAAATTTTCTACACTGTGGAGTTTGGGAATTTTCCACGAGGAAAATAAACCTCGCAAATTTCCTATATTATTTGCAGCACGTGTTTCACAGGCGTTATCATTTTTTTTCGAGAAACACATAATCCCCTGTTACTGGTGGAAGTAACATTAGCACTACTTATAAGATGCCCTTTCTCTCTGGAAAGATGACTTGAGCTTGTTTTCAAATATTGTAATGTAGGAATTGTCCGTCATACAACAAAAACTAATTTACCTGACGAGGCATCAAAGGTATTACCTGATAAACGAAAACGAAATTCATGTTCCAGTTGCTCTGAACAGTAATTAACAAACATTGAAGGGAAGGGGGGGGAGGGTATTTATTCAATTGCAACAATACAGTTTTCTTTCAAGCTGAAAGCCCAAATAGAACGCTTTGATTGACGAACCACGCCAAACATTTTACCATAAAACAAAGGACATCAATTTTCAGAAACACCACATACAATTGAAAATACGTACAATACTTTATTATTAACGAAAGTTTGAAATGTCACATAATATAGCAGTTGACGAATTACGCTAAAGAGATTAAATACATACAGAAGCTTCCTCGTAGAGTGCTGTTGGTTGTACGTCTGGATCTTTCCAAAGATCATCTACTCCAGAATACTATTTATGAAGGAACAAGAAATATGACAAAACGCTACAAGCTCATTATGCTACAACAGCGATGAAAATAGAATAGATCATGAATCATGCAAAGGTAGAAAATCTAACATAATATAAAACTGGGTAGCATTGGAGAAACATTCAAACACAAACGGTGGCAAAGAGGAAACACTGGAGCGCAATCGAAAAAGCAAGAAATCGATCCTGCAAATTACAGTTTTGAGAACAGACAGGGCACTCCATTGAGATTTTTGGTATCATGCATCTTACTACAAATCTGTTTACCAAAAAGGTTGCCAGTAAATTACATTTTCCGATTAGCTAATGAGAGAGCTGAGAGAGTTAACCGAAGCCAGTTATCTTATTAAACATTGAGCAGCGAGTTGCGCCGTAAAGTGGTCCAACTGTTTTTTGCAATCAGTACAGAATGCTTGTTGTTCAAATGTTTGCAGAAAAAATAACGGTATGAACAAAAACATTCAGAACACTCTGCCCTGGTGTCACAAATCTACGACATATTCAACACTTCACAAACCTTTGATTTTAAAAATATATTTATCCATCGATAGAGATCCCGTTCATCTTCCAGGCAAATATATCTGCACAAAAACATACGTATTAATGTTTATTCCGTGCGAAAATTTGTACATAAAATAATCAGACCGTTAGATAGTTGAGCATTCTAGTAGTATCGAAAATTTATCGACGTTGACATTGCATTACAAAAGTGCTTCGTATGAAACAAAAGTTTCGAAATTAAGATTTTAATAACCATGACAAAGATCGTTACAATAGTTCAAGTGGTCACTATTTGTTTTTCTATATCCAACATGAAAAAAGATCCGTTAGCATGTCTCACCTGTAACAGCAATGATTTTCCGTAGTCAATCTAGCAATGGTAAAACCCATTCTAAAAGTGTACAAAAAAATAGCATAAATGAAGTTGGACATCTTCCATCGCAGTTTCATTTATTTAAATATCAATAAAAAAATTGAGATGTGCAAGATTACAGCGACATAAATACGATGACATTTCGGATTCACATGACAAAATGACCATACATTGTGGAGAGACATCAGACATGTATACATCAACTTGGATTAATATTCCGGTGAACATAACACTTGGCTCATTCCTACACGTTTAACTATTTCATTATACTCCCCCTTATTAAGCCAAATTATTGCTGATATAAATCTTAAAGCTTTAGAAATTTGTTGATTTAACCACTCTGAAAAGAACTTACGCTGTTGGTGGTTTCTTGACACGATCCACACCAATGTATAAATCCGTCTCTGCAACAGGCCATTTATCGAGTTCGCCGCCCTAAATACAAAGACTGTATTTGCGTGTGCAAATAAATATAGAAAACATCATAAAACAAAACCGGAGGTGGTGGTGGTAGTTGTGGTGGTAATGGTGGTGGTTGTGGTGGTGGTTGTGGTGGTGGTAGTGGTGGTTGTGGTGGTGGTGGTTGTGGTGGTGGTGTTGGTAGTTGTGGTGGTGGTGGAGTTGAAAAGACAAAATATGACACAGCTGGACACATGCGACAGACAAGAAATTTAAGGAAATACAAGAAGGAGATATAATTCCAAGGAAAAAACCATGAAGAGACCTTGGCATTCTTCTGCACAGTCAAAAATGTTCCATCCAGTTTAACAAAATTCTTTTTCCAACTTTTTTTTGATTCCTTCATAGTTGCAAAAATACCTGATATATACCCAGACTTATCATTTTCCAGCGCCTGCGAACAAAATCAAAAGTAATTTGGATTGCTAGTGAAATACGTCATGAAATCAACAAAACAATTGTATTACATTCATGATCGTCATACAAATTACAAACGATTTTACTCACAAAGCTCTCTAATTTCGGTATAACGTAGTTTTCCTTGACGACCAAATGGGATCCCTTCACCAGTTGACTGTATTTTCCAGTATGAATAACAGTGCTAAGGATCTTCTCCATCGCTGGAAACGCTCTCTCTAAAGAGTAAATAACGCTATAACACACACATTATCAATACTACACCAAGTAGTGAAATTTAGACTTTTTTATTTATAAGTGCAAATTTAACACTAAATCAAAGTTCTCTTCCAACAAGCATTATCGTTATCACAACTTTATAAAGTCGTACACTGATAAAATATGGTTTTAAAACAGGTTTTAAAAAAAGTTTTGAAATAGTATGACGTTAAAAGAATCTTGACAACATTTTACTTTACCTATTTCTCCGTCCACATTCTGAAATAAAGCCCAGTTTACATCGGGAGGCATACCTCTTCTAAAAGCGATCTCTTGACATAACTTACCGGCCGTCGTATGGGGATAAACCTGATGACAGAGAAGATAATACATATAGAACAGTTATGAAAAACAAAACAATAATGACAGTTAAGATGTTTTCAACGTCGTACGAAACGCTATATAAACAAAGTGAAAATATCCACACAGTGTGACACGAGATTTGAGGCCACAAAATTTGAGTCCAGTTCATATGTTGAGGTCAGCAAATATAGTAAGTTCAGCAATGTTACCTTTATTCCAACACATTCATTCTTGATATCAAGCGGATAAATATCCAAATTCATGTCGGAAAAGTTGAGTAGGTCCGGCTAAATATATAAAATACACACAATGTAACGATATCATTTTAAAGAAGTGAGCACGGTAGACGACAGATGACGTATACAGACTCAAATATATTAAGCATTGTGAATTATGACTGCCATTTTCTTTGCTCTTACTTTTGATGACAATTTATTCAATTTCAGCATCGCTTCTTCAATTTTCTAAATAATTTTAAAAAATAATCTTTCATAAAAACATACAAAATGCACATGACGACGGGCAACTTTAAAAGAAATTAATGCAACGTTACAATGCATGCAATGGGCATTTAACTATTGATATGTACAATGGCATAGCCAGCCTGCAAATTTGGTCGTGCTAAGTAAATATCAGATCATGATCACGACTTATTTAAGTTGTTTCTACACTTAGAGAACACCAAACATTTGCATAGCACAAACATGTCAAACTAAATCAATTTTGAACGTTGTTCCAAAACAAGTAGCTCATTTTGCCACACAAATTTCCTGCGCTACATTTACGTAAATTTTTGTAAGTAAACCAGCTTTCTGGCTAATATGTACGAACCTTATCTTTGTTTCTTTCTGTGTGACTGACCTTAAAAAGTAATCACACTTTGTCGCAAATCAGTAAATAAAGTGAATTGATTTGAGCCTGGGGGTACTGTATGCTTAAATAGATGTTGATCGTTCTGGTTAATGCAGTCTTAAAAGGACTGTTAGTGTTGGTATGGACTGACGTTTCGACATCTTAGCGGTAGTCATCGAAACGTCAGTCAATACAAACATCAACAGTACCTGTAGGACAACACTTATCTAGTTGACCAACATAAAGCTACAAACATGAAACATTAAATGTTGAAAACTTTATTCCCATACGAAGTAACCTCTAAGAGCAAAAAAGCTAATATTAAGGAAGGCAGTCTGTTTTTTAATCGTGACCATTGTTGTTTCCTTGTGTGTATTGTGCATTAAAAGTGAGGATAAGCAGGCAGTTGCATGTACAATTTACATATTGTGTTGAACTAGCTGGCATGCAGATCCCACACTCGAAGTTCAACGATTTTTACCACTGCAATGAAATTGGCAAATGCAAAGGTAAATATCCATGGCTGCACGTATGGGTTCCAGCTGGGAAACGCTGAATTAATTTGAAGGCACAATTCAACCGAACACATTTGTGTTAAATGCGATCTGTAGAGCAACTGGCAGTTATATCCTTTATATATACCGTGTACGTTACAGGAGCAACCCTTTGGCTCTTTAAACAGTCCCAGCCGCGGAACAAAATTTAAGGTATGTATATAAAAAGAATTTTAGCTATTCTCACATCAAAGAGCCATTCATAATATGTAATTAGATCGGCAATGACGGCGAATTCTTGGTTGATTGTTGCAGAATCCATGCTACCCATCTACAAATAAAAACGATTCAATAAAGTCAAACAGCAAAGAGGTATGTCAACTATCTCGGGCAGTTGCTTGAATGTCAACAAGAAAGTAAAGTAGTCGAAGTTAATAACATGAAAATTACGATGAATTTATGCTGCTTTATAAAGTTGACTGATCGTTTATAGCTTAATTTGCAGAAAATATAAAAAATATTACAAATTTTCATTCAAACATTAAAAAATGGGCATTTTCGCTATCATTAGTCGAAGACTAATTTTATATGCAATAAAAATAACCCAATTCTTCAACAATATTTTAATTAGATGTGAAATGAATGCTATGCACGGAGGATTAAGGATCTAGATTTCGCGTACTTCAAATACGTTTGACAGTATAATTTATAAAATACTGTGAATCAAAAATGTCCAAACAAGCAAAGACTTTTTGTTAGCTTCTAACCATATAAGGGTGAATAACGATGACAAAAATAGATGTATCGATTAGTCAAAATTACACTGCAGCTTTAGACCTGAAATTTGGAATTTACTTGACATTAAAGTTGTTTACTCATATTAAATCTTACCACTAAAAATTAAATACTAAAAAAATTATTTCTATTTGCGGAGTATAAGTATAACAGAGTGACATAAAACAATCTTCTTCATAGAATTACTTAGTATTCTATTGTCCCCTCCAGGTATTATTTTCTTCTCATGCTAAAGGGGGAACTGCTAAAGTCTAACTACGTACAAATCGTACAACCTATGGATTGGCAACCACCGTCTGAAATAATTTTATATAATTGAGCTACTTCTCCACACGTCTGGAAAAGAGGGGAAGCAGGGAAAGCGATTGCTGGCAAGACTCTTTAGGGGTAGAATATTTCTTGGCTTGCTTAAAAGATATGTAGCATGGGGAAACGTCAATCACATATCAGATAAAGGGACTTACAAAGTTGCACTTACTCTGCACTCAACACAATTAAGCGGTAGATATAGTTATATAGTAAAATAATATATTTATGGCTTTCTTTATACATGTTTATGGTTTTCATTGCAACTAAATTATATATCCAAGTAGAAAGCTTAAAAAAGTAGCTAAAACAGTTTTATAAGACACTTGAAAATTCATTGCAAAATACTTTCCATGAATTATTATTTACTTTCCATGAATTAATACTTTCCATGAATTATTATACCATTAGAAAAGATAAAAAAGTGCACAGTTGCTTTAGAGCGGGATAAGCTGTAATTTTGCACAGTCCTCGTTTAGTTTTTTGCGTCTGTAACTCGCAAACTAAATATTAAAATGAACACGTTTTTGCGCGTGTGGATGTTTGTACATTGTAGGGAAATCGAGTTGTATATACATTTAATGATTCTTTGAAAAACTGTCCTCAAAGGCGTTCATGAGCGCTGATAATAGACATGCATTACAATGGTTTGGTAAAATATTTCAGTAATTTCCTTGAAGTGGAACAGCACTCATGCGATGAATTCCGATTGTTACAATTCCGTTATTTTTGACTTTTAAAAATTTGTTATTTCATCACATATAATAAACGTTATGCCCACACATGCCCAACTTACTTCTTCATTTGACATCAGCGTAGGCCCAAAAATGAGAGAGACATTCTCCAATTTCATAAGGTTTTGCTCTTTCCTCGCACAAACTCTAAAAGTGAAATGAGTTTTAACATTTTACCATTTGGATTTTGTAAAATTATGAAGAAGATATTGATTATCAACTATAACAACAAAAACAATATCATAGAGTTATGAATACGAAAACAATACTAAACTATTCCCAGGGCCTGATTATATGGAGGCAAGCTGGCCCGGATAGCGAGCTAGCCCGATGATTTCAAGGGATTGAATGGAGTCAAAACTTCAAGGTTAAAAATTACACTTCAAGACCACAACATATATAGGCACAAGCATCTCGCAATTATTAGATTACGAGGCCGATTACATGGAGCAATTTCAGCGTGGGCTGAGTTTGTGTGATTATATTGTCAATTTCAGCCAGGTTTTTAACCTGGCTGAAAGTTACGAAGCTCGTCCAAGGCATGATCGCCAGTCGTAGTTAATTTGTTGTCGTCATCATAAAAAATACGTACGCAATCACGCATGCGTGAATACTTTAGCTGTGATTTCAGCCCGGGTTGAAACGATTACATGACAGATTTTTCAGCCCGGGATGGAATTGTTCATATGTAATCACTTACGCTTTTTTGATAGGATATTATAACAGGCCCGGGCTGAAATTTCTCCCTATAATCGGCCCCTAACTTTCTCAACGTAATTAGCTACTCTTGGGTTTTCGTAAATTTAAAGAAACCAAGTGACGTGCTTAATTATATACGTACGATTCATTTTACAAACACTGACCTCACAAGATGGTTTATCACAGATTTCAGCGTCGTGCGATTTACCTCTGGTAAACGTCCGAGACTATCCTTGTACATGCGTAGTTTTTTTTCATGAACTGGCGACAAACCTTAACAAACGAATGCAACATTCATACAACGTTCGTGATATGAAATTTCTATCAATGGTTATACTTCTTCTCACATTTCGAAAAAAATGTTTTGTACAACACAATCTACAAAACGACGATTTAAACTGGCTTCCCGCGCAAAACGTGGCGGTTAAATATACATTTCGTCATTCTAAAACGCTTAACATAAATTGTCAGAAACATGTTCATGAAAAGAAAAGAAGACTTCACATATGACGTAACTGAGAAGAAACGTCTTCACACTAGTGTAGGCGCCGCGTTCAGGCCCCTCGCAGAGTAATGTGGCGTAGGCATACTTGCAGTAATGAAGTGAGCATAAGCATCTTCAGTCATTAGTGGATCAGGTAATTCACGAAAATATTCCTTCAAAAGTCCAGCAACATCGTGCGCTTCATATTCTTCTCTTAATATGATCACAGTCTCAGCGTCTAAACAAGTGATATAAGTAAATATGAAACCTACAATGTATTTATATGAGAAACCCATAGTGTATGTATATGAGAAACCTAAAGTGTATGTATATGAGAAACCTATAGTGTATATGAGAAACCTATAGTGTATGTATATGACAAACTTATAGTGTATCTATATAAGAAACTATTGTGTATGTATATGAGAAACCTATAGTGTATATGAGAAACCTATAGTGTATGTTTATGAGAAACCTATATTGTATGTATATGACAAACTTATAGTGTATCTATATAAGAAACTATAGTGTATGTATATGAGAAACCTATAGTGTATGTATATGAGAAACCTATAGTGTATGTATATGAGAAACCTATAGTGTATGTATATGAGAAACCTATAGTGTATGTATATGAGAAACCTATAGTGTATGTATATGAGAAACCGATAGTGCATGTATATGAGAAACCTATAGTGTATGTATATGAGAAACTATAGTGTATGTATATGAGAAACCGATAGTGTATGTATATGAGAAACCTATAGTGTATGTATATGAGAAACTATTGTGTATGTATAAGAGAAGCCTATAGTGTATGTATATGAGAAGAACAATAAAATAAAAGAACTTGTCGAAGTAATCTTTGTGTATAAAATATCGCATGTTATTTTGGGTATCGATTTTGTTACTGAATCAAGTTTGACATAATCACCACTTGGTTAGGTATATTAAAAAAAAATAAACATTTTTTTCTTTAGTTTTGTTTCTTGAATATATAGCAAGAAAATATACTTTTGCATCACATTTTATTTTGTCACAACCCTCGTTCATGAGCACAAGACGAGCACAAGAGCAAAAACAATTTTTTTAAGTAGTAAAATAGAGACTTTTTCAGCGTGGTGACAAATGTAAAAATTGTTTTAAAAATAGTAAATACCATGGTGAATGATCAATAAAATGACGTAATGGTTCTTAAAAGAACTGCTTTTAGAGCTATCGAGTAAGTGTTCTAAAAGTTCTTTTAAGAACTGTACATACGTACGTCATTATTTTTACCATTCACTATGGTATTTACTAATTTTGAAACAATTTTTGAAAACAAAGTTAACAGAAATTTCGTTAGTTTTGATTTCTTTCTTGTACATGTCACAAAAGAAATAATTTAGTTCGCTTACAATAATATCAATACTTATATTAAAAATTCGTCTGCTATAGCTAACCTTGATTAAAAAGCTTTCGTAGCACTCGAATTTTTGCTTTGTTGCCATTTTTTCGATATATGCCTTCAGCATCAAGACCTATAGAAAGAAAACTTCTAGTCAGTTATCATGTAAAGTAAATCGAAGATACACTTCTGTCAGGCAGTTGCAGAATGTAGCCACATTCATTGATTGAAAAAATTGAAAAACAAAACTCAGACAAAAAGGGAACATCATCAATGACTTCATGCATAAAAATAATAAATACCATGAGCTTCAACAAACTGCAATGCTTTCGCGACCAAATGAGGTATGCCATCTGAACCAAGCTCTTGACAAGACAAGGAAACTTGAAAAACCTAAAATGCATCAGCAAATGAGAAAATGCACAAACGCAATGCTTTTTCCATTGTCAAAACCGATTTCACACATTGTAGAATCTGAATCTATATTGTGATTAATAGTGTAGCATGATGCTCTCGTCAGGAATTAAACAAACCTGTTTATTACGCAAAGCAATGTACCATTCATGCGCTTCGGACTTCGTTTCTGCCCTCAAATAGTATGTCCTAGAACAAAGGAAACATGGAGATTTGCAACAAATAACCAAGACTTTGACTCATACACATGTTATCCTTGTACAGTATACAAACATTTTTCATGTCATAATTCGAAATTGTTAAAAAAATGAAATATTTTATTTATCGTTAGCAGTTACCATAGAACAATGGGTTTCACTGCTCAACTGTCATTCGGTCTAAGTTTTGATCTATTACCTAGAGCCCAATCTACTAAATACCTGACTCCACCTATATTCTACATACATAGTATAGCTTTCTAGGTTTGGTTTTTTAAAAATTTGATGGTTTGGTTTTTGTAACATTCTTCCAGCTTTTTTGAGAGTTTTTTATTTTGCTTCCTTTCAAGATGGCGTTCTAGCCTCACCTTGACAAGGTAGTTAGACATCGAGGGGATTGGGTTCTAAATCATTGGTTTTGATGCAGTCAGTTCACCAAGAACACTAGAGCATGACCCAATAATAAATTAGTGTACCTTTCATTGGTAATAATATCCAACGTTAAAGAGTCGTTATAAACGTAATCTTCGACGTCTTTTAGTTTGATCAGCCCAAACTCTTCCTTCAGGGAACCAAGAATTCATTAAAACAAAAATCAGCATTAAATTAGGCAAAATCGAACATTGGCAATAAAATATTTGTCGAGCGCTTTAAGAGCCATTCTATGGCTTATAAAACACGATTGCTCGCCACATAAGACTCGCTATAAAATATGATGTTGCACGAACGAAACATGGTTCAAAATATTTGCACAACAGCTACATCGTACAGCAGTCCGTAAAATGCCATGTAGTGGTGTTACCTAGAATGCAGTTTTTAGCTAACGTCACGTGATCATAAATAGCCAAATAATTAATTGTCATGAGCTGGTTAGCATGTTTCTTTATAAAATAACAATAAAACGCGTGAGGTTTATAGCTGAGTTTGCATAGGCTTGTGCAAACAGATCTAAGCTCAATCAATCAAACTGATCAAAGAGATTTTGCAAATCAATCATGAATACATAATTGAGGAAGTATTAAAACGTTCGTTTTAAATTTATCTGTATCACAATGTTGTAATTTAATAAGAGAAATAAAAAATACTTTTCGTTTTACCACTGGCTTATGCAATCCTCTGAGACATTTGTGACAGTTCTCGGGCAGGTGCAAGCTGATCTGCTCTCGAGTTCACCCAAAGGTCTCCTCAGACTGTTGCATGAGCCTTTGCAAAGTAAACACTTTTATTTCTTAAATGGCGATAGCCAGCGTATAATACTATCAATGGTGTGGAAAATTTCAACTTACGCCTTTATCTTTATCATACCAGAGCTCACGACCTGCTAACATGAAGTAACGTTTACGCCAGACCTGTGAAAGTACAAATCATTCACTATCAGCATCGTTAGAGTTCCCGCCCTGCTTAAAGAGATGAAAATTTCAAAAACAAATAGCAATTGCTTTTATTGTAAAGGAAACAAGTAGAATTGAGCAATTTTTCAATATCGCAAACAGGCGAGATGATGCTTCGAAGTGTAATTTACCACTTTTAAGATTTATAAATCTCTTTTTCGGCATAAAGACCGACTCATGAACTTTTACTTGTTTTAAACGTCAAAGTAAGGTTCCCAAGTCCCGCCAGAAACTAAAAACAGATACAAAACATACTGAAGCTGTATTTGGCGGTTTCTTATACAGGTAACCTTCTTTTTCATACGGAACTAAACTTTTTTCCTGGAACGAAGGGCTGCTGGCCTACAGAAAAAGTCAAACAAGAATTTTAATTTTACAAGCCTGTGACAGCAAGCGAAGAAAAAATACAATTAAAACAAAACCAACGACACAACACCCTCAAACTTTACGCTCAATATGAAAAGATTGGACCTCTCATCATAAACGGTGCTACATACTTTACATGCCAATTTAGCAAGTATGGAAACAAAGAATACGTGTGATGCAATGCACTTCCGCATGTTTGCATTTCTTCAGGCATAGTGCCATTGACAGGGAAATTTAAATAGTAAATATCAATAAGTGAATAAGAACTCGAAAAAGCACTCACATCATGGAAAACGTCGTTCTTTTCAGGCAGCTCATAGATGCTAGCATATTCATGATTCGCAGGTTCAGGTTCTAAATATAGCAAATATAGAGTGTTTATTAACGAGTATTTGAATCTTAATGTCAACTCAGACACCAGTAATGCTCTGCAATAAACCAATAGAGTTAAGGCGAAGAATTTCTGTCAAAACAAAATTAAGGATGCAAGGATAGTGCGACGTTTCAAAAAAACCTTGCCTTTTGACTCGTAATTTTAACCAACCATAAAATGCTTTATACATTTATTTCATTTCTGCCAAAGCTCCCATCTAATTTTGATTCATGTACCATGGAGTTAACATCCATTGACTTTATGGCAAATAAGAACATATTTTATGAGACCTATCGCAAGTTCACTTTGAATTTAGACCAATTCATACATCAATACAATAACATCATGTATTTGAAGTAGTTCCTGTTCAGAAATCCACAAAAATCTCAAAGGGACTAGTAACAGTTCTTATTTAATAAAGACACATACCCATCACATGTTATGCTAACTTGAATTCGAGGGTTCCGACTGGAGAAATCGCTAATAGAGAGCGGTTCATAATGGTTTAGAATTTAAAATATTTGCTTTTTATGTAAATTTTGAAATAATTAAATGAAAATATTGACTTATATTATGTAAACAAAGATTCGGCAATCATTGATGAAATAGTACAAACGAATTTTTCGTAAACTGTAGGGTCCAAGGAAGTGCGAAGTTTTAAAAAACAAAAGGTTTTTTTGACTTGCATTTTTAGTTGATCTCAAACAGTTTTAAAATTTGTATTAAGCCTACATCTTTCACAAAACAATTCGGCAATATATTGTTGATCTATATAACACGAGTAAAGCATGCATCGAATTTTATCACAAATATGGATTGACTGCTTTCCTCGTCTTATATTGTTTATGAAAAAAAAACCCACAATATTTGACATTGTACGACACATAAACGTTTATATTATTCATATAAACAGCTAGAAGACTGAGATGTATCGATAAAGCATAATCCATGTCGAATTATTACGTAAATATTTGTTGTGTTCAAATAATATTGTTAGCTTTCAGCCAAAATTATATCTAATCTCTTCAAGCTATAGGTGATTTATCAGTCAATGGTTGGCACTTACATTCAGGATTGAATGCGCATAAAACATAAACATAACAAAATTTATAATGTGTAAATTCTCGAAGATTTACTTAAATGAAATTAATTGTCACGCCTGAAATGTTACATCCGAAAACAACGCTGCCCGAGCCCTTCTTCGTGGACTGATTAATGAATATTCGATGTGATTGATTATACCGATTTACTGCATTAAATCACGAGAAAATACACACATCATCACATACGCATGTACGTAACAAGTTGCGTCATTTTTATTTTCGCGAGATCTCCAACGTACCTTTTGTGACTGCTCCGTTCTGCAGGAGAAATTCCTAAGGAATGAAGAAGTTCACTCATAAATATCGTCACGTTACTAGCCCCAATGGCGTGTTTGACATTTGTGGCCAAAGTAAATTCATCAATCAAAACGACTCAACATATGACGTTAAACATATGATGTTCAATAAAAACTTTGACTGTTTTTAAAGTTGCATACATTCTTTTCTCCTTTTTTCAAAATTCCCTAAAATGACTTAGGCAAAAAAACTTAGGCATAAAATTTTGGTAAAATCGATGAAAATTCGATTCCAACAGAACGACAGTTTTTTTGCAGGAATCACTAAGAGGAGGAAAGCGGTTGGGTGGGGAGGACGTACCTACACCTGACAGGAAGGGTTGCAAGAGGGGTGTGCGAATTTGATAACGAAATACATATGTGTACCAAACAATAAAGCAGAAGCAACTCGGATTAGTGTTTTATCTTCAAAAATCTCTAAGTCTGGCATGCTACGGCAACAAGTATCCATCGAAATCTAACTCAAACTAGAGAGCCCTCTAACCCAACTCCAACCCCCTCCCCTCTCGTCAAACCATATTGGATCCATCCCTATTAATTTTAACCCCCAACATAGACAATTCGACAGGTCTTGTGCAATCATACCATTTGAAGTTCTTGTCCAGCTGCCCGGGCAAAATCATACGCTTAACAACAAAAAAATCCATAACATATTAGAATTATCGTAAATGCCGCCATAATCACAGTTGTATAGGATGCATTTGCATGCAGGTTAAGCAATCCGCCAATTACAGAATTTTAAGCAAAATATACTGCACAGAAAACTGCATTTAATGAAGGATAAAAAACTCACGAGTTTCAGTATCTAAGCCACCGTTAAATTCATTTTTAACCTAAAAAAAATAAAAACACATGAAACACGTACTGTTATCTTGTCGAATCTACTTTAGTCAATCCTAACGACCAACAAAGACAATAGTTGCATATAATACTTCCTAAAAATCAATGTTTACGATTGTTCAACCGTTAATATATAGTTTAACTAGACAGCAATTGATGTCTTGTGATGTCTTATAAATCATATAAATATCTTCAATCACGCATCCATGAGGGCCATTCGACTTACGTATTAACTGGTTCTAACTCATATGGTAAAAAAATCCATTTTATAGGGTTTCCCATTGATTGAAACCAGGCACCATGCATGAATATACAAGGACGACTCTTCATTAATGAAACAATCCTATAAACTGCAGTTTTGGCTTTCGACCAGCTTTCTACCAATAATTCTGATTCGAGCATCGGCGTATTTTTCGCTACACATTAGCAATTTTTAGAGGCCAACATGCGTAAAACCGAAGCGCGAAGGCACGTACGTAATTGAGTTTTATATAGCACGTGTATTTGTGCTTTTTATATGTAATGCAAAACTATATGCTGTAATGATGAAAAACATATATAAAAATACAAAAAAATTATATAACAGAAATAAAAACGATACAAAAATGAACTCAACAAAAAAATTCATGATCTTTTTCTCTATCCAGTAATACAACTCATTGTGTGCAGCTATGTAATTTGCAACAACTGACAAACATTTTGCGGCGAAATTCACGATTTCACACACAAAAATTATCAAATAACACTCGAGAAAAACTGAAGAAAAAACTTACATCTGCACCGCAAAAAACGAGTAGCATCGTTTTTCCAACGTCGTTTGTACAAACAGCAGCTTTTAACTCCTGCATAAACCAGTTAAAATGTTCATGAAATGTGTAATAACAACGATGAAATTCCTTCATAATAAAATTACGTTTCGAAGAGCATCGGGGTCGCCATAGAATGGTGAAACGTTACGGTACAGTCGTCGCTCATACTTCTTACGAATAAACTCTTCTCTTGCTTCACTGTAATACCAAAGAAAATCTTATATCACTAATTTCACCGATGATTATTATTGTTATTAACAAATGTTTATTACAGGATAGAAACTTCAGTCAGTTGAGAAAGAATATCAATGTTTGTCCTATTGAAATACAATTAAGGATATAACTAAAAATGAAAACTAAAATGAACAGAACTAAACAAAAACGTAAGTAAAGACTGTAGAAACAAAAATAAATATAAAAACAGTATAAAAATCCATAAGGCGAAGCCAAAGATTTTCTTTGAGATATATGTACGTAAATTGTTAAAACACTTGGCTCCACAAATAGAAGCTTTGCCTTGAAGTTTCAAGTTTTAATAATGGAAGTCTCAAATGTTCCATGAGTCAACATTTCTATTTCCCTTGGATTTTTTTGAAGGCTATCTTAAACTACGTACGCAGAGAGCAAATCTGTGAATCAATAACGTCTTTTACTTCATGTACTAAGCCGTTAATACTTTACAAATACATTCTCAAACTAATGTTGGATGTTTCAATGGCAAAGGTTGTATCGACTAATGACTCCGCTACTCAAATATTTTTGGATTCCCCCACTGAAACAACAATGAAGTAAATAAAAAGTTCGCTAAAATGTAAGCATAGCAGGAGTAGAAATTCGAAAGGACTTCGCCAATGATGTTATTTTATTAGCATGTTGTTGAGTATGAATTACTTTGAAAAGAAATACACACCTCGAACAATTCGGTGTGATTGCATCGTCTTCAGGTAATTTGTGCTGCCAAAATCGATTTGATACTTCATTTCCAACATTCACAAAGAGCTAAGTGTGAGAAAGAGATCCACTTAGAAAAATTGGCAAATGAATGACCGAAAAAAACGTAGAACGCTAACTAAGATGTTATAAGAAAAAAAAACGTAAAAAAGGATGGCAAGGATTAATAGAACCTTAGCAAAATCATTACGTAAGTTTTTCTCTGATAGTGATTTCCAAAAAAAGGATGGTTCAATAGAACTACATCAAAATAATTTCTTAATACCACTATATATATCAGGTGAACGACAAAAATAATTCGTGGTTTTGCACGCCATATGCAAAAATAATTCCATCATCTAAAGTAATTCGATACACTCTCCCTTTAATAATATAAATAAAACTGTAAATAGATAGCATAGTCATTCCTTGTACTGAAGATGGCATAAGCATGCCGAAACATGTTTACTTTAAAAAAACTTGACGTTCACTTGAAATGCCTGACATCAAAATAACTACACATAATATAAATCCTAACACGGTTTTCATACGCACATGAAAAACATGTGACTTGGACGAGATTTGAACCCATAACTCTTTAAAATAACTACTGTAATCTGTTGTGAACAATCCTTATTGCAATGTTGACAAATAAAAAATAAATATGTACAAAAACCTTCACAAGAGAAGGAGTCCAAACTTTTACATCCATTAAAATTGATTTTGCTTTTGATACGTGAACGCCCAAACGTCGATGCACGCCAATACAGTTCTCGCATACACACACCAAAAGATTGACTGATGCCCAAACAGGATCTTTAAAAAATGACCACGTCGTCAACATGAATTCAAATATGAAAACAAAAAGCAGGTTATATCGTAAGAAGCGGTACAGAAGAATACGTTTAGGGTTAGTGTCAGCGGTAAGCATACAAAAAATGCAAAAGCAAACGACAGCAACAATAATCAGCTCATTATTTAAAACGCGATAACAATCACAATGGCACATCCACAACAAATAACACACAGATATATGAATATACTTATTGTCTTATTCACAAAACATGCTTTCAAAAACAGTTCAAACTTTACCTTTGGCTCCGCAATCAGCGCATCTTCTGTTGCTAGGATTTTCCCTTATTTTATTGAGTACCTTTATTAAAAAAAAAACAATAACAAAACATATCGAATCAATAAACATGCATGCAAATTTAACGAGGGAGGCTTGGACGAAAACGTTCACACATCAAGTCACAAGTCACATTTTCTCTTAGTTTTAGCAAATCTCTTCATTACATTGCATCAAAGTTTTTTGATGCAGCCCATGGGAAGCCTTGCATTTCTCCAGTGAAAATTAATTTCACAAAATAATTAACGGGACGCCTACGTAACTAATCACTACCGTTTTATCCCCCAGACCCAGTTGTATAGATTTTTCTAAAGCAGCGACCCATTGCCGCATCTCGTTCTCATCGTCGCACTGGAACCTAGGCAAACAGTATCGAAAAAAAATAGTACGGTACCAATGTACGTTACACAAAAAGCTGGTCAAAAAAGAATTATTTTGCGGTATGTAGTTTTAAAAGCGAGTCACGAGAGAAATTGTGTAAAATGGAGAATAAAGCACGACATACGTACAGGTAAGTTCTGCGACTGGTTATTAGTTGAAACCGATTCGGGGTTCTCGGGTCGACTTTCACTTTGGCGAATTTCATCTCGATTGTATTAATTGGGCTTGCAACGAGAAAGTCCTGAAAGATAAAGTTCATAACTACATTCCCCACAATACGATTATCAATTGTGTACGTACAAGTAGAAGGTAAACATGTACTTTATTCGGCTATAAGATACATGGCATTTCATGTTTGTAGATGTAGATCGTCCAGGTTAGTGGAGTCCTGAGAACTGTTGGCGTTGATTGATGTTTCCACTACCTTCGTGATCGTCATAGTCAAGTGTAAGTGAGGAGTATACGTACGTCAGGTTTGCCGTATTTTTTTGTCACGTTAAAACATCGCGGCATTGTGTGTAGAAATATTAAATACCTCAGAATTGTGGTAGTATGCAAACATCTCATCTTTCACAGCAACGTATCTAAGCAAAATATCCAAAACTTTATCAAAGTATTAGTGATATTTTAACTGAAACCATCACTATAATGCATACGACTTAAACACCATATGCACTTTATTTAATGATAAACTACACTAATTCACCATTTACTACCTCTTTCTGAAATCCCCAACGACAGTGTTCATTTGCTTTTTAAGATATCCCTAAACGTCCGTGGACAAGTTGACACAGTTAAGCTTTTGTAATCATGTCATGACGGGAATAAGATCTTGTAATTCATAAAATTCATTTAAATCAAATTCGAACAATGTTTAGGACATGGAGTAGCTAAACTGACAACATAATGCTGCAAAAATGAACTTTGCATATACTTTTGAGAATATATTCATTCAAGGCATCCCAACTTAATCTGCGACTAATTTACGACAAAAAGCAAACCCAAAGGTCTCAAACTGAAACATGTGTATGTACCTTTTTATCTGATTCAAACATATTTCCACCAGGTGGTTGTGTAACATTCGTTTGATCTTGTTTCTACACGACATTAACATAAAATGGGACTATTATTGTTCGATAACGATAATCGTTTTCCAACAGTTTTAAGCACAATTTGGCAATTATTTAAGCAATAAAGTTTCAGAACATAATTTTAAGATAAATAAAAGCGATCTAAAATTTATCAATTGACAACCTTTCGATGCTTCTTGCATCATTTTCAACAAATAAAATAATAGTTAGAATGCATTAATTTATCGCACAAACGTCTAGTTTATTACATTCGTGATCAAGCTATGGGCAATGATTGAATAAAATGATGAATCCCAACTATTGATTGAATAAATTGATGCATCCTATAACTATTATTTTATTACATGAAAATGATGGAGGAATAAGCATCGAAACGTTGTAAATTAATAAATTTTCGATCGTATTTATTTGTCTTAAAATTAATTTTGCAATTACTTTCCAAACCAAATCTTACTCGAACTTGAATGATTGCTCCCATGAGACATTGCGCCCACACTTGAATAACATCTGTAAAGATTTAGTACTTTATTAATAAGCAAATTACGTAAGTAATATTGTTGTGTTTCAATGTCTTAACCGCTGACTTAAACCCTTATTCAAACATCATTCTTACATAGGAGTTGCAATTTGATCCATTTTTTATAAACAAACACCTCACTTCGTGCTAAACATGTTATAACAAATTACTTACCCCACTCGTCTGTCTCTCGTGCAAACATGTACGTTCTACCAGCGCAAAATAAATCGAATCTTGCTCGTTTGGCCTGAAAAATTACGAAGAAAACAGAAATGGCAAAAATATCAATAGTGAAGAACCAAAAGAGGCATTATATAAGAAGCCATGCAGTGAACTTACATCATCGGTAACAATTGCAACTTCCTTCATTATTGCAACTGGAACGACTTGAAGGGTTTCGTCAGTGTGATCCTTTAAAAAAAGGACAACAAGCATTACAGACGACCAATATACATAACTTTTATTACCATCAGTATCTGATTTGTACAGCAAATGACAAAATTATGTCCCAAATAGATGTCGCAATTATCGGGTAAATGTATACGTAAACATCACCTTATCCTTGTAATATCGAAGCTCTTGGCCATCGAAAACCACCCATCTTTTTTTCCAGCCTTTGTTGTTTTGCTGCCTGAAAAAAAGAATTGCCAAAACGAATTTACGAACGCGCTAGCCAAGAGTTGGCAACTGAACGTTACAATCGTAAAAATCACGGTTGAACGACAAGGTTTTCGTTGATACGATTTTTATGGGAATGCTTCCAGCTATTTATCGTCCGTACCTCTGTATATGTTCAACAAATAGCTGCACATTTGTTCAACTCATCGAATTACATACGATTTGTAAGCCGTATAAGTAGTATATAGTTACAGAAGCAACTGCTCCGATGTCTGGTTAGTGTAAGACGTAAAAATTCGTATATAGAACGAAGAAACACCAGTCATCAGAATGGCAAATTTTTTCCTAACGTGTTTAATCTCATTCAATAATTGCAAATACACACACAGTACTAAATGCGAGGAATTCGCAGACTCGCTAAGAAAACTGGTCGACGAAAACTGTCGCACACGTGCAAAGTTGACAATTTTCAAAAAGCCTCACCCTCCTTGCTTGTAAAGATATCCTTCTTTTGTTGTGTGACGGTTCTAAAGTATTTCAAATTAAAATCAAAGCATGCAAGGAAAGCAGGATGAAAAAAAAAAATGAAACAATTGTAGTCTATTTCTGCATTTTTTTTATAAGGAATCAAATTTCCTCAAAAATCTTTCAATAAAACGTACTTTACAGATTCACGAAAGTCATTATGTCAACCATTGAAAATCAGTAACAACTAATTGTAAAAGTTAACAAGTAAAAGTTTCACCCTAATTGGTAACAACTTAGTTTAAAATAGTGAACATATTACAGGAGATATATAGCACAAACATACTGAGTGATGACAATCTGGTATTTTGGTTCCCAGTGCGACAAAAAACCAGTGCCAAAATAAGGACTTAAATATGGAAGTTAAACGACTAGGCGATTCCCCTACCAAGTGTGTGACATTTACATTGTAATTTGTGATTCTGTAGTTCTTCCTGGCTTCAAGTGTAGACACTAATGAAGACCTCACAAAGTATATATATTTATTGTGTATTAGGGTAACTATAAATGAAAACATACATATGCTTTAAAGTTTTCACTATCTTTCTCGAAGATATTGTACAAAGAAAAACATGCTGACCCACTAAAATTGGCATTTCCTAAATTAACACTACATTCAACAATCCTTAATTTAAACTGGTAATATCCTTAATAGGTGTAATAACATAACATAAAAAACATATCACTACAAGTAGTTTTATAATGTTTCCATGAAGATTCAGTTTCAGAGAATTGCTCTACTGTGAAGGTTTATTTTTAGTTGACTGTATAAAATGGAAAAAAATGTAATTAAACAACAGTATCGATGCCCAGTGTGCGAATTAGTTCAGAAAAACCGATGTGCAATTTTTTGACAAAGTGTTTCTTTAGAGGCATAATCAAATCAATATTACGTTATTATATAGCGCTAATTGCTAAATTAATATTTTTAAACATGAACAAATTCATATGATTTACGACAGTGTTTTTCGTTAAAACTGCTGATTTTTGCACATCGTTTGAAAAAGTGATGTGCAATTGTTTTCATTTTAGCTAAAACGATGTGCAAATTGCACATTGCACACCGTTAATTCGCACACTGTCGATGCCTATATACAAATAAGGTTCATTGTTGGTTATAGAAGTACAGTGGGTAAAAGATACAACTAAGGAACATTCAATGCTATTGTCAAACTATTGGAAGTGCAATTCATCTTAAGCAACATGCAAATTGTAAAACAATAAAACATACAAATTGTAAAACAATAAAACATGCAAATAAATAAAAAACAAAAATGATTTAATTAACCTGAATCATACTGTGAGTTCTAGGTGGTAAGCTGACAATCTGAAAAGTACATAAAATAATTGTTAATCACATTTATCACATGTAAAATATTTTGATACTTTTTAAACTACCTACCTTGCGCTGACAAATTTTATTAAATTATAAAAACATAAATGAATGCATGCATCACAACAATGCAATCATCATGAAAAAATCCACAGTATGTACCTCATATTCAGAGGAGACATCTTTGTCTGGCATTTCTTCATCACTTCCAGACAAATCATCTTCAGTGCAACTGCCATTGTCATGCAAATGACCTGAGAGAAAATTTTAAGTGTTAGCAAGGAAAGAAAACAAGCCATGTAGTCATGGTGAATAAATAGGTACCCGAAAATTCTTGAGCACCAGTAGCAACAGAGCTGGATCGAGGCACTTTGTCTGAACATCAGAAATAATATGAAAATAAGCTTGAAATACATAGTAGCATATTCATTATCATAAGAAAAGCATAATTAAATTGATTTAAGTTAATATTATAAAAAATAATTTTTGCTGTTTACCTGGAATTGTTTCATAAAGATTTTCATCATTTCTATTTTGACCTGATAATGTTCGACTTCTCGGAACAGGTTGAGGTCTCCTGTTGCAAGCATTTTCTTTTGTTTCAGAATGTGATGGTCGCAAAGTCACTTTAAGAAGTTGATTTGAATTAGCAAAAGCACTATCTGCTGATGGTGGACGATTTGGCACTGGAACAGCTTCTATCACTTCATCATTCGTGGGGGTATCTGTGGTGTTCCTAACTAGATCAGTACTGCTAGCACTCTTACGACTCATCGTTATAGATGTTTCAGTGGATGACGATGATGATGTAACAAAAACTGGCTTAGATGGTCGAGGTGGCTTGCAAGGAGGTATTTTTCTTTCTTGAGAAGTCACAATAGTTACATTAGCATAGATATCCTCTTCAAGGTCTGATCGTGGTGGAATAGCTGGTGCAAACTTTACTCCACTAGAAGTCGAAATATTTTCATATTGTGTACTGTTTTCATTTTTTCTGTCCTCGTATTGAGCATTTGGCATATTCTTTAAGCTTGAACTGTTATCCTCATCTAAAGTATTTTTCTGACCTTCAGGGGTTGTCACAGGAAAGGGTATGGCAGAGCTGTTATGAGGTGGCTTTCCCTCGTCTGCTTGCCACAAGTGTTCATAGCTACTGATTTTTTCCTCGGGAGAAAAACCAGGTGAGTGGGGATCTTCGCTTCTAATCCTTTCATTTTTATCAACAGGATTACTTAAATGAGATTTCTGGATGATGGTTACTTCTCCAATTTTAGAACTATTTAGGTTCGGTGAAGAAGATGAAAAGTTTCCACTGTTATTGACTGTGGTATTATCATCAAATACTTGTACATTTCCATCCATATCTCGAGGAGTAGGTACAGGCTTCAATCTTTTTCCTTTTTTCGGTGGCAGTATCGGAGGAATATCTTCGTCATTCACTTGATTGAAACCTATACTGTTGTATTTTCCTTTCACTTGACTTTTCTCAAGTACATCGTTTGTTTTATGTTGTTCTATTGAACAATTCAAACCGTACTTTTCTGCAAGCCTTTGACACGACACAAGTAGTCGCTTTCGATGACCAATTTTGTCGATCCCCAAAGCATTTAACACCTTTTCATCGATACGAGAGCACTCTAATGGTAATTCAAATCCGTTCTGAAGAAAAGCATTGACATATTGTGGCAGTTTTACATCATTAGTAAGCCATTCGCTAACATCAAATTGCTTCCTGGTGCACGGAGTAGATATATTCATCATATGGCGTTGACGTACTTATATAATCATAGTTTTGACTTTCTTTGTTTATCAACTCAGCGATGCCCAACAAAATATCCGTTGCCAATTGGACATCATTAATCGTAATTGTCACAAATATTCATCACAAGTGATAAATTCTTAGTAAATGGAATGCAAAACAACGAAATACCACAATGATAATTTACGACTCGAAACTTGAAAGGTCGAATCACTCACCACGCGTGACATACACGAAGACTGGGTAATTATGGCAAAAAGCTGGTCGCAGATGATGGTATAACCACAACAACAATAACACCTATTATTTTTTTATTTATGTATGCGAAGCGATAATGTGTAATTTCCTGCAATTTGATTGGGTGCCTCGGCGGCAGCTTTTTACGATTTATTGCCCGTGGGCCAAAAGTGATATTTTATCGCAATGTATTTCTTTACAAAGTGAAATTTAAATTTTTGAAATTGCGCAAAGTGTATTCAGATAGTACTTATCATGGCAAGAGTGAATTTCACTATCAAAAACGAAGTGAAACTTGTAGAAAACACTTTTTAAGTCTCAACATCAAGCCGCATCGGCCATTTTATATCGAGAATTTCTTCATTTAAACCTCGTGAAAATATTTTTTCCATACGGACCTTACAGCCAGTAAATAAAATATATTCAATTTGCTCAATATGAGGGAAAGACGCAAATAAGGTCAACAATGTTACAGTAAACAAAATAAAAACAGTTAAAATCCGAATCCATAATGTTAGTAAATGTCAAACTTTCATAATCACCCATGGATGAGAGCCTTAGCATTTTGGAGCGATGTACTTTATTGATAATGATGTGTTACAGATTTTAAAAATAAAAGATAATAAAAGAAATAAATTAGCATTATATTCAATATTCATAGGAGTTAAAAAAAAACGAAAAATACACCTGTTACAATGAAAAGCATGGGCAGGACCGCGGGAACGATTTTGCAAGTTGGGCAGCCATAAGAAACAGTGGGAATAAAAGAAACAAACATTAAAGTTTTCGTCCGAACAATTCATTTTGTGCGTTAAATTATATAAAAAGGTTTTTTCATCAGACATCTGTTAGTCATTTTGTCGACTATCAGGGTGAAGAATACCTCAATTTGAATGCTCGCTGCTATGTTAGGGAAACTTGCTAAGCCTCGAATATTATCATTTCGTGTTGTTTATTTTAACTGATTGTCTTGGTCTTCTTGTTCATACAATCAAGTAGGTTAGGCTGAGGCTATCTCTAAAGACTAACTAGTTTATAAGTTTCTTACGCTCTTTTGCAAGGCCTGAGGATAACATTTATTTCTGTACAACATTAGTAATTTTAAAAATCGTACTATTCTTTCAAAGGATCTTACGACTTTGTGGTTGTTTGCTGAACTTCATCACTTCAGGGCAAAATCTTCCCAGTAAGATAAAATTGTAGAAATAAACGTTGTTTAAGCATCCATCAGGTACTGCATATTTTTTCAAATGCAACACTACATGTAAAAATTGTAAATTAGCGTAATGAAAAATGCAGTGCATCAGGTGGCAAACGGCTAGAGTACCGCTACTATGTTTTCAACTGAACTCAAATAAAGTAAAACATTGCTACTGTTTCATTTTTGAAAATATTTGCATTAGCATAAAATTGCCAGAAAAAGTGTTGTGGCTGTAGCGCTCCTGTGCAGAGAAATATTCTTAGGGGGCGGTAATGTACATTTAAACTATGGAATATGTCAATAAAAAGCGAACAAGAAAAATCGGGGCAGTGAAATTTTTATGAATGGCTGCTTCCAATAGCATCACATTCCTGTACGTCGCCGGGGAGAATAATGTACAACTCTTCTGTCTTTAATTTATAACAAACAATCGATAAATTTCAGTTTCACTAAGCCGATTTCAGCATTTTCAACATTTAAATGAGCTGATAAAATTTGTTTTCAATACTCACTCATTTCGCTCATGATTGCAGCTTTATGATATTTTTTGTTATACACCATATACGGCCCGCCGGGCTGACCATTCTGTGACTAATTTTATACATAAATGTATCATTGATGTTACATTTCTTTTTGTTTTATGGACGTCACAATGCGACTTCAACAAACTACTATATACTTCTAAGATCAGTTTTCTTTGCTTATACGTTTCCTGCTTGTAACCATATAAGGTAAAAAAATGGGGGAAAATTCATTTTAAAGCTCAAACGAAATTTTGAAAATCATTGACTTCGTCAGGGAAACTGGGAAAAACCCACTACTTCATGAGTTCTGAGCATTGCGCATTTTAACAGTAGATACTACAAAAGCCATTTTTCCTCTGCACTCGATTGCCCGTAAGGTTTTCAACAGCATAAATGGTCTAACTTAAGTACATTTAGGTAGCCCATAATAGTAAAAACGTCTAAATTCTAATTATATCAAGATACAACGGGACTCTCGAAAGCCCGGGCCCGTAGGTTTAAACCTACTCAGACTACTGGATAATTCCCCCCTTGAAGATCAGTTTTCAAAGGCTAACACTTATTTATGACAGAATGTAATGACAAATTTTATTCAACTGGTTCAGGTTGAGATGGATTAACCTGGCTAACTCTTTAATAGATGATTTTTTTCAGTTGAATTTCATTTTGTTTCGTCACTGTTGCATATATCGCAAAAGTGGACAATAAAGGGTAAGCGTTGTTTTAAACTATTCGATTCCATCATTTAGCAATAATAGTAAAAATAATAACGCAACATACAAACAATATTTTGAAAATAATTTCTTCTAAATTTCTTAAATTGTTTTAGAGGAAAAGCACCCATTAAAAATTTATGCTAAGTCTACTTTCAAATTGTCAGGTTATCTTTAATGGCAAAGTTGCGCAGGCAATCCCCGACAAAGTTGCGCAGGCGATCCCCGACAAAGTTGCGCAGGCGATCCCCGACAAAGTTGCGCAGATAATCGATATTCCTGGTAAGTTGCGCAATAAGTCTTTTGTCCACTCATATTTCAATATAGCAGAGCGTCGCAACAGTATAGAGAACATACAGTTGGGCCACTACATTGAATTTTTTCGTGCCACGCATGTGATTACCATATTGGCAGCCAGTAAATTGCATTGTGTGACCAATAGGATTGACGATATGGCAAACGGCAGCCAGTGAACTAATTTAATGTACAACAGCCAGTTGTGCAGTGAAGTGACCCTACTGTTTATTCCTATACTGTGGCAGCGTTTGTTAGGGTTTCCCTTTCAAACAAAGTTCCCGTTGTTCCAAGGAAGCATCTTGACATGTTTTCATGCCTAAATGATTATGAAAGTTTCCAACCATGTGTTCCATTGTTCGCAACACGTGGTAACATTTGCAGTTGACGTCGTTTTACATACATAACCTTCCGTATTCAAACCGACCTTACGAGCAAACAAGATTAAATAATATAAACTTACTGGAACCATTAGAATTATTGAAGATATCAAAGGGAAATTTTGGCAACAGGTAAGCAAAGTTGTCATACTTTGACTCACGTTTGCGTTCATTGATGACACAGACCAGTGCGAAAACCAATCGTTCGAGCAAATTCATTTTTTAAACACATGTGTTCCTCTTTATTGCTATTCTCAATGCCAATTGCTGTGCGGGAGATACTCTACCTGGCGAGCTTAACAAACCAGGTTTTAATTTTTGGTAACTTGTTCTACAAGTTCATTTTGTACTGCGTAAATTTGCGAAGAACTTTGTATACATTAATCAAGAGGGCTTAAATAGAAAGATGAGTTTTTCGCACGATTGATCATTGATGATTCGACCATGGAAACCGGTCTTAAATTGAAGATTTGGCGTCATATGTTACTATATAGAGTGCGAGAGTTCGAGCGTTGAACTGAATACCAGAAACATGAAGCATCTCAACAGAAGCACTATCGTACTTTGTTTCATTCAACTGGCGATTGGCAATGTTTTGGACATGACCAGCGTAAGGAATCAAGTTCGAACTAAAAATTTGACTAGTCCATGTGAGAAAAAATGTGACCAGTTTCGCGACGTAAGTGATTTTTGTTGTTTTATCTGAGTTGTGACAACTATCGGCCCAATGAGTGCAGGAGTAACATGCTATGTACGTAGTGGTAGATGAAGTTTAATGTCTGAATATGATGAAGGAGGCACGATGGAATAGCCATATTTCATAACTGATATATAGTTGCATCTTAAGTTTCCTGTGAATGGTTTTCGTCAGTTGCCTGCACGCATTTCGTGTCATAACTGTCATTGTAATGCCTTCATGGCACCAATTACCATTCACAATGGGTTTATTAGATACTACAAGTACAAAGTATGATAGAACAAAATTGAAAATACGTACTTGTCGACAGTAAATTGAGTCCTAATTGAGCTCAACAAAATTTAGTCGATAAAGAAACACAATTTTTCACAAAATTTATTGAAAAAATATATACTGTCAATCAAATCAATAGAGCAGCTCAAAAGCTTTCTTTTCTTAAAATTTCAATGTTAATGAACTCAGTACTATTTTATTTTTCATTGAATGATCAAAAGCGAGAAATAACCCTACACGAATCACGCAATATCAATATCTCCCACCCAATTAATCAATCAATCAATCAATCAATTAATCAATCGATGATACCGATTTGACGCTGATATGAATCCAACGTTTCAATATATGTAGTTAGTATAATGATTACACCAACAATAACATAATAACTTGTATGTATATAAAACTAGACAGTGTTGCAATAAAACAGTTATCATTACATCAACGACTAGTCTGTCACTAAGCTGACAAGTGAATTGTACCTTAGCAAAAAAGTTTACCTGCATTTGGAATATGGCTGAGTTAAGAGAGCGATGTTTAAAGTAAAAGCATCAAAAAAACATGATGCATCCGCACAAAGTTCGTAATAACATCGTCATTCTACGCTGTTTTGATTTTTGAAACGGAAATTGCCTAATAATTTCATGTCAAATAAGGGAATATATAAGATGATATATTGGTTTACAATATTGTGAAAGACTATAGAAGAAACACAAAGTCTTCCCAACGATTAACAAAGATTCCAATTGCGGTGTAGCAACGAGAAGTCAATTTTATAACTCACAGTCTTGTATCATGTTAAGACATATAAAATGGCATTGCAGCGATCGTCTGAGTGTTTCTTGACCTTGAAACTGTGTGTCAAATTTCACAACTCTGTTGAGTGATTCCAAGAAGCTGAAGTAACTCGGAAGACTAAAACATGGCTTTACAGCGCAAATATAACGTATACTTTCTCCCGATAATTTGGATTCTGTTGGTTTTTCTCAAGCAATGTGCGACAATGATCAATGACTTTAACTGTCTTTGTTCTCACGCTCGTGAATCCAAAGTTGGAAACAGGACATGGAATAAAACCGTAATAGTCTTAAAATAAATTGCTATGAACTGTCTATTGTATAAATATCAGCATCTACGTCAAGGCGAACTACGTTCAAGATGAATGTGTTCGAAACATGTCGAGGCATTCCGCCCTTTTCATGAGTATTTAGTATAAATGATAATTTCAATTCAGTACTTAACATCCAGAAGTCGACCGTTGACGTCAACATTGCTAAGTTGAAGGACGTACCTGCGTTTATGTTTTAAAAATACGTTTAATACTGCATTATATTTTGTTTCTCAAAGCCGTCGTATTTTTATACGATACACAACTGCTCATACAGAAACGCACGTTTCTTCGGCTGATCTGGGTGGATAATAACAACAAATTTCAAAACTCGACATTCATAATGAATTTATAGATTGAAGATAATTTGATATTCTGACACTCGTTGTTGTTGCTATACCTTTGTTTTTGTCCTTTTAATATAGACTTCAAATGAATGTCGTCGCAAATGCAATGAGACAGGTGAGCAGGCTGCGTGATACGCTTTATAAAAGGCATGGGTATGATATAGTATTAAATAATTTATGCACATATATGGTGTTACATTGAAACGCTAGACTGCAGTGTACAACAATTTACAAGCATTTAACTACAAAACGAAGATTCTCATTATCGTAATCATTAGTTATGTAGTGATGGGGTGAATGTTTAATTTCCACCTTGAGTGAAACTTGACTTCTACTCGATCCTCCATTCCCCATTTTTTGCCGTCCAAGTGAAACTGTGAAAAATACGTGATGTGAAAAATGATAGTAAATTGCGTTTCTTTTCTACATGAACGAGCTCCGAAAGAGCCCAAAATAATAACTGTAGTTATTGCAGAGATAATAACTACCGTATAATTGAGGAGGCAAACGAATCAGTGCCGTAGGTGTTTAGGGATTAGGTTCGTCATCCCAAAAAGTACAAAACGGTTGATTCTATTTAATCATGTAAAACAAAAATAAGAAGCGAATAATCAATTTTTTGTTTTTTTCCTGGACCTGGAAAAATATTGAATCTTGTAGAGAACAAATTAACGTAAAACAGCCTCAGGCAAAAACGCCACTTCTAGTTTAAACTATACTACCCTTAAGTAGCGTATACCAACTAGCGTACATTAATTCCTTAAGGTTGTACATAAAATAGCAGATCAACAGCTAAACATGTCATCTTCACCCAATTGTTGAACATACAATTCATTATTATTACAACTATGCTCAGGTGTCGCCAGGTAAATATCTGTGTAGTTAGTAACACAAGTAATTATCGTTAAATGTAATCATTGAGAAGCTGTAACAGTAACAAGTTGTAAAAATTAGTAATAAAACGTCACTATAACTGGTTGTATTTTTCGTTGTTAATTACAATCTTTAATGCTTTAATGTTATGACTAGCAATATCCCATGGCATTCCACGAAAGACGAAATACAACACCAACCCTATTAAAGATGAGGTATTTGTGATTCCTTGACATTTTCTGTTATTTTTGAATTTTTGAAATAATTTATGCGTTATATTTTTTAGATAAATCATTGAAATTTAAAATAAATTTTGATGTATTTCCGTTAAAAAAATAAATTAAAGGACAATGTATTTGACCATACAACATAAACTTTGCATGGGTAAAGTTTTGATAACTTTTGAGAAAGACGATGGCTGAAGAAGTTTGTCGTTTTAATTAAAACTTCCGGCAAAATTTGTCATGTTTCTCGGCAGGGCAATGTGTTAATCGGCATAAGTTTCGAAAATTTGTTTTTAATATTTTACCCCAAGAGCACTTGCTTTGAAAACTTTTTATTACCTTCTTACCTGTTGTTTTATTTGCAAAGTCGTTTGCAAGTTTTGAATCTTTTTGTAAACTTACTGGCCAACTTTTTTTTCTCTTTATTTTTAGATGCGAGTAAAGAAAGAAATCACAATTGTGAGAAATAAATTATTTTTATGGATTGTTTTTTATAAACATTAAGCCCTATATAAATATTATCTCTAATTCTGTCATATGCACTAATCTTATTACCTCAGCTAATACGTTATGAAAGTACAAAAATAAGTATTGAACTAAATCGTTCATTCATAGAAATAATATAGTAATATCGTAATATATACAGTAAAAACTAATATATGTAGTTACAATAGTTATGTATTAATATATATGTTTTGCGTGCTCTTAAAAACAGATTGTTATTTTGAATATCTAAAATTCCAAAAGAAGAACGGTATTGAAAACCCAAATGTCCCACTTCGGATCGAGTATAGAACATCCCGTAATAAGACAATTCCAAAGATAATGTGGAAGCCACCTGAAGGTATGTACTGCATTTAATCTATTTTAGAATCCTGAATACTTGGCGATACAGCTCAAACATTCAAAATTTTTGTTTTAACCAACAATATAAAATAGAGAGCTCTAATATTTTGGAAAAAACTTATCGTCAAATGGCGTTTTAAACAAGTTCTATTTGTTTTTTAAAAAGTACAAACAACGATAATCCTGCGGCCTGAAAAGTATCATTAAAATACAGAACTTTCCATTATAGAGTGCAATAAGCAGCAAGATCTTTGCAAAGGATATTTTATAAAGTGGGGAGTAGATTTCATCAAGGAGAGAATTTTCTGCCATAAAGTTTCTAAGGTGATGTGCTATGTAACAAAGCAGATTTAGGTGACACGAACTTAGCATGTAAGTAAATTATTATTAAAGCAAGTTGAATGCAACGGAATCGCGTAGTCAAGTTAGTTTAGTCTATTATTGCCAACCATTGCTCATGCAGACAAATGATGCTATATTTTTCATTTTTGATTCGCTCATTTCCAGGATATTAACGAGTTCATTCTGAACGAAACCATGGGATATGGAGACAAAAGAAACTTTGCTGTCACTGTAAGATTGATGTATAGTCGGTGCAGACTCGTCTACGACCTAACATAGAGCATATTACATTAACGAATTTTACTCTCCTTTAACAAGGTAAAAGTCATTCCGTTTCGGAAGAAGAACAAATTGAATTTATCTTATCTGACTCCACCAGGTAAGAAGTAGCACTTTTCTTGCGTGACTACCTGTACATTATTAAAGTACCTTAATTTGTACTGTTGTACACAACTTATTTTATTTTTAGAACAATATGGCAACGTTAGAAGTAACAAGCCAATCCATCCGTCAACCGCTATCTTTACAAATGGTAAGTCATGGCGATAACACGCAGCAAAAGCATTACGTAAACGTCCAAATATGCAATTATATCACAACACTGTATGGGTGTTTCGCACTTGTTACTGGATGTACTTTCTTTATCCTCTTTAATGACAGTCCAAAGATTGTTCATGTTGGTAAATCTCCTGTTTTCGAGTGTTGCATTCATTCGATTTATCGAGGATTGCACGACAGTTATGTATGAATGAGTTAGGTTGTCAAATTGAATTGTAATTTTAATTTAACAACCTACCATTCTACATATTCGGAAAAAACCTAAATTCTACATTGTCAGCCCATTCTATACCATTTGTGACGTTTATTGAATCGAATTAAGTTGCTTTTTTCCAGTTTCGCTATTTTGTCCTCCATGATAAGCGTTCTCCATGGTAATTCAGCGGGCTGTTAAATTATACTATTTTGGGTACTTCGTTCGTTTCATTTGATGTCTTGGCTATTTCAGTTTTTTGCAAATACCCCGTTGGCAAAGAGTTTGCAGTTGCTCTTATTCGCGTGATACAAAATCTTACATTATCGAGCTGAAATCGTTCACTTGGCTTCACTTCACAACACACTCTTAGTGCACGGAAATTGAAGCAAATTAGCTATCATATTTGAGAACTCACACATAACTTTACCACATTGCATTTCATGTGAATAACAGTTCATCATGTGCCATCTTGTAGTTCCATCAAATGAAACGAGAAAACACAACGAGAAACCGGACAAAAACTTACCAATAACGATCATATTGTCGCTCAGTGTGGTGGTGTTTGTCATTGTTGCTACGGTAGGACTATTGGGTAAATGGATACACCGAAGGCGTACGGATAACAATGATTTAAAAATGCCCCAAAAGGGTAAGTTCATTGTCCCAACTAGCTTAAAAAAGACTAATGTGTGTATGTGTGTGTGCAATACAAGTGGATAGATCACGTTCGTCAAAAGCCCTCCATGTTTTTAAGACTTCATGCATACTAATCACGAGCTTGTTACTCTAAGTTTTCCCTCTCCTCCCCTTAACCAAACTATTTTAAAACGACTCCATATTTCTCTACGATGCTGTCTTCAGTCATAGGCCACATCGGCATGATACGAGGCGACGGTGGGGGAGGGGAAGGTTTACAGTTAAACAGGAGCACAATCGTGTTTTCAACAAGGTTGCGCGATGGCTGTGCAACGAGAAATTTCCCAACTTTCCCACAATATAAAAGGCAAATTTAGAGATTGAACATGCACGTGACATCCTCTTGTGGCGCTAATATAATGTCCAGACACAATTTCTTATTTATTTCATATGTTTGCAGAAGACACAATGGGGAAAGGGAAGATCTACGTGTCTTATCTCCCGGAAAAGGGGACAATCAATCACGTAAATGACATTTACCATTTCCTGAAATCGAACCACATCGATGTGGTGATGGATCAAATGTATGCCGACCAAAAGCTCTACCACTCGCTCGGACCTAAACGTTTCGGTGAAAAATTCCTCAGACAAGCAGGCAAAGTAATTATGATCGTGACACAGAGTTACCTTAGAATATGCCGATGGGACGAAACCGTGAATATTGAGGCCGTGCCGAGATTTAGTTCATTAAACGAAGAAAGGCTGTTCAGCGAGGTAAGCCTCATCAAGAGTGAGCTCAGCACAACCACGAAACATCAACGTATACGTTTCATTCCTGTTTTGATCAAAGTCTCAGAGGATCAACTCCCAAAGTGGTTGAATTTGACGGAAATCGTAAAATGGCCTGATGACCGAAAGACCGACAAGTTCGTCAAAATTGTAATAGACGAAGGTTTAGTCAATAACGCTAGCGAAAACAAGAAATCCTCATTTTTTTAAACGGGGGAAATTTCAGTTGATGTTCTTTCCTGCATTCGCTTGCCTGAATATGTGTAAAAATATAATGATGAAAAATGGATAAACGTATGAGTACAATGAATATAATTACTACAAGAAACATTTGGACTATCTATTCCAACTATAATAATCTAACTATAACTGAGTATGTGTAAAAATATAATGATGAAAATGGATAAAGGTATGAATACAATGAATATAATTACTACAGGAAGCATTTGGATTATCTATTCCAACTATAATATTCTAACTATAACTGAGTATGTGTAAAAATATAATGATGAAAATGGATAAAGGTATGAATACGATCTTATGAATATAATTACTACAAGAAAAATTTGGATAATCTATTCCAACTATAAAATTGTATATTGCAGACAATTATGATGTACTATAAAGAAAGTAATATGCCTGCAATAATAAAATTGTGTAATCATTGCAATGAAAACCTATTGTTTTTCACAGTTACTGAACACAAAAAATTATATAGCATTGAATGGCGGGTTGCAACATTGATTTTACGATTTACTTGTAATAGAATCATTCAGCAGGCATTCTCCGGAATTCACGTCACAGAGATTACTATCCCCATTCTTCTTAGACGCGATTAAAGACCAACTACTAGTATGTACGTAAAATTATCGTTAAAAACTTTCATTGAATTTTGACATCAAGTGCACTTCAAATGCACACCAGTTCGATCTAATACTTTTTCAGTTCAAAACAATTCAAGGCAACAATCTATAATTGAGTCATTCTTATCGAAAGCGACAGTCAATATTTGAGTAGCGAAAAGTTTTTTGGGTGAAATCTAGTAAAACGTTGCTTACTTCGGATCGTATAATTGGATTTCTTCAAGGATTGTCATTTGTCCATTGAGAGGAGCTGTATCAATCAATCTCCAGCACCATTTTTCCTTTGGCACAACCCTCCATTATTTCTCTGTGGGCCTTAGGTGCATCGTGCAATTTGAAAGTCTTTTTAACGATGGGATTAAGGTGTCCACCTTCAACTAATTTCTGAAGCTTAAAGACCGCCTCCTTAATTTCATCCTAATAAAATAACGATTTTGAAATACCAGACATTGACTTGTACGGACCTTACATAACGTTATCCATAGGAGTTAAATAATTTTGTTTTCGTCACGTAAGTAAAACTTAGTATGTTGAAAGTAAACATTGAAAACATACGTCATACTATCGAAGCCCACTATAACAGCTATATTACAGCAAAGGAAAGAAACAAAAAATGTCAAAATTAATAATTAACAGCAGCAAGTGCAGGTCATTTACGAGGTGAAACTACCCCAGATGCGAGACTTACACTGCGCAAAATAAAACTTTACAATTTTCTTACTTGTGTTGTTTTAGATAGCATCACGCCAACGATACTGGATTCTTTCATCATCATCAAGCGAGGATTGATTTCAATCGAGCCACGATTTCCAACAACCTGTATTATAATCACGGGTCGATAAATATATTCACCGCAATAAGAATTGGAAGCCAACATTTTGGTACGAAAAGCGTACAAAATTCACGTTAGAGAAATAACTAAAAGAATAGATGATTATCCTACCGCAATTTTACCATACTCTGCCAATAATTTAAGATCATTCTCCAAGTTAACGTTTGCTAAATTTTCGACGATAAAGTCAACACCCTTGTTTTCCGTCGCCTCCTGAAACCAAAAATGCAGTTATCTCCAGAGGGACTCCGGGTAAATACTGTTTACTTGTATCTACAACTGGAAGCCTTTTTCATATCATCTGAAAATCTTTCGATTTTTAGCAATAAGAGAAATAATTGAGTGTATATTCTAACTATCGGTACTGCATGGTTTCCCTTTACAGCATCAACAAAAAAATGCTGCAGCCAGTTCCATCCTTTGGGGGTATTTTCTGCATGTTCTGCCCCTTTAAGTAATTCCACAGAAAAGGGAATATGCAGTAGAGACACTTCATTGAATTTTTGTGACACACGCGTTATCATATTATTAACCATAGTGGTTAGCCAGTAAATTTCATTTTCTGACCAATAGAAACGATAAAATGGTTAACTGCAGCCATTAATCTAATTAAACACGTATACAGCATCTACTAGCACAGCAAAGTAGTCAATAGGGTTTTGTGTGTTGGGGCCTGCCTAGTTAAAAAAGCACGTCTCTTTACAAAGCTAGTGATTAAATAACAGAACATACCATAACTTTTTCCAAATATCCATCGATTTTGTGATTAAACACATCATGAGCACCAGCTTCCTTAACTACAGCACAGCCAGCAGCACTTCCAGCCGAGCCAAAGACTCGCATGCCATGAGATCTGGCAAGCTGCACAGCTGCCACACCAACCTTAATACACAGAAAAATACTTTGAACAACTAAAAAATATAGACCAACTTATTTAAAGCAGAAAAAGCATTGGCAGTTGTGCTTGACCTCTCTTAGTACACCACACAGAAGAAAATTGTTTGAGTTATCATATTTTTGAGTTGTTGAAGTTTGACTCAGACTTGTTGAAAAGAGGTTTAAACTCAGGCATTTTTTTTCACATTGATAGCATTAACAGATTGCTATTCTCATCATTTTCAAACACTGTTTTCTTAATCAAGATCCCCTTTCCTACTGTCGGCTTTGTAAAAAGAGATAAATACATTATAATTAGTGTCAAGTTTTGACGCATAGGAATCTAGTTATGAAAAAATGACCTCACCCCACCACTGGCCCCATGAATAAATATGGTCCTCTCTGATTCAACATTTAGTCTAAATAAAAGTAATAACAAATAAACAAATAGAAAACTATTTTAATTTTTCACACTTATCTCACTGTCACCTCAAATCAAACATGTTTACCACAAATGTACTGAACTAGGTATGTACTTCACTTTGACATACTTGTGAAATAAAGCTCGATATGCAGTCAAATAAGGCACACCAAGTGCTGCTCCTTGGTCGAATGTCAACTTTTGGTGAAGATGATGCACATTCTCATGTTGAAGAACTGCATACTGGCTATATGTTCCCACAGAAATTTGATGCACAAAAACTCGATCACCTTCCTTTAAAATTATGAGATTATAAACATGCTTCAATTTTTTCACTTCAAATATGCTATGTTGTAACTTCCCCAATAAGCCTTCATTGCAACATGTGAAGCAACATTAGCCACAATACTTCACATGATGTCATTGGCTTTAACAGAATCATTCAAATGTCTACCTTGAAATCCAAAACCCCATCCCCTACGGACTTGACAACCCCTGCACCATCAGCACCTGGAGTGTAAGGTAAGGTTGGCTTACGAGCATATGATCCGCTTCGAATGTATGTGTCAACAGGATTTACACCAGCAGCATACAACTTTACAAGTACCTTTAAATAAACAAAATTATTGATACGCATAATGCTATGTAAGTTGAAAGATTGGTAATCCAGGCATATTTAATGTATAATAATAAAAGATTCTCCGGATTGTATAAAATGATTTTTATTGAGCTTTCGACTGGTTGCTTTGAGCCTTCATCAGAATGAGGAATTACTATTTACATGTGCTTTTAGCTTGTAGATGCTTAGATCGTCTAATTGGATTAGCAGGTGGATTAATGTGATTGGATGGAGTCCAATCATATTAATTATTTTATAAACTCCGGAGAATCTTTTATTTTTATACAAAATGCTATGTGTACAAGTAGTAAAAGAAAAAATCAAATGGCTTATGAAACAAAAAGTGAATACATAAAAAGCCCTTAGAACAAAATTAGACCAGATTTACATGGATTTAGTTAATTTTTAGTCCAAATTCCAAATTGTACAGTATGTATAAAAAAAACTTAAATTAGAAATTGATCTTATGTGAAAATAATCCTATGTACGTACTGGCCATTAACATTTATGCTTTTCTGTTAGACATTTATGTCAAATTTCCAGGAGCTGAAAAGATTTTGTGATAAAATATCATCTAAAATATGCACTTATTTGACAATATACTTTATAGGACCACAGAGCTAGCATACTGTAGTGATCAGGCATTTAAATTATCATTATCAATAAATTTCTACAAGTCTTCTTTTTTTATGCACCCCGTATGTTGTGAAAAACTGAAAAAGAAAAAAGTGTGATCGCACATAATTTTAGCAAATCTACAATTTAACAGAAGATGTATATCAGGTCATTATTTCTTGTATACAATGCAAAGCAGTTGAGCATAGCCTTTCTTAGTTGATTACAAATGATATCATGTTTACTGTAAATTAGAGCAGGCTGTGATGATCCTATGGAGTGTACAAAGTATATGTGAATCATCTCGAGCACGCAACTTGTTAGGCTAGCATTGCATGACAAGTTGACAACTATTATGCTCTTGGCTTGTCTAACATTTATTGAATGACAATATTACCAGGTACTTGAAAGCGCTAACCATTTGAACTATACTTCTGAAATGATATCACGTTCCATGTGCTGCTGACATTTGATTTAAACTTAATATTTAGTACAACTAAAACAACTAGATAAATCTTGGTTTTGATTCATCTCTGACTTCTAAGTTGGTCAGTGAAAACAACATTTCAGATATAGGTATGTGACAATTACAAACTATAAAAGAAACAACAATACCTGCCCTGCACCAGTGCTCGGAATGGGAACATTACAAACTCTGAGAACTTCTGGACCACCAAATGTAGCAACACAAATTGCTTTTGCAGTCTGCATTGTGGCATCAATGTAACCAGATTTTTTGAGAGATAATACCAAATCAATTTCCCAAGTATTACTAAATTAATAAAAAAAACAGAACTATCTCCACACCTCCTTCCACACACCAAAACTGGTCTCTTTTTTAAAGATGTTTTCTATGAAAGGAAAATTGTTTAAAACCATGTTTATAGGAGAGGATAACCAAGAAATAAAAAAAGTAAATGGTATTTCAAATTTGGGCAAACTGAGAACAATGCCATTGTGACATGTAAACAGATTTGCTCACAGGTGACTTCTACTATTTGTAGTTGACACAAGTGACAACCAAATTTCACACTTGACACGGACACCATCTTGAATTTGAACATATAACTGTTATTCTCACCATAACCCAAATCTTAGCCCCTGAGTAAAACAATTCAACAAGGTTGGAGTTATTTTTTTTGCTTTGTTTTAATCCAACCTGGAAATTTAATAATAGCTAGACAAGTCTTAAAACATCAGATTTGTTTAGTAATAAATATGAATTACACACATTTAGTAACACCAACCCTGAACCGCTGCACCACTGCCAGTAGCCATTGAGCAGCTACATCACAGGCCACCCCCTCCAGCCTCCCACTTTCTGTGTCTTAAAAACGATTAACACCCCATTGATTTCCTGTGTGCCATTACTAGTTTCTACCACACAGTATTTCAAAAATAACTTTCAAATTGCACTTCAAAAAATTCATTCTTACTAGGGATCGATGGTAAGCTGGCAAATATAAATCTTCCACTTCCTCTTCCCTTTGAAAGCAAAACGGAACCCAATATTCGTTAAAAACTCACTGATAGCTAACTGTATTTATCTGCAATGAAGTATCACATATTAAACCAACCAACCGCTTATTTTTACTTTGTACTGCGGGCACATCACAGCGAATGTAACTTCAAAATGGCTGCGTCGAAGATAGCAAAAATTGCCGAAAATGCTGTGACAAAAAGCATCTCTGTGTCTACTAAAATCGGAATGAAAGGACTTGGTAAGATTGAAAAAATTCGTGTTTGCATGTGCTTACAAAAATTAATACAAAATTTGTACTTTTTTACACTGATTATGGTTAATATATAATCTATTGTTTAATATATAAATATAATGAAGCTATAATACTGCTCCCAAAAAAGGCCAACTTAGCTGTAAATGTGATGTACTTTGAGAAGTTTACAAACCATGCTTCACTTAGGTTTTTTCCTTTGATTTTCATTGATATACAGTATTTTATTTATCATGCATTCATAATTTAAAATCATAAATATCAACAATGGTTGTCGTCAGTTGTTTTTATGATTCCTAGAGCTGGGAAAAAGATCTCGCCCTCATCTTTCCACATTTTGGAGCACAGCCAAGGTCGAATTGGCTCCACCAATGCCGTCTCAGTTTCCACTCATTCAAAAAAGCTTTGTGAATGTGAAAAATAGTCTGGTAAAAGGGAAGTTCCTGAATTTGACTATGAAAGAAGCTGCATCAAATACTCTTGTTGGAGTTGAAATATTTTTCTGGTTCATTGTTGGAGAAATGATTGGAAGACGCAGCATCATTGGCTACAAAGTCTGATGGACAAGAACATTAGACAGTATGCACTGTTTTCACATTACTTTGAGCATATTAAGTTGTTTTTTTAAATAAACAATAATAAAAAGTGTTGAAATTGTTAAGTGTTAAAAATCAATGTTACTTTTTGGTGAAACCAGTTTTGTACAACACTCATTTTAAGTTTTCATGCACAATGGTTTATCATATGATACACCCTATTACTTTGTTTCCAATCAATTGTTTTAACGGTGACACATCAAAAACATGTTTACGTAGAAATACTCATATGATAATCATTTACAAGACACAATCAAGGAGTTTTTGAAAAAAAATTTTGCCAAAATGTAACTGTACACTTGTTGTTTGAAGAGGTTTTAAAATATAAATCAGAAAACAATTTTGCATGATCTTTTCACTTTCAATTTTACTCCAAGTGCTGGAGATAGTCAATATTATGGTAAATTCAAAACTAGCCTCTGATTTTATTTAACTCGTTATCTATCATCTCGTTATTTCTTTCTCTCGCCCCTGTCAGTTTTTAAAACGCTCCGTGGCTTTAGATACAGAACAACCAGTACGTAGGTCCACTTGAACAGGGTGTGCAAGACAGCGGCTGACCATCTCCTTCGCTCCTATCTGTCAGAAAAGATTTAATTGACCAGGCTCCATTATGATAATCACATGCGTAAGAAGTATGCGTTGCACAAAATTTTTTTAAATTTCCAGTAGAAAGGACTGCGTGCTGTTAGTTCTTTATACTGTGCTATGACCTTGCTCACATTGCATTGTTGCATCATAAGCACGCCTAGCTCTTGGCTAAACAGCCATGCCACATACATAGGTATCTAGCATATCATCATGTTAACTAGTCTGCGTTTTGGCTAGTGATCTTAAATTTAGGAATACAGACATCTCACATCTGAAACATGAGAAAATATTAAAGTTTGAAATAACTAGAAGGCGCTATGAGTCCTTTCTCCTTCAAGCAATTTGTGGAAAGTTATGGCTTAATGATATGTACGTTTCTTCAATTTAAACGTTTTATTCAAATAACTGATGTATAATGAATTGGTCATTTTATCGCTATTTATAATGCCTTTATCACATGATTGTGAACCCATCAACATGTATGATTATCACGCGATTGTCCATATTGTTTGTTATCAAGGTTTCTACATCACTGACGTCATTAATGAATTTGCGCAAGGGGTAACATGGGTTCCATACTACATTCACATGAAAGAGATTTTTCAATGTTCGAGAAGATTTTCTGTTTAATTCTAGCTACTAATAGGTGCCTGAAATCATGAGACATCTAAGCAAGACAAATCAAATTCTCTTTGTGCTGTTTATAGTTACTGAACGACAAGAAATAGCAAACGAGGGTTTTTTTGCAGACTGAATTTCCCAATTACAAAGTTTAAGAGGTCTCAAATGAAAACATGTGAAAACACGATGACTTGTAACAACGTATTTCTTAAGTAAATGAGTAACATCCACTGGCGTCAACGCAAACGTTTATCGAGAGGGAAACATACTTATAGCTATATTTTGCTATGCCAGGCTGATTTCTTTTGAAAGTGGAATTGTTATCAAAAGAAATCAACTTCACCTTGAATAGCAGATTATCTCGTGAATCGTACGATAATTTTTTAACGTACGATTCACGCCACTTGTAATATATGAAGTCAAAGTCCACTGAAACTGTGCAACGCCAGTACAACGCCAACATCCACTGGCGTCAACGCAAACTTTGATTGAGGGAAACATACTTATAGCTATATTCTGCTATGCCAGGCTGATTTCTTTTGAAAGTGGAATTGTTATGAAAAGAAATCAACTTCAACTTGAATAGCAGATTATCTCGTGAATCGTACGATAATTTTTTAACGAACGATTCACGCCACTCGTAACATCATATGATGTCAAAGTCCACATAAACTGTCAGCTTACCTGTCAACATTGCAAAAAGCACGGGGTGACTGGGCACGAATCTATATTATAAATACAGTGGTATTTCATGAGATGAGGTCATTCTTCTGTTAGATGGTTAACATTTTGAGCACTAAAGTCTTAGTAAAGTATAAGTACTCTACATCACAAGAATGGTCGGAAAAGGTTGTTTTTGTTTTGCTAGCTGTTGCCCTTCAGCAATCGATCGCCATGGAATTGAGGACAACGGATTGCGGTAGTCATCTTGGAAAAGTTACAGGATTTAGCATCAACTGTGATAAAGGTTCTACCAAGGACTATTGCATAGTCTCAAAAGGCCATAAGTATACTAGTGAGCTTAAGATGATACCGAATAAAGATATTGAGAATGGAACAATTGCGATTGTAGGAAAAGTGGGCATGATAAATCATCATGTCGAGATCCCCGATAAAAACATCTGCCATCACGGACTCCAATGTCCACTTAAAGCCGGCGAAGAAGTAACGATGTCCTTGTCGATGGACGGTCCAAATTCCCATTTTCACGTTACTGTCCACGTCAAGATGGAAATTAAAACACAGGGGCAAGATTTCATTTGTTTAAAATATAACATTAAAGTAAGATAATTTAAAGCAATGAAACGATGAAAGAATAACGTAATTCTCACTGACAATCATTAATAACATGTAGACCATTTCGTAGAACAAATGACATCTAAATTGGGTTATGATAAGTAAGCAAGTTAGCTGCACAGATGAATAAGTTAAACAGCACACTTTATACTCATATAGTCATACTGCATGCCGTGTGCGTTGTTAGAAGAAATTTTACTTTTGTATCGTTTATTGGGTAATAAATAAAACATTGTAATATATATTAATAATATATTCCACGCTAAGAATAATCTTCTCAAGGAAATGTTTTCAAGCTAAGAGTCAATTTCACTCAAGCATTATAAAGTGTATCCGTTGAGTTTATCGGATCAAATTAAATGTAAGGTTGTGGGGAGAAAGGGTTTGTTTTTTCAATCTCAACAAAGAGAAAGTAAAGAAATGGGATTATTTCTATGGAAGTTATCTTTTACCGATGAAGTCCTACAAAGTTGGACGAGTGATGTTTTTCCTGATAATTTCTTTTATGCATATACCAGAAGATTAATGTACTACTGGATGCGTTAGTTTTAGCAAGGCAATAGTCGAAGCCAAAGTGAATTCGATGTTTATGACTGTCACACAAAATTTTTAACATTGTTTTCATTGCCTCTGAACACTACATACAACGCCTGGCATTTATGTACAATTATGCTTTATAATATTCTAAACTCAGCCATGAATTCTTACGCGCAACACTTTATACAAACGTCCAATTCTCAAAAAATATCCATGCATGCAATTACCCAAGTTGTGCGAAGTTGGACCTCTTAAATGGAAACATGTCTTTATGGAACTCTCAGGACCTTGAGAGCAAATTAAAAGCCCGTATGCACTTAGTGAAAAGGTGGCTGGAAATTGGGATACTGTTGATTTTGAGATGTCTGGTTTAAATTTTGAGCTTGAGAAATCTGTCCTTGCAGACCCAAATCATTCGTCAGTTGTTCTGTCAAAGCGATCTTTGCAGGTGCTGATATCTGACGTTGAATACTTACTTGAGTTGTAACTGGACTTGAACAAGACACTAAATGCAATAAAACAGAAAGTTTAATTAGATGTTTACTGACAGGGATGGATTATTAGGGGAGATGGCTCCAATTTGCATAAGATTTCCCGGCTTACTTGCTGAGTGTCACCCAGCCGTGTCAGATTTTTTTGTTGAGCTTTGTTTTAAACTGGAAATGTGCTGAATTTAACTCAAATCGAAATAGCTTAATTATAGCTAGTGGGTATATTAGTTTTTTGTAGAAAATGTCACACCTACTGACCCTTCCTATTGCAAAGAATTTATTTATTCATCACAGGTAATACTAATTTACTAGGAGCCTACGAAGTCATTCAGTATCAAAATCTATAAAATGGCATGAGGTCTTGATTGAAAACACGTTATCCAGTATGAAATTAATAATGAAATTAACGCAATTTAAACATTTTAGTCGAAAAAAAAATGAGTTGGTCATCGCATTTTAAATTCATGTTGACTAGCAGGGTCGTTCATATTGTCCTAATTTTATGTTATCAGAGCTTAGAGATCTCTTGGAGCCGTCAATAAGCTTGCACGATGGGCTACTTAGTGATAGCTGCCTCTAAACTATTCTATAGCTATATTAACAAAAACCAAAACTTTAGGTCGATTTGAGACTTTTTTTATGTTCGAGAACAAGATCAAGTTTATTTTAATTTGTTCATTATTACTCAATATACGTTAAGTTGATTAAAAATATAAAAATTATGAAACACGTTTCTCGAATGTCAAAAAAAACAACAATGAAATGTTTTTTTTATTTGCTGAACGAATTTTCAAACTACAAAGTTATCTATTGAGAATTTAAAATGGTTGAAAGTCTCGCTATGCAACCAAAAGAATAGGTTCCTCGAAATAAGACCTTTGCGTTACTTAAATTCGAACATTTCAGCAAGAGAAAATAAATAATGGTTACTAATATTTCATCGACTGATCACATGAGAGTGAGCCCGTCGACAAATGCGTTTATCACGCGATAAACGTATTTTTCATTATGAAACATTAACATGCCTCTTGAGGTTCAATTGATTAAAAGTATTATGAAAAAACAGGAAACAAGTTTCTTTCAAGGTCAAAAAATAGCAACAGAGTGTTTTCGCTGTGGTGGATCCAAACTACGTCAAAATAAATTACTGCAGCACATTTTGGCGTATATTTACATTTCTAAACCCCTTAGAAGAAAATCCATTGGTAAAATTATGTTCTTTAGAAATTAAAAACCAATAGTGTTTTTCTGAATGTAATTTGAATTTAAAATTGAGGAGCTATAATTTATTTTGACGTACACTGGATCCGCCAATTTCGCGGTTGTCGATTTAATTTCCCAATTACGAAGTCATCTATTATTGATCAACAATGATTTGAGATCTCAATTGAAAAATACATTGATAAGGAGAAAACAACAAGAAAGGGAGCAAATCATGAAATTATCTTGATGATGCATATCTTTTAACACACGAGATTATACCATGACAGCCAGTCATTTGCATTTCTGAACAATAGGAGTGATGAGATGGCTAACTGCTGCCGCTAGACTGGCTAAATATACAGCATCGTGTTGCAATGCGCAGTGGACCTACTGTTTATTGCTTATACTAAGGTAAAGACCGAAACAATCAGGGTCTTATCAGCTTTTAAAGACCTTTCTAAAGAGTGATCTCTAAACAACATGAAATATTAATCTCAGTGGCGGACACTTGGAGAGGGAGGAGAGGGGGCGGTAACCCTCCCTATGTTTTTTCAAAAATGTTTTAACCAACTATTTCATTAAAAACGAAAAAACACTGGAACATTTTCATTTCCGAGGTTTAAACCTTAAATAGAGTAATCAGCACGTAATTTAGCTAAACAGGGCAACGTGGACGTTTTAATTTACCCAACGATCCAGTACTTTTTCCGTATATGGTGAGCATTCTGAAAGTTCCTGAAATGTCAAGGTTACGTTGGTAATATTTTTATGTGTAGTAACATCAAAAAACTCGAACAAATGACATAATTGATCACTAATCCAAACCCAAAACTTAATCTAGTTAATTTTTTAAGCTAAACAAGTAAACAAAGCTTGTCAAACAAGTGTCTTTTCCGAACAAAACTTGCCAAAGAAAACTTGTTCTTCTGTACGAAGCTTTGATGTTGGGGTTTTTTAATTGATTTTGCGTTTCACGAACATGGAATCATTACCGTTACATTCGTTAGACTCTAGAACATATTTTGTTTATTTTTATTTTCTCATGATTGAACAATTCAGAAGAAGCTGATAATTTAACATTTATTAATATTTAGTCATTTAGATATGACTAATTTTAACAAATAAGACTCGTCGTTCGGGCAAAATTTCAGATTATCGTTTGACTCATTTTGCTCGTCGCCCTTCTCCACCAATATCTCGTCAAGTGTCCCCCATTGTCTAATCTACAGAATCAAACTCAATACAGTTTGTTGGATTAAATACCATTACATTACCTCCGCTCTGACGCAAAATATTATTCAAGTCGATACCAGGTTGTGTATAAGGTTTCTGCACGGCAATAAGAGGGTTCATTCTTAGCGAGTTTGATCCAGTGCTCGGATGCTGCAGGGGCGTGGTTGATTGTGATGAGTTTAGCTGTGACATCATGAAAGTTTGCTGAAGGCTTTCTTGATTCAGAGATTTCTGATGTGCCAGAGTTTGCAACTGTTGTGATGTCTGAACGCTGTTTGCAGCTAAACACAGAAAAATCATGTCAACTGACGAGAATGTTTTTATTCATGATGGAACATAATTTCGAAACTTACGCACGTTTGTAAAAGCTCGCTCACACTCGAACACACCGAGTAGGGCTTTGAAATAACATCATAATTATTCGAAGATGGTATTTTTACTCCACTGACTGCTCGATTTGAAGTATTTTAGAAAAATTCTTGACAATAGTGGAGAAGAGAGTTTGTAATTGTTTGGTGGAATTGCGATTAGTGTGCCACCGTGAGAGTGAGTGCGAATGAGCTTTTAGAATACGAGCGTTGTTTCCATATAAGAAAAATGAACAACTATCCTATCTTGTGTCAACTATAATAGATAGGATATCCACCAACAGCTTACGTTTCCAGCTTAGGCGACTCTGAGAATAACCAATGATATAGACCCTAATATACTAAACACCTGACTCCGCCAAAATTCAAGAGCTACGAACCAGGCAAGCCGCCATCTTGAACAAAGGCAAAACGACATATGCAACTAAATTGTGCTTCTTGCTTGATAAATGTACAGTTGCAGAGATTCCAGTTTAGGTTTGATTGTTAAAATGCTTGAGAGAATTGTTTTTTTAAAGTTTCTTTTATCTTATATTTGACTGAGAGTTTTGCTTTTTGCCATCGTTTAAGATGGCTTTCTTGCCTCATCTTGACACGGTAGTTTGGAATCGTGGGGATTGGGTTATAAATCATTGGAGAATAACCCTGTGTACAGATTATTGGATCAGAGCAAGTGCTTTTTCCAGCCTCTTTAAAACTACAACATAATCTGATCGGTAAGGTAGAGAACAAAAATAATCTGCAATGAAGGTGCTATGGACATGATCCGTCGTATATTGTAAATTCAGGACAATTTTTCCTCGGACTTCGAACATTCATTGAGTCAGACATTCACCAAAAATTTAGTATAGCTCAAATAAGAGCTTCCTGTGTACGACAACAGCGTCGAATTCTAGCTCAGGTGCAGGTGAAAATATACTAAATTCCCGATTATTCATGCGAATAAATTCAACTAGGATAACGACGACAACTAAATCAAGGCTGTCATATACTAAAATATACAACCAATCTACTATGAGAATGAGCTTTCATAATGTCTGTAAATTTAAGCGTAAAGAAAAAATAAAAAAATACCAGAAAAAGATTGCGTTGCAAACGTGTTTGGAGCCGAGAGTGCTGTACCAATTGTATTGGAAGCCGATAGTCCTGACTGACTAATAAGCTGAGTATTTTGATTACTTGTAAACGCAAAACCATGGCCAGATTGCAGTATCTGTTGCATAGAATTATCGATCTACAAAACAAATGGAAAGAAAAGAAATACGGTTAAGCAAAGAGGTGAACCAAAATTAGGGAAAACTGACAAGACATAATTGCAAGCATGTAGTTTTTATAAATACATTGTTGAAATGGATACTTCCTCTGTTCTGCAGAACTTTCACGTTTGGAGGTGCCTTGTTGACCAGGGTTTTGTTCGACATTATAGGAATGCCAGGTCTTTGTGGACGTAAATTATCTCCCTGAGACTTTGCTATAAAAACATTTTGAGGAACGCCGGCAAATTGACTCGGCTGAGTTGTCTGAAACCTAAAATGATGAAAGAAATACACGTCATCCTCTTATGAACAATAATGGACGCTGTTACGTTTAGAAAATAGTCTTTTTAACGGTAAGACACTTTAATTAGAAATACACAAAGTCGTTTCAACCAATAAGAAGGCCAAAACCGAGAAAGAAACTTTTGTCATGGGACACTAAGACGTCAAAGTTTCAAGTTAACTATTCCAAAGCGATGTAAGAAGTTCAATGAAAAAACCTCTACGACAAACAGCACTAACGTAAAGTAGAAATCAAAATTACAAAAATTGTGTAAATCTTAGGTCCTCTTTCGAATTGGAGCGACTTTAGTTTAGACATACCTCCCCTGACCCTTCTATCTCAACTGCTTTACATACTTTCATAATCATTCTGTTCGCTATCTATTGCATGATAGGATAAGCAATCAGAGTTATTCTTCAAATGCAATCATACATAAAAATTTAGCACACAAAATTTTAAAACTATTTGACACCTTAATACTGACCTCCTACCATCAATTTGTGATTGTACGGTATTATGAGGGGGAAACTGAGCACTCAGCTTATTCAGGAAAGTACTTTGCTGTTCTTGTGGCAATTTATTTTGTGGTTGTTGCTGTTGCAGTGTCGATAGTGACATAATTTGTTGTTGTTGCTGTAATTGTTGCTGTTGTAGTTGGCGTTGCTGATGAAATTGTTTTCGCTGTAATAGTTGTTGCTGCTGTTTCTGAAATTGTTGCCGTTGAAGCAGTTGCTTGGATTGCAATGGTATTTGTAAATGTTGTGGGTGCTGTTGGTGAAGTTGCGTTAAAGGTCTTGACATGGTTTTTGGTCTTTTTGGAGATGAAAGATTATCAGTTATCAGAGAGTCGAGACCAATTTCACCAATATCCAACCTTTCCCGTTTCGCACTTTCAGTAAGGTTCACCATTGAACTATATTGCCTTTCCAAACCTTCACATAGTAATTGAAAACAGACAGAAGCGAGCAATTAGATGCACTGTTTTATAAAACTTGTAGCACAAAATCGAACAAAATGATTTCTTATTATATTTAAGATAACGAAAGTTCCCATTGGAAACACTTTATACAACAGCCGTATTGGTAATATTTTGTTCCAAAATATTGTTTAGAAATTTCTAACCAACAACGATGTTGTTATCGTATTTTGAATTCAAAATAGACGCCATAACGTATTCGGACTCACCACAAATACAGCGCTGCAAAACTTATACATATTAACTTTGTCTGTGGGGAATTTTTAGTCAACTGAATCTCGAATCACGCATATGAGAAATGCATAGATATAAAGCCGAATATCCACATACAGCAGCAAATGTTGTAACAGCAAAGGAAGTAAACAATAACAATTCTTTACCTTTTTGTTCAATAGGAGTTTGAAGTTTTAAAGCAGGAGATTGCGATCCAGTAAGTAAATCGAGGCTGTCATCATCAGAATCATCGGTAGGATTGAGATAGTAACTAAGCGGTTTCCGCTGAACAAAATTGTGATAACGAGTACGAGGCAGGTCTGTCTCGTGAGGAAGTGGTTTGCGTTCAAGACGCACGGCACCAAACCAAGAAAAAAGCATGGGTGCCGGATTCTTGTTTCCTTCAATCAACTCCCAAGGACTTATCTTTTGTCGACCTTTTACCTGCAATCCCTGAAAAAAAGGCATCGACGTTTGACTTGTTTCAAGATCTGGTTATCTGCCAGCAAATACCAGAAAAATCCTTGTTATACAAGATGAAACTTCTGCTTTGTCGAGCAAATAAAAAACTGCACATTTGAATAGCAAGTAGAAAAATTGTTTTCAAAGTCAACCAACTGATAAAATACTCGCATTATATACACAGTTGACCATGTGCATATGCGAATTGTACTAACCTCACTCGTTTCATCATTTTCCAAAGTAGAGGGCTGTGACTCTGATACGACAGAGAAATCATTCTGTTGACGCTTCTCAACAGTAACAACTTCAATCGAGCGGCCAGGAAATGGAAGCAACTGCTTGCAATTGTCGATGTCACGTGGGTTCTCTACGAGCACGCGCTAAAGTAATGGAAAACGTGATGACATTAAGTAATCAGGATGTTCCACTTCGTGGAACCCTCATATGTCGAAATCGACGGAGTCCATTAATCCTTCGAGGTCAACATGGAATTTTTAGAGGTTGGCGCTGTGACATGTTTTCGGTATAATACAACACTGTAGATCAGAAGCGTTGAAATGATTTTTAGTATCATCCTTAGTGCCTGTAGTTCTTTGCTTTTGACAAAAAAAATGTATTATTGTGATGGTTATGAGTGTTGTAATCCTGTTATAATACATACGCTATAAACGAACAAGAATTCTTGGCGACCACTTCGATCGTGAAAATGCAAGCGCATAAATTAAATGTGTACACCCGATTTTCTATTGGCAATCATATCATATAAATCTCATCTTAAAAAATAGCACGGAGATAGGGTCTTTACCAATAATCACTATTTGGGTATTTCAAAGTAATATAAATGGAAGCATTTTTCTCCGTAAAAAGTCACTTTCAATGATTACATAGGTGCTTCGTAATATAATATATGAAATTTATGAACTTTATGAATATTATGATTTTTACTTTAATGACGGGTGTTAATAATATGATAATTATTTATTTAGGTAACATCGAGAAAATATGTAAAAATAAGTTCTACTAGAACTTACTTAAGTGTTTAAACCTTTCAGTAAGTTACATAGGCTACATGGCCTGACAAATTGAAGCATCTGTCAACAGGTCATAGTAAAGACTTGAGTATTTTCAGGGTAGATTAGTGCATGCATGGATAAAAATGATTTCATTAGATCATTGTTGATGTAAATAGCTATATGTAATTAACATATAGATTACATCTAACCGTTGTCAGTTCAGTTATATATACACGGGTATGACGTCATGTGTGATAAGAACAAAAAAGTGGCCTCGAACCACCGCCGAGCCGATGTTTTTATTGGATGCATATTCACGTGAGTGTACGTTCAGTTGGAAATGAAGTCCGTTTCAGTTATCATTCATATGTAAACTGCCTCGTTGCATACCTGACCACAATAGATCTACACTTGAAAACACCAATAACTTGACATGATATCATAAGACTTGATATATCTCAGGTAAATGTACTTTGTTAAGAGCATGCAGGTCACTATACCCTTTCATGCAAAGTCTCTGCTCACTAACTTTGAAGGCATTTCCAGACACGTGCACTGGTCTTTGGCTATCAACCAAGTAGCTAATACAAAAGCATTTCTGTGACTAATTTGTGCCTAGGCGTATACTAAAAAAAAAATAAACTCGAGTGTTACGATATTTCTTTCTTGATATAATAATGCACCTTCATTTTCTTGAACAACCCAGAGCTGAATTTTCTTCCGTCTTCAGCTACTTGGTTCGTGCTCGATTCCGTTGAAATGATCAAATTGATTAATACGGACAGCATATCGAGAATATTCGTGTAATGATGACTAAAAAATTGGTATAGTGCACGCATACAAATAAGGAAGAAAAATTCACCTACGTATAGATTTTAGGATTGGGTCATCAACAATACCTGTTGGCAATAGTTAAAATGCCACTGCTGATCAAGTGAAACAAAACGACGGTCCATTCAGTAGCCAAATGTAAGTTCTTAGGATTAGCAATCGAGTCAAACATAACTCCTACCTAATAAAAAATAATTGGTACAACAAACACTTTGCAATGAAAACGGAATTTCAAATTAGGACATCTTATTTTCTCCAGTTAATATAAATTGAGAAAAACAACTTCCACGGCCAAAATTTTTGTCTAGCCTTTTTTTGTGTGATTCAGTTAAAGTGTATCCACTCACTAAACGAAGACGTAAATCAAGAGATTCTTTCAAGAACTTCTTGCTGTTTTGGTCCAAAGGATGATTATCCTGTAAAATATACAATAGAATGTAAACATACTTTAAAAATACTTTGTCCGTCTCCATTAAAATACCAAAGGAAAATGCATGTAAACGCTTAATATCACTTTATCCGATGTCCATCGTCAGTATTCATTCATTCTACCTCTATCCATATCAAAATATTATAAGAATAGCACACCATTATAATGAATTTATAATACTTAATTATAGCAAACGCTGTATTAATACCTCCTACTTGGCGTTTATATATGAGTTTGAAATCTTAGAAAAGTACTGTACGCTCATTGTGTACGTAAAATACATTGTCAACGATGCAATTAAAATGAAGCACACCTGAATTGGAGCTTCAACAAGATCTTGAAACTGTCGGAGTAAAGACTGTAATAAAGTCTCTCTTTGATCATCCAAGGTTTGCAAACATGACAATATGAGTTGAAGGAAGGGTTGGGTATGAATTAGAGTTGACCTAGAAATAAATACACGTACGATTAATTATATAAAAATAGGTGCAACTCCGCACACTCGCCGTTAGCTTGTAAATTTTGACAAGCAACAAACTCACAAAACTGCTCCTTTGGAAAACCCCTAGTGAGTATACAACAAAATGGCTGCTCGCTCCCTTAATTCTTATTTCTTGCTGAGTTTTAATGATTTTGTCGCATGTATCACACGTCCAGCAATGCATCCCTTTTTGACTTAGTGATAATATCCAAATTACTAAGCCCAAAGCATCGTGCAATTAAAATACAGCACTGTTATGTGCAACAGAGTTTTTTAAGATCGATTTGATTGCATGGTCCCAAATTGTATTATGGGGTTAAATGCATGAGATACGTTTAAAAGATCACTAAGTTTATACACAAAAAAAGGCAATACCCAAAAAGACATGTCTCAATTTCACGCGATAGTTAACAATAATTTTATTTTACAAAACTAATACACTATGAGATAAATCTCGACTGCTTGATTTCAATGCATTTTATCTGTAAATTCACAGCAAAAATGTATAACTTCACAGTGAAAAACTGTAATACCACTGTAAAATGTATAATTAAACGGCACGAGCCATTACTTGATTGGATGGAAAGAGTTGAAAACTAAAAAGCTTCTTTTCAAATGAAAAAAAAAACATGGCGCGAGTTGCAAGCAAACAAAGATTTCTCTAATTACAACTCTCTGAATTCAAGAATAACAAAACAAAGCAAAGAATAAAGAAAGGAAAAGGTTCGATGCAAAAAAATCAAGGTAAAACCGCGAGAGAAAACGCTCACCAAAAAGCCCTCGCGAGAAAACCCGCGGTAAAAGACCTCCGGAGAATGACCCTCTGCAAAAATCTAGCGAGAAAAGACCCTCGAGGAAAAAGACCCATGGAGAAAGACACTTGAGAAAAGACCCTCGACAATAGATCCTCGATAAACAACCCTCGGGAAAAGACCCTAGGGAAAATACCCTCGATAAAAAATCTGCGGAAAGACCCTGGAGAAGACCCACGAGAAAAGAGACGTGGTGGACTTTTACTAAATAATTTAACCTGCAACATATCAATAACTTACCCTCCGTAACCGTTTTGATCCTTCCACCAACCTTTGACCCCAAGCACCTGACTACATGCAGCTTTTAGGAGACGTCCATGCAAGCTCTGGGGCAATTTCTTCAACAACGGTTCAATCAGTGACTCCGGACCATTATCAAAGTCTTCTTGCTTTTCATCGCTTTTTTTATATGAGCAATCACCTTGTTTCACAAACAGGTTAATACAGGCTGATGAAACAGAATCCGCAATAGCATCTGTTTTCTACGAATAGAACATTCAAAAAAATTACTTTTGAGTTAGTCAGGCAATTTCATATTCAGAGCATTTCAGTATAAGTGCTTTGAGCCCACACAGCAAATGCATCATGGAAAGGACCATAGATCATAAACATTTCAAGAACTGTATGAACAACTTAGATAGTAAAAACAAATTCCGAAGAAACAAGACATCTTGAGATTACAAAATATGAATACAAACAAGACGAGAAGTGAACTGCAAATTTTCGACTTTATTTCAAAGTCATTCTCAGACAGAATGATATCGAAAACCATGCATACACATATATTTACAATTGAACATGTATTTACAATTGAACATATATTTACATTGAACAAATATTTACATTGTGTTTACATGTATTTATATGAACATGTGTTTACATTGTACATACACATCATATATGTGTATGTATGGTTTTAAATATCACTTCTCGTCTTCTTCTGATTCATATTTTGTAATCTCAAGATGTCTTGTTTCTTCGGAATTTGTTTTTTACTCTTTTTAAAAAATTGTCGGCTGGTCATGGTTTTTGGTATAAACTTAGATCAATATAGCTGGCCCATAACTTATGACAATAAACACAGATTTCCTCCGCCCCTCGCTCCTTATTCAGCCATTAAATCAAATCAATGCATGCATTACACGGCAAAACTGCCGTTTTTCATTTGAAAATTGTGTTGTTCATGTACCTCGTCTTCACTTCTCTTCAAAAGAAGCGAAAGTTCAAAAACAGAGTTGCGAAACGACCATTGATCAAGGTTCTAAGTAGAAAAACGAAAACAAACACAAAGTTCAGAGCAAGATCCTCCACTAGCACGATAGTTCATTGAATTGGCATAAATCTCAAATCTTTATCAACAGCCACATGATACATCTATTGTATAGAAGTTGTTCTTTAGGTTTATTAAACAAAAAAACCAGTCCCATTTAGCATATACCTGTAATACTGCACACTGAACTAACCTCTATTCTAAAAACCAACAATGAGTAAAACATGAAAGAATGATAGAATACAGTACGCTCACTGCATGAAGAAGCCAGACTTCAAGTTTTAGTTGTGCAAAGTAAATTTTAGTACATTAGAATTATCCATTACAATCTAGTGTTTTCAAAGTACAGTGACACAAAAAATTAACACAGCAAGACTAAATAAGCGGGGTGATTGCGCCAGTGAGTAAGGAATGCTACACCTGCAGCAGTTAAGCAAAATAATTGCTTTCTGATGTTCTTTTTAACACCACGCACATATAGCTACCTGAAGCACTTTGTTGGCTGTCTCCAGGGCAGACGCTGGTGGAAAAGAGTCCACATTCACGCCAAAGCTTTGGTTACTACTGCTAGGATGACACATGAAGTATAACAGTTTCTTAGCCTGAAATACATATTGCGTCATGAGCCAAAAAAGCCAAGTATGTGAACAATGAAAAATTTTCATAATCGGCTAGTGAGAGTTATTGAAAACTACGAAAAAAGATCAATTATATTGTCCCTTCGCTGTGAGTGAAGTAAATTATTTTTTAGCAAATGCTTGAAAAAAGAGAGTTTTTCTGTTCAAATCCATTCTCGAGGTGTTGATGTTTTTGTAATGATCGAATAATGAAAGCTTGAATGATCAGGTGTAATTGTTGTTGACATGTTTCTTCAATCAAGAAGGGTCACTTAGTTGTGAACTGTCCTTTTAAAAGTTCTGTCGACAACACAATTTTCGTTTCAATAACACTATAAAAAACATTGCTGATCGAGCTGCATTGAGCTTCCTATAGAGCACTACCTGAACTTCAGAAATCTCCGGGTCTAAAAGACCTTCAGGCGAGAAGAGAAATTTTTCGTTTCGCAGACAATTCTCTTTCAACCAATCTTGAGAGCAGAGTTTCTGCACGACACTGTTGGCAAATGTGCACACATTTGTGGTTTCTATGACTGAAGATAAAAATCGAGAAAGATCGTTCACAAAGTAAATGCAACCTTCCTTTACATATTTAGTGCGTTAAAACAATCACAAACGTTAGACAGCACCATTTACATCCAACAACCAAAAATAAACAAATAAAAACATTCACAAAAATATGAATAAATAGAGAAATAAATACAAAAAGCGAAACAAAATCAAGTACTAAGTTATATGAATGAATGGTAATCATTTACTGATCACTAGCTACAAGAGGAGGAATCATAGAACAGGTGATTTCTTGAAGATTTTATACACCGCGGCTTATTATACAACCTAATTTTGCTGATAGAACATCCTCAGTTCTTCCATTCTTACCTGTCTTCGACGACATGGAAAAGACATCAGATGACTGTCCTGGTACAACGTCAATAAGATCGTCCATGTTGTTGAAATAGCCAAAGCTACCCTCGGGTTCAGTTATTTCTGACAAAGAAACATGTAGTTTGATTAAAGATATTGTTTGTCAGTATGAGCTGTTAGTTCAGTTATTTCTGACAAAGAAAAATGTACTTTGATTAATGACACCGTTCGTCAGTGTAAGCAGCGGGTTTAGTTATTTCTGACAAAGAAAAATGTAGTTTACTTAATGACACTGTTAATCAGTATAAGCAGTGGGTTCGGGTTTTTTTAGACAAAGAAACATGTATTTTGATCAATGACACTGTTCGTCAGTATAAGCAGTGGGTTCTGTTATTTCTGACAAAGAAACATGTAGTTTAATTAATGACACTGTTAGTCAGTATAAGCAGTGGGTTCAGTTATTTCTGACAAAGAATTATGTAGTTTGATTAATGACACCGTTCGTCAATATACTACAATAACTATCGCAAACACTATGCATTTTGTAACCATTATACCAGAAAGTTACGGATGATATGAACGTCATTTATATTTACCTAATTCAACTATTGCTTAATGGAGTATATGCACTTGTCAAGGCAACACGCGATACGTGTTGTATTGACGACATGTATTAATATGGTTGTGTTGTATAATAAGCCTTTACTATTACATTCGATTTTTGACTTCAAACTTTTGAAGTTATTGTAGTTCTGTTTTCTCTTTGTCTATTTTTCTTGCGTCCACTAGAGTCCATTACGCAAAGATGAAACAGACTAGAAAACATACTTCTTGACCAACAAAAATAAATTACCTACATCACATTTTTGTTGACGGTTACTTACTGTATTCCGCTTCAGAGAACTTCATGAGAGCTTTGAGCACGGCAAACAAAATTTTAACTTCGACGTTCTTTTGTGCAGCAGAGAGCAAAACACTGTCCGGCGAGGTTTCACAAGAATATCTATCACCCTGATATGGTGAGACGGACGAGGTTTGAAAGCAGTCAAGTAATCTGTAAAGCAGCTGACAAGTAAGTTGAGCGCCACCCACAGCTTCCGGTATAACTTTATTATCTGAAAGATAGAAATTGAATCAAAATGTTGTCTTTTCTTCCATCGCTAGACGAGAAATAACACAGCGAAATTGCTAGTATGAATTTTTTGGCAAGAGAATGATGGACATGTGAAGCGTCCAAAACCAATCAAAAATCGATAAAATTTGACATGAGCTCCTTTGGGAAAAATCAACATAAAAATCCGCGAACCGGTTTTCTTTGTCGGCTGATTGCTGACCATGCGCGAGAGTAATCCTAATGAAATCAAAAACTAGTGAAACACATTTTCGTGCCTGTGACATGAAATGTCAAACGACATCGAAAAGCGTGCAGAAGTTAAAAGGTATCTGTTACGTACACTACAGAAACGTACTTTCATCAACTGCAGCCTTTAATGCTGGTAACAACGCATACTCAATGAGATCATCGAGGGAGAAACAGCTTCTTGAAATTAAGATGGACATAAAGGTACATATACACTCATGCATCGACGATTCGTTGATCTAAAAAGAATGAACTTCAATAGCACAAAAACCTACTTGTAATGCCATTTCAAATCAACTATTTTATTAATAATTTTAATGAATAGACCAAAAGCCAATTTAAGGAGTATATATAACTAAGAACTAATAATAATTAAGAACAATTGATTGATATTTAATATTAACAACATTAGTAATATTACCAAGATCAATAATACCGATAATACTATTATTAGTATCAACAATAATTAATTAATTAATAATTAATTAAAAAAACTAATTTATAGAGTGTATATAATCTTACATCGATTTCATCGTGCAGCTCGATGTATCCAATATCGGCAGAGCCAGCCAAACAACATAAAGCCTTGACAGCAGTTATCCATTGCGACGATAAACCACGAAAGTGTGCAGTGATCTCCGCACACAGAACGCCAATGTCGTACAACGTTCTGTGAACAAAATTGAAATGTGGCAAAATGAGCTGTGGAATACAAGGTACCGATTTGAAAATCAAAGGTAAAACGTAAAATTCGAAAGCTGCGCGTCTAAAGCAATTGTCCTGAATATTCGCACTGCGGTCAATACTTACCACTGAACTCAATTATGACTTGAAGGCTACCTTTTGAGTAAATTTTCCGAAACTTTCATGAATTAAGGGAGACATGCGTAACCCGAAGTGAGATTTCAACTCCTGCATTTTAAGTTAGTGTCGCAATCATCTTTCTTTTAGACGGACGCGGACAAAATTGGAACCAATTAAATTGTTGGCTTCAAATTTTAATGGGAGGCAGCCGTCCAGTTGTATTCAGGTTAATGACATATGCTATATGCGTTGCTTATTCAGTTGTTGAATGCATTGTAATCTTAAATCTGCATAGATAACGCTCAAAATATTATACATTTAAGCATGGATAACTTCAACAAATGGTACATTCAGACGTGCACACTCAATAAAGATTAAAGGAAAGAAAAGGCTTTTATATCGTATTTAGTTAATTATATTTACATATATAATAATTATAATTAAACATAGAAACATAATTAATACTTATATATTTAGTTAATAAGTATTTATACCTTTCGCGATCTTGACACATGGCAACATTAACGAATGCGTTGCACACCACACTGTAAAGTTGGACAACGTTCTCTGGAGAAATTATATGCTTCCATATCACGTCCAACTTCTCCCTCCTGCAATGCGATGTCGTCAAATGTTTTCACAGCTAGCGAATGCTCAGAGAACTTTAATACGTCATCATGACCCGATTTATTAGAACGAGTATGAAACAGTTTTGTCGTAGGGTGGGGAAAACAAAATTGCAAAGTACTCTTTTTGTCGCGTATGTATTATGCGTATGTGCATGTATGTATTAAAAATCTTACCATTTAACTTTGATACATATTTCTCTTTTGAAAGTAGTTGTCACAAATACTCATAACTTATTATGTTGAGAATTTAAAAGAATTCAGACTTTCTGTTTTGCAAATTTACGAAATAAATAAAATACTTCGATAAACAGCTCTCGTACCTCGAATCCTCCAGGAATGTGTCGAGAATGGGCGACGAATCCCATTGCAGCCCACGAGGTACCAGGGACGTTGCAGAATAACAAATTGTCTCTTTTATTCTGTTGCAAGCAGTGTCAAAACTATGAAATGATTTGTTCTACAACAAAAGAAAAACGTCAAATACAAAATTGAAATGGTAGACATAAATAAATTTCAATAGTCTTTACTTACTTTAACATAGGCACAGCCAGTGTATAAATGATATAGAAAAGTAAGAACACATCTTTCTGACGACGTACAAAATGCAGGATCCGAAATATTTTCCACAGTCCGAAGTAGCCTAAAGCATTAAATATGATATGGAGAAATGCTGTCTGGGGAGCTTAAACTGAGACACAAGAAAACTGTTCAAAAATTGCAGGCAATGCAAGTCGTATACATACATATAGATCATACAATGAAAAATATCAAATTTACCAGGCAAATAGTCAGCAGAAATGCACCGTGTCTTTTAGCTTTAAAACGGTTCCTTTAGAACTATTGAGTTAGTGCTTTGGCTTAAAACAGTTATTTTAGTATTTTTAACCACTCATTACATGGTATATGCGATTTTTAAGACAATTTTCAATGAAAAATATTTGATAGAAGTCACAATTAAGTTTTAGGAGAGCTTTCCATTAAAAGAATTTTCGCGTCAAGTACTTTAGCGAGACCGCTTAAGTCTATTTGAAAAAATTAACTTATTCTTCACCACGTACATTTATATTCCATAGAATCACTCATGTCGTACGTGATGCTCACAAACTTTATTCCTATGCATTTACTTACAACTAACGTAGAACATGTGCCCTATACATGTCAACTCAGTGCGATTAATTATAACTTTCAAAACTGAGACATGATTTAATGTAAAAGGAAACGGCGAATGAAGAAAGTGTTTAACAATAATGGCAAAGAATTCAACAACGCGAAACAAGAACAGTCAGCAAACCTACCCAAAAAATGTCTTCAAAGCCAATTCAGAGTCCAAGAGAAGAACAGCAATATGTTTTTGTAAGGCAGCAAGCACAAGTAAAGACTTTGTGGGCAGTGTTCCATACACAGAAGTTTCCTGAGGCACGTTAGGATTATAATTCACCTCATTACGGGTTTCCAGCAGCTCGACAAGAAAATCCAGTAAGTCAGGTATGTTGCTACACATATCGAAGAGATCGATTACAAAAGTCAGTTGACAGTACGTGGGATAGTACTCGGACATGCCGTAACTGGCACTACCGGCCGGCACTAGATCCTTTAGTGATGTCAAACATTTCGAAGCCCATGTGCATTGATCAAATACTGGAAATGAGCGATATTTCCTTAAAAATGAAATGTCGTTGCAAAGTTAGAGCAAAGCTGGAAATTACTGCATTATATTTCCAAGCCATATGTGCGTTGGGAAATTTCATTCTCTCCAACAAGCCAAACAGCATTTGACACAAGCCTGGTTACCGATTATAAAATAAAGTCAGTGTTTCCAAAGAAACGTCAAACACTACATATACGCGCAAAAGATAAGCACTTTGTAGTGAAAAGCGGTAAACTGTGTAACCAAACTTGCGTCCAACATTTGGGTACAATGAAATTTTTGAAAGTAACAATGAAATGCGTAGTATCTTTAGTACAGAGTTTGTTATCCCTACTATAATGAGTGTATAACATCTCTGCTATAGATCTCTTTAATTTTTTTGTATAAGCTACATAAAGCAAAGCCAGACGGTAGCCATTTACTGATTTAAAACAGTAATTGTACAATATACATGTGGTCACCTGTAGATTGCTTGCTTTGCATAGACTAAATGCTTCATTGCATCATCCTCTAGATCATTGCCATCAAATTCACCCAGTTCCTTAACGAACGCCACGAGCTCTTTGCCAAAATCTTTGATCGACTTTGTCGCAACGTTTCGCGGCTTTCCTACGCCATACAATAGAACAAGACGTTGATTCAATTCGTGAGTATTTTCCTCTCCCATAATTGGAAAATGTTTAACATAAAGATCGTGCCGTGATTTTCCTCTTGTTTTCGCAGACGGTTCTTTCACAGAAACGCCAGTTTGGCTTGGTTTTTCATTTCGAAATTCGTCAAATTTGAATCCAGCTGTTGCTACATGCGAATAAATACATAGTTACAATTTAGCATCATTTCCTCGCAAGCCAAATTGTCGGACATAATTGACTTTTGTAACAATGACTTTCAACAAAAAACCCACAAAAAACATACCTTTTCAAAATAGAATGCCCACTTTATACAGATTGGCCAGTTAAGTCAAAGTACAGTGATTATTTTTAAACTTATAAAACTGAAAGCTTGTAAGACGATGAAAATCGTAGCAAAAACGTAATTGGAGATCGAGTTCTTACTTTTAACTCAAATTTTACCGCAAGATACAATGCAACTATAAAGAGCATACGACTTGCAAAATAAACCATTTTTAAGACTTCTACAACTTTTCAGTAACAACGTCTCAACATTCAGATAACATTTTCAGGTATTCGTAGGAATATAAGTTGTTTTAAAAGTCTTGATTAGGTGCAGCTAAACATGAGTACATAGTGTATCTAAAATTTATAATTATAAAACAGACAACATACTTGCAAATGGCGACTCAAGCCCATCGTCAGGAGGCTCTGTATCTTGGTATAACAGCTTTTGTAATTGCTCACGATGAAGCCTCAATTCGTGATCAAGCTCTAACTGCTGTTTGTTTAGTTCACTTGCACTGTCCGATGAACGACGGCTTTCCTTTTAAATGAGAAAATATACATACTTACTTACTTACTTACTTACTTACTTACCGACCGATCGACCGACCATGCAAGTGCCTTTAGAAGAGAGTGGAATGACAAAGTTTTTATAAAATGACAAACCTCGATTACTGTCTCACTCACAAATTCTTGATTTCTGCAATCCATTCGCATTGAGCAATCCGGCGTCGTTTCACAGCCAATCTGGCTGGCTGAGGCGGGCTCCAGATCTCCACGTGATATCAAGGTACACATGTAAGAGTTATGTGAAAATATGTCCAACCGTATAAGTTCGCCATACAACATTATTAACTGACGGAAACGACTGTCGTTTTCTTCGTCGTCACCTGTGGAAAAACATACGATCAGTTTTTCCTAAAAATGATGAACGATGTAGCGATACTATACACCATAGTTTTAATTATTGTTTGAGTAAGATTAACACATTAAACACGAGCGGATCTTTAGGGGGTGTAGGGGTGCAAAATGATAGCTCGTAAATGACTAAGGATCCGAGGTTCGCGCAAAGTTTAAAAAAATACACGACCTTCGACTCGTAATTTGTATCAACATGAAAATGTTTTAAGCGTTAATTTCATCATTTCTCCATAAACTCCCATATAATTTCTATTCGTGCATTATGAGGTGAACATCCATTCACTTGACGAAGTGGACAAAAATTTTCTTAATAAACCAATCTGAAGCTATAGTCAATATAACCAATTGTTGTCTTGTTTTCCACGGTTTACAAGTAAGCTATTTTCTTTTTCTCCGCATCATAATGGTTGCATAATGCCTACTCTCCTTTTATGCATGGTGGGAGAACGCCAGGCCAAAAACGGTCATTGAGGTATGAAGTTTTAAAATGCATTAGTGAAACAAGCTGAAGAAGACACAAAACATGCCCATACCACAGGATAGACATCTAACAGAAGGCCCACTACGCTAAAATCGTGGCGTATTTTTTCACTACGCATGCGTGACTTCCCAGCAAGATACTTCCGCAAAATCAATATGGAATATTATTGCAAGAGAATCCTATTTTACTAATAATTCACGTTTAAAGCAAAAGTTTGCCGAAATTTTTACAAAGAGTTATCATCTTGCGAAGAAGATAAGGTTTCAAGCTTTTGTGGTGCAAAACAATAAATTTGTATAAAAGTCTATATTTTCTATTGCGATCTAGCGGAAGTATTTTGCTGGAAGGCGTGTGTGCTTAGAATTTGTTTCAGAAAAGTGGGGGACACAAACATCAGAGGTTCCGACACAAGTGGAACTTGTGTTAAGATATCTATTCTGTGCCCATACCGTAAGACTGAAAACTTGACATAAAATAAACTATAGCATCCAAAAACACTGCATATGGTTCCTTTTTGACTTATAATTTAAGCCAACCTTAAACATGTCTATACACTTTTAATTAGTTGATATGTTTTACAATATATCTCTCTAGTTTAGTGTTAAATGCATCATGAACAAAAGCACTCATGGGCTTTATAACAATCACGAATTATCTGTTTTCCTTGTCTCATTTAATGTTGAAATAAATAAGTGATTCCAGCAGACTTTAAAGTTTTTACAATGATAAAAATTATAAGTCAGGCCATTAGAAAAGTCTAACTTGAACCACACTTTCAACCCTGATGTTACAAAATTTTAATTTATTTGGTAAAGAAAATTGACTTGAATAAACTTATTGAACTGTTAGCTTCTCAAATGCACACTTGCAATGTAATACTCGATAGAGCAAGGCGCCACAATTATCATGAAATAAATTATCCATACGTAACGATTATCGGCTGCGATTCTTTCATTTTTATTTGAGAATCAAATTCATGCCAGCGGCCATATTTATAGACCCAGAACATGAACGCATGCAATCCTATGAAATTTTTCTTCTTATAAAATTTCGCGGTGAAAATTTTGCGCACCCAGATCTCTGGATGAAATCCCTGATCCGCACAAGTTTAGGGCCCGTTAACACGATCCAATTTGTCGGAACCGATTTTGTCGTATCCCAAAAAAACGGATCGTGTTGAGCACGTATAAAGTGAGCACCCGACAGTTTTTATTTGTCAGTCTTAAAAATCGGATGGAAATAGAATTTGCTCTATGCTGTTTCTTAGAAGCTTATGCAGTTTTAGCATAATTTATAAAGTTTTAGCATAATTTACAAGATCAAAGGAAGCCGACAAGCCTCAAACTTTTTACTCTCTATACTTCACAAATTTGATTTGCCGCGAAAAATTAGATTTTAAAAAGACTTGAACACAAGAACAAAAGTACGCAAATATATCGATAAATGTACTGGATAATACAAATGGCTGCTCCCACTCTCAAGTCTATAAATATTTAAACGAATACAAATGTGAACAAAATTATCGGACCGTATGAATAAGCAACCAAAGTCGGAACCGAAATAATAGGAACGTGTAAACCGGCCATAATAATATTTATGTTTTATAATACGGAAAATAGAATGCAACACAAATGACAATGAATTTTCAAACCCCAAATTGGCGCGTAATTATCCAAGTATTTCAAAGCGATGTTTTGAAAGTACGCAATATTCTGAGATGTTTGGGATACTTTAGACGATGCTTCGTCCTGTTCGTCAGCAACTTCATTTTGTTCCTGGAAATTAGTAAGTAAGTGGCAATTAGTCCTCTTCGACAAAGACAACTAGCAATTACAAACGTGAAGCGAAATAGTTAAAGTGTCGATACAAAACTGGACAATTCATCTGAACATATGATATTGCAAACCTGGTCACGAAGCGTCTGAAGCCTTTTCTTAATCAATCTAGTCGCAACTATCACTCTAAACTTTCCAACACGGTGGCTAGTCGTAGCCCAATGTATAAGTAATATGGTTACTGCTTGATCCATTGCCGATACCTTAAAAGTATTTATAAACTTAAATCTTACAATAATGATGAAAACTTCTATCCAACTGACAATACAATAACACGTGATTTTAGTCATGTAAATGTAGCTAATAGTTAACTTTGTAGCACGACAATCCTTGATAAAATCAGTAAAAGTAAACATACTTAGTGACCGAGCAGCATTTTAAAGAATTTCATAGAACTTTATGCTGTTTCTTAGAAGCTTATGCAGTTTTAGCATAATTTATAAAGTTTTCTAGAAATTTATGAAACTTAGATGTTCTCTGCATTCATGCTTGACGCAGTTTCATAGAAGTCTAAGAGTTTTATAGTAATTTATAGTTTCGAAAAGTTTATGCTGTTTCATAAAAAAAGTTCCAAGCAAAATTTCACTTTATCACGACGACCACAAATGAATAGGGTGCTTTATAACATTTGCTCCGTGTTTTCTTGACATAACATGAAACAAGATGAGAGCCTTTTATCCAAAAATACTTCTCTAATTTTTATCTTAGAAAACCTTTACAAAAAGTGAAGAAAACAAACCCTAAGGCAGTTTTCTGGCAGCTCGCCAAAGACTTTGGTGTAAAGCAGATCTACATTGACAGGCCTTTGAAGGTCCCCCTCGTCAAGGTACTCCAAAATCTCCAGAACCTTACTGGCGTCCATAACTGCAGAATAACAACAAAGGAAAACAATTTTGTTAATTAAGAGGACCAACATGTTACAGTTTATACTTTGTTCCAATAAACAACGTTGATGTTTGTTACATGTTTGTAAATGTACATCGTCCAGGTTGGTAAAGTCCTGAGGACTGTTTTTGTTGTTGTTGATAATATGCGACTCTAAAATTCGTCATGCACAAATCAGTTGTAAATTTAACAGCACGAACGTTTACACGTTTAGGTGACAGTCTACTCTCATTAAGGCCCGTATCCACTTGTGATGATTTGTGATGATGAATGATTTCAATTTTCCAGTCATGCCCTAAATTAACGTATAGTACTTCTATTGTTGTTAAGTCACCGCTACTACACAAGGTTAGACAAACAAAATAAATACAGGAAAAGTATGTGGTACGACAAATATTTGCTGAAAAACAACTAACGGAGATTTTGCCACTTTTATTGGAGAAATAAAGTTGCAGACCATGAATACTTTTCAAACCATTTTGTATTACTTTATACTAATTGTTTCTAACATCTTGGACCTGATTGGCTGACTTCTAATTTTCCACCGGACTATATACACAAAGTTGAAAAATTTCAACTTGAATGAACATTCAATTTTTTTTCCACTGGAAAATTTGATCGCATCTCTTGCATTACTAAACGCATGCGCAACCTGGAAAATTATACTTTCCGCGGAAAATTTTCCTAAATGAAAACGGGCCTTTGGACATTTCCTCAAGGTTGGAATATTTTTCCTGAGTTACATTCTGGCGATAATTGTCAACAAGTGTCGCGTCATTAAAGTGTGTAAAAAACTCTAGATGGGATTGATGAATAAAATCTGCTCTATTTTCCTCTTAACCTGTAAGCCATACACATGCCCCTCAGTTGCAAAATTTACACATGAAATTCAACGATTTCTTACCAGTTTTTCTGTTACTGTCTACAGCCCATTTTCTTTCAACAGCCTTACTTCGAGCTTTTATTTCTTCTTCTTTTGATATAAGAAGGTCTTCAATCTATGGATATTTATAACACATGCAAAGATCTTACACTACTGCCAACCGACACAAACTTATGCATCGGCAAAGCACTCAGACAAAGATCTGCAAACAAACTTCGGAATCCAATAGGACCCTTAGCAAACAAACATATAAAGTAACCTGTTTTCTGATAACGGGCGATGTAAAACTTGAAGGAAGAGGAAGTTCTGACGGCGATAATGCTAGCTTGTCCAAAGCAGAACCAGGTACATGTCTTTTGGATTGTTCATTACATGATCCCGGCTTCGACGTCGTCATTAGGACGGGGTTCCAAATCAATGCACCTGGACAGCATATTGTGATCACTTGAAGTATGCAAGAAAATCCGCTTACCAAAGACTGGTGTTGAGAACAACCCTTGTACTGACTGAACAATGGTGGTTGGAGTTTCACGCTAAAAGTGACATCATCGAAATTCAAATGTGTTTGTTTTACATAGCTAATATAGTAATAAAGTAAATGGTTTGAACCCGGGAGTATCGTTATATGTTTGTAATTGATGACTTTGACTCTGAAGATGACTACCGCTAAGGTTGTCGAAACGTCAGTCTACAACAACAAAAACAGTCCTTCTCAGGACTTTATTAACCTGGACGATCATCAATTACAAACATATAATATAGTAATAGCTAATAATAATAGCTATTACTATATTACAGCACTACATGCAGACGAGATTGATGACTTCCATACTCACATCAACAAACAGAACAGCCACATACAATTTACCAAAGATGTCGAAGAAAACGGAACTCTTCCTTTTCTCGACTGTTTGGTAAAACATGACAATCAAAAACTAGGAACAACAGTTTATCGCAAGCCAACACATACTGACCGACTACTAGACCAATCATCTTACAACCCTACATCACACAAAGCCACCACAATCAGAACATTAACAAGACGTGCACAAATCATATGTGATTCACCGGACGCTCTACAAAACGAAAACAACTATCTCAAACGTGTTTTTGACAAAAACAACTATAACTCTGACTTTATCAAACGCAACACTTACAAACCCAACGAACCCAACGAAACGAACAACTCAGTGACAACAGCAACGATACCTTACATCAAAGGTACGTCTGAGACTATCTCGCGTATCTTACGACCATACAACATACGTGTCGCACATAAACCAATCACAACATTACGACAAGTACTAACGAACATAAAGGACAAAGAACAACCCAACGAACGACAAGGTGCAGTTTACAAAATAAACTGCTCCGACTGCCACGCCTCCTATATCGGGGAAACTGGCAGGAACTTAAACATAAGACTTACTGAGCACAAACGAGCTACTAAGAAACAAGACAAAACTAATCACATTGCCGAACATCACCGAATCACAAAGCACAACATTGACTGGGACTCGGCAAAATGCATAACTTACAGTACTGACTATAGACAACGGCTTACATTAGAAAGTTGGTATACCAACTTGGAACAAACCCCCCTGAACAGATCACAGCAATTACCGGCACCTTACAAACGACTTATTCACAATACAAACAAACGATCAACTAAAAACATTACACTTCAAACCAATTCACAATGACAATACACAATTGACACCCACACACTACAACTAAAAACGTCACACCTAAATCACACATCACAACTAAAATAAAATATTTCACTTCACACTAATCCACAATGACAATACACATTTCCTGCACATTTCCTGTACACACAATACAATGACGTAAGAACCAGACAACAAATACGGCTAACCTGACGTTTACTCCTCATTTGACTCTGAAGATGACTTCCGCTAAGGTTGTCGAAACGTCAGTCAACAACATCAAAAACAGTCCTTCTCAGGACTTTATTAACCTGGACGATCATCATTTACAAACATATAACGATACTCCCGGGTTCAAACCATTTACTTTAATAATAGCTAATACAATACGTAAATAAATTCAGGAAGAAACTCTTTGCTGTTTAGAAATCATATCTTTTCTTAGGCTTGATTTCATCACTATTAAAAAAGATGCCTACACACAAAGCCTACGATAAGTCTACCTACCCTTCCAGAGCACCTTTTGTCGTAATCGTTGAGGGCGATGCAGATTCGTTTTCGGTCGGTGCATTATTGAGCTGGTTTTGCTTCTGTTCATCACGCATTTGCTCGGCAGCAGAAAGTAGGACTGATAATTTTCTGGCACAATACATTGCAAGCGTTCTTGACAGAACTTGAGAATGTACGATTTGGTCCAAATACTAAGAAGCCAATGTACTTTTAGTCGTTAAATACGTCATAGATAGTGTAAAATTGTTATCGGCTCATCCCACTCCCTCCCTCCAAGCTGTCGTCAAACATACTACACAAACTATGAATGTATACCAAAATAACCAAAGAAATCAGAGTGCGGTGCAAAAAAGAACAATTAATGAGTCAAGTTTCAAGTACTGTAGTTTTCAAGGACATTAAGATTTTTTCCTATTTTCTAAAACTTTCACGCGTATTAAGTATGAGTTTCCGATTCGAAGGACTTTTCAAAGTGCGAACCCTAATCGTTTTCTACATATCTAACGAAATTTATTGCTCAATCAGAATTGTGTTTTACTTGTCCTTCAAACAGAAAGAAAAAATGGCCAAAAACTAACGCAGCCATGCAATCACAAAGTGCACAGAAGACGGACCTGAGACCTGTAATTTATATAATACTTATAAAAGATAAAACGAGTTGTTGTTGTTTTCTCAATCGAGAAAGTTCACGCTATTAAAAAGCGAGTGTCGAAGAGCAAACACTTAACATGTATTTATGTTTGTTTATGTTGACAGTGACTACTTAAATCCATTATAACCGTGCTCACGATTTTGATGAAAGTATTACTATTTGAGACAGTAATTTCACTTCAGTCATGCTCTACTTATTTTGAAAGTCGCCTTATTAAAGTGAAATTTTCTCCCTAAGAAATTTTGAGATTAAATCCAAGCATTTTGCCAGTAGCTATTTTTAAGTAAACATTAAAAATCACGTTTTTTGTAGCAAATAACTTCCAGAATTATGCAAAGTCACCCAGCAGAAACACTGTAAATTGCTATTGAGGAACTCAAAATTTAGAAATTTTGCAAGAGTGCATGCCCTCTACCCCCAGAAAAGCCCAAAAAGCGTTAAAAAGTATGCCCTCTACAAAGTTCATGTCTGGCTACGCAACTGAATTCCATAAGTGTTGTCCAAAAATGTACTCTTGCATTTCACTTACTCTAAGAACAATAGGTAGAATAAGTTTCAGGACAATATCATCATTTTTTATCTTATCCATTTGCTCCACCAGCCATTGGAAAAACTCTTGACGATCCAGCAAATTTTCCTACATCAAAGATTTATCAGTTAATAAAGATCTTCCTCATCAAAACACCGTGATGTTCGCACTCTTGAACCAAAAGCAAACTACACACAGGACTCGTTTATAACTTGCGAAGTACATCAAAAGAAAGAAAACATTATACAAACAAACAACCAGGGACGAATACGGGATGATATTTAGGAAGAGTGCTTTGTTTTGATTAGATTTCGGTGGCTAATTTGTGCATGGATGCTGTCGCACCATGTCAAATACTTTTGTTAAATTCTAATACCCTTATACCATCACAATTGTTTAAGCTTGATTGCTTGGTCTATTAATGTTTTCTATGGAAATTGGCCCCACATACAAAGAAGGGCAGCACAGCCCTGTAAAGCCATACATACAAAAACATGCCTTAACTATACACAAGCCAGACAGTCTGAACAGTAAAATAGATATTATATGCAAAAAATGTATGTACAAAGATATTATTGTGTAATTTAGAATGCACGACATATAAAATGTGAGTGTGATGCTTGCTATGTATGAAATGTGAGTGTAATGCTCGCTATGAATCAAATGTGAGTGTAATGCTCGCTATGTAGATAGAACTTCACAAAGGTTGCGTGATAGGATAAAGCAGCATGCACAAGCTTCTATCAGGAATAAAACTGTCCCTTTATGACAACAACAAAAACGTGATTGTAGGAGTAAAAATTTGATTCGCAACTCAGCGATTGGGAAACATCTTTTGAGTCACACTCGCTGTGCCAATTCCTATTCCTACGACATTTTTGGAGCTGATAAAAAATGTTTCTCGACTCTCGTTCTTTTAGTGATGCGTCATGGAGGCTATACTAATTAAGTCGACAAATTACATCCTCTGCCGACTAAAGGATTACGTGTTTAATTTATCACTGTGTTCAGCGCCATCTCCTAATTTAGAGATGACGTTAACTTTTTCTTATTATTACAAACGTCGCATGCTTTTTAAGTTCTCATTTGCCACCATGACTCTATCGAATATAAGTCTCTGCAAACAAGTTTCTGTTTTACTATTGAAGAATACATTAACTAAAATCATTATAAGAAATGGCTTTATGTGCACTTATGTAAAGAAATTTTAAGTGTACTTTCCTTTGCTTGAAATGATAAACAAAGTACGTATGTACTCATTGTTTCCTAGTCACTCAAACATAGTTTCATCATTAATGTTTTAAAGTCATTCTTGCTCGAAATAGCGTGTTTCCTATTTCACAAAACAATGACTATAAATAGAGGTATAATTAAGTAGAATTTTTGTTAGAGCTGTTATTCCATAAGAAAGTTAAGTTGTCTGAGATTACTTTAAGTACGGTAATTTTTTCTCAATCAAGTTCCATTAGCTGCTTAAAGAATCAGAGTGTAAATTAGTGTGTTCAACTAACTTATTCTATAAGAAAGTTAAGTTGTCTGAGATTACTTTAAGTACCGTAATTTTTTCTCAATCAAGTTCCATTAGCTGCTTAAAAAATCAGAGTGTAAATTAATGTGTTCGACTAACTTATTCCATAAGAAAGTTAGGTTGTCTGAGATTACTTTAAGTACCGTAATTTTTTCTCAATCAAGTTCCATTAGCTGCTTAAAAAATCAGAGTGTAAATTAATGTGTTCGACTAACTTATTAAACAAGAAAGTTATGTTGTCTGAGATTACTTTAAGTACCGTAATTTTTTCTCAATCAAGTTCCATTAGCTGCTTAAAAAATCAGAGTGTAAATTAATGTGTTCGACTAACTTATTCCATAAGAAAGTTAGGTTGTCTGAGATTACTTTAAGTACCGTAATTTTTTCTCAATCAAGTTCCATTAGCTGCTTAAAAAATCAGAGTGTAAATTAATGTGTTCGACTAACTTATTCCATAAGAAAGTTAGGTTGTCTGAGATTACTTTAAGTGCCGTAATTTTTTCTCAATCAAGTTCCATTAGCTGCTTAAAAAATCAGAGTGTAAATTAATGTGTTCGACTAACTTATTCCATAAGAAAGTTAAGTTGTCTGAGATTACTTTAAGTACCGTAATTTTTTCTCAATCAAGTTCCATTAGCTACTTAAAGAATCAGAGAGTAAATTAATGTGTTCGACCAACTTATTCCATAAGAAAGTTAAGTTGTCTGAGATTACTTTAAGTACCGTAATTTTTTCTCAATCAAGTTCCATTAGCTACTTAAAGAATCAGAGAGTAAATTAATGTGTTCGACCAACTCTGCGACAGATATCACGAAATAATAGAGTAGCATGTTCAATAATCAACACTCTAGCAGTTCAAATTCACGAAAAACGGGTACTCACCTCATATAACCAATCCGTTAGTCGCATCATGTAATTCCACTGTTTTTGAGGTACATCACTCTCTGTAGTCATTCGTGAAAACGGTTGATGATAGTCGTTGAGTTTATTTAATTGGTCTTTCATATATTTAGTGATGGTGCTCGTCCATTCTACAGAAACACGATGTCTTAGTGATGGAGTTATTCGTGTGAATGAATCGTGTCACTTAACTTCTTTTTTGTATAATTGCATGTATGATACATATAATACAAATAACATTTTTCAGTCAGTACAGAAATTCAGAGTGAAACCCATTTAAATGATACAGTCATATGCAACTATGAATGTGTCCCAAGAAGAGTGTAACTTTTCGCATGAAGTAGTCGTGTCGTAGGTAAAGTTACCGCATGAAGTAGTCGTGTCGTAGGTAAAGTTACCGCATGAAGTAGTCGTGTCGTAGGTAAAGTTACCGCATGAAGTAGTCGTGTCGTAGGTAAAGTTACCGCATGAAGTAGTCGTGTCGTAGGTAAAGTTACCGCATGAAGTAGTCGTGTCGTAGGTAAAGTTACCGCATGAAGTAGTCGTGTCGTAGGTAAAGTTACCGCATGAAGTAGTCGTGTCGTAGGTAAAGTTACCGCATGAAGTAGTCGTGTCGTAGGTAAAGTTACCGCATGAAGTAGTCGTGTCGTAGGTAAAGTTACCGCATGAAGTAGTCTTGTCGTAGGTAAAGTTACCGCATGAAGTAGTCGTGTCGTAGGTAAAGTTACCGCATGAAGTAGTCTTGTCGTAGGTAAAGTTACCGCATGAAAGTCGTATCGTAGGTAAAGTTACCGCATGAAGTAGTCGTGTCGTAGGTAAAGTTACCGCATGAAGTAGTCGTGTCGTAGGTAAAGTTACCGCATGAAGTAGTCTTGTCGTAGGTAAAGTTACCGCATGAAGTACTCGTGTCGTAGGTAAAGTTACCGCATGAAGTAGTCTTGTCGTAGGTAAAGTTACCGCATTTCATTAGACGTGTCGTAGGTAAAGTTACCGCATTTCATTAGACGTGTAATGTTCATCACACAGTTCATTACCTTGAGCAGGTTCTGTCGCTTGCCGTTTTTTATTTCTTGATTCTGATACCAGAGCCATCTGATGAGCAGAAGTCATCTACAACAATAAAACAAGCGTGAACATGATATCACAAACAATCACACGCTTTTCCTTCTCCTTTCACAAATACTTTATGGCAACATTTGCTAATATACCAATAAGTTCTGTGTCAGTAAGTAAGGGTAAAATGTGTTCATAAATGCCAGCTGGTATTTTGCTATCATACCATCAATTATGAACAAAAACAATAAAACGATCTTATATAGATATTTTATCTTGCTTTGGACTGTAATTGCATAAAACAAAGAAAATCTCAAACAAGCATTACTTTTCACATCGTACCAAAAGACCGCTGTTTCAGATTATCCAACTGTTTTTATAGATTTTATGATAGTTGTTGGTGTATGTTTGTTCTGGTATTCACGAGTTAGACTTACGCCGACACAACCAATCAAAACAAATCATTCATTATTTGTTTACTTCACTTATTTTTTATGCATAAAATCCATCGCTACAAAATTGATCACATGCTCCAGCTATCTAAGTGTCATGTCAAATGCAACAGAAAAATTCAAAGCCTGGGCGTAATACGGTACAACATGAAGACGTTGGAAGTTTTGGAAATTACAATATGTAATTATTAACGTGTTCGCTCTATTATTTAAAGTTATTACTCTCGATAGCTTTTGAGAAGGAGGAAGGTCTTGGGTTATCCGCTGAGTTAGTTATTCCTTATATATTTTTTTTTGCATTGAGTATAGCACAGAGCTCCACAAGTACAAAATCATATTCAGTTTAAGCTTAGTTAAGTTAATTGAGTTAGAATGCATTGTTCTGATAACAATAGATGATAGACGAATTTCAACAATAGATGATAAAGGACTTTTGTATAAAAGAAAAATATTATTATGTATGTATTTGAAAACTATTATTATGTATGTGAAAATTTGTTCATGGCTGTTCTGGGCATTGAAATTTATCAGCTTGAGAAGCTTCAGCCATGCAAGGTTTCAAGATCTTACAATGGGATATCATATGATAACTACGTACAAAGGTTGGTGCAAAGCGTTTCAATGGTGTACAAAAACAATGGTGTACTTTTATTCTCCAGAAGAAAAATTGAGCAACCAACAAATCATGCTGCATGCTGCAACGTTTTTTCTACAACTTTTCTACAAAACGAGAAACCTTCTGGAGAAGTAGCTACCACATAGGTATAGCATGAACGAACGTCATGATCGACAAAAAAAAAAGCTGCAGTTTTTAAGCCAAATAACTATAATGGGTTAGACAATCATCCGTCTTCTTTGGAGATGTTTGATAGGCAAAATAATAAGATCTTTCAGACATATGTTTGCCTCTAATGCCAATGATTTGTTCAAAAACACAGAACGCATTTGGAACAACAATCCCACCAACACACTGATTAAATACGTACATAAAGTAGATGCCTCGTCGTATAAAAGCCGTTGTTACAGCTACAGGATGGCATACCAAGTTCTGAATAAGGTTGTTCAGAATATTATGAACACGGCTAACGTGTATGTAGCTTGCATACATGTTTTTTTTCAGAGCGTAATATAATGAATAAAGAAACATATTATAAAAAATTCTATATTACAACTAGTTTTTATTAGGGGCTGATTACATGAGCCCGGTAGCCGGTATTCAGCCAAGAGTTAAATGATTTTGGCAAATGGAAACGGTGCAATACTTATCATCAGATAAATCATCTCAAGCTATTTCACAATATTCTGATTTAATAACTGCTTAAAACATTTAAAATTAAAACAACCAGTTTGCCCTAATTTGAGAATTACAACCGGAATGACATGTGGCGCTTTGCAAACAGTGTTAATTTTTAACCTTGAAGTTCCGGCCTCTTTCAATCCTTTGAAATAATCGGGCTAGCTTGCTATGCTATCCGGGCCAGCTTGCCTCCATATAATCAGGCCCTTAGTCGAAAACCAAAATTTTCACGAAAAAATTAGTGACAAATTGAAAAGACAAAACAGTTCATCATTCAAAAAACGCCTCGAATTAGTAAGATCCAGTTTCAAAAAAAATATATTCTAAAACACTAAAAATGATAATCCTCCGTTTGAAGATACATACTGCAGTTTCGAACACATTTCTAAAAAAGCCGTGCAACACAATAAAAGTGAAGAAATAAATGCAAAAGTTAAAGCAAATTACCTTAATAAACCAAGTAGCGCGGACAAGTGGCACGTTGTGTTCACACATGCTGTTTAAAAGTTCTTCTTTCTTATTAAAAACTGGAACCTACAAAAGAAGCGCAAAGTCTTTAATGATGTTGAAGAGAGGGTGAAAAGCTTGTCGGGCTTATTTAAGCGTCATATACAACCCCAAAACGCTGAGCCCGCTATATAAAGGAAGCTAAAGTATTGTGCCGCCTTCATTTTTCAGTTGAAGGGACTCGTGCGTGTGGAATTTGTCCCACAACTATTGTACCCCTGCCAGTCTTATGAAAATTGAAAAAGGATATCCTTGCAGCTACGACAGACGTGCGGGACTTCAATATTTTAATGATGAAAGTAAAATAAAATGTATTTTGGGATAAAATCAATAGCTTGAACTTCACTGGGCAGCCAGGAAAAGACGATAAAATTGATCTTCAACGGCCCAATATACATGAAAAAACATTACTTCATAGCTAAATGCATGAGCGGAATGCACAATGAATTATACTTACTTTTTTAGTGGCCAGAAGCGTGAGCGGCTTACTTCCAGCAAGATCTCGCAGCCAATCAGAAAAGGAGCCTCTGGTCTTTGAAGTGATCTACATCGGAGCATATATCTAAATTAATTTCAATGTTGGTGTTCCCCCTCCCACTGATGGAGTACACCGTCGATGAAACTTCAACGAAGTTGAAATCGCTTTTCCACTTCTACTCTTTCCCGAAGAAAACGTTCTATTTCATAGAAAGATTACATTATACTTGAACTGAGCAGCGATTTTTCATGCGCATTTTGAGATAAACGAACTCACAATTAAATGTAAAGAATACCAAAGCGAATGCTTCAGTAGTTTCAACATCAACGCTTTCACCTTGTCACGTGACAAATTTTTCTTTGAGGCTAAACTTCAAATAATCAAATGAACACAATAAACACACGAGCACAATTAAAATAAAAAAGACACGTCAAAGAATGATTTTTTAACTAAGATGGACGAAACTGGGTAAAAATGCCTCTGCTCCAATTGTCTACGAATAACGAGGGTAGTGAGATTTTTTAGCATCTTAGCCATACATCTTAAGCCAGGTGTTTGTTTGTTTGGAGCAAATGTTACAAAATTCAACATTACATAATCGTGCTTTTAGGGTAAGCCAGATTTTATCTGAGATTAGACCAGATTAGACTCAATCGACTCAAAACACTCGCGAGTGTACCTATTATGCGAGTATAATTTGCTTTGCGAATGAAGCAAGTGTATCACGTTTCAGATATACTCGCTCATTCTCGAGTGGCTCGTCAAACAAGTGATGCGAGTACTCACAACGCGCAAGTGAGCTGTATGTTACTCGTGAATGGTATCGTCAACGTCTTGACCACACGTAGCGTTTGATTTTGATTTCAAACAACTGCTACGTAACATAAAGTACTCTAAAACATATTTTCACAATTGTCTAAAAGAATTACTGCTTTTATGTTACATTCACATGACAGTCAAAACAAAAGCAAAACACTAACCGGTGAAAACAATTCTTTATTCTGCGCCGATGGTTTTCTTTTTGTATCTTGAATTGTGTTGCACTTTTGCTTCTCGGAAAGAATGTTATTGAAAGCTGCAGCAAACTAAGATTGAATGAAAATGAAACTTGTTACAAACGGGATAGAATTTCCAATTGACTAGGAAGACCATTGTTTTACCTTGCTGATCGGAACCTGGGATATTTTATCTCGAGCTGAGGAACACTGAAATAAAAATGAACACGAGATATAATTTAAAAATCTGCACATGACATGGTCTAAGGAGCAAAAAGAGATATCTATTGTTTACTTAAATTGTACTAAAAGATTAATCAGTTATTTAACATAAGTAGCAAAAAGTATAAAGAGATCTATGCGCAAATCAGAATGACCAACCAACAAGTATAATGAGATCTATGCACAACTCAGAATGACCAATGAGCAAGTATAATGAGATCTATGCACAAATCTGAATGACCAATGAACAAGTATAATGAGATCTATGCACAAATCAGAATAAGCAATGAACAAGGCAATGGTTCATAGGTAACAAGAATAAAAAAACGCCTAAAATTTACTGAAAATCAAAGAAAACTTCAAATCAACTTTAAAAGCAAGACAAACAACTCACAATTTGATTTATTAACATACACATGATTGACTTTTTAGTATCCAAGAGATTAATCAGGCTACAGGCTTTGTATCAATTTGTCAGTTATGCATATTTGCAAGTGGACCATTAAATGATATCTTTCTATCTTTCTCCAACTATCCTGATCCATGATTTAAATTAATTATTTCATATAGTATAACATTACAAATTGTTTTCAAAATGATAACATTTCCGACATAATTTAAAACTGCATTGTGAGTTTTCATGTTTTGTAAGGTATATCAAAAGTTTCATTGATAATTCAATTGATAACAAAAAATACCAAGACATTTAATTTTTAATTCAAAATGCCCTACTTATTTCACAAACCTTTTCAAACATAATTGTTTTATTTAAAACAAGCATTGGAATACACAATCGAATGGCTTAATTAATTGTTTTAATTGACAAATTACATAGCACTAATCAATCACAGAAAAAATTTTCAAATGACTGAACTTATACACTCTTCATTAGCAAGATATTCTTCATGATTCCTCAAATAAAATTATGAAATACTATGGTAACACTGTTAAGACAAACTCAGGTGTGTGCTGGCCAGGGACAAGACAATGAGAATTCGTTGCAGGGCTCTTTTACAAAATAAGTATAAATTGAAAAAATCAAAAAATTACCAAATACAAAAAAATTGATAGAAGCAATCTCTGTAGAAGAGTTGTACACTAGCTATATTGTAATGTCCTAGGCCTGTATTATTACTCATTTTCTTTGCCATGCGAAGCTTTCCCTAGAGCCCCTAAATTACTAAGTTAACTTTCATCTTTTTAAAAATATTAAGATAATATTATAGTTGAAGTTGGTGTGCCATAAGGAATATTGTTATTGAGTTTAAAATGCCAATTTCAAGTTTTTCAACTATGTTTAATCACTAATTTTCAGTTTTCACTGTAAAAATTGAAATAAGCTAAACAAAATAAAATTTTGCATTATTACCAATATTAATCGATACTTGACAAATGAGTAATGTCCGCTACAGCAACTACCAAGAAAACTATAATTTATTCAAGGAAACAGAACATTGATGTGAATGCTGCTCCAAGCTATCAATCCTGAATCTAGTTAAATTATTTGTGATGTAAAGTTGTTTGGATGAAACAATAGATAAGGGTAAACAACTGCATTTCACTGCATGTCAAATCTGGTGTAATGTTCATTACATTCATAAGTATGCCAATTATTGTGTAAGCTGAGTAAACTCCTGAACACCACAATTACATGGTAATTCATACTTACATTATTGGCGAACATGGTAATGTCCATTACATGGAATTGCCTATATATCAAAATTTATCTACATAACTCTATCTATCTAGAAATACATGAGCAATGTCACAGTCAACTGATGTCAAAAAAATGAATATGGTTTTGTAAATTAAAAAAGCTATCAACATACACATTTTAAGGAATTTTCAACAGTACGCCAAATTAAAATAAATCATAAATTACAATTCAACAACCTCATGAGCCGAAAAACTTCCAATACCAATGTTGCTGAATCCACGTTTGACATTGTCTTCTGTAAGCTCATCCTAAAGATACATAGTTTCAAACATATTGTAAATCAGGACAGGTTTCACAGTTTCCATAAACTGAAATTTAGTGTACGTCACCTCTTTTTGTCCATCTCTTTGTGGGTAAAAATCGGGAATTTCATCCTTGCCTCGTCTAAGTGATCGACTAGAAGGTGGCATCTGTATAGTAAGATGCATTTTCCCTTCTGTCATTTTAAAAGTACCGTGAACACGGTTACAAATAAGTTAAAAGCACATCAAACTACATAGTGCAAATTTCCTACTAAATCCACCATCTTGGAACTCCGATTATTTTCCATCCACTAAAAGAGAGTTGCTGTGAACGAGTATGTACCAACAAATCCAACAAATGATGATGACAACGCGCTTACGTACAATATACGTTTCCTAATTTTTTTGAGCACCAGGTTCAGCAAGGTTTGTGGGCATAGTTGTGTGCGACGAATGAGCGGTTGTGCGTTTGTATCATTTTAGTGCATGGAAAATTGGAAACATCGTTGTTAATCTACGGCATCAGTCAGGGCGAAACTAAAACGTTAATTGGGGAGGTGGGGGTGGGTAAATATTCATATATTTAGCTCTGCTCTGCTGTTTGTGGTGTTAATTTCAAAAGAAATCAGCATGGCAGAGATGAATATATGAATATTTACCCCCATTAACGTTCTAGTTTCGCCCCTGCATCGAGTGATGTCGACCATTACCACACAGTGCACATGGTTAAAAACAATGCATTTTATGATGAATAATTTCTCAGATACACAAATGGATGGCAGATAAACATTGAACACGACTCGAATCACTTAATGAACATAGTAGCATTTACTAGTACTGTGATGCACACGTTGTGTCAAAGACTTCTAACAAGATTTACGAGAAATTTGAAAAGGTTTCAATGATTGTTGAAGCAGAAAAAATTTAGAAAACTACACTCCTGCAAATATATTTTCACGCAGTGCATCGACCATAACTGAAGATAGAAACTTCTGATAAAAATAAGAAAACATTCTATCTACAAATTTTGAATACAAAGTCTGTTAATTGAATATATTATCTCAAGTTTACATTACCTTAGTTCGCCAGAGTGTACTTAAAACCAAGTCTTTTTTGCAGTTTGCGAAATTTCAAAAATGCAGCATGAGTGACAGCAACATGTTATCAAATTTGTACATTGTATCTGAAATAATTGAGGAAGAAGAAAGCATCACAAGAGTATTGAAAGACCATATAGCCATGAGGAGGAAAGGCTTAAAAAAGAAAAAGAAGAATTTTCTAAAATGTTACAGTCAATTGAAATAGAAGAATTAAGGATTGCTGAAGAAAAAATAAGGATTTCTTAAGAAGAAAAATAAATCATGAAAAAGAAAGAGCAGATTGTGAGAGAGAAAAAACGAATTTTACAGGAACACGCTAAAATAAAAAGTTGAAAGAAGCGTTTGAAATCCGAAAACAGAATATTAGCTAGTCAAGAAAAAGAAATGGTTGCCGTTGATTGAAATAGAAGAATTAAGGATTGCCGAAGAAACAATAAAGATTTCTTAAGAAGAAAAATAAATCATGAAAAAGAAAGAGCAGATTGTGAGAGAGAAAAAACGAATTTTACAGGAACACGCGTTTGAAAGAAGCGTTTGAAATCCGAAAACAGAATATTAGCTAGCCAAGAAAAAGAAATGGTTGCCGTTGATTACTTTAGAACAATATTTGAAAATTGTAAAATCCCATCATTTTTTGAAAATTTGATTATCAATATCAATGATTGCAAAGATTGTAGAGTAGAAACAGATCACGTGGAACTAGTTAAAGAACAAATTGAATTCGATACATCAGAAGAAGATCCCATTCAACGTAAAATGGGAGGTCTTTCCACAGTTAACAAGAAGGAAAACTTGAAAGTTTGAAATGTGAAGCATCGAAACAAGAAAATGCTGGCGAAGATCTAACATTGAGAATTGATAAAACTGTTAATAAAGTAATGAAAGTATATTCAAGTGATACGTCAGAATCGATGTCTCAAAAAACGCCTACAAGAAATGCAATCCATTGAGGAGCGAGACACCGCTCAACTAAACATTGCTGAGCAAGAAACTTGTGGAAAAGAGGTGCATGGGAACAATCTGCTGTTCATTCGTATGAGCGCAAACCAACTAAAGCATTTTGGAATGAAAGAAAATCGGCAGCTGCAAGATTTCTACGTTCTCCGAAGACTAAAAAGAAATTGATTAAAAAAGAAGAAAAAAAGAGAACGAGGAAGAATTCGCCTGAAACAAAGTGCAACCTGTGCAATAAGTATTTTTCACCATCACAGCTCCTAAAACATAAAGCAACCCACCATGCAGCTCTATGAATGCAAGACGTGCCCGTTAATCTTCGGAAACGCTAGCGATCTAAAGAGGCAAGAAAAAATTGACCACATCAACTTCCAGTGCGATAAATGTGACATGTCATTCAAAGAAAAGCAAAACCTCAAATTGCACAATAGAACGCATACAGTGTATAAACCATATGAACTTAGTTAATGCAAGAAGTCGTTTCCGCATATCATCTAAGTCTTTTGTCTCATCAGTGGCAATTCGCTGGAATAGTACCTTACAAATGTGACGTTTGTGAAAAGTCTTAAGCAACATATGCGAACGCACATTGGCAAGAGACCCTATAAGCGAAAATTGTGTTCGAAGACTTCGTGCGGGGTGAGGACCTCATTTTGCACAAGATTACATATACAGGGTAGAGAAAATATTGCTGCAACGAATGTGGTTGTGTTACTAGCGGCGACGGCATTTGCCTCGGCATCAAAGTTGCACTCGGCTTAAAGAGGCCGTTTGTATGCAAGAAGTGTGAAAATTTTGTACTGTTATCGAAGTACAAAAAAAAACTCATCTTCAAAACGCAATGAAATGAAAGAGAAAAGAAAAGGAAAATAAGTCAGCATCCAGACATTTAGAAAATCAATCGTCTAAAGCCGATAACCGTACAATTTTGAGATTTTGTCCAATAGTTTTTTTGGTGCCCACCTGGCACAATCAATCAGCGGAAAGGGCGATGATTTGATGCGCGTGTGACACGTTTTAGTGTTGTTTTGATAATTTATAAACTTAAGAGCGTGAAAAACAGACTGTATCAGCAAAAATAAAACACACATACTATTACTTGCTTATCGAATACGTTTGCTGTACATAAATCAAACAGTATTTTCATGAAACGCAAGTCAGTTTCATGCATCAACAAAGCTATAACCCCTCCCGTGGAAAAGGAAAAAACTGTCAATGCACTAAAGTAATTTTATTTCCTTGAAATATCCGTGGGCTACATGTTACGTCACGACAGCCATGTTGGTGGTCAAATACAAAAGAATATTTTATGAATGCCATTGTTGGCACCAGCCGACGTGGGTGGGTCAGGTTGTTTCGTCATTCCGTGGAGATTGGTTGCTATCCAAGAATTGTGCAAATTATGAAGCAAACTAATTCGATATGTACATGCATAATTCTGTGTGTTTTTTTTTGAAATGCAAATGATTTCAGTTAATCATTGTTTTAAAGTATTTGAATGTAAATCAGTAAGTGATTTATGTTCTCCTACGTGTGCTCTCACAGCGAGCTTTGCTCTATATGTATTTGTTCTTCCTCCGTCATTGAAGTTAAAATTTTGAAGTTAAAACCAATGATCATTGTCGTGAATATTCATTAATTTCTCTGTCTGTCATACATTATTGATGTTGTGTTATTTGCATGTTATTTTCTCTTTTATATTAATGGGAATTTTGCTTGTTTGATGTACTTTGAATCTTCTACATTGTCAATTGCAATAAATTAAAAAAGACAAAGTGATTGAGAACCCGCCAAGAAAACTGCTTGACCTGGGGAAGCAGCATATCAAATTTCATTCAATTGAAAGGTCTTATCAATACACCACAATAAAAACACGCAAACTAATGTTGTTTCTGCTTTCTTCAACACTGCCAAACTCACATTTACGGATCAACAAGACGTCCTTTCGAGTCAATTGACTGTAAATTGCGAACCATCATTTGTACATTGAAGAACAGCAAAGGATCAAAACTGCCATCGTTGCTTCAGTCGGTAGACTTTTCAAAATGGTGAGTTGTCAATAACTCCGTTACAAGGAACCATTGTCTGATATTTTTTATGCATTGAGCTTGGACCACATATCTGACATTGTGAAAAAGCTTTTTCACGACGCGCGCAAATATGGAAATATTGTACTTTTACATACAACGTCCTTCAGTTCGGTGGCTGTAATGGGAAACGTAAAGACATCATACACTTGACGTATTGCGAGACGCTGTCAAAATAATTCTGTCTTTAAAGCAATGTGTTCGGTTTCACTCGTTTTCAATTCTACCCGAAATTTGTTTATTGAAGGAAATACTTGGTTTTCTTAACACAAATTTTAAATATTATATTGATTTGTCATGCTGGCCATGGAATTAATATGTGAATAATCTACTAAGTACCTTGTACATAAGAGCATATATCTAAAAATGATCGAAATGCATAAAGCGTAACTCGCGTTTTATACGCATTCTTGCAAACTTGCTGATCTTATTTAACCCTCTCAAATGTTGAACTTTTTATGTGCCCAGTGTATTAGAACCCTTATTACATTTGTTGCTAATGCGGTCGGTACAATTTTGATGTTTTAAATAGGCCTAAAGTCAATTGTGTATCGCCTGCGCAAATTCCGACTACGAAATAAGGACAATGTTTGTACACAGTCCAAAGGTTATTTTCAAACTTTATTCATATGTTGTATGAGAAATAATGAAAAGAATGTCAGGCTCTTTAATTTAATCTTAAATCATTTAGAGTATTAAAAAGCTATTTTCCTTTATTCTGATTTGAGCCTATTTGCACAACTGACTTAGCTCATTGCATTTTTTTTTGTTATTTCAATCAAAGACACTAGTTTCAGAAAAACAGAGGTATATATTTAGTCCACAGCATACGTTGTATTTTATATACATAAATTCAGAAACTTAGCAAGAAATTGCATGGAACTTGTCATTAAAGGTCTTAACAGTTAAAATTATCAAGTTTTTTACATGCAGATTATCCACAATGATGATGCTTTCTTGATAAATATAGTGATGAAATTTATTGATAAATATTTGAAAAAGGCTGACAGTAATCTGATGAGCATTTTTTCGGATAACATTTATAGTAAGAAGGCTTCTCCGGTGACGGTAACTTTTTCCATAATCTTTGTCGATTTTGAGCACGAATCACTGTTTCCTCCACGTTTTAAAAGTTTTTTGAGTTTTAAAACAGAAATATTTGTCTCCGATATAAAGTATGGCGAAGGATGCAAGTTTTTCAAATCGGAGTAAGTGATTGATTTGTCACGATGATTATTCAAGTCTCATTAGTTGTCCTTTGACTCGTACCTATTGCACCTTCATGCAGTTGTTTAAGATGTAGCATAATTGCATAGCAATATATTGCTATCAAAGACACATACTCCACAAGTGGGTACCATTTGAACAAGCATTCTTACTACAAATAATCATTTTCGGTCCATGAGAGATAATCGCTGTAAACCCACTTGCATGCATGCTTAGGCAAAATACTAATTTTAACACTCAGCTGATCAGAAATCAGTACGTACATATGCACGCACGATGTCGTACATGAAAACTTGTCTTAACTTCGTAATCTAGGGACTAAACAACGTCAATTCTAACCATTGAAATTTCTATACACAAAAATAATAATCAGCTCAACATAAGACGTCATCGATGGAGAGAGTTTTAAGTTACTATAGCAATGGAATACTTACTTTGACAGGAAGAAAAACGCGAGAGACCTGACATGAACCAAATGAAAGACTTGATGACCTGCCCTGTATGTGCCTTGCTGTTCCGTGAGCCCAAGATCCTGCCGTGTCTTCATTCATTTTGCACGCCTTGTCTGGAAAGTCTGGTTACTTTTGATGCTCAACAACGGTCATCTCTTATATGCCCACAATGTCGCCGAAGAGTGCAGGTAAACGGTAATAGTATTGTATAAGAAAATGCAATTTGTCATACAGACAACTATGACAATTACCAATTCTTTTGTTTTACAAAGAACGATGTTAGAATGGCAATATGTTCTTAAGTTTCACTTAAACATGTACCTGCAAACATGTTACGATGACGGTGTCTATCTACTCGACCAGTTGATTTAAAACCCAAAACCTGCATCTGATTGTAAATTACTACAATGTCTCTTTGATATAGGGCTATTACACTACTTTTTCCCCTCTTAAGAAAAAAATTTTGGTCCAGCCACATTTCATGAAGATCTTTTTTATTAATTAAACAATGCAAGTTTTAATTGTCATAACGCATTGGAACATTTGCTTAGTGAAATTTGAGAATTTATATCGTAGATTTACCTCTCTGTTGGAGCTTCGATTTTTTTTATCATAGTGTTACCAATTCGTCTTTTGATGTGTGAAGTAAACTTTGAAATCTGTAATTATCACTGAACAGTCAAAAGCATGGTTTTGTAACAATCTTTTCCTTTGTCTGATTGATCGCTCAGAGAATCATCTAAGTCAGAACGACTTACTCTATTTCATCCGCAGAAGGTGTATGTTTTATGGTCAAACTGAGTCGATTACAACTTCATTTAATGTCGTCATAGATTCCTGGCGAAGGAGTTTCAACCCTGCAAACCAATTTGTTTGCTCAAAACATGCTGACCGTAATCGCACTGGACAACTCTACCGTGAATCAGATCAGTTGTGAGAACTGCATCAGTAAAGAGACACCAGTGTCAAGGTGCAATCTGTGTCGTAAATTTCTCTGCAATTTCTGCACAACGGCACATCGACGCTCTCGGGATACTGTAGACCATCCGCTGTTAAGTCTGGACGATGTTCGTTCGTGTCTTCCAGGAGAATTAGCTAAGCCTCTTTTTTGCAACGTTCATAAGAAAGAAAAGTTGGTTTTGTATTGCGAGTCGTGTCAATCTGCAGTTTGTAGAGACTGCACCATGATGGAGCATCGAAGTCATAAGTAAGTGCAAATAACATTGCTTTCATTATAAGCAACATTGTTAGAAGATAGCGATTTGTATATATTCAACGTTACGTTTTGTCACATGCTCTAGTTGAATTCGCCATTTGAACCAGTTTGTCTGCACAATTGCCAAAAGAAACTTTTTGCAATTCAAGTTGCTCAATTTAAGTTTTGCCTCAATTTAATTAAATTCAAAAATAATGAAAGCAAGGGAAGAGAAAATTGTATAAATTGTCCATTGGGACGATAGGAAGTAAAATTTAATGATTTTTGTCATATAGGTCATATAGGTCTTTCAAGTCCATGATTAGTCATATTAGTTTACTTCTCATTTTTGAAAAGGGAAAACCGATACGTTTTCCATTGATTTTATGTTAGATACGCATTTGCAAAAGAGATCTACAACACGGAAAGAAGTAAAATCGCTGAACAGCTCAGTGAAGCAAGATCGACTGGTTTGTTACTGAAGCAAGGCTTAGCAGCAGTGAGCAAGATGCGTGCTAACGTCGATGAAAGAACACGATCAATGATAAAAGAACTCAACGACATCTTCACCCAATGCATGCGAACAATAAACGATAGATACAGCTTTCTTTACAATCAAGTTCAGAACATCCGCAACGAACGATTGTTGCATTTGGACGCTCAAAAGTCGGAACTGGAGTACGCATTCGGCTCAATACAAAGTAGCATTGGTTTTACGGAGTTGACGTTGCGTAATAGCACTCAGGTTGAGGTTCTCGCCATGAAAAAATACATCATGGATCGAATGAAGGAGTTAACTGGCGCTCAACACAATTGTATTCCAGTTGCGGATGATAATATTCGTCTCACAGTGGATAACAGGGTCATGCAACTCCTCTCAGAACTTGGCCGAGTCGAGGACACGAATACTAGCCCATCAGCTTCCATTGTCAAAGGCATGGATACCCCAGTCATTGTTCGTCAAATGGCTGGCTTTACAGTGCACTGCTATGACGGACGTGGTAATCCTCGAAATAAAGGCGGGGATCGTATTGTCGTCACAGTACAAGCGGCTGATGACACGTCGTTGTTGATAAAGACCGAGAAATGCTTTCAAGCACAAGTTGTAGACCGTCAAAACGGTTGTTATTCTGCAACTTATACAACCAACAACTCTGGAGAACATTTAATCACAATTTTTATTAATGGTATGCTACTAAAAGGCAGCCCATTCTCCGTGAATGTATTAGACAATAACAGTGAAGCAGTTCTTTCTACAATAACAACCACATCTTGTATCATTTCTCAAAGTAATGAAGATGCCGACTCGCTGTTACAGTTTGTTAACTCTTCTCCATCATTTGAAGTAAGCGTTTCTTCCAGTAGTTCTGGTACGAAACGTCAAGCGGAAGCGCAACCAGACGATATTATTGAGAGTGAAGATTTTCCAAAGAAATTTAAGCTTGAGCCAAACGACTTTGAATCTCTTCCGGACCAATTGTTTGCGACATCACCTGATGTGGTACGTGTCAAGCAGGAAAGCACCGTAGATAAGTTAACCTTTCCAAGAAATTGTTGTTTAGCGACGCACTCTGCTATTACCGTTAAGGAAATCTCATCTCCGTCTCACGGGATTCAAGAAAGTACCGTTGAGCCTGTTCCCGAAAGGCCTGTTATTGAAGAGCAATCTTTGCCGCTAGATACAAACTTCTTGACAGATAATTTAGAAGAAATTTCAAACGTACAAAACTTCAAAGATAAGTTTCCCGATTCAGTCTTATTAAACGATCATGTCACTGAGTCAAATGCAGCTAACTACTTAAAACTTGATTCGCCAGAATTTTCGGTACATCATTTTAACGACACGAAACCATCTATGGACGATGAGTCCATAGTCTGTGATCCGCAAACTCACAATTTCCCATACAAAATGAACACTCCAGAACATAAATTTGCTCAAGAATCAGAAAGCCCATCAACAGATTCTGCGGAGAAAGACTTCACTCAGAGAAGAAAAGTTTCTTCGCATAATTCAAAAGAAAATGTCGCTGACGAAGAAAGTTCGTTGGAAAATCATTTGAGTGAAATGAATGACGATAAACCTTTTGAAGTCACAATGGCACCCGTCCAAAATTTGGATGATATAGATATGAAAAATTCCTCAACAGTTGCCAATGAAAATAAAAATTTTGTGAAGAGTAAGCAGGACGAAAATGAATGAAATATGTCTTGCCAATCATTTCAAACTTTATAACATGTGCAGTCTTACGTCAGCATCATTGTTGTATTACTAAACAAGTGTACACGTGCGTCATCATCATATTGCTAGCCATCGGGTTGTATTCTTGAGCTCTATTTGTTGTTTGGCTTCAGAGCCAGTGCGAAGCAATACTCGGGTAATTTATGCAGCTGCTCAATGTGTAGCATACGTGGGATTCAATTATTGACGCTATGAAAAATGGAAAGAAGCAATTACTAATTTATATTGTAACTCATATGACAATATCAAGTTTTGCTCCTTTTGCTAAAATGATATAAGAACGCAAAACATGAATTATACCTTGTTCATATTGAAACTCAATGATATAAATAAATAAAAACAAACGTATTGAGTGTGACTTTTACTGTGGGATTATCTTGTCACTGAGAGAGGTTGTGGGGAAAAAATAATTCTCAAAAATTAAACATGACGTATGTCGAAGTGCGAACAAATGAATTTTTAATATCCTCTGAAAGAAGAAAAAATAGTGCACAAGGTCATTTGAATAGTTTTAATCAGGATTTCATGCTTACTTTACCGATACGTAATATCAGGAATATTCTAGTGCAAGAAATAAGGATCAGTTTTGAATAACCAACAGCAGTTGCATACCGCCAAGCCAAATATATTCAACTATTCGGTGCGATAATCAGTTATCTTACTAAAATACAAGATCGAGTTCAAGATAGTCTTACGTTTCGTTTTCATTAGCTCATGCATTAAATAAATTACTGCAAGCAGCTGTTTCGTTCGTGTAATTAACGCGTTTCCTATTGGCCCATCGCACAAAGTTTCATTATTCGTGTTACATGTTTGATTGTATTTACCTGCTGTAGTCTCTCGTTATCGCAACAACGTTTCTTGAATTTGCGTGTTTTCTTTCTAAACTCTCATCGTTTATGCTAAATATTATAATTCCGAAGCATGTATTTGTGCAGTTGTTGGTAGTTTCTATGTTCACACTCGAGAGAAACGTACCTAGCGATTGTCACTTTGTAGTTACTTGTGGCTGTACTTCCTGTCGCAGTCAAATAGAGGCTCACACAAATGATTCTCGCTGATGAAAAATTGCCTGTTTGAAAACAGAAAACGTTTATTGTTGAGTCAGAGGAACGATCTTCTGCGTTAAATTGGGAAGGAAGCGTCATGTTTGATGCAAATGAAGAATTACTCCATTCAAAGCGTATTCAAAGTAGAGAACGCTTACCGCCATTGACTACGAAACAGCAGAGTACAAGAAGCCGAACACATACTGAAACTCAAAATTCTTTGACTTCTACTGTTTCTGAAACTTATCTTACTTCAAAGCAGGAGTACAAGGGCCCGCGAAGTCCATCTAATTTATCGATACACTTTAATTTTGATGATTTGCCTGATCTCAAAGCTATTGAAGCACCATATAAAGAAGTAGAAGCAACAGATACGACTGCTTCCATAATCAAAACGCGTTCGCACAATTCATCAACACCCAAGACAAATCGACGCTTAAATAATGTAAGGTTGAAAAAAGATGCTTATCATGTCTTAAATTACATCAATCCCACGCCGAGGATGGCAGTACAGAACTCATCGATAAGAAGAGGAGGAAAAAATGCTGTGAGAAATGAACCTTTGAAGGAAGTACAACTTGTTTCAAACGTTAAAAATACTGTTAGTGAAAGAAATAACAGAGCAGAGAAAAAAGAAACATCTAGTAGCACTTTGGCATTCCAACAAGATTCCAAAAGTGTCCGAAAAATGTCCACGTACAATCTGCACGAGTTTCTTTCATTGCCAGATGATACAGAACTGCAGCCCAAAGAAATTGCGGTTAGTAAAGCAAGTCGAACCAAGACTACATCACGGAATCGTTTAGACAAGAGCAAACAACTGAAAGATTCTACTCACAATGTTTTCAAGTTTGGTGCAATGTCCGCCGACATGCCAAAGTCGTTTTGGCCAAGATATCAAAGGCTCAAAGACACTCGACCGCAGATGATCGACTACGAATCACTGAAAAGCAAAAAAGTGGAAAAGAGTAAAATCCCATCTGTTATAATTGCGGATTTGAATTCGAAAAACGATTCACCGAGAGAGAAGCAATCGACAAAGAAGTCACCCATTCTGAAAAAGAAAGAGTATCCCAAAGATACGCTTTCTAGTTTAAGTGATCGTCAAATCATGCTTGAGCCTCCAAAAAAAGATTTAAGAGAGCAACGAAACTCTGTATACAACTTCCGTGAGTTTTTGATGTTATCTGACACTGGGCATCACACTTCAATCAATAAATCAAGCTCCTTGATAAACCAGGGTTTCAATTCCCATGTACAATCAAATGCACACGAGCGAAGTGAACTTTTTCCCTCGTTAGATTTGGGGAATAACACAGTTGAAGTAAATACACCAGGTGAACGTAAACGAAATTTATCAGTTTACGACGTATACGAGTTTATAAAAGCAACAAGTGCTAACGAATTGTCTGCCTGCTGTGCCTCGCCCAAAAGTCAAGACAAGCCTTCCATCATTGAGGTGGCTTCATTGAGCACCAAGCCTTGGAGTGGAGACGACACCAAAGGTAGAGAAAATAAGAAAAGTTATTATGACTTGCGCGAATTTCTAATGTCATCCATGGGTGGACAAGAAAACACCCCTAGTTCTTTAGAAAATCGAAAGAACTATGCAGAGCAAACAAGAACAGTTAAAAGTTACCATACGTCGAATTCGCAGTTTGAAGAAAGTCCTTACGTCCATAGAAAAGAAATATTAAAGCAATCAATAGATTGAAACTAGTAAGACGATGAAGAACATGTATGTCGAGACTAATCGATACCAATAATTAATAGATTCAACTTATACAAACACATAGCAAAAAGAGATTTCCTCTGACAAATATTTTATAAATACTAAATGAATCCCCGATAATTCGGAACACACTAATTAGGAATTGAATAGTAGTATAATAATATTAAGTTTGATGCTCACTAATCAGCAACATTATTTGTTGGTAATCATTACCTTATATAGCAGTTCGAATACATCATTTTATAAAAACAGGTTAATTGCAATTGTCATTTTAGGCCGACTGAGATTCATTTATTTAGCATTTACGATAACTTACATGGGGGGAGGGGGGGGGGAGAGGAACTTACTATTTATGTTGTGTTGTTGTGTACAGTGTACAGTTCACGTTGTGTCATCACACTTTCCTCAAAACTAGCTAGAGATTCAAAAAGATAGTGCAATAGTGCAATTTTGAACATCCATTGATTATGGCCTTTTTTAACTTGAGTTCGATTTAAGACAAATTAAGCTTGTTTCTTCATTTTTAAATGGTAGATATTGGCAGATACTTCAAAAAACAATTCTTCACTTTTTCTATAATTAGCTGATATATTGATGATGAGATTCACATCTGCTTTTCTTATTTGCGAGTATCATATCAATAAACATTTAGCTCATAAATTTATACTTAGTAGAATATATAATATAAAGTAACTATGTATAAGAATGTTGTTACATCTAAAAATAAAAAAAATTATTTAAGTGTAGTCTATTTTCAGCTTATATTTGCAGCATTATAACATTATTCTTTGAAATTCACTAATTTTATGTTTGGGCTACTGAGTTCAATCGATTTGGCGTATCCAGGGTAAGTCAAAATAAACTACTGTTGCTTATTCTGCATATATTATGTTTCAAAACACCTTAGATGAAATTCCAGTGGTAACATTTCATCTTCAGAGGTTCATAACTAACAGTGCTATCTGACAGCATCTTGAATTTAAAATTGCCAGAAATAATTTATCCATGAGCTTATGAACTGTCACCATTAATTTATCCAGTGCAGTATATAGCTACAGATGTAGACATAAAACATAAAACTGTTTTTTGCGATTGCCATTTTGTAAAGCAAAGGACAGCGAAAAAATTTTATTGAAAGCTCGTTTACACTCTATATTCTGATATATTTAAATGAAATCAAAACTTGCACTAGCAAGTCAAAGAACAAGCAGCGAATGATGCATCAAGGCTAAAAAACTTAATGCCACTCTCAAGAATTAAGCATTGAAGGATTTCTTCATTAATTGATTTTTTATAAGAGAAATTGCTGAAAATATAGATAGATTGAAAGAGATTTTTCGAATTATTAGATACATTTCAAAATGTCCAGAGATTCTTGAGTGTAAATAAGGTGTAGTTTGACTGACAGTGAATGCAGAGTTAGCATTGACACTTAAAAAAATATTCAACAACACATCTCATCAGATATTTTGAGATACCTTGTCTTTGAACAAAAGAAAAAAAAAGACAAACCTGTCGAAATATGATAAACATTAAACCTTATGACGAGGTGAAAGAGGCGACGCTTCAGAAAAGTTTGATTTAGTGAAAATCTGAAGCTAGCGAGAGACAGTAAAGGATAAACCTATACAAAAATAGTTTCTAAGGAGCACTTTGGTCGAGGGTTTGTTTGGCCAGTGTTGTCTAAGAAATGACGGACGGACAATGAGGTCAAACACTCAAGGAAAGGAACCACTTGAATAAAATATTTTGCTGGCTTCTAGTTCAAAATTTCTATAGCTACAGTTGAGACCCGAGACATATAGTATAATAGAAAAAAAATGTCTCACCTAGAAGATTAACCGTTAGACATAATTATCGAGCTATAACATACGTTCTCCCACCTTACAAATCATTGGCCCTGATAGTCAATAATTTTTCGACTTGAAATAGAGGATGTTACTGAATGTTTACGATAATATACAGTAGACAAAACTGGATATTTTAAAAAAGTATTGATAACAGTTATAGCTTGTGCTTTTTACAAATACATTACTACTATAAGAAAGTGGTAAATGTTTAAACAACATTATATGCTGTTAGTTAGCGATATGAATTCTGGTTGTGTGCTTGTATAATTATGTGATTTGTTCCTATATTCAATATTACTACAAAATTAGTCCCTGTACGACTGCGATCACAGATTTTCAAAGCTTACCATACACATTTACAGCAGGCTTTCTACTAACAACTGTATTGGGATTGCCTTTGTTGATATTTGTCAGCATTATCGATAAATACGAGGTAAGAAGATCGTTCATTTTGTAGCCCTGTTTAGAAAATAATGGTAATATAAGTTTTCACTATTTCTGCCACACTTCATCGGAAGTGGTTTTAAGCCTGGTTCACACGAGTGAATTAAGGATAAGCACAAGCGATAGTAAAAGATAATCACCGAAGCATGTGACATTAGCATCGACATAATCGCAAGCATCGGGAAAAATTCAGGCATAAGATAAGAAAAGAAAAGGAGAAAAAGAAGATTTGAAGAAAATCCCAATGTCTTTCTCTTTATAAACCTCTAGAGCAATAAAGACAAAAGTTTCGACGTTCGTGCTTCTTTTAATCGTGTGAACCAGAACTTACGCTTTAAACGTTTGGCTCTTAGGTCAATTACAAACGTCGAACTTTACATGAACCGAACGTATTGAGAACAAAAGATAATGAGGAAGTTCATTTCATTTTCTTTTGTTTTTAATGCGTTCGGTTCATGTAAAGTTCGACGTTTGAACTTGGCCTTATATTCATGCACTTTTTTATTGAATAAGCATTGTTCAAAATGATTTAATATTGTACATATTTACTGTTTGACTTTATGTGGAATTCTCTGGAGCATTCTCAGGAATTCTCTATTACGCATCTTTGTTGTAATATTTTGATATTACAACAAAGATGCGTAATATATGCACGGAGCTCACAATATTTTATGCACCACAAGCTTACCATAATGATGGGGATTCAAATTACAGAAATAGGTAAATTTACATAGTTTGTTTTTCATACACATGGTATATAGTTCAATAAGCATACATGATGCACGGTTCATACAAGGTTTATGAACTGCAATCCTTTGAAATTACCTGACGTTTTGAATTTCTAATTCCTTTAACTGAAAACGATTCAGGCTGCGAATTGTATTCGTATTTTAAGGCTGCTGACTTGATTATTTTAAATTGATTTTTTCTAAAATTTGAGTTTGTTTATACACACACAATTTAAAAGGAAGCTAATCAAAAGCTTGCGCGAAGATTGTGATAAATGGAAATCTAGCTAAACAAATCTCCCTAGTATTTTGAATATTTTATCAGCAATTCTTTATACCTTTGAAATAAATCCTAACCTTTGCTTGTTGACGACAGCATTAAAATATATTAATCATCGAGGCAATCTTCAGACTTCGTAAAAGACTTCAAAGAATTTCATCAACTCATAGACAATCCTCAATTGAAAAGGTGGGGGTGACACATCTTCATGTATGCGTTTTCTGTCGTATATTAAGTTCCTTTAAAATCGATTGTTTTTATGCTTTATGACATATATGAATATTACCCCCACCATAAATTCAAGACTTTGCTATGGCACTGCTAATAGACTTGTGATTTGACAAACTAGTCGAAATCAAGCACTTTTCGTTGAATTTTCCATCCAACTCCACCTATTCTAGCCCATAACAAACTAATTTTGGCCTATTCATAGCAACTTACCAAAGATGTTTCGCAAACGAATTTACTTCCTTTCATAAGGCTTCCGATCGTCATATGGAAAGATGTGTTACCACTGCTCCAATTGGAGATCTTTGAAAACGGATATGTTTCAAGAATTTCCTAAGAGCGAAAACACTATAGGTTAAGTGCAAAATGAAAAATCAAGTGCCGCTCCCGGGCATTTAGCTATGTTGCGGTAAAATATTGCTGAAAGAGCATTTTGATTTGGTGAAAATTCGTTCGCAAAAAAAAAGCAGAAAAAAAGGACCAGACCTTATTATCTCTGTGAATGAGACTCGCACCATTTTTGTTAATCACAATAATTAAAAACTCTGGAAAACGAGGCTCCGTTGTTTGCTGTAAAAAAACATTAGTAAATTGATTAAAGTTGACATTTTCTACGTCTTACATCCTGTAAGAGACAATGTCAGCAAAGATTCTACAATAACTTCAGTTTTTCAAACACTTCATTTTCATCGCTTATATATGTCACTGAAAGCTAGTCACATATGCTGCTTGGAAAATCGAAATATGTTCCAAAATAATGCGGTGAAAAAAAAACGCAAAACGCACCTTGACTTCAAAGAATTCAGAACCAAAAGTTGGCCACCGATAAATAATCTTCAGAAAGGAAATTTTTGCTTCATTCTGTGTTTTACCTTGGTGTTTGTTATATGCAGCAACAATTGCCTGATTGAAAGGGGAAAGAACACAAATGTCCACTTTTCTTTTCTTACTTTTGTATAAAAAAATGTAGAAAGTAGAGCTACTTACCCTTTTCCAGTTGTCCTGAGTCATCGCACCTTGCGCACTATGAACATTCTTTGGAATCAACTGATCAAGCATTGACTGCACAACAAAAGAAAAAACCCCAAATAAGACCCTCAAATACTTCTGTCGAGATTTAACCCAGCTTTTGCTTATTATGATGCATGAACTTTTGATGCTCAATAAAATATAGAAAAAAAGGTCTACTTTTTCACACTGTTTGCTTACTTAATTTTTGAAAACTGAGATTTATCATTTCCGAATTTCACTCTGTAAATGAGAGCAGCAAGCTGAGTAGCATCTGCACTTGAACACTTGTGGTAACCTCGTAGATATTTTGGAAGCTCCTATAAGGAGAAGGATGATCAATTGAAATTTCCAGACAATATCTAGAAAGATGAAAACATGTATGATAACCTGATGGTAATGGAAAATGCAGTCAGCTGCCGGATCTTTTCCAGGTATGGTGTTGGTCCAAAGTTTCTTCATAAAAAATACTTGATAACTGATAGATGGGTTTGCATCCACTTTAAAATCTAACATGAGTAAATGAAGCAATGAATATTTTACCGACCTTTAATAACAACTTCAATCGATTGACGAAGACATCTTATTTATATACCATGCTCATAAATATTAGTTTTGGAATTGCATGTTCATTTAATATCAACAGGAAAATACATCTTTTGAAAACAATGTTTATTATTAATTACAAACAACCTTTTATAGTGCCAGATGCATCTATCGTTTTCTTGAGCCACTTCATCCAGTGACTTATAAAATCAAAAAAGAAATCCCCTTCGGGAACGCTGATTACTAAATAAAAACAAAAATATGTCAAAATGATAAGATTATTCTTCAAAAAGATAACATATTTATATATGCTGGGACATTGAAAAACAAAAACAAAATAAGCTAACTAGACAAAAAAAAATCTTGGAGAGAATCATGAGAATTACACGGGTAATTTTGACATTGATGAATAAATCCCCAAAAAGCTGAATGTAAATAACGAAAAATCACTTTTTATAAATAACTAAAAATCACTTTCGTACCTTTATCTGCTATTTGTGCAAATAGACTAAATCCATCGTATGAGTTAAGTCTTAAATTTTGCGCAATTGATGCGCACAAATCTTTAGCTTTCGTTCCTGAGTCAACTTTACATGCCTAAAGTAATAAAAACGTTTAAAACTAACGACACATCACGATTTTTGCATAATTTTTTTGTCTTGAAACGAACTACTCGAGCTCGAGATATGAAAAATTGCATCAATTTATGACGTCGTACAATAAAGACTAAGAGTTGAAATATGCAGACGTAAATCAGTTTTTTGTTGACAAAGACAAACACGTTTATCACGATTAAAGCCAAAAATATCAATCGCACGCCTAAAAACAAAAACAAGAAGATCTAAAAATGGAGTTGATTCGGGTTCACTTACGGTTGATGCACGTTGTACCTGTTATATGGTCAATTAGCTAACTCATGCATGTCATAAGGAAATCGTCAGCAAAGCATTACCATTAGCAGATGCATATAGCTTACCTGGCTTTCATTATTTGGGAAATATATTCTGTGGTATACGTCTTTTTCTTGTCTCTATATAACATGGATGAAAGAAAAATTTTGGATGATGTAATGAGAGGATGGAAATCGACTTTGGAATTATTCGCACCACGCTCTGCCTACTGAGCTTACGGAGCTCGCATTCATATAAAAGATTACCATATTGATGTAGCAATTTAGGATGACAGGTATTCAAATGTTTTAAAAGAAAACATTGTTAAATATTATAAGCAGACCTGATCTTGACTACACAAACCTGGACTATCAATATTTAAAAACATGGAATTGTAACCGCTCCCAATTCCATATTTATTTGCGACGTAATTTTTTACAAGTAAAAAAAGTTTGAGTTGATGAATAATAAAAACCACTAAAGTACCATTAAAGATAATTAAATTTTGCTATGTGCTTTTGAAAATATTTTTCAAGAACTTTTCCTTCACAAATACTAATTTTGAATAGTGAGCTTAACTAATTTTTTCGGAGGAGGGGGGACATGACCATAAAGAAAGTATACTTTTTTAAATTTGAGAAGTCAAAGAAATTAATGAAAGAAATTGTGAAATTTAGAGGACTTCTAAGATTTCTTCACAATTATTGGGGCAGCAAGGCTACAAGTCTTTGTCGATGTAAATTTCTGAAGATTCTAATAATTCATTTAATCACAATTCTATCGTTTTCTCATAGCATTAACAAAGAAATGTTTGGGATAAAAGTGGGCTGGCTACCGGGAATCAGAGGGGACCAATAGTGATACTATTAAAATTTTCTGAAATCAATATTTCTGCAGATACGCCACTTTTTGTAATGCTTTAGTTTTAAGACAAGCGGGTATAGAGTGCTGTGTTAAAAATTTTTTATAAATGTTTATATCACGTGTAACATAAAAGTAGAACACATATGGCTTTATAAAAACAAAACGATTATAGAAAGATAGATGTTACACGTACTTTACATGCTTCGACTTCAATAAAGTGGGGTGGATACTTTCGTTGACCAATTCTAATAGTTTTTTGTAAACGCAGGATACATTCTTTTGCAATCGGCTGGATTTCCATCCATGACTTGAGGATTGAAATGACATACTTAAGAAGTTGATTGCTATTTTAGAAACAAAAGAATGCATCAATAACGTAACAATGAAGTGCATGGCATCATACGACATGCATAGTAAATATATATTTTGTAACGATATGAGTTTATCATTAACTTCTACTTATTTACTTGTGTTTTTTTGCGGTTGAGAGTCCTGCTTATGCAGTCTCGGAAATTCTATTACATTATCAAAAAATCACCTACGGCAGTAAAAAACATATTGGTAAAATTAGTAAGCATATTCATCGAAAATTGACCTAAGCAAATTTCGTTGGAAACATATCTATCATTATATGTAAAACAACACTATGTATACTTTACCAACCTACAGGCAAACAGCCCAGTACACAGCCACATCAACTGCCATCCCCGTTTTTCACTGGTACTATAAAGTGTGTATCATAAACATGGCATAAGACTTGTCGGAATTACTTGCAATATTACAATGCATGTGTCTCTTCCCGATATGTTCCAACGATTTTTAAAAGCCCCTTTTCCCTCCAATAAACTTATGAAATGTTGGGACCAGCTCAGTGTCATTACCTGATTTTATTTGCAGTAAGTTGTTTGATGATTTGGCAATAAATCTCATCTCTCATTGGTTCCTGTAAATAGAGAGTAGAAAAATAACAAAGTTCTTCAACTTAAATTGGTTGTGAATTGGAAGATGCCTTAATTGTACATATTCTGTTACGTTTAGTGCTTTGATATTTCTGCAGTCCGTTTGGCCGTTTCAAAACCATTTGCTCAAGAGCACAATGGCGTAACAGCGCATGAATTTTCCTCGTATGGATGACGATGAAAGTTCTCATGAGTTTTTCATGTTAACGTATAAGGCTAAATTAAACTTACGGAGTTCAAAGGAGGTTCAAAGATCTCATCTGTTAGTTCGGTAGTTACACTTGTTCTTTTTGATGGATAATCTCCCATGAATTTTAAGATGTTTAAGACCAGTTAAGAAATTCACGCAAAGAGTGATTTTTGACATTAAGCAACAAGTACCTGCTTATAAGTATGCTCAGAGAATATAATTAAGAAAGATTTCGACCTGCTATAATAAGATCTGTTTGAAAAATCTGTCCAATTTAATGAAAAACACACGAAGAAAAAGGATATTTAAAAACGCCTGCGTAGCCTTATAAGACAAATCCTTCTTATCAATAAGTCTTTGAAGCAATGGCTGCTTGATAGGTTTCTGTCAAAACATGGAAGATAGCATTCACCTTTATTATAGTTTTGTAATAATTGCACTATTTTACATATTTTTAAAAAAACAGCAACCCTCCACTCCACCCTGTAAGGAACTTAACAGACACAAGCAACGCAGTTATTTTGAAATGGCTAAGTTCTAAAGATAAAGTATCCTTAACTAAGTGAAAAAAATACCTTTTGAAATGCCCACATAACTTGGCGAACAGCTTGTGCAGGTTGAACAGTGAAGTGCTCTTTAGAATATTCTTCTAGCGTATAAGGGCTCCCTGCAGTGTCTTTTCCCCTCAAATGGAGCGTGGGATAAGCTGACGAAAATATTTCTTCTTTCCTTTCTTTGCTCTGTTCTTCGAATTGTGCCTGGAATATAAGAAATTGAGTCTCGCAATACTGACCACATAAAATTGTGAGATATCAAGATTCAATTAAATACTTTTCATCCGTCGAATTTTTATGTCGGAGGTAATTTATGAGAAGATACATTAAACATGACCAAATCCAAACTAATAACATGCATGCATTTCAGCGGTTAAGTAAACAAGAGAAGACGACTTTTTGCTCTCTTTTACGAGTCACTCCAGTCAATGAACTTCATGCATGATTAAAACAATCACGATCTGAAAGAATTTTATTCAACAAATAAAAAAGTAGAGAAACGATGAATATCATGTGGAGAAACTCAATAACATTTTTAAGAACTTACCATGACATCAGCAGACAGATCACCAGACAAATCAGTTCTCTCGCATAAATCTTTGCAGCATCCAAAATTGGTAAAGGAGGCACCAGTCTCGTTATCTTGCAGAATGATCAAATCATTCTTTTTAAATGACAGAAAGTTCGTATTTTCACCTAAATTAAGACAGTAAAAGGACACAAGTTGTCAGACAAAAACATTAGGCTGTGTCGACATAAAAAAGAAAGTAGGCCAATATTTTTGAGTGAAAGTAATTTGAATATCCATAAGATTGACAAAAAAAATTCATCAGTTTCTAGTCAATACGATATGAGCATTATTTAGCATTTATTTATCCTTCACGATAACTTACAGGGGGGGGAAGAACTTACTATTTATGTCGTGTACAGTTCACGGTGTGTCATCACATTTTCTTCAAAATTAGGTAGAGATTCAAAATGATAGTGCAATTTTGAACATCCATCGATTATGGCCTTTTTTAACTTGAGTTCGATTTAAGACAAATTAAGCTTGTTTCTTCATTTTTAAATAGTAGATATTGGCAGATACTTCAAAAAACAATTCTTACTTTTTCTTTAATTAGCTGACATATTGATGATGAGATTCACATCTGCTTTTCTTATTTGCGAGTATGATATTAATAAATATTTTGCCCATAAATTTATACTTAGTAGAATATATATTGTAAAGTAACTATGTATAGAAATGTTGTCACATCTATAAACCCAAAAAAATTATTTAAGTGTAGTCTATTTTCAGCTTATATTTGCAGCATTATAACATTATTTTTTGAAATTCACTAATTGTCATGTTTGGGCTACTGAGTTCAATCAATTTGGCGTATTCAGGGTAAGTTAAAATAAACCACTGTTGCTTATTCCGCATATAATTATATTTCAAAACACCTTAGATGAAATTCTAATGGTAAAATTTCATCTTCAAAAGTTCATAACTAACAGTGCTATCTGACAGCATCTTGAATTTAAAATTGCCAGCAATAATTTATCCATGAGCTTATGAACTGTCACCATTAATTTATTCAGTGCAGTATATAGCTACATCTGTCTTCATTTATGTTTTTAAAAAAACTGGACGTGCTGCCACGTTTGTATTGAACATGAAAGTGTTTTTTGCGATTACCATTTTGTAAAGCAAAGGATACCGAAAAATTTTATTGAAAGCTCGTTTACACCTTATATTCTGATATATTTAAATGAATCAAAACTTGCAACAGCAAGTCAAAGAACAAACAGCAAATGATGCATCAAGGCTAAAAAACCTAATGCCACTCTCAAGAATTAAGGATAGAAGAATTTCTTCTAGAATTGATTTTTTAGAAGACAAACCTGTCGAAGTATGATAAACATTAAACTTTACGCCGAGGTGATAAGAGGCAATACTGCAGAAAAGTTTGATTTAGTAAAAGTTTGAAGCCAGCGAGAGACAGTAAATGATAAACCTATATAAAAATAGTTTCTAAGGAGCACTTTGGTCGAGGTTTGTTTGGCCAGTGTTGTCTAAGAAATTATGGACGGACAATGAGGTCAAACACTCAAGGAAAGGAACCATTTGAATAAAATACTTTTCTGGCTTCTAGTTCAATGTTAAAATTTTTATAGCTAGAGTTGAGACCCGAGACATATAGTATAATGGATAACAAAGTGTCTCACCTTGAAGATTAACCATTGGACATATTTATCGAGCTATATCATACGTCCCCCACACACAAATCATTGGCCTCTGATAGTCAATAATAAATAGTCGACTTTAAATACAGGATGTTACTGAATGTTTACAATAAAATACAGTAGACAAACTAGATATTATAAAAAAGTATTGATAACAGTGACAGCTTGTGCTTTTTACAAATACATTACTACTATAAGAAAGTCGTAAATGTGTAAACAACATTAAATGCTGTTAGTTAGCGAAAAGAATTCTTGTTGTATGCTTGTATAATTATGTGATTTGTTCCTATATTCAATACTACTAAAAAATTTAGTCCTCGTACGACAGCGATCACAGATTCTCAAAGCTTACCATACACATTCACAACAGGCCTTCTACTAACAACTGTATTGGGATTGCCTTTGTTGATATTTGTCAGCATTGTCGATAAATACGAGGTAAGAAGATCGTCCATTTTGTAGCCCTGTTTAGAAAATAATGGTAATAACTTTTCACTCTTTCTGCCACACTTCTTCGAAAGTGGTTTTAAGCCTGGTTCACACGAGTGAATTAAGGATAAGCACAAGCGATAGCAAAAGATAATCACCGAAGCATGTGACATAAGCATCGACATAATCGCAAGCATAGTGAAAATTTCAGGTATAAGCTAAGAAAAGAAAAGAAGAAAAGAAGATTTAAAGAAAATCCCAATGTCTTTCTCTTTATAAACCTCTAGAGCAATAAAGACAAAAGTTTCGACGTTCGTTCTTATTTTACTCGTGTGAACCAGAACTTACGCTTTAAACGTTTGGCTCTTAGGTCAATTACAAACGTCGAACTTTACATGAACCGAACGCATTGAAGACAAAAGATAATGAGGAGGTTCATGTCATTTTCTTTTGTTGTTAATGCGTTCGATTCATGTAAAGTTCGACGTTTGAACTGGGCCTTATATTCATGCACTTTTTTATTGAATAAGCATTGTTCAAAATGATTTAATATTGTACATATTTGCTGTTTGACTTTATGTGGAATTCTCTGAAGCAGAGAAGATTTTGATATTACAACAAAGATGCGTAATATATGCACGGAACTCACAATATTTTATGCACAACAAGCTTACCATAATGATAGGGATGCAAATTACAAGAATAGGTAAATTTACATAGTTTGTTCTTCATACACATGGTATATAATTCAATAAGCATACATGATGCACGGATCATGCAAGGTTTATGAACTGCAATCCTTTGAAATCACTTGACGTTTCGAATTTTTAATTTCTTTAACTGAAAACAATTCAGGCTGCGAATTGTATTCGTATTTTAAGGCTGCTGACTTGATTATTTTAATTGATTTTTTCTAAAATTTGAGTTTGTTTATACACACACAATTTAAAAGGAAGCTAATCAAAAGCTTGCACGAAGATTGTGACAAGTGAAAATCTGGCTAAACAAATCTCCATAGTATTTTTAATATTCTTTCAGCAATTGTTTATTGCCTTTGAAATAAATCCCAAACTTTGGTTGTCGTCAGCATTAAAATATATTAATCATTGAAGCAATCTTTACACTTCGTAAATGACTTAAAAGAATTTCATCAACTTATAGACAATGGCGTACCAAACTCCTCAATTGAAAATGTGGGGGTGACACATCTTCATGTATGCATTTTCTTTCGTATATTAAGTTCCTTTAAAATCGATTGTTTTTTATGCTTTATGACATATATGAATCTTGCCCCCACCATCAATTCAAGACTTTGCTATGGCACTGCTTATAGATTTGTGATTTGACAAACTAGTCGAAATCAAGCAGTTTTTGTTGAAATTTCCATCCAACTCCACCAATTCTAGCCCATAACAAACTAATTTTGGCCTATTCATAGCGACTTACCAAAGATGTTTCGCAAAGGAATTTACTTCCTTTCACAAGGCTTCCGATCGTCATATGGAAATATGTATTACCACTGCTCCAATTGGAGATCTTTGAAAACGGATACGTTTCAAGAATTTCCTAAGTACGAAAACACTATAGGTTAAGTGCAAAATGAAAAATCAAGTGGCCGCTCCCGGGCATTTAGCTATGTTGCGGTAAAATATTGCTGAAAGAGCATTTTTGATTTGGTGAAAATTCGTTCGCAAAAAAAAAGCAGAAAAAAAGGACCAGACCTTAGTATCTTTGTGAATGAGACTCGCACCATTTTTGTTAATCACAATAATCAAAAACTCTGGAAAACGAGGCTCCGTTGTTTGCTGTAAAAAAAACATTAGTAAATTGATTAAAGTTGACATTTTCTACGCCTTTCATGCTGTAAAAGAGACAATGTCAGCAAAGATTCTACAATAACTTCAATTTTTCAAATGCTTAATTTTCATCGCTTATATATGTCACTGAAAGCTAGTCACATATGCTGCTTGGGAAATTAAAATATATTCCAAAATAATGCAGTAAAGAAAACCCAAAAGCACCTTGACTTCAAAGAATGCAGAACCAAAAGTTGGCCACCGATAAATAATCTTCAGAAAGGAAATTTTTGCTTCATTCTGTGTTTTGCCTTGGTGTTTGTTATATGCAGCAACAATTGCCTGATTGAAAGGGGAAAGAACACAAATGTCCACTTTTCTTTTCTTACTTTTGTATAAAAAAATGTAGAAAGTAGAGCTACTTACCCTTTTCCAGTTGTCCTGAGTCATCGCACCTTGCGCACTATGAACATTCTTTGGAATCAACTGATCCAGCATTTGACTGCACAACAAAAGAAAACCCCCAAATAAGACCCTCAAATACTTCTGTCGAGATTTAACGCAGCTTTTGCTTATTATGATGCATAAACTTTTGATGCTCAATAAAATATAGAAAAAAAGGTCTACTTCTTCACACTGTATTATTTCACACTGTACACTGCTTACTTAATTTTTGAAAACTGAGATTTATCATTTCCGAATTTTACTCTGTAAATGAGAGCAGCAAGCTGAGTAGCATCTGCACTTGAACACTTGTGGTAACCTCGTAGATATTTTGGAAGCTCCTATAAGGAGAAGGATGATCAATTGAAATTTCCAGACAATATCTAGAAAGATGAAAACATGTATGATAACCTGATGGTAATGGAAAATGCAGTCAGCTGCCGGATCTTTTCCAGGTATGGTGTTGGTCCAAAGTTTCTTCATAAAAAATACTTGATAACGGATAGATGGGTTTGCATCCACTTTAAAATCTAACATGAGTAAATGAAGCAATGAATATTTTGCCGACCTTTGATAACAACTTCAATCGATTGACGAATATATCTCATTTATATACCATGCTCATAAATATTAGTTTTGGAATTGCATGTTCATTTAATATTAACAGGAGAATACATCTTTTGAAAACAATGTTTATTATTCATTACAAAAAACCTTTTATAGTGCCAGATGCATCTATCGTTTTCTTGAGCCACTTCATCAAGTGACTTATAAAATCAAAAAAGAAATCGCCTTCGGGAACACTGATTACTAAATAAAAACAAAAATATGTCAAAATGATATGATTATTCTTCAAAAAGATAATACATTATATATGCTGGGACATTGAAAAACAAAAACAAAATAAGCTAGCTATATAAAAAGCAGTCAAGGAGAGAATCATGAGAATTACACGGGTAATTTTGACATTGATGAATAAATCCCCAAAGAGCTGAATGTATATAACGAAAAATCACTTTTTTATAAATAACTAAAAATTACTTTCGTACCTTTATCAGCTATTTGTACAAATAGACTAAATCCATCGTATGAGTTAAGTCTTAAATTTTGCGCAATTGATGCGCACAAATCTTTAGCTTTCGTTCCTGAGTCAACTTTACATGCCTAAAGTAATAAAAACGTTTAAAACTAACGACACATCACGATTTTTTGCATAATTTTTTTGTCTTGAAACGAACTACTCGAGCTCGAGTTATAAAAAATGAAACTAAGTGTCAAAATTGCATAAATTTATGACGTCGTACAATAAAGACTAAGAGTTGAAATATGCAGACGTAAATAAGTTTTTTGTTGACAACGACAAACACGTTTATCACGATTAAAGCCAAAAATATCATTCGCACGCCTAAAAACATAAACAAGAAGATCTAAAAATGCAGTTAATTCGGGGTTCACTTACGGTTGATGCACGTTGTACCTGTTTTATGGTCAACTAGCTAACTCATGCATGTCATAAGGAAATCATCAGCAAAGCATTACCATTAGCAGATGCATATAGCTTACCTGACTTCCATTATTTGGGAAATATATTCTGTGGTATACGTCTTTTTCTTGTCTCTATATAAGATGGGTGAAAGAAAAAAATTGGATGATGTAATGAGAGGATGGAACTCGACTTTGGAATTATTCGCACCACGCTCTGCCTACTGAGCTTACGGAGTTCGCATTCATATAAAGGATTATCATATTGATATAACCAATTAGGATTACAGGTTTTCAAATGTTTTAAAAGGAAAACATTGTTAAATATTTTAAGCGGACCAGACCAGGACTACACAAACCTGGACTATCAATATCTAAAAACATGGAATTGTAACCGCTCCCAATTCCATATTTATTTGCAACGTAATTTTTTACAAGTAAAAAAAGTTTGAGTTGATGAATAATAAAAAACACAAAAGTACCATTAAAGATAATTAAATTTTTATATGTGCTTTTGAAAATATTTTTCAAGAACTTTTCCTTCACAAACACTAATTTTGAATAGTGAGCTTAACTCATTTTTTCGGAGGAGGGGGGACATGACCATAAAGAAAGTATCCATTTTTAAATTCGAGAAGTCAAAGATATTTATGAAAGAAATTGTGAAATTTAGAGGAATTCTAAAATTTTCTTCACAATTCTTGGCGCAGCAAGGCTACAAGTCTTTGTCGATGTAAATTTCTGAAGATTCTAATAATTCATTTAATCACAATTCTATCATTTTCTCAGAGCATCAACAAAGAAATATTTGGGATTAAAGTGGCTGGCTAGATGGAATCAGAGGGGACCAATAGTCATAATAGTAAAATTTTTCAAATCAATAGTTTTCTGCAGATATGCCACTTTTTGTAATGCTTTAGTTGTAAGACAAGCGGGTATAGAGTGCTGTGTTAAAAATTTTTTATAAATTTTTATATCACGTGTAACATAAAAGTAGAACACACATGGCTTTATAAAAACAAAACGATTATAGAAAGATAGATGTTACACGTACTTTACATGCTTCAACTTCAATAAAGTGGGGTGGATACTTTCGTTGACCAATTCTAATAGTTTTTTGTAAACGCAGGATACATTCTTTTGCAATCGGCTGGATTTCCATCCATGACTTGAGGATTGAAATGACATACTTAAGAAGTTGATTGCTATTTTAGAAACAAAAGAATGCATCAATAACGTAACAATGAAGTGTATGGCATTATACGACATGCATTAAATATATATTTTGTAACGATATGAGTTTATCATTGATTTCTACTTATTTACTTGTGTTTTTTTTGCGGTTGAGAGTCCCGCTTATGCAGTCCCGGAAATTCTATTACACTATCATAAAATTACCTACGGCAGTAAAAAACATTTTGGTAAAATTAGTAAGCATATTCATTGAAAATTGACCTAAGCAAATTTCTTTGGAACATATCTATCATTATATGTAAAACAACACTATGTATACTTTACCAACCTACAGGCAAACAGCCCAGTACACAGCCACATCAACTGCCATCCCCGTTTTTCACTGGTACTATAAAGTGTGTATCATAAACATGGCATAAGACTTTTCGGAATTACTTGCAATATTACAATGCAGGTGTCTCTTCCCGATATGTTCCAACGATTTTTAAAAGCACCTTTTCCCTCCAATAAACTTATGAAATGTTGGGACCAGCTCAGTGTCATTACCTGATTTTATTTGCAGTAAGTTGTTTGATGATTTGGCAATAAATCTCATCTCTCATTGGTTCCTGTAATTATAGAGTAAAAAATTAGCAAAATTCTTTATCTTGAACTGATTGTGAATTGGAAGATGCTTAATGCTTTAATTGCACATATTCTGTTACGTTTAGTGCTTTGATAATTTCCCAATCCGTTTAACCGTTTCAGAACCATTTGCTCGAGAGCACAATGGCGTAACAGCGCATGAATTTTCCTCGTATGGATGACGATGAAAGTTCTCATGAGTTTTTCATGTTAACGTATAAGGCTAAATTAAACTTACGGAGTTCAAAGGAGGTTCAAAGATCTCATCTGTTAGTTCGGTAGTTACACTTGTTCTTTTTGATGGATAATCTCCCATGAATTTTAAGATGTTTAAGACCAGTTAAGAAATTCACGCAAAGAGTGATTTTTGACATTAAGCAACAAGTACCTGCTTATAAGTATGCTCAGAGAATATAATTAAGAAAGATTTCGACCTGCTATAATAAGATCTGTTTGAAAAAACTGTCCAATTTAATGAAAACCACACGAAGAAAAAGGATATTTAAAAACGCCTGCGTAGCCTTATAAGACAAATCTTCCTTTCCAATAAGTCTTTGAAGCAATGGCTGCTTGATAGGTTCCTATCAAAACATGGAAGATAGCATTCACCTTTATTATAGTTTTGCAATAATTGCACTATTTTACATATTTTTAAAAATAACAGCAACCCTCCACTCCACCCTCTAAGGAACTCAACAGACACAAGCAACGCAATTATTTTAAAATGGCTAAGTTCTAAACATAAAGTATCCTTAACTAAGTGAAAAAAATACCTTTTGAAATGCCCACATAACTCGGCGAACAGCTCGTGCAGGTTGAACAGTGAAGTGCTCTTTAGAATATTCTTCTAGCGTATAAGGGCTCCCTGCAGTGTCTTTTTCCCTCAAATGGAGCGTGGGATAAGCTGATGAAAGTATTTCTTCTGTCCTTTCTTTACTCTGTTCTTCGAATTGTGCCTGGAATATAAGAAATTGAGTCTCGCAATACTGACCACATAAAATTGTGAGATATCAAGATTCAATTAAATACTTTTCATCCGTCGAATTTTTATGTCGGAGGTAATTTATGAGAAGATACATTAAACATGACCAAGTCCAAACTAATAACATGCATGCATTTCAACGGTTAAGTAAACAAGAGAAGACGACTTTTTGCTCTCTTTTACGAGTCACTCCAGTCTATGGACTCTACATTCAGCTTCATGCATGATTAAAACAATCACGATCTGAAAGAATTTTATTCAACAAATAAAAAAGTAGAGAAACGATGAATATCATGTGGAGAAACTCAATAACATTTTCAAAAACTTACCATGATATCAGCAGTTGGTTTGCTTAAAATGGGTAGCACATACACAGACTCAGCGGACAGATCACCAGACAAATCAGTTCTCTCGCATAAACCTTTGCACCATTCAGAGTTGGTAAAGGAGGCACCAGTCTCGTTATCTTGCAGAACGATCAAATCATTCTTTTTAAATGACAGAAAGTTCGTATTTTCACCTAAATTAAGAGAGTAAAAGGATGCAAATTGTCAGACAAAAACATTAGGCTTTGTTGACATAAAAAAGTAGACCAATATCTTTGAGTGAAAATGTTTTGAATATCCATAAGATTGACAAAAAAAAATTCATCGGTTTCTCATCAATACGACTTGGCTTTTCTTGAAGTATATACAATTACTGAATTAGGAATTTCTTAAGTGTCAAACTTCAAATGCTACACTAGGCCTACATGATTTAGACGGGTGAAACTTTAAAAAAAAATTCTTCAGTTGAAAAAGCATTAACAAAAAAAACTCGTGAAGGAACGTTTTTGCACCTGGAATGTCGCAATCCATCTTGGCTACCACATATTTTGATCGAGCTCGTAAACCATCGAGGAAGTACGTGATGAGTTCGATAATATCTTCACACGATGTTGAAGTGAAGGTAAAGTCCTCACCTTTTATGGTCGAAATGGTGAAACTTGTTTTATCACTGCAATGCAAAAATCTATAAGAATGATGCACTTAGATTATATTGTTCTTTGTTCTTAAGTACGCATAGAAGTAATGTGTCACATGCACTGATTGTTTGCGAAGCACATTACAACTGGGACACAATAAGTCTATGACATATGAAAACAGTAAAAACCTTAAACTCTGTATACATCACATAGCAATATAAAATACTCTTACAAAAAAAAACATAAACAGCATTATTTTCAAACCTAGTGCCTATTCTTAATGATATACTACGACTGTGGATAGTCAAACGCCATGCATGCATTGAAGAAGAAAATTGTATTTGTGCAGCTAATTTTTAAAACTACGAAGATCTGTACGTCCTTCAGCATAAACCAGATATAATAATTGCACATTAAAAGTTACCTCAGTCGGTTTTTAATTTTATCATTATCTTTTTCTTATATTAATTTTGCTAGTTTTCACTTTCATCATCAAATCAGCAAATCAATTCATGCACACATAAAAACATCAAGATACCTGTTGCTTAGCACTCCTGTAATTTTGGCAAACTGCAACTCTAATAGTACAGAGTCTTCTTTATTAAGAACGTACACGCCAGTCCAGTTCACTGCTATAATAATATTCTGCTGTGCAAGAGATGAACCAGAAAGTTGATTGGCTTCATAAAATCGCGAAAAAAGCATTGACCAACGCAAGCGAGCAGTTTCAACAACGTGACCTTTAATTGTATGAGCGTTAACTTTATCTTTAATGGATTTATTCTGGAAACAGAAAAAATGTTAATTGCAGAAGTATGGTGGCTATAAAACAAACAATAAATGAACAAAGAAGACGGCATAACTTTTCATGAGCAACATCAAGCAGTTGCGTTGCCAGTGTATTCAGACTTAATATGGCGGTGGGTGAGGACAGGGGTCAGTTTGGGTTATGGTTAGGATTAGAATTAAGGTTAGAATTAGGATTAAGGTTAGGGATGGGTAAGAGTTAGGGTTAATGAAGATCTAAAAGATACACATGTTTACGTAGAAGGGCAGTTTTCTATAGTATGTTTTAACTAGTGCACTTAATTCCATTTTATCGACATATCTATGCTCAAATATTGCATTTTTTTATTATTCCTCGTGTTTTACTCGTTTACTGGAGGCTGTTATTTTTATAGATATTTGAAATTTGATTCATGTACGTACGTGAAACCTGTATCTTAATGTATTTAAATGTTGCATGTGTTTGTATTAAAATATTGTGTACGTATGTACTCGAAAGTTGTATCTCAATGGAAGGGAATGTTTTGATGTTTAATTTTTAAGTAAATCTTACTTTCGAGTAAGCATCTTCAACTAAATGCCTCCACTTTTCTTGTCCACTTGACGTCTGCATATATTTGTCGGGAATGTACGAATGAAGTGCTGCATTGAAGCGACCTTTGGAAAAGTCTTGATTTAAGTCAATATAGCACTGTATAGCTGCTAGCTCAGCAAGTTCTTCTTCCTGTAAAGGGAAATTAGCTCTCTGTATTTATCAACATTAAGCGGGAGGAGCAGGCTAGGGCACTAGGTATATCAGACTCGTAATATAATGATATTGTTAACTATAATTAGTTAATACGAGTATTGATTTGCTATTCAGTCACTAGACAAACAAAGGGCATAAGAACAAGCATTGCATCATGCTTAAGTCAACAGGTTAAAAACGTTGTTAAATTAAAATAGCAATGCACATGCAGCGTTGCTATCTCTTTTTATGAAAGAATTCATAGCATGCTAATTAACTGGTATATTTTTGAACAATTTTAGTTAAAACAATCAAATACGTACGGTTGAGAATTTATATTCTTCAAATTTCACACCCCTCACAATTTGCTTGTAGATTAAATTTGTGGCTATTATGTCCTCGTGTGAATTATCCCAAGGTGAGAATATTTCTTTGCGGAAAATCAATCTCCATGGAGCATCTCTCTCGTGTTTTCCAAATTCTTTCGCATATTGCTCGCAATAAGATATTGCATCCATTACGTGCTCTTTATTACTACCCAAGCTTGCAAACTATAAAAAAATATATTTAAAATGTGCTAAATAATCTTTACAGATGTACAACCGCAAACATGTATATCACAAATCAACTAAAAGTGAAAAATAACTGCCTCATCCACAAAAAGGAATACTTAGGAAGTTTGAGAAAATATTGAATTGCATGAAGACGTTGTAAAGAATGATGTTATTTTGTTATTTCAATGGAGAAATCGTGGAAGGATCAATTGGAAAGGGCGAAAACAATTTAAACAAAGGAAAAACAAATAGTAAGAATACAAGGATATGAACAGAAGAAAATTGTGTGTGAACACTAACTATTTTCCTGGTATTAATAATCATTGGTGGATGAATGCAAATAATGACTCAAGAAACGAGGCAATGATCTTGTCAATGGAAAGGTAATTGTTAAGACAAAAAGATAGAGTCAAAGCACAGAAATGGAGAAATAACAAAAGTAAATACGGAGTTTGTGGAGGGATTAACTTGTGTGTTTTTTTGAGACGTAAATTTGTCTGAATGAAGGATGTTAGTTGGAAAAGAATGAAATACGGATGCACCTGTAGTTAAGATGCACAATGAAGCAGGAAAAATAGGCGTTATGAGATGATAAAGCTTTACATATATCGAAAAAGTGGGGAAGAACAAAAAGGAATCTGTGTTGTTTGAGGAGGATGAAAAAAGGTGGCAGAGATTCGAGTATTCCTGAAAGTAAAAGGCTTTTTACTTACAGTCCTAGCAAAAAGAATATAACAGAAAAAACAAAAGAAATCCTTCTTAAATAACAACAGTTTGCATTTTGACTTGAAAGAAGAAATGCCTTTTTGATACAAATAGTTTTTGACAATAAGTTGTGTTTGAGGAAGAATAAAAGGATTGATTGTAGAAACAAGTGAAAAAATTCAAGATAAACTAACATCAACATAAGCAAGACAGGCCATGCAGCGAGTTGTATATTATATAAAAGCACACCGGAATGTAAGGAAAAGTAATGAAAGGTTTGTTTCACGCAAGGAACTTTGTGATGAGCCAGAAACAGTTTTGGCCAAATTGAAACACCATGAAATAGTTACCTTTTCATACACAGAAATGTAAATTGAGAATCCGAATGAAGAGGCAATATTTGCTTTTTCGGCAAGTTGTTCACATAGCTCTTTAGCAGTTGTGGCGGAGTCAGCATACAGCGTTTTTGTGGTACCATCCATGAATGCAATTGGTAAGATCATTTGCTTCTTTGATTTTGTCGCCTAAAAATGAAGTAAAAATGACATTAACTGCATAATTGAAGCGACACCAAAATAAAAACCTTTTTGTTGTCCTCTAAAATTGTTTTGTACTTATGTGCTATATACGTGCACTATAAAGTGCAGTTTGTGGTTTTTACAAACGTTCTTGTCATTTTAAATTTATTTTTATGTATAGTTTGTTTAACAAATATCCAATTCAAGAAGAGGACCAGCAGGAGATTGATACTGAAAATGCTGAACATGCTGAACGTGCCGAACACGTACTCGTAATTCAAGCCAGCTGGGAGGCTCTTTTCTAGTTCCATTTTGTCTCGTTCTCAGAAGACGTTCTTCGCAATAAGGAGCATAATCAGGTGGACCGTTACGGATGAAGTTTCTCAAATACTTGAAGAGCTGCAATGTTTAGAGGAATTTGTCTTCATCGAAAATTCGAGTTCCCGTAAAAATAGACAGTGAAATGATATTGTTCATTAATAAACTTGAGACATTGTAAATGAATTTTATAAAGCATCACTATAAGGTGCATTCTGAAGACTTACTTTCTCAGTTGGACAAAAGCAACCAACACATAACGAAAGTAAAATCCATCCACGAGCATGGCTGACCTTGTTCGGATTTTCTGTCAATTGCTTGCAAATCTGGCAGTAAATCTCGTCTCTATAAGAATTCACCAATTAAGTATCAATTATATTAAGGATTTTTACTGTTTGCAAAGGATTGTGTTGGAGTTTAAGTATCAAAATCTCCATTTGATCATACTGTAGTCCAGTGGTATAGACATATAAAGCTTGCACATTTTACGCCCAGAACTCACTCACCATCACACTCATATTAGATCATACATCCACCAATCAATAAAAAAAATTATTTTTTTGTCAATGGGAAGTTTTCATACAAAAATATTTCAAGTTATCCATCAGTGGATTGAAAATACGATCTTCGAATAATTTTGATGTGAATTTTTGTGAGTGTGAGTGAACCTGTACAATAGAGACGTTATATTCCTGCCTGTATGTAAATTTCAGACATTAACAGTAAAAATCCCCGTTTCCTTAAAAATCTATCAGTTTTCACAGTAAGTGAACACACAGAAAAATTAACATAGTAGGTCTAAATAAGCAAGCTTCTACGCCAGTGCTGTAGCCTTTGCTGGATTATGTTCTTAAGTTGCATGTCAACGTTTCATGACATGATTTTAACTCAAAACTTGCTCAACAACAAAGATCCCAACCGTCATGGATATTATTTGAGGATCTTTCATGCGTACCTCAACTCAGGCCGTAAAATTCCATGTCCAATAATAAAATGAAGCTTTTTCAAGTTTGAAGTTGGTTTATCAAAAGCAGAGAGGGGACCATGTGATTCAGGAGTGTTGTCTTCACTGACTATTGCAGTCACATCCTAAGTTAAAATAGTCACGTGAATTATACAACGCACAACTGAAGACAATCAGGGTGTCCATTCTTGATTGCATGAAATGACAAAACAAAGCAATTTACGTGTTAGACTTTAGAATTTAGATTGCTACACGTACTTTCGTTATCTTGGATTTTCTTTTCAGCGTTAGCGTAGCTAATCTTTTTCGAGCTGTTCCACGACTTGAATCGTCCTCGTTCTACAATGAAATTGCAATATTTTCATGTAGTTATGTGATATAATTTATTAATTATTCAAATCTCTTACAACATTTCTGTCACCACATGAGGACAGTATTACCTGACGCTGTCCGGCAGACCTTCGCCCAAGAGTGTCATAGATTCTTTTCATAACACGTTCACCTGACTCCTGGAAGAAATAGTGCATTTACACAAACGTAACTTCAAACTATAAATATTAAGTCTGTACAAGAGCGTAGAGATAAAAATTTATTCAAATGTTGTTTTCTGTTGCAATTTTAAAAAAAATAAGCAAAATAATGATTGTTGAACCCATTGCCAGAACAGGCATTGTTTTCATACCTTCGTGTAATTGTTGTCTTTTGGCTCAGGCATGTCGTTCATAAAACGCAAAATGGTTATCCAAATAGCCAAGCACGACTATAATAAGCAAGACAAAAATATGAACCACTTCATTACGAACTAGCTTTGCCCCTAATATATACTGATACAAATTCAAGCATTACAAAACAAGTCACATATGTATAGTACCATCGAGTCCCCTTCGTATGCCATTGGTAACAGAGGCTGACGAAGGTTTTGCTTGATATGTGCATGTGTTGCAGACTGGAAGTACGTTGAAGCAAATTTCGAAAAGACGTACTGTGACAAATCTTCGTCCTAAAAACGAGTATCACTTTAGACATGATGTTTTCATTGCTTCAGAGATGATTTTTCATCACTTTAGACATAATTTTTTTCAAAACGAGCATCACTTTAGACATGATGTTTTTATTGCATCAAAGATGATTTTTCATCACTTTAGACATAATTTTTTTCAAAACGAGCATCACTTTAGACATGATGTTTTTATTGCATCAAAGATTATTTTTCATTGCTTTAGACATGATTTTTTTCAAAACGAGCATCACTTCAGACTTGATTTTTTCATTTTTCACTTTTTCGTATAAATCTTTCTTCAGTTTTGGTTCAACCGAAGAAAGATAAATACAGTTAAACTTTGCTTAAGAATTAAACTTAATAGTAGACATGATCACTTGAACAAACTGGGTTGACATTTGACAGTTACGATACTCTATACAGTTTCCATTCTTTCGTCTTCAAGCTTTAAAACCTCCCAAACTTCCTTTGTTTTAATCTCCATTAAAACACCTTCAGTTGACCTACTATCTAATTCATTAGTATTGTGAAGCGATGAATGTGAAAAAATCATCAAATGTGTCAAGCTTTAATCAACCTTTCGATGATCATCAGTTGTCATCTTCATATGATCTGATGCTATTTTCGGTTGTTGGTTGATTTCAAGGTCCTGTAAAAATATTGTAAAACAGGTTTATGTAACGTTAGGATGACATGAGACATGAATGGATAAGTTGTGTCAAAGCAGAAAATATTTATATGACACTAAAAATTTGTCTCCACTTCCCAATTGATCAGTGTATTTAAAAATGAAAGATCAAACGAAAGAAATTTTAACTTTTTGGATTTGTCTTTAACATAATTTACCTGGAAATATGATGTGGATGTTTCACTTTCTTGATCGTCGTTTTCGCCCAAATAACCAAAAATTTCATCAATCTAAAAAATGTATATGTTCAACAACAGTTATTGCCATAAATGGTAGCCAAAAGTAATTGTTAGATCTTTGCTCAAAAGAGCATCTATTTACATACCATAGTCGAATCATTTACATCTTGTTCACGACGTATTTTCGCAGATTCCTCCAGCTTCATCACATGTTCGGTTTTCTCTTTTGCTTCCCTCGCTCGTTGCAAATTCATTTCATTTTCGCTTTGTTCAATCACATGAATGCGTTCCTTAAATCAGGAAGGAAGATAACTTGAGTAAAAATTATAATACAAATTAAAATCTTCATTTATGAGGTTCATTGTTGGAATTTTATTGCTTGCAAATATAACTCAAAGTTTCTTTCAAATATTTCGCACGAGTATATAAAATCAAGATGTTTACGTTATATAGTTTTTCAGCCTCTCGTTTAGCTGCTTTTTTCCCTTTTTCATGTCTCAGACGCTTTTCTTCTTCACGAGCTATTCTTTCTGCTTCTAACTTTCGCTTTCTCTAGCAAAAAAAATTTTGGTGAAATGAGAATTGTGAATACTTTTGAAAACATATGAAAGAGGATATTTTCAGTTGGTTTATGATAACAGTGATTAGATGACTGTGCTAAATTGACGAGACCTCTGTCGTTGTCTTTGCCATTAAATGAAACCCTCTGTCGTTTAGTAAAACATATTTAGTTAAGGTTGAACACAGTAAAATGCAAATGCAATCTTTCTAATTTATTAGACAAACCTGTCTTCGTATTGCTTCAGCTTTTTGTTTGGCGAGAACACGTCGCCAGCCTGTTTGAATGGTAACAACTGCATTGATACGTTGGCGAATTTTTACTCTACAAATGTACCCACGACAGAAGCTTTGCAAGATGATAAGTCTTTCACGAAGAAGGTTGAATTTATTGGACAAACATTGCGCCCTGTAAACAGCCTGTAGTCGAGCAATACCGCGGCGAAGCTATAGAAAAGGCCAATTTATGTATATGCAAAAAATTACATACAGCTTGTTCCACAATAAAATTTTCCGCTCCCTACCTGCATGTTTTATCATAATTGAATGAAACCAATCATACAGTTTTTACTAAATTAGTGCACTTTACAAAAACTTACACGGATAAAACGAAGTCTTTCTATTCGTGCCCTGTACACTCTTTGCACGACAACAGCCGAAAACTTCAACTGAAGGAAGCGTTTTCTGAAGCAATAACCACGAAAGACTTTCTGAATGACGACCGCTTGTTTTGTCATCACCATATCACGACATTTTCCTAGCATTACGTTATGAACATCCTATATGGAAGAAGAGGTTGTTAACAATGTTTAACAGTTTCATTCACTCATGAGCATATATTTGTGGAATATCATGATGTACTTGTTTTGAACAGATAACCTTTTTACTCCGCGGCTAACACTTTGTTACAAACTGCCTATTGGTCACTAAAATTTGTATATAAGAGCAAATACCATGGCGAATGGTCGAATTAATAACACAATAATTCTTAAAAGAACTGTTTAAAACCTGAACACTAGCCCAACAATTCAAAAAGAAATTTTTTGTGTTATTTAGCTCTAAAAACAGTTCTTTTAGAATCGTTGAGTTGATTTCAAACAGTTCTTTTAAGAACTATTTCGTTACTATTTTGGCCATTCACCATGGTATTTGCCGTTTTCAAAACAATTTTTAAATTTGTCATCACGACAGAGTCTCTATTTTACTTGTCATTAGTAAAAAGTCTATGAGAAACTGGTTCTGCTCATTAACTAATGTAGAAACCTTGAGGAAAATTTTCGTTTTTCCCATCTGCCAATCTTCATTTGGCAACATCATAGAAACAATCGTTTTGGTTGCCTTTTTTTTATTACTTTCTTTTGCCGTCATTCCTTTCAGCAGAAGATAATATCGATGGACAAAATCATCATACTTGTGACGAATTGGGTATCCTTGTCGACGAATTCTACAGAAGAAGATGTGTAAAATTAATAAAAAAAAAACTTTAAAAAATGTTCACAATCTCCTTGTTGTTGCTGTTTTAGTTTTTTCTATCAACAAACAAAATTTTGTCAGGCTCAATCAAAGGAGAAAAGTTGCTATTTGTTTTTTCTTTACATTAAATAAACCTGAGGACAGACCATTCTTTGACAAATAAACGTGTTTACTGTGTTTGCACAGGCTTATGTAAGCTGAATAGACCTTTGGAAGAACTCGAAAGCAGAACAGTGCAAGACCGAGACCGAAGGTCAAGGGCTGCACCTGCTCTAGAGTTGTCACAAACGACTCCGAGGTTTGCATGAGCCTGCACGAAAAACATAATGCAAAAGAGACAAATTTAAAAGAAACGTTTCAATTTTTTCTCTAAAATTTATTTCTGGTTGGTTTGCAAATTCTCTTTGATTGATTGATTGATTGATTGATTGAGGTCAGATCTATTATGCTCACGCTAATGCAAGCAGACCATACAGCGCACGCGTTTTATTGTGTTTATTATATAATTAATATTGAAAAATTTCTTACTTGATGGTCTCCATCATTCCTGAATAACGTAATTGACGACAACACAATTCTCTGTCGAACATCTAAGACATACTTCACAAATTAGTTTTTCAAATTTCACAATATTATTAGCTTCTTGCATGTTTAGCAATCAACTTCAAGTGGAATATCCACTAAATGGAACGTTAAATCTCTTCAAAAAATAATTAATAAGTCACAGCAGAATGAAAATAAACTTCTTTCAAAGCTGAACAAAAATCTGCACTCAAGGTATTTCAAATTGCTTGCAACAGAAATAAGTAACTAAGTTTAACGGCAATGAGGAAAACTGTGCACGGTGTGCATTTTTATGTACACCAGGAGAGAACATGAACAGAGAAGCTAATTGATCTAAAAAAGTGAACAAAATATAACTACCATAGGTTTCTTGAAATTGTTGGGCTTAATGCATCTCACAAAAAATGGATGGCAAGCTTGAAGAGTCTTCATAAGAGAATCCAGAGACTTTTTGAACTGAGCACCAAGTGACGGAGAACGTTTACGCGTTTCATCTCCCTAAATCAAAAAGAGCAAAAGACTGTGGAATAAGACTATTTTAGATGTTTCCTATATAGGTCTATTACATCCCAATCTCCCATGAATCCAACTACCGTATCAAGGTGAGAAAAGAACGCCATCTTGAAAGGTGGCAAAAACATAACTCTGCAATTGTGCATAATAAAATAGAGACTTAGTCGTGGTGACAAGTTTAAAAATTGTTTTAAAAAGGGCCAATACAATGGCTAATGGTCAAAATAAAAACGTAATAGTTTTTAAAAGAGCTGTTTAAAACCAGAATATTAACCCAACAATTCTAAAAGAGCAATAGTAGTCTTTCATGAGTAGACTGCTGAAATGTAAGAACTATTTAAGAACTATTGCGTTATTATTTTGACCTTTCACCATGGTATTGTTTTTTAGAATACTTTTCAAAATTGTGTACAAATGCAAAATAATCAGATTTTAGTCGTAAACATCATATCAGTTTTGTTACCTTTCAAAATGGCGACTTGCCAGACTCTTAACTATAGAATTTTGGTATGAATATAAATACTATGGTATATTCATGTCATTGGTCTTAGTGATGAACCATGAAACAGAAAAATCATCTCCATGTAACTTTTTGATATTCCAGTCAATCATAAATATTGGCTGATGAATAAACATGAATATGCACCCATCCTGCTATGGATAGCAAAGTTACAGCTTAAGCTTCAAGCTTTAAGCTTCACCGAGTTTTTGTACGTCATAATTACGCTCATCATCATATACCTTTGCTTTCTGTCCAGAAAATAAATTGTACAAAAAATCAGATTTGCTGGTCAAGACCAATTCAAGCAAGTCGGCGTTGAATGAGTCTCTGTTTTTGTCCAAAAAGCCTGCCAAGATATTGTTGTGAAAATATAAAGTAATCAATAAATGCTCCCTACATAATCTGCAATTTCCATGCCAAAAAAGATAGATGAGGTAGAATAAGGTTTTTATAAACCATGCAGCTAAGAGATAGCTTCCACGATCACTAGTGACATCGTAATCACCCCGAAGAAACTTCTATATCTCTTACAAACTTCAATACGTCAAATGTGTGGAAGAGACCACCTCGCATAATTTTCATTGCCATTAATTAATAAACAGAATTTTCATGAAATGCGTGAAAAGAGGTTAAGGCGAACTATTATCTTACCATTGCTTTCGTAGGTAACTAAGCCTGCAAAATGATTGATACCAAATCTTGTGTCAGACTGGCTCAATGCAGGAACAAAATGACCGTTTTTTCTTGTTCCATGATTATTGACAAGTTTGTTCAGCATGGTTTGATCTGTTCCCTGGTGACATATAGGACGAGTACAAGTTTTAATTTCATGATTAAAAACTTACGAAACACAACTAAACTCGATTAGGAAGGTTCTTCACAGTGAAGCCTTGCGTTTGAATAATGAAAATGATAGTCTTGGACGGACAACATGCATAACTTATAGAGATGTGGGTTAACCATTGACATACAGCTTCACCAGAAAGAGCGTTATCAGTAATCACTCGTATCCTTACTAACTTAACAGATCAATCAATTACCACACCATAATTTAGGTTTTTCACCAAATGATAAACGACTTTAAATAGAACGACACCTTTGGAAAACGGGATTCTTCATCAATTAATGATATGATGTTCATTGGTTTTTGCCCAAGCATATCAAGAATGTCTTGGTTATCAACAAACGAAATGTGCTGCCATTTGATGCCCTCTTGATCATAATGATCCTATAAAATGATAAATGAGCATTAAATTAATGCTGAACAAACAATAGAATCTAGTTAGAGCAACGTCGTATAAAAATACTGCAGCTGCATGCACTTACGGCCTACTTGATAGAAAGCTCTAATTGCTCAAACATAGTAACCAAAAAACTCGACAAAATAACCTATGATCACAGTTTGACAAAAAAAAACAAGTTTTCAATTTGATTGTAGGCATGCAGACAAGTTTCAACAGGCAGTTGAAACAACAACAGAATTCTTTAAAAACTCATGCTAAAAAGTTCAAGGCGAGAGCTTCATGTGAGGTTTTTATTTAAAACTTCATAAGGAAACTTTATCGTAAGAGCCTGGTAACGATGTTTTTAATGCCGTGTGTAGTCTGCATGCCATCTATGTTTCATGTAAACAGGTTTGTCAAAGTAGTAAGATTCACTAGGGCTAGCTTCCTTCAACAGGAAATGTATACAGGCTAGCAAAATAGTGTCGAGTTTTCATCAATTTATTGAACATCATTATGAAATTCTATCAATCAAAAATAATTAAACAACTATGTACAACTAAATTCAGTGAATTTGAACAGAAAGATATCAACTAACTTGTTCCAACTTGAAAATGTGTCGGACAAAAAATTGCTGAATGTTTTCGTTTGCATAATTGATACACAATTGTTCGAAACTAAAAATAAATAAAAAAATGCAGAAGGAAGCCTCGAGGTGGTAAAATCTATGTATAAAAGACACGTCGTTCTTCTTGAATTACGCTGTTCACTAAATGCAAATAATGTCATTTAACATTTCACCCTTGTTCCTATCAATGAAAACTCTTCTTTTTAATTAAATTCAAATAACTTACCTGTTCTTTCCGAAATTTTCAAAGCCAAAAATATCAAGAACACCAATTGATAAAATGCCTTCAGTGGCAGTCTAGAGAAAGGTAATTTTATGATTGAGTGTCGCAGTCACAACAACATATGTAATGCACTGTTGTACAATTAGATGACAAGTACCTAAAGAGAATGCTAAGTCAGCGATAGTTAACTAAATTTTACGTTAAACTAAAAAGACTGATATTGATAGAATCGTACAACAAACACATTTACTGTTATTATTGTCTTTGTATTTGAAATATACGTATGCTGAAATCGTCAGCGAATTAGATCATTCATCTGAGATGAAATGGTTTTAAAAGTATTTCACCTCACAATTAGCTATGTTTCAAGTTTTTACCGTGTCCTCATAAATGACAGCATTGATTTTGCTGATAATCGAAACGAACACTTTTCCATAGATGCCTTTCACTAAGGCATCTCGAACATTCACAGATTTAACCGCACTGAGAGGCGAGTAAATGCGTTCACCACAAACGATTGTGGATCTAACGGTCAGTGCATCAACTAGCCTTTTCACAGGAACCTGTATATCAAAACAAATAATATGATAGTTCTCACAGCTCACATTAAGTCAGAGAAAGCAAATAGTCTGAATAAAAGCACACCCAAGTATACTTAAGTATAAATGGGAAAGATATAAGGGATCATTTTAAGGGATAAGAATAGTTTCACCGTATATGAACATTTATTGGCCCATTAGCGCAAAAATTAGTGTTTTGCGATGCACATGGATAATACTATGAAATCATATTTTTAAAGATCAATCTATTTGTCATTGATCTTGAAAGATGACGTTTGACCACACAATGTGTTTTAACTCGTTCCTACGATTGGTAGGAGCGAGTTTACCAAATAAACTTCTAGTGGGACAAAGTAGTTGTGGTGGGACAGGGATGTATGACACAAATACGTGTGAAAAAAAGGATGTAATGAGTGAGGAATGTGTTCAGTATGATTAATCATTTTAAAATAAGGGGAAATATATACAAAATAATCTAGTTTTAAACATGACATGCAGAATATGACAAAAATATTTAGCTATGAATTACGCTGTTAATATAGCGTCACTGAACTTTGGAGTTGTTTTTATAAAAATAGGCTATTTGACAATATAATAACTTTTTAAGTTTATGAAATTCCATTGAATTCTAAATAAAACAATTGTGACAAAATTCAAAGAGATTTATACGAACTGACCTCGAGTAGGAGAGCGATCGTTTCAAGGAGTTCCCCGTCTTCGATAATGGTGGCGTCAAGGTTTTTAGACATCGCAGCTAAAAAATATTGAAATTGTCGATTAGAATTACATTTATCATGAAATTGATGATCGTGATTATCATTTCACGAATTTAGCTTTCAATTGTCCCTGTCGTTTTCGCGAGAAGCATAAAGATGCTAACGTCTGCAAAATGAAAATTTGCAAAAAAAAGGCAAAATGACAAAAACTATCATGAACTCTAACGAAAAACAGACATGTATTTTTCCCGAAGCATATTATCATTAGTATTATTAAAATCTTTCAAAGTAAGAGTTCCATATTTTATATCTGAATGACTTGCAAACCGAATGAACAGGTAACATTTTGCACTCTTTAGCATTTCGCTTACGTTTTAATTCAAGATTCCCAAAATGAAGTATGGCTGCTAGGAGTTTAAAGATTTGCCAGCAGTGATCATCAGTAAAATACAGCACCTAAAATAGTTATTCGTCTGTTAGAAAGAAACATAAATAGACAATGATTTAAGAATTAAGATTGATAGTGTTGTAGTATTTTCATCATAATTTAATTAAATACAAATACTTCAAGTAAAATCAGAAGAGTTGCAAAAATTCTGTTCAATTGAGTGCACTATGATTGACTGGTTTACCTTCATTGCACCTCTTATAATGGCAAACTCTTCTGCCTCATCCATATCAGGGCATGTTGTACAATCCCCTTGAGTGAGATAATAGTAGTCCTCAGCACATGTCAAGCCTAACCTTTCTTTTTCCTCGGCCTTCATGCCGGCGAGCATTCGATAGAATATATGATAGTTTCTTTCGTCGTCCATCTAATCATAGAATATGGACGACATTCATGTTGTGATACAACAAATAAGCTTTACTGAAACATAATTTATCGAATGACCAATATCTACGCACATATTTATTCATTGCTACGAACCTGATATACAATTCTGGATTTCTCTAACAAATACTGCTCTATTTTTGCTCCTTTGATAACTCCATATTTGTCAAAATATACGTCGATGTATTTTCCAAACCGACTGGAATTATCGTTTCTTACTGTTTTTGCATTTCCAAATGCTGCACAAAAATAAAAAAGCTCAAAAATGTTTTGTAAAAGTATGTAACTTTCATTTTTGGCAAATAACGTCAAAGAGAAAAGCAATTTTTCAATTTTTTCTTTAATGAAGTCAATGTTTAGTGATAAGACCAAACAGACTTATTTCAAATTTTATGCATCTCAAAAGATAAACGCAACCCATATGATATAAAAAAAATTTGACACACACTTCCAGGACACAGATTTTGTGGAATCCCTGTTCTGTAAACCGGAATTTACGTGATAAATGGTGTGATGAACAAAGAATCCCACGATAGACGATAATCTGTTACCTGAAATATTTTCCAAAGAAAATTATTTAATATTGCGTACCTTCCATTATTGGATTGGCTTCCAAAATTTGCTGCTCGATCCAAGAATGCTGACCACTTACAGCTGCCAAGAATTGAAGAATTAGTTTGGTCGACTCTGTTTTTCCTGCACCACTCTCGCCACTAAACAAAATACGTTTAGATTAGAATTCGTGATTAATGCAAGAATTCAAGAAGAGAGATTTCTTCCCTTACTAAATACTGAACGAAAATAAAAAATTCCTTGTGAAAAACATGAATACATTCCCATTTTTTTGGAACATGCACAGATAAAATGTTAAAAAGCAGTTGGGATTTGATTAATGATTTTACTAAACAACAGTTCTAAGAATGAATCAAATATACTCTACTACTTCACCATTGTCGTCATATATGACAGAAGCAAAAAAATAACATAGTAGCCATTATAAAGCACAATCGCCATTATAAAGCACCGTGATAAATATTACAGCAGAAGCAACGCGACTCTTAAAAACATTACTGACCTAACAAGAAGACATTGGTTGCGTTTTTCGCACATCATGATACGATACGCATTGTCTGCAACAGCAAATATGTGCGGTGGAAGTTCTCCAATCTTTTGATTTTGATATTTCTGTATGTATTCGGCATTATAGATAGGATATAGTTGATATGGATTGACAGCAACCAATATGGATCCCGTATATGTCTGAAAAATGAGTGGCAAATCTAAGTAAAATATAGCAAAATTGAGCTTCATTTATTGTTGTCAGTTGTTAAGAGTATAGAAAAACATTTTTAGGGTGGTTTCTGTGTAACAAGATTGAATAATGTTGTTCAAAAATGGGAACTATAGGTGCACCATTATTCCTAGATAAAATCATATCAAAATTATACTAACCTATTTATAGAGGTATAGCTAAATGGGAAGTGATGCTCATATTGTGACCGCTACATTATATCTCTCATTACTGACATTTATTTTCTATAAACTGAGGCAATAGATTGCATTAAAATCATTATACTTACGTAAATATTATGTTGATAATATCTAATGTAAAGATTGTGAAGCATACCAGCTTCATGAAGGTCATCCAACTGAATCTACAATAAATTAATTAAAGAAGGAAAGTTTCCAAGACATATTCAGCACTCGCAGAAAATGAAAAGAAGACATTTTTGAACAAATTTGAAGACGCATGCTTGGTAAAATTTGCTATCACTGGCGTAGCAAGGCTTTTCATTTACGCTTATGCTGTGCATATTTTTCTTTGTTTACTCATTGCAAGAGCAAAAGATTCCAAACGAAATGAATAATGATTATGTTCAAAAATCAGCAGGTTACGTCCAATATATTGGAGCAGATGGTTATACGCTACTGATTACTACATAAGAAATCAACAATTTTCTACATAATTTTAACGACAACCTTTAATAACTTACATCCGAAATTGCTACAGTCCTTATTATGTCAACAACGTAATGGCAAAATGTGTGTTATTACTCTATTATTGAGCGGGCAGACATTTGAACATTCAGCAGAAAAGTATAAACTACAACTTCACAATTTTTTGATAAAATCATTCTTACCATGTCTTGAACTCCTTGAATGCTTGATGGATGCATTGTCTTGATCGCACCAGCATCCTTTGTGTTCAGCCAGTGCTCCTAAAGTGATTAAAGACGTTTTCCATAGAATCAATAATTGAAGGATGCAACGCTTTTCGCATGACAAAAAGCACATGCAATGAAGCTGCTGGGCAAATTTAGTGTGAAATGCAGTGGTAACTACACGTTACATAACGGAAAGAAACTGCACTTTGTAGCAGTACCTTGACGTTAATGTTATGATATAGTCATGCGTAATGTGACAATATGACCTACACAATAAAAAATGTCTCTCAACCTAATTATAGCATGATTACGGTTGAACACGTATAAAGTGAATTAAGCGTATGAAAAGGGCCTTCCCATTCATTGCCTCAGGCAAGTTTAAATTAAATTTTGTGAAAAAGTTCTCTTCAGTTAAATAAAATAAACTTTGTCTTTCCAGTATTAAGGCAGCAAATATCATTAATACAGGATTAGAGACAAAGCCAACATAATAAAAATTTTCCTTTTACGTCTTTAAAGTCTTGTAGAAGAGTGGTCTATATAGCAAGATGATTCACTGACTAGATTTTCATATCAACAACCAACTGCGTATGTGAACATGATCAACAGAATCACGAAGTTTGTACATAAAGTTTCTTGTAGCAAGACGAAGTTTTAGGCAAGTATTAGATTCAAAGAATATTAAACATTTATTGAGGTGCCTGATCTTTGGAAGATCGATAATTAGGGAGGAGTGCTCGTACTGATAAACGCACGTTATAATCCTGAAAAAAACAATGAATTTCAACGGAACTTAATACGGCATATCATAGCTGTTGAATATAGCCGCCTAATAATTAGAGATCTTTCGATGGATCTGACTATACTTGTACTTTCTTCTTCAGTCCTTGTGTCAAACCACAAGGTTTAAGCAAGTTTGGTGCAAGCTCAACGCCAATCCTCCACACGAAAAAAGTAAATTTTTTATGCCTTAAGAAGCGAGAATTCATAGTTCTCCCAATTGAGAGTTGCACACTTACTTGTCCTTCATCATCAACAATAATAATCTGACCAGAGTCTGAGAGCTTGACAATGCCACCAATAGCAACATCAAATTCACCATTTTTCTCTGGAGCAATCCATACATGTTCACCCTAGAAAAGACGAGAAAATGTATTTATTGTTTATGAAGATTCTGCCATCATACGAGTAGGTGTTGAATACTTTTGAGAACGTAGCCGCTGAAAATGAAAGAAAATAGCAATGTAGTTATGTGGCTGGCACAAACAAGACTCGGCCAAAATTTTTGGAATTTTCACGTGATTTCTTAAATGCGACATTAATTTCTTCATTGAAAAGTCGTAATGGGTGTCACGAATAAATACGTACGTGTCAAAATGTTCAACCGGAATATAAGTTATTCTTTGTCATAAGAAAACGCTCCCAACCAAATCATTTTATTACTTTTGTCTCTCTCACACTATGTTTATGGATACAAGGGACATATTTATTGGATAATGTTTTATGATGTCTCGGACAAATGACTTATCTAAATCTACATTCTTCTATGTTCAACGTTTAAAACACAGTTTTGTTGAATTTAGCTATAAAGTACATACCACAGAGAACACAACCATTCTTAAACGTAAATAAACACAAAATACGGATGTCTAGTGCTAGACGTGATTACAGCATCCACATATATGGCATTAGATGACGAATGTCCACTTTGAAGAATCGTTACAAGATTTCCACGTAAGTTATATCAAACCCATACAAATATAAATCTTTTCCGTATGCACCGTGTAATTTCACGAGCTTAAAATAATTTTGAATAAGTTCAAACGAATGTTTCAAACCAATTTTCCAATAACCATCATCAGCTCTTATCACATTCGAAAGATCTGCCAAAGATGATAGACAACACAATGATTTCGCAAAAAATGGTATTTTGGTATGTTCCGAAGAATGCAATACAGGTTCGTTTAGGTCTGTCAACAATAATTATTCAAATGAATAAAATAATTCACAGCATGAAAGCGCTGCACACATGAACGATGCATTCTTTCTTTTCAAGTTCGTCGCCTAATAATCCTTTTCATAACAGACTAATTATGTTTTAAGCCACGCATAATTAAAGTAAAAAGCACGTTTATGAAACATAGCCAATGAAACTTCGTCGCTCGACGCCACGTTTATATGTGAGCTATCAATTATTTCCTTATTGAGGACATTTTTTCAATTTTGAACTTTGGAAATACAGCCAAGCTTGAAAATAGCTTCGCATACACTCATCAATATGAATTGATGGGACAACAACTTTGATTTCAACTGTGATTTACGGTGTAAACTAGCGCATTCTCATTCGAACTATATCTTTACAAACGCATCTATGTAAACACCAGCTATGTACACATAGTGCATAAATTTTATTCTTCATCAAAGGTGTAACATACAAAGCACAAAGACAGGGCTTAAATCAGTTAAATGCCAGATGTCGTATGAAAATCACAGAAAGTTAAGCATAAGTTATACTAATTCTCGATGAGCTAGAAAAGATCAGAATGAAAATAGTTTCAAAATTAATGATTCAAAACATGATTGGGAAGGTAATAGTTAACATAGAATTTGTAAAATTAACATAATGGTTAAATAGAAACACTTGTACACAAGTGGCTGTAATTGCCATCACTACATTTGTCTCTTAAAGCATTTTAAAGCATCTTAAAGCAATTTGAGACTGACTCGAAGTTGTTGTGGCAGTCTTAAATCCATCGATTAACACAACATTTTTTCTTACCAATAATAGACCGGCGTTCGAAGCCATTATGCAATGTTCAAAGCCGAAACGTGTAAAATAGACAATCACCACAAGAACACAAATGGGCCTCAGTGAAAGATTGATCAAAATGCATTATGAATTTAAGACATGCCCTAAACCAATATATTTTACAATTTCCTACTCTTTATGTTCAAGGAAATCGCGAGTCTCTTCAAGTTGGGTACAACTGCACAAGTATAACTAAAGGTAACGGAGTTCACGCTGACTTAATATGGCAGTAGCATACTTTCCCACACAACTAGGGGTCGGAATGACTAATTAGTACGGATGTTCTTTTGTCAAGAAGAATGCATTATTTTCTAAACAAAACGTGCTTTAACATATTTTGAGATATTTTGCATTACGATGGCCTTATAAAAAGCGGTATGTTAAATGCTTTTGATATTTTGAGGTTTTACTTTTGATTTTTTCTTATTAATGAATGCTAACTATTTCTTTATGTTTGTCGTAAAATTGCAATATATTTCACGATAATCTGATACTAAAGAAAAACTGACAAACGCCAAAGTGATGAATGCTAACTATTCACTAGGAACTAACGAAACGAACATATAATTACCATACGAGGTTTGAAATTCCAGTGATGGCGCTTGCTTAAAATTGCCCGTAACATTTTCTTTCGTTTCCTGAAGTTTATAAAAAATAGTAAAATGTTTTGAAATCAGGCACAACAATTAAACTTCTATAAGCAGTAAGTACACAAAGATAAACTCATTTTGTAAGAATTCGTTCAAAGTCTCTCTATTGGATAGATAATAAAACACACACGATTAAAGGATGAACAAGATCAATGCAAAAATGACAATCACTGAAATGATAGATTTTCACATCTTAAATTCTCACTCGTGAGATAAATTGACAAATTTGACAGGGAAAAAATTAATGACGAATTATTTCTCCGGATTAAACTAGAAAGTGAGAGCGAAATTTTTAATTGTTCAGACAATCACGACAACTTGCTTGTAAGCAAAATTTTATCCTCATACACGCGTGAAAATCTCACACTGCATGCATATCGTGTTTACATCGATTGTCAATAAGGAACTTCGAATTTGAAAAAGCTGAAAATAAAAAGATTGGGACCCATTTCAATTTGTCCTCTCAAGTATTTTTGCAAAAGGATTTGTTCATTTAGTTCAGAATTTTGTTGCAGTTAACAAATAGGCAACCAAAAAAAATGCTGCATAATGCTGAAATTGACATTTTTAATTTGACAGAAAAGTTTAAATCTTTTCGCCATACCATGAGTAACTTGTTCAAGAATTACACCATAAAATCCGAAACGTCGTTCAGATACTTAAAACCACTCGACAAGAACATTTCACACAATATGTTTGTTGAAAAGCAACTGAAAATCAAAAAATTTTGTTCATTTTCAAAGACATGTGACATGTTTATTTCAATAGCTAAGCCCATGGGCGTAGTCAGGAAAGAGCAAAGGAGGTAACTCCCCAGCCCCCTTTTCACATGACGATTTTAGATTTATAGCTTATAGTTTTTTAGTTCCTTTTTTTGCACGTCGAATTTCTCGCTCTCCAACATTTTCATAACTTCTGCCTATGCTCCATGGCTTATAGCCATCGAGTTTTAGTCTTGTAATGTACATTTTGGAACATAATCTATTTTTTTTTAAATAATCGTTGTTTTGCAGTGAGTAAGCAGAGAAAAATATGCATGTAAGGATTAAACAAGGTGGATGGTTATAAAACCAACAAAGTTAATGTCAAGCAAGATCAGCGCCCAAAGGAAGCAGGATGGTCGTCATGATCATGATAAATTTATAATAGTGTAACGAGATTGATACCCCCATTTAAATAACGTGTTGTATTCCAGCATTTGTCGCTCGTAAACGAATTGACTAAGTTAGCAACACATACTCTCATCTTGACATTCCCAACTTTAGAAAATTTGGCACGTTACGTGATTTCATTACTCCTTGAAATGACCCACTCAACAAGTGCTCTTTTCAGCAATTTCAGCCATCACACATCAGAACTTTAATCCAAATCGTTTGGCGATGGCACGGAGCGTAGAAATTTCGATGAGTACAAACGTGGAATCGTCAAATTCACAAATTCATAATCACCGAACTTTCCAAATGATATTTTACTAAGGCAGTTCGTCATATTGAACAATAAAAGATGGAAAGTTAAAGATATAAATATTTCTTTACACTGAGCACGCTGCAAAATTCTTTCGAAGCAAATTATCACCTCGAATCAATACACAAGCCATACATGGTATATTAATTCTGGACTTTTCTAAGCAGTCATGCAGAAAAATTTTGAATACATACGCAACACAAAATGCAAATTATGACGATAAATATTGGATGCAGTAAACACTTTTACAGGTAGCAGTTTACGAACTCAAATATTCGTTTGCGAAATACGCAATAGAAGCTAAGAACATACAACATACATCTGCAGGAGCAGAACGAACAGGTAAGTTTTGGCAGAAATACGTTTCAAATGGCTTTTATGATATATGTATTTCTTAGTACATCGTGGGAGTCAAGAAAATAATGAGCGAGTACTAAGATTAACGTTTGAATTGTTGATTCCTTGGTTCACACAATGTATACATTGAATCCAAAACAAATGAAATATTATATTGACATGTTGCTCTACAATAAGATAGAAGTCTGTTACAAGTGGTATTTACGCCCTTGAAACTATGACATAGCAGTTAACGACATCATAAATGTACGAAATAAAGCATTCGCTGACAGTATGATCGAGATGGAGATGTAACACGAAACGGAGCATATGCTTCTATAATGGTTTTACATTCCGTCAGTTATGTATTGTGTACGGCCCATTTAAACAAAAAGCGAAAGCTGGAGCTGCTAAACAAATAATGTTTACACATCAAAATGTATTCTTTTAAGTCTGGAATGTATTTATTATTTGCAGGTATTTTTTCTTGCTGGAAACGAGCTGCACACGATAGTAATCAGTTACAAAAATGAACGCTCTTTGGGTAATCATTTGGTTTTTGGTGTTGATTTTTTTGGCTTGGCCTGTGGGATTTTTCTGTGCCGGCTGGTATGTCTGCTGTTCTCCGTTCGAGGCGTGTATAAGTGGGTGCAAATCAATAACCGACATATTAATGAAAGGGCTTACATTTCCATTAAATGTTGCCAAACACATGATAGAAGGAAAGACAGGCTGGTGATTTGTAGCTTTCGTTTGTTCTTGGACTATTTGTGCTTACCTTATATTACCTAGCAACAGGGGGAAAATGATATTGTATATGCATGAAATATGAAATGTATATGTATGAAACGTACGTGTACATATATATATGTATCTTCAAATATAATACTTTTTACACATGCATGTCGGTGTTTGCATGTTTTAAGGTTCATACGTGAAAGGCCTGTAAAATTAAAGCTTGGTGTCATCACACGACTTTTCCAGGACATTCTAGCCGGAAAAACAAGCAGAAAAACGTCAGTGAATGACATCAGAAGAAAACAGCGTACCATGCGATTTATTTTGTTTAGTAACACATGAAAATTACGACTAATTAACAAATTTACTTTTGAACCTCTACAAAACGCAACACTTACAACATTTTCTATGTATGCGAAAGTAAAACGAAGCAAAAGTTTAAATAGAAGAAAGTATCGCAGTACATTGACAGTTTCTTGGACTAACAGCAAGACCTCTTGGGCACGTTTTCCGTGGACACTTACATTCACAAGTATTGTTATCGATGACCTTTCCAAAGCCAGCGTTCTGACACAATTTTCTTCTCCTAATCGTACATTCGCATCTGCAAGTTCTATCATTCCATTCCTTTTTGTCTTCGAAGCCAATACATCTACTGGGAGGTTTTTTGCACTTGCACGCACAATCGTTCACGTCCCACATCTATTTAAACATTATCGGGAAACAACGTAATGTTATTTTCAGAACTAACATGGCAAAAAAGTCAAAATAAAGAAAACGAAAGAAAATTCAACATTATTTCATAAGAAATCGAAGTAGCCCTCAATCGAATAGCGAATTAAGTTGTTCACCTGTGTAAAATCATATATAAGTTATGGGCACAGTTTGACATATAAAACTTTTAATGCTTGAATATTTTGGGGATGAATCTCAAATTAGATCTAATTTGATGAAATAAAATTATGAAATGAGTAATTATTCAAGTGTTAAGATTACGGCTGCTTCATATTTTCGTTTTTTTCAAATTACAGATTTGAACATATTGCCTTTAGATCTCGTTTCCATTCAATTTTTTCATTTTTAAATATATATTTGTTTTATTTATTAAGAACAAGATGTAATGAGCAGTATTTCAATTGTTAGTTATGAGTTTATAAATATATTTATTAGATCAAGAGTTTTAGATGTTAGCTATCACAACATAGTTTGACATGTGATTAATTGATAAATCAATGTCACCAGAGGTAGCTAATGCAGGTTTCAATTTCTTAAAACCTCTCAATAATATTTCAGGAAGAAAGATTTGTAAATACAGCAGTCTTGTTGTTTTTGAAAAGTCATTTAGCTTTACTTGGCCTTCTTAACGTGCTTAACAAGCGCTTCGATACCCACATCTGCTATTCGAGTCAACCCCGAAATCAATCATTTCAAAAAGTTACATGCAGCAAGCGGAAACAAAACAAAGAAAATACCTTCCCAAATCCACACGAGAACTGTACATGGGTTCGACATTTGCATAGACATGAGGCAGGATCAAATGTATGCGTAGTCAGGTTGCAATTATCCTTATTGAAAATACAACGATCCCCGCATTGGGTGTGATTTGTCATTCGAATTAAATGGAGCAACGTTTTCAACCAGAATTGTGTCATCTTCTTTACTACACATTCATGTGTGAGAGGAGCATAACTTGTTCCCATGCAACGCCAAAGTTTGACGTATTTAGGGAATACTGCAGGAAAGGGAACTTTTACGGGAACCTCTGTGAGCTGACAGAAGTAAGCTGGTAAAATGACGCCTATATAAAAACGCAATAAAAACAATACGGCGTGATTTGATCAACGCGAAGTAAAAACTCAAATGCATGTTTGACGGAAGATGAGTATACTAAATCCCAAGCCGAGCTTCTTAACTAGTAGCAAAAATGACAACGATAGCTTTCTCGATCTCTAAGTAAAAGAGAAGAAGGAAAGCCGGGAGTTGCCCATGCATTGAAAACACTTCCCATTTAATTCATGCCAATGTCTTGAAGTAATGCATATGTTTATCCCACTTAATATGAACTATGACCGATAAATAGATTCATTTAAAATATGAAAAAATCGCTAAGGAATATGAAAACATTCTAAGCCGCTTGACATTCGTGCAGACGGTGGTGTCTTTGATGACGAGTCACAGTGTAGTTGAATTTTCAGTGTATTACTAAACAGTAAAACTCAAAGTTTTGCCATTCTTTGATTATGATCAAGCAACATAAACAAGTCTATGACATTTTGATTATGTTCATACACGATATAAACCATTTGCGAGATCGCTTTTAAGAAAAAAAGTTTTTATGTCACTAGAAATAGTAGCAGGATCAAACAGTTACAAAAGGATTGCTAACGAGAATGCATCACGTACCAATTTTCGTTTGATTCGCGGGAGGAGGGCCACGCTTGAATGAATACCTACGTTCCATCTTAAAGTAGAAAAGAAGTAGGATGTATTATAGAAAACGAAAATGAGAAATACGAGTGCACATTTTTCTATTAACATACATTCTATTATTTTCATAATGCATGGGTAGAATTCGTGAGCTCTATCTATCATTGTTTATGCTGTAAGCTTCGATAGCAGGATCAACTTGATTAAAAACACACGCGCACACACAAACCTCGAATAGTGTTTTATCACCAAGTGAAAACGAACACACACTGAAAGAAAGAAGCACGTCGAGAATAGCATGTTGAATCGGCGTCGACAGTATTTCTCACCAAAAGATTCGGTTATTGAATGGACTTGACAAAAACAACCTCAATTTAAACAGCAAAGATCAAATACACGCATCAACAATCAAACACTTGAAGGATTTCAAATTGGCTTTTTTGAAAGTATAATAACGTTTTATTTAACTTTCTATTAGGAAAATCTAGTATGTACAATACATGTGTTTACATTACCTTTAATATTCCCATGAAAAGTCAACGTGGGGTCGTCTGAATCAACTGCTCAAGGTACAGATGCAAAAAAGTCAGCCAAACGTCAACGAAAGACATCCTTGCGTAATGATTTGTAAGTTTTTGTAAACAAAGTGCAAGACCGCATGCTTATACACTTATCAACTTGATGCTCCGTGATTGAGATTGTCAAGCTTTACCTGTGAGTGGCAACGCAACAATGACTTAATCTGCATATCCTTACTTGGAGTTTATATGAAAGCGAAAGATTTCTCTAAGAATTTCTTGACTTCATGCCATCTCAAGCCGTGAACAGCACAATAAGAATCACAAGGGATGTAGCTGCACATATCGCGATATAAATAATTGGGGACTCATTCCTTATATCACGATTTGAATTATATAAAATCAAGAAGTATTTCTCGCTATCAGACAAATATGATTAATTGAAAATCTCATTTGTAAAATTTTTTCAAGGAACAACGATAGTTATATGTGTTAATAAATATCAAAAAAATTTATTCTATACCTCTGAAAATATACTTAAAATAAAATTTATGTTTAAATCAATGAAGAACATAAAAACCTTTCGTAGGCTTCAAGATTTTGTAATCAAGAGAGGCTAATATTAAATGGATTGATACTACAAAGAAACAACAAACTGCACAGAGTACTTGTAGGAACTCTTCATTTTCACTGCAGCAACATTTTTACTTGAAATAAGATCTCTTAATACTAAGATTTTAAGAGCCGATAATGTGATTTTTACGAAAAGCTATACAGGGAATACGCCATACATAAGTTTACATATTAAAGCTGGAGGTAAAAGGAGGTGGAAGAAATGAAGTGGGCCCACTTCTGTATCGCAGTTGTTTAAGTACCTGCCCGTACATTGCCTTTAAAATTTAATGTTGATGGTCATTTATTCGACTGATTTTTAAATTGTGTTCCTCTTTATTCACGTAACTGCTTAGCTTAATGCTAGGCATATTTATAAATGCCAAACACACATTGTATCAAAACCAAGTAGTAATGACAATGAATAGGTAAGCAGATTTTTTAAAGAAGCGATCTTTTCATACGGGAGTGGCATGCTTTCTCTTCTCAGTTTTTAATATCTGATAAAACTACACAACTCGCAAATTTTCCACTATTCATGATCACATCGCAAAGTAAAAAATTGCACATAATCTGCTTTAATAAGTTATCGCTCTAAAAACAAAACAATGACATGCACTTCTAAATCGTTTTTAGAATTCTCATCTATGAATAATGAGTTAAATGTACAAAGATAACAAAAACTTAAAGGTTACCGACTTATTGGCTTTTCAGGAAAAGAGCTGCACCACATTGTATCCACAAGCTTCTTTCTTCACCGCAAGGAATATCTATGCTTGTCACCAGTCTCTCACGGTCCATTGCGTAGTACACAGGCAAAGTAAGACATTCATTAGACTTGTACGCATCAGGTTGATTCTATGTTTGAAATGAAGAATAGTTGTTTGAGAAACCCCACAAGTGTGTTGTTGAGTTACTATGCCATGAAAACGTGTAGGTTTGTGCAGCTTGCACGTCATTAACATAAAAAACATCCGTTGGACTGCTTGTTCTTATTCTTTTTAATTGAAAACTTGTGTTGTCCTCATTGCTGACAAGCTTGGGAGTAGACCCTAATGATGCATATTGTTGATTTGAACTATTGAAATAAAAAATTGCATGCATGTTCTCAAAATGAGCGTCGAACGAAATTTGGCGGTAGTTAAAGTATGTAAATTTTTGTAAAAAGTTCATAAATATATAAGTATAATGTGGTTTTCGTTAATTTCGTTAATTACCATCATCGCATGATATAAAATATTGAACTTAAAATACTTTATTTAAAAGGATAAGTGCATAGAGTATAAAGGCACTTGTTCCAAGAGGAAAACTTAAAACGTAAAAAGCCAAAAAAACAATATAAAGATCATGCAATCTACAGGAGCATGTGGCTCCATGCAGGTGGAAGGAGAAGGGAGAAAGGAAAATCGTGATTTCAAAGACTATACATTACTTAAAGCCTTCCACGCACTATACATAGTAGTATCATATAGTACCTTAGATATCCACGCAATAGTACAAGGAGGAACAGCTGAAACGCTAGCGGAGTCTCGTTGACTTTCTATGAGTACAGAACCGTCAAATGAGCAACCTTCCAAAAGTAGACCTCCCACCTATAAAACAATAAAAAAATGGCAATCATGTAATTATGTGCTATGTAATGTCAATGACAACCTCAATTATGATAAATCACTATTTATAACAGAACAATATAAATCTCACAAAACATAAATTGCTCATTCTATCAAATCTGAAAACTTTACTAAAAATAAAATGCTCTCCAGCTTTCCCTTGTTGACGTAGAAGAAATAGAAACTACATCAGAGACAAATAGAAATTCATATCTAAGACTTCATGACTAGCTTTGTTGTTGTAGCAGGGACGTTGAAAATCGCTAAGACAAAGCTATAAAATAAACTCGTAGATCAATATCTGAAAAAAATAGATAACACCGAGATTTATTAACATTAACAGAATATTTTTAATTTTTTCCTAAAAACTCGTGCATTTAAAATGCTCGAAAGCAATCAAAGAAGTAGTTTCAGAAAGAGAATGCATCCTAAATCTTATATCGATGTCTTTTGTTTGTTTGTTTGTCCTAAACATACGTTATTTAGTTTTGAAAGCTGCATGCATGTATATGAAAATAAGCGCAAACACATCATCATTTCTAACGCTCAGGTGCAGTTTTTTTTTAATTGCAGAAAAAAGAGATCATTGAAATCCAAGAATAATTTTTCCGTAGAAAGGCATAATGGCTTTTTGGCAAACAGCACGTTCTTTAGTCATGCCAGCAACTCCGTTTATTAACAGCAAAGACATTTCTTATGATAAAATTCACTAACAAGATTAATTACGAGCTAACATACAATTGAAATTATATATATCTCCAAATGAAATCAATTGTGTGAGCGGATATTGAAAGTATTTAAATCAACACCCCCATCTTTATTGATCTAAACTTTGATTGATAAAAAACAACGAACGACAAATCATCAAATCAAGTCACATTTGGCCGATAAAAATACAAGCACACTTCTATATTTATCACAAATATTATAATTATACCTTGATTGAATATTTCGCCCCCTGGATGCCAGAGCGTTTCCAAGTAGCAGCAAACTTAAGTTCGTCCATTGAACATTTCATAGCTCTAAATGCAGTTAAAATTTTAATTGTCTAAATATTACTTTGAGTCACCTGCGCTGAGCACATTTGTGGCTGCGAATGATCTAAGACAGGATACAAGCAGTGAAACTTAATTTTTACATACTCTTCACGACAGAACCTTACCTGGCTGTTTGTTGTCGTAGAGCGTTTAAAAACGTGTCGGGATGAAAGAGATCCGAGAGATCGACAGTTTCACGAAGTAAAGTTTTCTGTTCACTCTTTTCAACCCACGAGCCCAAAGCAAGAGTCTTGGCAACTAACGATCTCAGCCATTGAACTGGATCACTAGGTCCTTCCCAATTATTGCACCATGTATTAGGCACCTGACAATTAAATAATAGTCATTTTTCAGAGCATGAAAAGCGGAATTTTTATTAAATCCATCCCATCCCTTAAGTCCTCATGAAATATGGCAGCAATAGATAATAAACAAACATTCACTTGAATAAAACAAATTTTCGAACTGGGGACGCTCAAAATTTTGAATTATTTTTTGTGGCAGATGATCATGCGTTACACTGCGTAAATAATAACATTATTTACAAACGAAAAAATTAAAGTTCAGACGACAATGTTTTAAAAAAATTGCAAAACAGGTCACACAGAAGAGAAGGCATCTATTCTTGTTGACTGTTAGACGTTCAAGACTTATAGTTATATGTTAGTCAGTAGTAGCAAGAATTATATGGTTATAATTAGTAGAAGGACAATTTCAAAGCGATAACTTGTGGCCAGTGTTATAAGGTATATACTTTAAATTAATGATAAAATTTCAAAATGGCAAATCATAGACAGCACTTGAGGGAGAATTTCACGATATTAACTCATGCCCTCATATAAAGAATTATAGATGGCAGGACGATTTCATTTCACCATGACAATTCATGGCCAGCATCATATGGTTAAAGTTAATAAGACAATTTTATATTGGTAACACGTGGCCACAGAGACGGGGCCACGAAATTTAACCCGGGGGAGGGCACGGCTTATATTTACCAGAGTTAGGCTAAAATATATAAATGTTACCAAAAATTTTATCTTCGGGAAAAAGTGAGGAAGCTTTAGCTCACCTTTGGCGCTGTGCTTTGGCCAGTATTATAGAGTTATAGTTGGAGGGACAGTTTTACAATGGTAACTCGTAGCCAGTATTATATGGTTAGAGTTAGTGAGAAAATTTGATAATGGTAGCTCGTAGCCAGTATTATATGGTTAGAGTTGATGGGAAAATTTGATAATGGTAGCTCATAGCCAGTATTATATGGTTAGAGTTAGTGAGAAAATTTGATAATGGTAACTCGTAGCCAGTATTATATGGTTAGAGTTGGTGGAAGAATTTGACAATGGTAGTTCGTAGCCAGTACTATATGGTTAGAGTTGGTGGGAAAACTTTACGATGGTGAATCTTAGCCAGTGCTATATGGTTAGAGTTGGTGGGAGAGTTTCATAATGGTACCTCATAGCCAGTGCTATATGGTTAGAGTTGGTGGGAGAACAACAAAATGGTAATTCTAGGCCAGTGTTTTACAAGTGCCATAGTTAGGGGTACATTTTCACAATAACACTCGTGATCAGTATCATAGTATTAAAGCAAACAAGAAAAGTTTATAAAAGCCCGTTCACCCGATCCTATTTGTCGGATCCAATTGTTACGGTCCCGATTTTTCGTGTCTTATTCAGACGGTCCGATAATTATGATGACATTTATATTCGTTTAGGTATTTCAAGTCGTGGGAGCAGAAATTTATGTTATCCGGTACATTTATCGATATATTTTGTGTATTTTTGTCCTTCTTTTCGTCATATCTAATGTTGTGCGCAAAATGAAATTTTGAAAATATAGAGAGTGAGAGGTCCGGGACTAGTCAGCTTTCTTTAAACTTGTCCGATGAAAATAGAGCAAGTTCTGTTTCCATCCGATTTTTGAGACTGATGGATCCGGCAGGGGAAGCTCACTTTATATGTGTTGCTTAATTTATATGTGTTACCCAATATTATAGAGTTATGATAGGTGCAACAATTGTACAAGCATAAGTCGTGATTAATAATATAGAGTTTATTGCCATAGTCAAAGAGTTGATGACACAATTCTACAATGAAAACTCGTTGCCAGTATCATAGAATTACATTTAATGCAAGAAATTCACGATCGTGAATGCAAGCAAGCATCATAGGGTTATAAAGCTGGCTGAACAATTTAACTTCGATAACTCGTGGCCGGTATAACAGGATTATCGCTGGTGGGATTATTCTCAAATAGTAACTTTAATTCAACATACCTCTTGTTTCATAAGAGATGTTGCAAGGCTCTGCGTATCAGCAGTAAGAAGTGTTGTACCCTTGACAGTTTTACTTAAAGCAGCCAAAGTCATATGAACATGTTGGACCAACCGAATGGCATTGTAACGCTCCAGTAGCACAAACGAGGTCACCGGTGACCCTCCCTTATCCAAAGGAGGTGGCAGTTTCATCTGGATAAGTTGTGAGCCCTGAAATCAAACAGTGAAAAAATTGAAAAGATGGATTGAAATTTTCTAATGGCTCGCTATAAAGGCATCTTTGTTGTTGTTTTTGTCAACCTCATGAAGGGTCTAAAGAAGTTTGCACATTTGTTCGTGAAAAAAGTTGAACAAGTGCTGCAGTAGCTTGTAGGTATAGACTTTGTAATGCAGTAAGTCAACTGTCTCACATTGTCAATAGAGGATATTACCATTCTAAAAATTCATGTGGAAAGATAAAAAGCGAAAGCTGCAGTTTCTCCAAATACAATAAAAACTGAAGATATTTATAAAGCAATTTGATGATTATAGCGAGATAGTGCACGTAGTTATACCTGGTTCAGCTTCTTCCATAGACTTAAGAAAGGTGAAAGCTCGACAGTCCACTGCTCACGGTCAAATTTATGGGCAATAGCAGTTGAACGCATTAGGACTTTCAATTGAGAAATCACCTTGAACAAAAAATTTATTGTGATTTGAAAAGAAAAAACCAACCTCTCAAATAAAAAAATGGTGAAATGTGATGAAATTTAGGCAAAAGCTAGGAGCTTTAGTAGGTAAAGGGTAGTATAAAAACTGAAACGTCACTGTTGATATTTATATATTTTTCAAATACTGGACATTCCACACACTCAATTCTGGAACATGAACAAAAACATTTACACAGATTTGATTTTTCTGCATTCGAGCATGGTGACCCCAAAAATCACTCATATTGTCAATGAACATTCATCTATCTTCAATAGCAATTTCAAAATCCATTTTAGTCTTCTCGACCTTATTGTACAACATACCTGTGAGCTCACGATTCTTTGTGCAGATCTATCAATATTCGCTGGCAGTCCAAAGAACGAGGGTTGGTCAGTTTCAGGAAGACTGTTTACTGTATGTTTGTAATCCTAAGAAGAAAATATCTCAAATTGATCTAAGTTCTTTGTCATGAGCGTGACCAGTCATGACTTACAAGAGAAAACCTATCAATTCGAAACATTTACCTCCATATGAAAAGATACTGGCAAAGTGACATTGGGAATGACTCGTTTTCCACGTCCACGAGACGACTAAAAACAAAACGACAAAACTTTAAGCTCTATAGACAAAAACGTCTGGGCGATCCATTCTAATTTTTCGAATTAAACCAGAACTACCTAAGCTAACAATTTGTAACTCTAGCGGCAACAAAGATAATAGTTTGTATTGACAAGATGGAATAGAGGTTTCACTATTGGTCTGAATTTGTGGTAATTCAACATTTCGTTCAGATAATCGATACCGATATGTACAAAATTGCACAGACTTTGGAAGATTTGCTGAAATATATGATTATGTTTTAGAAATGTTTAAATGAAGAAAAAGAAAGGATCCAATTTAACAAAACCCGGATATCTTGACTCTTGACTTCACAAAAATGAAAACAACAAAATTTGTGGATCTGGGTTTCATACAACCAAATGACGCATAAAACTAGTTAGAAGATATTAATAAAACAACGGAAGACAACGCAGCGAGAGATTTTTACCATGTTTCGGAGGATAAAAATAGATGTATTCATGCAGATGAAGGAAACAAAAGGACAGAACACAAGCTATACCATATATCAAGCATGTTCTTCACAAGAGAATGAGATTGAATTTAAGACATCCAACAAAATAGTCTGAAATTCAGAAGATCTACCTGAGCTTTTCGTTTGTATGATAAATACATTACCTGTCCGCCAGTTACAACATTTGATTCAAAGTACTGATAAAGATAAGACTTTAGGACATTGAGATCATAGGTATTGTCGATACGACCACCATATATAGCGTTTTCAAATAAGCCATGAACAAAATTCCAACGCACTTCAGCACCACCTTGATTGCAATTGAAGAATAAATGGGAAAACAGTGTAACTGATAGCCCCCCCCCTTTGCAAACAACTGGTTACTTTTGTCTGCATTATCTGGAATTGACAATACCTTTCCTAGCGGTTAAGCACAGGCGATCGATGATTTCTGCACCGGCTCGTAAATCGCTTTGGGAAAACTCATAGAATTTAGTCCAACCCTGTAATTTGTGACAATACATAGAATTTTTAGTCTAATCCTGTAGTTCATACAACAAATTTTGACGTATTAGTTCGGTTAAAATAACTGTTCGATACATTTGCAGCAAAAGAGAAAAAAATTTAGCAACAACAGCCATAAATAAAATTATGAGAATGAATACAACAGTGACGTAAAAAACGAGCAAAGTTTGGTCGTGTAATGTAAAAAATTTTGGAGTTCAGTCAGTAAAAATAATACATGTATGAAGAAATAATAATTCTAATGATTCTCAAATTTACATATTACTTACAAATACCAAACCTGTGGCTGTTTACGCCACTAGACATCAGTTAATCGATCATACATTTTTGTCATATCTCAACAGCTTTGTTTCTCAAATCAAGGAAAGTGCGCAAATATCGAAAGCAGTTTTATCAAAAAATGATAAAATATCTAGCAATTGTTATGGTATTTGTCGAAAGAGACATCCAAAAAAACTGCTGCACAAATTCATAAAAAATTCAATCAACATCCAAAAAAAACAAACTGCTGCAAAAATTCATAAAAAAAAGATCGTTTTGAGAGAAATTTTTGAGAGCAACAATAGGAAAGCAAGGCTATCACAAATCAATAGAAATGAAAATCATACAAAAGAAATTGCAAGATGCATTCTGACTCTTGACGCACCTGAGGAATGTAATTCCGTCTTTCCTGCATTATTGCATGAAACCACGCCAAAATAAAAAGGGCCTGGGCACGAATAGACGACTCTCCACGCTTGACAAAATCAGGTGTCCACGATTCGTACGTTCGCTGTAAATTCTTCTTGATTCCAGGAGGCGACTGTTTAACAAAAATATTATTTATGGAGCATATTGAATAGACAAATATCACCGAAAAACTGTAGGAACTGAAACGTAGATTACGCCTTCCTAGGTTGCCATTATTCGAGGTTTGCTTTAGAGAACGAAAGCCGAAAGAACACGTTTACATTGGTGACGTGTCATGTATTAATCACAAACCAAGAGAAATCATTTTACCTCATAAGTTACTTTAAGACTGGATTGAAGTAAGATCGTTGGAAATTTGGGATGACTCTCCGCAGTCAACCAGAGACGGAAGTCATCATGAGGATTCAATGAGTTGAACTCCTTAACCCAAAGTAATAGGCAAAAGTAGAACAATTCCACATTAGCATGTGACATCAATGCAGTAAAATCTCTAATCTTATATTTGACATAGCTACGATAAAACTCAAACTGAAAATAGCAGCAAAATATTTCGTTACCTTTTCCAACGTAGGAAGCCATGAATTTACTAAATGCAAATTCTTCAAGCACAACCATTCGCCATTGCGAGAGCAATCGTGAAGCAGTTGTAAGGCAATGTCAGCTTGACCTTGACCCATGGCAACCTGATGAAACTTTTCTTCGCCGATGACTTCGTCAGCAAGATCTTGCAACTCCTGGAAAAGAAGTATTTGCACGATGATATCTACATAGAAATCTTTTCTTAAAAATCAATCATCGTGACTTAGCAAAACAACAATGAAACGTGCTTTACCTTCCCGTGCGTTTACTCAATTTTTTTTTAAAAAAGATTTATCAGATATTAATCATACCTGAGAAGGATCAGCTCCTGGCGATATCACAATCAATATTGGCTCACGACAAACTGTCTCTCTTGTCAAATTTTTCAAATTTATAGCTGGTGGAGAAAGCTCTTTGAATCCTTAATGAAGAACACATCCTGAATGTAAATACGACAAAAACAACAACAGCAAAAATAACAACAAAAACAACAACAAGAACGACAACAGCAAAAACAACAACAACCTCAACAAGAAGAAGAACAAGAAGAAGAAGAAGACGAAGAAGAACAACAACAAGAACAACAACAACAAGAACAACAACAAGAACAAAAACAACAACATCAACAAGAACAACAACAACATCAACAGCAATAAAAACAACAAAAGTAGAACCTAAAACGTGTTTGTGGTCCTCTTTATGAATACATCTTATGACATGCATTATAAAGCAAAGACAATTTTTCTCATTAACAATTATTATACAACAATTTTACTTGTTTTATCACTTTTGCTATTATTTATATTTGCTACATATATGCGCATTCCACATCGTCTACATTTTGCTTTACCTAGTGCTCTCAGAGCAAACTGCATCATAGCACTTTGCAATCTATCTGGACGTAAGGCCTGAATTACAAGAAGTTGTTGAAACAGACTGATTTTTTTCGCAACAGAAGAAGGAAATTCTTGCTCGCATTTGGAGCTGTGTTGAAATGCAGACCATTTCTCAATGTTGGTGAGATCCAGCAAGTTGAACAAATTACCAAAGACATTCTGCAAAGAAAAAAGAAAGATCTTAAAGAATTATACTATTACGAATGAGACGTGAAAACTAATTAAATTCACATGGGAAAAAGAAACACATTTGCGCATTATTAATCAATTTAGGTGATTTTATTTGAAAGAGAAGCTATGGGAAACCATTTGAATAGGAAACTAGAAAATATGCAATGAGTTCATCAGTCTTTTATTGAAAGTTTGCATACAGTTGTTGAGCTTACATCAAGCTTTCATTTGGTTCTTTTGAAGCTTTTAAGCAATAAGGATGCTGCAAGTTGTCGAATATTTTCTCAGAAAATGCATTTCAGTTCATACAAAATTCATTATAAAATTTAAATGATATGAACGAAATAAATGTTTCAAAACACTATCATGCAATTTCAGTGGTATGTAATGAATATGTTTACATACTTCAAGACGGTAGCTTTTTGACGACATATTTGTTTGATGTTACCTTTAAAGCTAAGATTGAGGAATGACGATCAGAATCAATCCATGGTGGTAAATTATCAGTAATATTTCGACTTGAATCCTAAAAGAGATTGCAAATGTTGCAAAAAAAGATCATTTTGACATAAGTGAGGAATTGCTTTATTTACTTGTCGCTTGAAAACATCGGCTACCAGCAAACCAGTGAAGAATTCCCATTCCTACGATAAGAAGAAATTCGACAATATAAATATTGGATGCGTCTAGTTTCAAACAATCTAATTTTTCAAAACTTGCGTTTTCTTGAAAATCATCAGGTCGCATTCCATGGACCATATGTAGTGCAAACATTAGTCGATCAGCCTAAAAGATGATGTCAAAAAAATATAACTAAAGAAAACGTGCGCTAATTCTTCAATAGGTATTCTTGCACCATGTTCCATTGTGTGTGAATTTGCAATATAAATGTAGATGTTTTGCAAACTGTGATGGTTCTGCATCGTTGTATATACCATAAAATGTTCCTATACCTTTAATTATGCTTAAAAAAAAAACAGATTGACAAAATTTTTTCCTCACCTTGAATAAAGACCGGCAGACATACTCGTAAACCAACGATTGTAAAGAGCGCATTAAAGATTTTATTCGACTGTCTGTCGTAGATGAATCCTATGTCGAAATGAAAGCGTATAAAAACACCAAGTGTACAACAAAGCTCAAATATAACAAGCAACATACATCAATATTCACAAACTTCACCACAAGAATAAGGCAAACAATGTATATATACTCACGTCAGACAATTCAAGTGAACGTTGAAATGTGCGTAAAAATGCAGCGAGACTAAACTGATACATGTTGTTGACCTTAGCAAGGTCTGTGATAACGAAGAACAAAGTGCTACCGCTCTGAGCTAGAGGGAGAAATGCATCTCTTTCCTATAGGATAGACACTCACATAAAACACCAAAGATCACACGCGATGTACAATACAGCAAGAAAAAAAGGAGAAAACAGCTAAAGAGACGGATAATGATGGAATTGCATTTATTTAAATGAAATAGCAGACAAATTTTCCTACGCAAAAAATCCACTAGAAAAATATTCCCGAATGTACGAAAATAAATTATAAAAAATCTATTGCAATTGGAGATGTAGCTGATTTGTACTATACCTGATCTAGGGTGCTTTGTATGGCATGAGCATCATTGAGCGACTCTGTAATCGTGGTACTGCTAGCTTTTGTCTTGTTCAACGAATCCAACAAAGCTTTGTTCTCAAGAATGTTGCCTTCAGCCTTCGCCAATGTCTATAATACAGTGAAAATGCAATAAAGATCTACTGAAGGATGACCAAATTTTTAACTTAATTCACACCAGATAAAACTGTTTGAAACATTAAAAATACAACCTGCTAAGATAAGTTTGATTACCACGTTGGATATCACACTACACACATATATGTTGCATTTAACCTCCTTTTACAAATTCATTACTTTATGCTAGGGTTATCAGGGGATGACTCTTGACCTACCTCCAACAAAGACTCTTCTAGTTCTGCCAGCTGCACTTTGAGATCTTCCTCCTTCTTTAAAAGTTCCGTCTTCTTTATTTCAAGTTCGGGTTTTTCATGTTGAATCGTCATGGCTAAAAGCTGAATGAAAAATAGTACAATTGACAGAATCACTGAAACATTTCTTCATTAAATTTTGTGCCCAAAATGCATATTGCATTCTAAAGTCGAAAGCTACGACTATAGTAATGGCATGAAACCAACTAAATGCAAACACAACTGTGTGGTCGAACAATATTTTCCATAGAACGTGAAATACCTGGCCAGTTAATCCAGCTCTTGTCGTTGTAAAGTTCACCTCAGCAATGACTGAAGAAACATCTGGAGGTAATTTCAAGTTAGGATTTCGCGTCGTCATAAATAATCTAAAATATACGTATGTATGAGCAGGGCAAACGTTATGATTTTCCCATCGTAACAATCAAACGGTATTTACAGTTAAATTACGACCCTCCCCCTAAAAGTACACCGCCCAATACATTGACTGCAAATGGTTTCGTAACTGGTTTTATATTCCAGATTTTATGAAAAATGACTAAATAACCCGCAATAGAAATACAATGATCATCTGATAACCAAGTACACCGCCCAATACATAGCCTGCAAATGGTTTCGTAACTGGTTTCATATTCCAGATCTTATGAAAAATGACTAAATAACCCGCAATAGAAATACATTGATCATCTGATAACAAAGTACACCGCCGAATACATAGCTTGCAAATGGTTTTGTAACTGATTTCATACTCCAAATCTTATGAAAAATGACTAAATAGCTCGCAATAGAAATACATTATCATCTTATAACACTAACCAGGACAAGCAGACAATTTCAAGTAATACAAAATAAAACAAATTCCGAAAAGGGACATCTCGTTTTCTTGATATTCAAGATAGCACAAGAGTTTGAAACAAAAGATAGTGTAATATTTCGTCCTTATTCCAAAGACATCATCAGACTTAGTTTACAATGCAGGCTGCGAAACTTTTATATAATATTTACAAGCGGAAATTACAGTTATGTAATTAGAGAACTATAAGACTAAACGATGTCCCTTTTCGGAATTTGTTTTATTTTGTATTCTTATAACACTGGTATACAATTAGTTGCATTTAACATAAAAGATACGAATTTAGCCACATTACCTGAAATCTTCATTATAGTCAATAACCTTTTCCCCAATTTGAACAACAAAACGAGGTCCTAAAATACAATCATCCATCACAGCAAGTGAATGAAGCTATTGTTTTGAAGAAAGATCACACTCAGGAACAACAATTGAAATTTTGGGATTATAGATTGGACATGACAACGAGAATTATTGGCCAAAGTTTGACATTGAAATTTTTTAAATTGCATTTATTTTAATGTGATAAAGATGGAAGGACATTGAGAATCGTTAATGAATTTTAGCTTAAACGATACTATCCCAAAAATTCGCAATTCTAATGCTTCCTGTGCAGTGGTCAAATATCTCTCGTTATTATGCGCAAATTGCCAATTTAATTAACGATGTTATGAGATTTAATGAAAAGCAAAGAAAAATTAAACGACATTCTAAGGGATAAGAAAGGAAAGAAGAAGGCTATAACGAGACGTGAATTTGAGCAAACCACTGAGACATTTTAGTGCTTGCCTTGACTAATCAAGTCTCCGCGAATGAGTGGATAAAGAATGGGCTCTACGTTGTCCATTTCCTGAATGACAAGTGTTTTGCCAAAACGAACTGCAAGCTCCAAAGCTGTAGCAAAATTGGCATCCTATACAAGAAACAATATAAAAATAAACAACAGAACATAAGAACTTAAGCATGATGATAAAAGCATTTTTTACCTGTTGATTAATGACCTCTAGGCGACTTTCTTTCAAGTGGTTCTTGAGCCACGCTGTTGCTCTCGACGATGGGTCGATAAGGAATGGTGTCATTTCACTCTAAAAAAGTTGATCGAGCAACCAAATGAAGATTCATGCAGATCTATATATGAAAGATTTATATGTTAAAGCGAAAGTATGGAAATATCAAAGAGGAATGTCAAACTCAACATTAAAAAAGAGGTGAATAAAAATGTGACAAAACTTGACCAAAAATGCTGGTTTCATCCCCACAAATAACAAGAACGAGAACATGCATAATCTATAGTTGGCTCTTCATTTTTTGTCCATTTTATTAACTTCAATTTAAATTTGACAAACAATATAATTCTCACAAGAAAGTCCCACAACAAAGAAATTCTCACTTGCAACGCTAACACCAAAATACCTTCAGAATAACCATCGCATTTTCCATAGACAAATCGTCGGAAGGTAAGCCTTGAGATTTCCAAATCAATTGCTCGCTCTCACTGCTGATGAATCGCTTGAAATCGAATCTCTGCAAGCCAACCTGCTCGCACCAGGCTGCCATCAATGACTTGCGAACGTCTTCGGGGGCATCACTCAAATAAGTAATAAATCCAGCAGCAACTTGCGCTCTCCTTGGTAATTGCTCCAATTCAGCCGAAAGTTCCTCGACCTTAAATCGTCAACAGAAACATAGCAGAAAGAGCTTTGATTGGTCAAATTCATTTAAATCAAACTAAACTAAAAAGTGGTTTATTTTTTGGTTAGAAACAGTTTTGCTTGAGTTTTTATTCAAGTTTATCACTTTCGTACCTGCCCAGACCATCTTTTAAACTCTCCTTCCAGTTTTCCAACAAGCGTCTCAGCAGCTGAGATCGTTTCTTGAGCTTTATCTAATTCAATTTTTAGTTGGGTGGCTTCTTGAGTACGTTTTTCAAATCTAAACAAGAGACGATAGCATCTAGCTAGATGCAAAACAACAATTTAGGATGCACGAGACAAAAATCTTGTTCAAACGATACCGTTTTCTCATTCCGGCAACTTGTTGATCGACTTCGTCCAGTGCTTTTTTCAATTTGTCCATGCGATGTTGCGACTTTTGCAGATTTCTAAAGAAAGTAAAGTCTTAAGTCGTAACACACGTTAGAAATTCCATCCGTACAAGGGACTAAAGTTTCACTTAGAGTGAAACGTTTAAGAAACTTTGTGTTTTAACAAAACGTCTGTAAGCTATCATTACTATGAAGCTGAGAAAATCATCCATCTATACGTATCTATGTAGAGATGATTACTACACAATATATCTGATTTCACAATAAGGCACGATGTATATTTTAAATCCTTTCTTCTTTACGCGAGAACAAGATTCTGGGAACTCAGTTTTGTTAAAAAAATTTTTACAAGATACCTTTGCAGTTTTTCTTGCTCTTGTTCCAAGGGCTCTATCTTTTCCAAAACTTCAGAGTATTTGACATTAGCCTTTACCCATGCCGCCAATGGAGCAGCAGCAGTACTTGCGCGTCTAGCAGTCTAAAGTAAACATGCGTTTACTCTATAGGTGCGGATACTTCAAATAACCTTTGAAGGAATTTAATGTTCTTAACGAGTTGACAAGGAAAGTTTTTTCTTTTCTGAGTTCTCTATACACTAGCCATATCATGAAAATGATGAATTTTTAAAAATCTATGAAAAGCATTCGAAGCATTTGCTGAGATATATGTATATTAAATCAAATCATTAAAAATCACATGAACGTCATTATGAAGATATTGATAAAAATTTACTTTGGCATTGAAAGAAGGTGCCTTTTCATCGAGAAGTTCTTGTACACTGGCTCTGATTTCCGGCGTAATCTTTCTTGCGTCAAATGAGCAGATCTCATCCTTTACACCTCTCTTTGCCAAAAAACTAAATAAATGACGACATGACATAAAGAAGCATAAAGTATACGAAAAGAAAGTGGAACAAGCAAGTCCACAAAAAGAATATAAAATTCAACGTTATTAGCTATAATATTTTTATTCTTGGTTTGTCATCAGATGAAAACATTTCACGCCATGTTTATCAACACTTTTTTAGCAACAGTGACCGTGGAGCAATGAAAGGGGCTGATGGGGGCCTATAGCCAAATTTTGAAATTTTGTCCCTAAATCCTCTACTTGCTATCAACGTCACAGCAGCTTTTGCAGTGAAAAACTCGCCATCAAAAAATAAGCTAAGTCCCGCAGTCCCTTTCTAAGCAATAACATAAATACCTTTTCATGCTCACCCACGATGTATCAAATATTCCCATTAGACGTAGAACAGCTTCGAGAATATCACGAATTACATCAGGTGGCATGCGTAACGAGCGTATTTCGGAAAGAGAATCAGGTTTGATGTTGCCCACGGCATCTTTAGCTTCACGTATAAGTGGTTCGATGTCAGACAATTCAATATCTATCGCTTTCTTTCTTTTTTCCAATTTCACAGCTTCTTCGCCCTGCTTCTGCTTCAATACCTCCATTTCACTCTTTTGCTCACTTGCACGCTGGCACAAAAGAAATCGGATTAAGATGCAGGAATACTTACTTCACACTTTTTACCACCCACATAAAGACAGTTTCAAAAAGAGTCTCACACTTTTTCCCATGTTTACATTTTTATTAAATTTCATGTCACACTGGTATAATGTTATTACGTAAAAAAACAACATTTACCTGCATACTTGCAGTTATCTCTTGTAAAGCTGTGTCAGCTTCGGCCTGTTTTTCTGCCAGCTCCGTACTCTGCAGGCCAGCTTTTAGTTTCAGACTGTGAACCAAGTCCTTCGCTTCAGTCAATTTGGATACACCAGCCTAAATTAAGCATACACTCGAGATATTAGAACCAAGATATATTGTTTACGTCCATTCTTTTAACACTCAAATGGTGAATTCAAATTGATTCTGCTGTAATGGAACAGCTGATCAATGACATTTTATCAACAACAGTAAAGTGACAGTAAATATTTATTATTAATACTTGAAGTATAGCTTTTCCAGCATATGATGTAAAACTCAGCTTCAATAGAACGTTTTACCCTTCACTTGAGATAAATAAATACCACGTTACCTGCAAATGGTGCTGTTTTGTAACTATACCCTGTTTCTTTCCAGCAAAAATAGACTTGTATGTCTTCAAATAAGTCATATATTTTCTGGGTGTTGCACCACGATCAACACACGACTCGTGAATTCCGAGGAAATGTTTTGGCATACCATCATCTCTTGGAGACCCTTTCTTTTTAGTCAAGGAAACTTGAAATTCTTCTTCACTTAAGAACATCGTAGGAACTATGAATATGGAAAAGATTTATGTAAGGTTTACATAATCATTTATTATACCTAAGGCGTTGTCAAACATTCAAAGTTGGACCAACGTGTGACAGGTTGTTGTGTTAAGTTGTCTTATACTTCAAGCGCTTTCCAACAACATGAAATTTGGCAAGTCCAGAGTGTGGCAGATGAAAACGGGATAAGTGATGATGCTAAGGGATCTCAAGATAATATCTCATACCTTGTAGCATGCTTTCACGGCTCCAACCATTCATCCATTTAAATGTACAACTCTTGAAGAAGCTTGGATTCGACTCGCAGTTTGCAATAAAGGCAGATGACGAGTAATCCATGCTCAAAACCACATGAAGATTTTTGTTCACACGTGAAGCGAAGTATGAAAACAGAGTACCTCGAAAGCCATCTTGAGAGGCTTCATCCTTAAGTGGTGTTAGTAAAGGTTCTAATTCTTCGGGAGTGTAAAGGCCTGGGATTTCGCCCGCACTTAGGAGACTGTTTATGAGTTCAAGAAATACTGCATCAAAAAATTGATGATCCTCCAACAGAAGGATAGCTTGGTCACCTTCAATACCTGTCCTTTGCATAACCTTCAAAAATACAAAAAACATGTGGAATCAGTCGATGCAAATTCAACTATATAAGTTTATCAAAAGCGGCAATAAGTTATGAATTCTTGAAGAATAAGATTTTACCAATTGAGCTTTCTCTAAGTTATTTGGAAAATTATAAACATTCTGCATTGAACAGCAATAATTTCTTTTGACGTTCTTCAAATCCGTCACTGAGCAAAATTTATCAAGCATGTTTTAAGATGTTAGCTCTGAAGCTTGATTTCAATAAGAAATACCTTATTGCAACAAACATGAGGCAAACATCGCTATTAAGTATGTAAAAATTGTTTGAATAAACGATGGACCCAAACACAGTGCAAAATTTCAAACAACCCCAGGTTTTGTGACTTGTAGCTGATGTGAATCAACCTCAACTATGTTTTTTACATTTTTTACTGCATCTTTCAAAATTCAAAGTTCTCTCCCACTTTTTTTAGTTCCATGCATCATGAGCAAAGCATCTCTCGGATTTATGGCAAATGAGAACGTTTATAACAAAATGTACTGCTTTTTTATCCAATTAAGTTTGCAATAAACAAGTTAGGCCATAATTGAATGTTTTGTGATATTTTTTCAAAAAAATCTTCAACATTTTATAAAGTTTTAATCCAATAGGATGATGAAAACTAATATAACTCTTGTCCATCTTGCATCTACTTTTTTTTACATGTGGCCATGTTTTCACAACTTGAATCTGAAACTCGTACGAAATAACTGATACAAAGGATTTCAAACTGCACGGGAACATGATCGTTTTCAATACGAGTTTCGTTAACATAACAGCAGCATCTTTTTTTTTGTCCAGAATTTTGAGATGCGTAAGTAAAATATCAGAACAACTCAAAATATTTTTGAGGAATTCTATCAAGTAATTCGTGAATAATTTATAGATAGCATAGTGAAATTTACCCACCAGGAAAGTTAACACGTATGATGATTACTAACAAACATAATAGCAATTTGCTCGACCGCTCATGGACGACAGCTTGCGTGTAAATGTTGAAAACTCGTACTCACCGCTTTCAGATCGTTTTTAAAGTTTTTCACACGATATCCTCGAGATACTTTGGGTGTGAAGACTTCAATATTGTGCATGTGCGCCACTAACGACACACTTGTCCTCCTACCAACACCACTTCGTCCAGCCATTAATAAAGAACCACCAGGTTTGGTAATAACGCGGTCGACAATCGCTATATTCTCTAGTACTTCCTTAAATATAAGGATATCCAATTCCTTATTTTCGCGACCTTAAAAACACGTTGATATTTAGACAATTGACCCACTTATAAATAGCCACTATTTGTTATTATGAGTTTCAGTCAACACAGTACCGAAACACAAGGCTTAGCTGGAATGGGAAATGCTTCGATCAACCTCACGAGATGCAAACTAACTAAACATACACAGATCTTCGAGTTAAAATTTCATTTTTAAAAGAAATTAGCCAGTACTAGTGAAATATATGAATATTATGGTTTCCTTCATTTAAATTCCAAATGACGCCAATGTTGTTGATAATTTTCCATGTTTAAAGTGCCCATGACACGAAAATTTTTCTATCTGAGTTGTAGTTTTATTGAGAAAATCTTTTGAAAAGACAATGGACATTCTAAAACAGTTTGTGCATATCACTTTTAATTCTTGAGATATTGAGGTTCTTGCTTTGTTCGATTTATCGAACTTGTGAGGTCAAATTGCATAATGAGAACAAGGAGTATTAGGTATATTTAACGATACTTTACTTCACAAGGAAAGAGTTCCCTTAGTTGTGAGGCGGTTAATGGTATAAAATTCTGCCTTTAAGTATCAACCTAAAGTTGTCAGGAAACTTGAAACGTGGGAACTCATTATACAATATGACATCACTAGTTAGATAAAATGGAAATAACAAAAACTTCAATATCTCGCCAAAGAAATGAGATATGCATTAACTGTTTTAGTAAGTACACTGTCATTTCAAAAGTTTTGGTCATTGCAAACATGATTTAACCAGCAAAATTTTCATATCATAGGCACTTCTACAAATAAAAGCAATAAACACATAAAATAATTCAAACTTACTGTACGCCAACATTCCATTGGTGATGACTTGCTTTAAGTCCTTAGCATCCAAGCGTCCTAGTGGATGACCAAAAGCGCGTAGATTACTTGAATTAAGAGAAAAATTTGCATCGTTCTGATTTGCAGTAACTGCTTTCGCTGAACTGCCCCAGGTCACATAATATGATGTGTCTAAACTATCCAAGTGAATTGACCAATCAGAACGTATAACTGAATTGATGATGCTATCACATATTTGAGCATGTTCGCCGACCATGCGATCTTTAAACAAGCGTCTTGCTTCATAAGCGCATATCTCAAGAAGGTGACCAGCAGTGGCTTCAATAATAGACTTGTCGACCGTGTATCTAAAAAGCGCCAGAACCCAGTATGTAAGATCACGTGGCGTAAACAGGTAATGGGAGTGATCGTCAACAGTAAACTTCGAACGAATCTAAGAAAAAAAAAAAGAAAAAAAGTCTAGCTTCACGAACTTTGAAAGCATATCTTGGCATGATTAAGTCATTTGAAATAGACAACCACTGAAGTTTCTTGTTATACTGCAATAAGTTTCTAGGTACGGTTCTTAGCAAATGAGAGATGTATTCAAAATACCTGCTCGTATATCGAAACCATTGTTTGAGCAAGGGCTTGAATGTTTCTTACGGCACCCCACACTGGATGTGAAGACAAACTGTGATGAATCACAGGTCTCAGATAAGAACCATAGATCACTTGAAGCTGTTCTCTGTCTGCATAACTAAAAAAGTGAAAGGGCGGTAAGTTATAATTGTGGATGACTTTAATATTTCCAGTCATGAGTAGCACAACACATCTCTAGTATCTTATCTATCGCTTGACAGTCCTCAGACTTAAAAAACGCAAGATTTCACAGGCAAGACTTAGACTTAAAACTAATTCAATTTGAAAATTTACTTTTAAATATAAGGTTGTCTTCAATGGTTCACTTACTCAATTGCACAAATTCGTACAACAGATGTAAAACGACTGGACAATTTGTGACGGCCTAATCCACTACCAGCGGTCATAGAAGCAACTATTTGCACTCCCTCTAAGCCAACCCATTCCAAATTAGTATCATAGAATCCTTTGTAAGAGAGAACCTAAATGGAAAAAACATGTGCCTGTCAGCAACTACAAAAATAATCATTAATATATAAGATTTTCGTTTGTCGGATATTACGATAGAGATTTCCCAAAGAGTACTTCTACAAAGCAAGACATCAATAGAAAAATATTTTGCCAGTTTTTTAACAGGAGACAATTGAGTTCCCGATACTTTTAAAGATAATATGGAACGTAGACCGGCATTACGATAGCAAATCCATGTACAAATATTATGATAAGACAAAAAAAATATCAGAGACGAATAGTAGGATTCTTAAATATTTACTGAGGTGCTAATATATGTTAGAGGGTTGAAATGGTAAGAAAGTGGTATAAGACAATCTTCAAACCAAGGCAAGATATTGATTCAAGTGCAATTGCCTTCCTTCAACGCCCTATGGGAAGGTCGTTAAAATTCTTTGGAAAAGTGAAAAATTTCAATAGGGGGTGAAAAGCTTTATTTGAGGGTTGGATCCTTGCATCCAACAACCTTTTTCCAGATTTTGCTAACTCCATCCACGATCAATACGTAAATACAGCATGTTGTACATTACCTGTTGTATAAAAGCAATCAGTTGACTAGTCCCCCACTTGTCCGGCTTTGGAAGATTAATATCTTTCAAATACAAAATCAACCTTTCGCAGTCTTTTGGCCTATACACACGGCCAGTGTTTGAGCTGATGACCATGCATGTTTGCTGAAGTTTCTGAAGAACGTGAATGGGGGAGGTCTGAGCGCTACAATGCACCATGGCAACTTGAGTTGATCGCAAACTCTTAAAGCAGTGACGAAGTAATAACCTATTGAGAAAAAAATTTTTGTGAGAAAATTAGGAAATATCACACGTAAGTTTTATCATTCATTTGAAACACTGTAAAAAGTCTTTGAAGGGATGAAGACCATCAGACAAGTACTGTATATTGTCACCCGAATGTTATGGAGAAACATGTCAGGTGACTTAGTAATTTTTACAGGCTGCTGTATGACTCATAACTTATGGCTGATTCTCAAATGTACAACGATTTCTTTTGCAATGGGTAAGTAAAAAAAAGACAAAAAAAACAAAAAAATTAAAATAAAAAGCAAATTCCGAAGAAACAAGACACCTTGAGATTACAAAATATGAATCAGAACAAGACGAGAAGTGAACTGTAAATTGTCGACTTTATTTCAAAGTCATTCTCAGACAGAGTGATATTCAAAGCCATACATACACATATATATTTACAACGCATGAATTAAGTAACTGAAGTCAAGCAATAGAAATTAAATAGTGCGATATTTACAAAAAACTTACTCTTTGCCACATCCTTCGGGTCCAACAAGAATGAATGGTTGTCTGTTGTTAGGTTGAAGCCACGAATTAAAGAAGTCTATTTGTCGTTTGATGTCAGCCGTTTGGATAACTGGAAGATATCCCGATGAACTGACGAGATCAGCCGCATTGAGAGAATCTTGAACCTTGTTAATATTGTACAAACAGAAAATTGAGCATCGAAATCGGTCCATTCAACTAGCTCTAAATTAACTGACTATTAAGATACTACCTCAAACTGATACGAGCAAAGTCGAGAGAGTTCTGAATCATAATATGAATGAAGTGGCCGCTTTTGATCAGGAGGAATTTCATGAGTCCATTGAAAAATCTAAGCATGTAAAATGCACAATGTTTCACAACGAAATACTTTTCTAGCGAAGTTTTTCATTCAATAAAGGAGCGTGTGAAAAATCATATAGTAACGGTTTCGATCCTTTTCTTTACAAAAGTAAAGAATCATTCGTTAATATAACATTGAAAAACGAAGTAAGATTCCGTAAAATAGTTGAATGAAAACATTTCAAACAACATTTAAATACCTTACCTCTTTGGCCAGATCATTTTTTGCAGCTGTAATTAGATTAGAGCCTAAGCCCCTTATCAGAGCACATGCAAATTCTGGTTTGACTTTAACATGTCTTAAATGGGAAAGTCCATTCATCACTACACCCACAAGCGTTGTTTCGACGACAAAATCGTTTCGTTTTAATACCCAGTCCAGAGCTTTGTAGAAATAATCTTCAATCCATCCATCCAGATTTCGTTCCTCTTCAGCATGTTCGTGCAACCAAGACTTTACCAAAGCTTTTACATCAATATCTTCATCACTTTAATGAGAACAAAAAAAACATACGTAGAAAACTATCAACAAAACGTAGCAAATAAATTGCACAATATCAAGCAATCCAAAGAAAAACACACTGTGGGTGATCAATCATTCACAAGAAATATGATCGAAAGAAACCATATGGATCATAAAATCAATAAATACGTGAAATTAATCCGGCAAAAAGGGAGCGAAAAAGTAAAACATACCTTAGAAATATCATTCCCATTCTTGTTATGGTGGCAGGCGATGCACAGCTTAAATCATGCGATTCAAATATGAAATTGACATTTGGCCCAAATTGAATGCGTTCACCAGATGGCATAGTCAGGAGACGATTATCATCAAGAACGGAATTAAGAGATTCGATCCATTCTGGGTCAATATCCCCATCGCAAACAATCCACGAATGGACTTCTTTTGGTTCTTTCACAACTTGCCGAGCAGCATAAGTAAGCACACCGTCGGTCCATTCTCGGGTGTCCATGTCGATTTGACCCAACAACTACAAACAAAAATTAAAAATTCATATCATATCTTTAAGTTAGTTTTTCCATTTTTTTGAGAAAATTAATTTGGTTAAGCGAATATCTAACAAAGTTCAATCTAAATCAAATGAATGGTAAGTAGTGGCGTAGACAAGGAAACTCCCCCCCACACACACAAAGAACAGAGATGATGTCATCGCAGAAAGATGAAATCAGAGTAGAAATTAGGAGGTTCCGGGGGGGTGATACATACCTAGTTGGCTACCTATGTTGTTAGAAATCCCAAGTCTTCTAGATTTTTAAGTCCAACAGCAGATAATATTGTCTACTAGGGTTACTAAACGAACTTAATTTGACTGTTTACATGCGTTTTAATGTGCTCCGTTCTTTTAACCAAATATTCTCCCAAATAATGTATTAAAATTGCTTGCTTACGACGAAAGGCTACAAACTCTTACATTTAGTTAACTCAGTCGAATCTGACATAATGGAAGTGTTATAGACATTGGAAACCCGGTTCAACATTTTGTTGACATGTCCCCAAGAAGAATGAATGTAGAATGACATTATACTACGTGTAGTAAACGTTCTCACGATCTTGATAAAAGCATTACCATTTGAGATACTAAGTTTACTTTACTAATGCAATAATTACTGCGAAATTTGTCCTTATTAAAGCTAGTGAAATTTTCTCACTAGGAAATTTTGAGATTGAATCCAAGCGTTTTGGCAGTTGCTATGTTTAAGTAATCATTAAAAAATCATGTTTCTCCTTTAGCAAGAGATTTTTTCTCAGGTAGCTAAGAATTTTCGCAGGAGAGCATGCTTCTGAACCCCTTCAGCGTTTCAAAGCATGCCCCACCCAAAAAAAGTTCACGCTTGTTTACGCCATTGATGGTAAGTTTAAACCCCGGACAATCTGCATGACTGCCGCGAATGTTGTCAATACGTCAGTCAACATTAGTATCTTAAGTCATTCCCAGGACTCACTTAGCTGGGAGATCTACATTGACGAATATGCAAAGGTTCATCTTTGCAAACCAAAGCAAATAAATCAAAAATCGTTCAAGATTTTTCCTAAATGGATTTCGCAATGGAAAAAATAAGAGCTGCCAACGGGCAGTGCAAATCATTCCATGCTACATTGTGATGAGAATCGACGTTCAGATTCGGTGAATTACATTACACAGGTTCTCCACAAAAAGCGTTAAAGCAAAACCTAATTAGTTGTTTGAACTCACCTGGGTCCTGGGCATCGCTTTAGGGTTCATTGTATACTGTTTCACCACTTGGTCCATTTTACCCAGGGCAGCGCGCAAAAGTTTCCACAGAATGGTCTTCCCCGATCCAGAGGGACCAACAACAACTACACCCATACGTTGACGGAGTTGCTCATAAAGTTCCAAAGTCTTTTTGACCTGATAAAAAAAATTCAACGTGCAGGAAAATATCATGCAGGGAAGAAACTATTCTTAACATGCCATCTGACATTTTCTTGTTAACGATAGCGACAGTGCGTCATTTGTTTCTGATGACTGAAATGCATCCTTTCTCACGTTAGTGACCCTACTTTGCCAAGGACTGGAATGGAACTTACCTGCGTTGGCAAAATAGCAAGATTAAGTTCTTTTGCAGAAGCTATCACAGCATTGGCCAATTTCTCATAATCAACGTCTTGAAATTCGACATTCGGAAAAACATCCCGCACAAGTCCGTCAAATCTTTTCAAATCAGCGAACGTTAATTTTGACAACGTATTGAGACGTAATGCTTGGACAACAACTTTAGCTTCTACTTTGCTGTCAACTGATAAAAAAAAATTCGTGTCAGATTCAATGATGTTTGGACATGAATAAGAAAAGATGGCAAAAATGTTAAATCAAATGGTCAAAACGTGCGAGCTCTTAACAATAAATTCTTAACACATTGTGTTGAAAAAAAGATTTATTTCTGACGAAATTCGATTTATACGATGATCCTAACAAAGAAAAACTGTAAATATGTAATCAGGTATACACGAGTAATAACCCTTGTCGACTTTATTTAGAGTGACTGATATCATTTATAAAAGCACTGGATGGTAGTAGAGTAGGACTGCCAAATAAAATAGTTAAGAAGTAAAAGTACAATAAAGTAAATGGCTTGAGCCGGGAAGTAACGCTACATGTTTGTAGGTGTAGATCGTCCAGGCTAGTAGAGTACTGAGAAGGACTGTTGGTGTTGATGTTGACTGACGTTTCGACAACCTTAGCGGTAGTCATCTTTACTCTTTACCGCTAAGGTCGTCGAAACGCCAGTCAACAACAACAAAAACAGTCCTTCTCAGGACTCTTCTAACCTGGGCGATATACATCTACAAACATACAGTTATTTATTTAATTGTTATACCTTGGATTCCTGATTGCCTGAGAGTCCGCAAAAGACTGCCACAGCAAGGAAGAACTGCTTTCATGGCTCTCAATCCCCAATCATAATGTTGTTGCGATGACAAAAGCTCCCTATAAGACAAAAATCCCCAAAATAATACCATCCTCGCGCCATTTCTTGCTAACGACTTTATTTAACTCCGCAAGTGTTAAAAAAAAGACAATCCTTATTTTGGAGAGAAGTGGAAAGGGGGGAGTTAACTCCAAGAATTGTCACTCCGCTTTTACAGTTTATTTAAGAGTTATTTACGAGATATTCGAGCCACATCTAAAGTAAATTGTTTTGATTCCATGAGTTGAACTAATCACACAATGGAGAATTTTAGAGTTGAGACAACTCAATTAACTTCAATCACCATTGACTTATTTCGACTCTCTGAAAGCAAGAGCGTTACTGGGTTCAATCGGTCAAACATAAGAAATAATCCTGTAATGTTTTTCAGTACAAACAATGTGAATTATAGAATAAAAACAGTAAAATGTGTGCATTGATTGGTCTATAGCAATGTTTGCATTAACCCTTGGAAACCGATCTGCCATCAACCAATTAAATCAATCGACCAATCAAAGAGAATTTGTAAATCAATCATGAATACATGTTTGAGGAAATACAAAAACGTTCCTTTTAAGTTTGTCTGTTTTGCATTATTGTTAATTTATAAAAGACATAAAAGATGTTTTTCGTGTTCGCACTGACTTATGCAAACCTCCAAGACGTTTGTGAGAACTCTCGAGCAGTTGTAACCCTCGACCTTCCGTCTCGGGCTTGCACTGATCTGCTTTCTAGTTCTCCTAAAGTCTTCTCGGTTAGCATAATCCTGTGCAAATACAGTAAATATCTTTTATTACTTAAACGCAAAATTACATTCTCTAAAGTTATTTAATAAGTAAATGACTGACCTAGATAGATTGAAAACTGACACAAGTTTTCTACCAAGACTTTTTGCTTCTTTAAAACCTTCTGAAAACATAATGACTTCAGTAATGAGATCAACATCGGGTTTTGTCATCGCCACAGGCCGAAAGAGCTGTTTTAAATTGTCTGGTAGCTTCTGGCGACCACCATAGCCTTTTCCCGCAGGGTTTAACGTGATGAAAATACCAGAATTTGCATCAAGATCCACCTTCAAAAGAGGCAAAAATTATAAATTATATATAAAATTCGCTATTCTTTTAGTGTATAGCTTTTTTTAAAAGACATAGTTGAGTCGTAGCTTTTGTTGAACTATATTAACGGCAACACTAAAATTTGAAAATAAAGACAATAATACAGTAATGATCCTAATTAACAGTTTACTCTTTCAAAAAAATGAAGAAACATTTTGAATAAAATTTTTTCCAACCTGCCTTCCCAAAAGTTCCGCGTGTGACTCGCGACTTTTCACAGCAGCTTGAATGGTCTGAATTTGCATGGAGACAGCAGACAAGACCGCTTCTTCAAGGCGATTGAATTCATCGAAGCATCCCCACGCACCACATTTAACTAGCCCAATAAATATGCGACCCATCGACTTCACATCAATTCCCTGTAAATGTAAGAGAATTTTTGTCCGTAGTGAACTTGTCCGCTTAATACTGCGAATAATTTTGAAATAACCGAGTCAGCGTTCAAAGGGTTTTACGCATGCAGTGCGATACTTTCTAAGCAATGTAGTGTATCCGAATAAGTGGAAATGCATTGACTTAGTAGACTTCGCCAGTTTTCTTCATGAGCTTTATGCACCTGAGAAAAATACTGTACCTCATCACAATTAAAAACCAACACTTGTCTCCCGAACAATCCCCCAAGCGCTTTCACTGATTCAGTCTTGCCGGTTCCAGCAGGTCCGTAGGGATTTCCTCCTAATCCCATGTGCATTCCTTGTGTCAACGTCAAGTAGCATTTGTCAGTGAGAGGAGTATGCACTAATTTTGTAGAGTTTCCTTGATACTCGTACGTGTAGTCAAATTCAGCATCTACCATGCAAATCTTGCATTGATCTTCAAGAAAAGCGAGATAGAACGAGATGTTTTGTCGGAAATTTAAAAACAACCCTAGCTCCTTTAAAGCCTATTAAGCTGATGTTACTTGAAGTCTTAAACATGACTAAGAACAAAATTGTATATAAAAGAAGAAGTGGACTATTACGAAATGATCCGCATTTAGCTACATCACTCACAAAAACCAGGAAAAACGTGAAAATATCATAGGGTAATTTATCCAAGACACTTTTCATTTTGGAAATACTTTGCACAAATTAACAGAAAAAGACAACACCTACCTTTCTCCACATAAAATCTTAGTTGTTTTTGCCACATCCAATCTTCTGTGGACTTCACGTTATTCTGCACAAGCTTGTCGATAACATCAATGGCATGTATGGTATCCAAGATCAAAGCTTTACACTTCAGTTCAAGCACATCATTGTCAACGTCAGCAGTATCACCCGACATGTCCGTCTTGGCGTATGCATCTAGTGAAGCTTCCATTTCAATAGAAAACTCGTGTAAGCTGTTACTGCGAATTGCAGCTTCACATCTCTCTGTAAACTGTATTTGTTCTGCCAAGCACAAAATCTGTGAGGACCAAAACATTAATTAATATTCCGAAGCTGGAAAGAGTTTTAAGTATAGAAAACTGGAAAACGCAATGTAAGCAGGATAATGGCTTGCCTGCGATGGATACAACGATGGATCAACGCCAGTTTTTGATCCCTTCTTTCCAGCGTTTAAGCACTCCACAAGCAATTTCTTCAAAGTATCTTTCATTTCATTGGCCAAATTGCCTAACCAAACCTACAAATTGGTGGTTTATCCAATACAATTATCTCACAACAGCAAACATAAGCGTTAGCAAAACTATAGAAAATAGAAGACAAGTCCAAAATAACGAGGAACCAGCTTTTAATAACAAGACAAACAATACCTCAACTTCTGTTGTTACGGCAACAGAACGCTTTAGTGGTACAACTTCGCCTTTCAAAGATTTCATTGCAATTATGTTTTTAAAACCTTCATCGAACTCGACGTTATGTATACCAGCAAACAACTTCTTGAGATGAGATTGAATGACAACTGGGTTTGTTGATTGACCGAGAATTTCCAACAGGTCATCATCGCCGATGAAATAAAACCGTGGAAACAATGAACGCTTTTCCTAGAAATTAAAACAAATAAAAATTTACAATACAAATGATGCAAGCGTTTATGAAATCTTTCTTTTGAACAGCTATAATAAAAACACCTCAAGAAATTCATTCAGTGATTTCTGACATCTGTGAAGTTGATCCAACAGATTCACCAAAATGTTTCGAATTCCAGATCTGGCAACTAGGGACAGGACGCGAGCGTCACCTTTAACATCAATCATTATCGATCTAAAAATAATGTACGTTTGATCTATATAAAATATTCGTTAATAGATTGAAGGACAAAATTTGCTTTCTATTAAGTCAACTTTCATCGCCACCAGTGAGAAACGTCACAAGAGTGGTAACAATATTATAAGGCTTCTCTATAATGCCACACCCAAACAAAATGAACTGATCTATAATTTTCGATGAACACTTTCATAAATAAAACTATTTGAACAGATGACTAGCGGTTTATTTTCATAGCTGAAAGCATTTTCACTGAAAAATGTCTAGGTTAACATGATAGCAGGGAGGCAGCTAAGCTATTTGAAAATTAAAGCTATGCCACTCTTGCTAAGTCCAATACAAAACAATATATTTGGATAAAAAGTCTAGTACTTAGCTGCAAGCCTGCAAATGTATACTTGTTCACTCTTTTCTAAAACAATATATTTTGATGAAAGTCTACTATTTAGCTGCAAGCTTACAAATGTTTACTTATTCACTCTTTTTTAAAATAAAGTTGCTATGACACATTAAATTGGTTTGCCAATAGACATCTTTCCCTCGTCATATTTTGAAATAAATAGTTCGGATTCTAACCTGAAATCGGTATCCACGCTTTTAAACCGCCCTTGCTCTTTAGGTAGAGCACCACGACCAAATATAGGTTCAAGGTAAACCCACTTGCGTTGAATCTGATTGAGATTATGAAGATATTCATCAAGATCAGCTAAACGTGCCTCCCAAAGCGATGCCTTGTCAGAAAATCCTTTGTAGTAAGGGGAATCTTTTAGAGACTGGAGTAAGCATTGGTTGTCTCCAACCTGCAAAATAAAAATAATTGTTGAGGAGTCCACTTAAACATAAATGAGTAACGAAAAATTTATATCCGGCTGTGCATGCCGTGACAAAAGTGAAATAAACGATGTTTCCGTTGTAGTTAATATACCAGAACTTTCAAAACAACTGCTTGAAGTACATGGATTAAGTTATCATTCCCTACAACTACAACGACATTCACTACAACTACAACGACCTTCCCTACAACTACAACGACATTCACTACAACTACAACGACATTCACTACAACTACAACGACATTCACTACAACTACAACGACATTCACTACAACTACAACGACTATCAACAATTGACCTCAGATGTCATCACCTAAATACACTATCAAATGTACCAAAAACATCCTTATTGCTACTCCAGCCGTCCTTTTGCCAGGTCCGCATCATTGAATTCTATACTAACTTGAGCGGGGTTATCTCAATCACGGGTTTACGGCAAACGAGGGTGGGTGTAGGAATGTAACTCTTTTGTAAAATATATATAAAATGTCGGTCCAGAAACTGATACACGACAAAAAATTTTGCTGCTAATATGTTTGGTGGAATAAATGTCTGTAAATGTAGATGACAGCTCTTTGCTTTAAAACTGTGAAGCTGAAAAATATTTAGGATTGTTTTCGAATCCTAAACTAAATTGCCAGCAGCTTTGTACGGTCTGAAATACGTTCGTTCTAACTGCAAAAGACGTTAATACGTACGTGTGACGTCGTTATCTCAAACAAAGACATGATGAACACAGCATAAGATTAAGACAAAAATTTCCTGTCTACTGGCAAATTGTTAAAATCACACACATGACATGTATGTTGGGAAAGTCAATTCTTGAACACTGAGGTAAGTGAATGGCTAAATTAACAAACATTAGTGCAGATTTTTTTGAAAGTCGACAGGGGCTAGCAACTTACGATATGGATTATCGACCGACTGTTATGACTGAGACCGTATTGTTGATTGCATTATGTCATAGTAACATGACAAGACAATCTCGGACAACTATAATTATATAAGATATATGCTGCGTGAAGACAAATCCATAATATCGAGCTGCAAAACTCGGATGAAAGCAAAACACAAGGCATGCAATACAATCTGAAAATATTATACACTATAAATCTTTAATGCCCACTTAGAAACCACATTATTACAAATGTGAAGATATTTCTATTGATTATAAGACACAAGTTCGAAAGGTTTCAAAACTGCGTGCAAAAATTTACTTTTTATCGACCGCAAACAAAAAATATAATTTTACAAATATATGCTTTAGCAGTTAGTCGGCAAATTACTAGCAAGTATTTAATCAGATATGGCTTCACGTGATACTCACGAGATGATGATGTAATGTAATAAATCAGATATTTATCACATGAGAGGATGTCTGACAATTTATGCTATGCGCTTATTTTGCCTCCCTGGCAAAGAACTTCACAAGAAGTGCAGTATATTAATTAATGATGAAATTTTCGCTATGATTGATATGACTTTGGGCCTGATTTTATGGAGGCGAGCTGGCCCGGATAGCGAGCTAGCCCGATGATTTCAAGGGATTGAAAGGAGCCAAAACGTTAAAATTTACAACAGTTTGCGAAGCACCACACGTCCCTCCGGTTGTAATTCTCAAATTAGGGCAAAGTGGTTATTTCAATATTAAATGTTTTGAGAAGTTATTAAATCATAATATTGGAAAATTGCTTGAGAAGATTTATCTAATGATAAGTATTGAATCGTTTCCATTTGTTAAAATCATTTAACGCTTGGCTGAATTCCGGATACTGGGCTCATGTGATCAGCACCTAAGAAATTATAATGCATCATCATGTCTGCATGTCGTTGTTTGAACTTAAGTTGTCTTGCAGTTAATGTCAATGATCAAAACAGTTTTTAATATACTAAAAGGGGTGTTTTTTTTTGAAGCGGAGAGAGTACCATGTTTTTGGAAATAATATCAGCATCGTTCCTTGTTTGGATAGTTTCGTTTCTTGTAAAAACTTATTTCAAAAGAAGATCCATGCCCCCAGGACCATTTCCCTATCCGATAATTGGCAACATTTTTCTCGTTGATGTAACTAGTAAGAAGCCATTTAAGAGAATACAGGAGAAATATGGAGATATATACACAGTTAGACTGCTCTCAGATGTTGTTGTCGTGAATACAGCAACACTTGCACGAGAAGCGAGACTTCTGCATAAAAACGACGTGGTCGACAAATCTACAAAGGCGCCATTGCATCCTATAATTGGTCCCAATGATATTGTTTTTGCTGAATATGGCACACCATTCGTTTTTCGTAAGAGAGTATTTAAATCAGCTATGCACGTCTTTGGAGAAGGCATTCACGAAGCTGAAGAGAGAGGAAATCATGCTGTAAAATGCACTTTAGATGAAATTAAATCATTTGAAGGTCGTTCATTCTCGCCTAAAAAGCTTATAGCATCAGCAATAATACTTCAACTATGGCAATGGCTCACTTCGAAAGAACTCTCCTTAGATGATGACATTATAGTTAAGCTTTTGGAATTTAGCGAACTTTCAGTAAAAAAAATTCAAGAAAACTCAATCGTTTCGATGATGATACCGTTCAGTTCCTTCCTTCCCACTGAATTCAATCGAAATAAAAAGCGAGCTCTGCATATTAAATCGTCAATTTTTTCTCCAGTTGTAGAATCACATCTTGCAACCTATACACCTGGAAAAATCCGCAATATGACCCATAGCTTTATACAAGCGTACGCAAAGGAAATGGCGAAGGAATCCAGTAAAGATATTGGTTCCATTAATGACATCAAAGATTTGATGGTCGATGTTGTTTTCGCGGGCGCAGATACCACGTCTTCCACGTTATCTTGGTTTTTATTGTACATGACCTTATACCCTGATGTTCAAAAAAAAATCCACGCCGAGCTTGACCAAGTGATAGGGAAGGAGTATCTACCGCAAATGAAAGACATTCAGAATTTGAACTACCTACAAGCAACTATGTGTGAAGTAATACGCAAAGCTAACCCCATACCAATAGCTGGTGCAACCACTCTACGTGACATACATCTAGCTGGCTTTCATATTCCAAAAGGCACTGCCATTTTAACTAACCTAGCGGAGGTTCACCATGACGAACGTGAATGGCCCGAAGAATCAAAGTTCAAACCAGAACGTTTTTTGGACAATGATGGAAAATTTGTTGGTTGGACTCACTATCTCGCGTTCATGCCTTTTGGACTAGGGCGAAGGCAATGCGGTGGTATTTCATTTGCAAAAATTATGCTCTTTACGTTTTCATCAACGTTGTTATATTATCACGAGTTTCGACTTCCCGAAGGTGTTGAGCGACCAATGGAAGAAGGATCTCGTCTACAGCTGGTTTCCTCACCAAATCATTTTGAAGTTGTTGCATTCCCAAGAACTTAATGCTTCTTCTTTTGCTGGAAGTGATGTACACTTATATCAATTTATAAAGAAACTGTAACCAAACATGCCTGACTATAAGTACCACTTGTAATGAAGCATTACATTGACGGGTATATATATACGATGAATGAACAGTAGGAAATGAATATCTTGCAACTAACAGCAATCTATCATATGTTGGATATTTTTAATCTATTCAATTTGCTGGAATTTATATTGAACTTAAACACGGAAATTATATTAAATGAATGACTTTGTACCAGTTACCTATCATTGCTAGATATTTCTAATTTATATTTTTATACTGCACCGGTAGGAAGAAGTCTGCATAACTGAAGAATATATCAGCTGTGAAGAGATGTCTAGGGATGTACTAGATTTCTTTTATGTCATTTATACGTCAATTGAAAACATTGTTTTACTTGATGCAATAAATGAAATGGATCTATTGTGCTTAAGCTACTGATTCTGCCATATGATAATACAATACTGAAATCTTGGGTTGGAACTTCAACGGTTTTTGAACCGTTGAAGTTCCGAGCAAAATTAAACCTCTTTGTACCCTGGATCCTGGATAATTTTAATCTAACATACTTTTCATTCTATTAACATGCCTAGATTACAAATCTTCAGCACTAATGCATAGGGCTATATTTGATATATTTCGTGAGAGCGGTTAACAAGCAACTACTTACAACGATAGGCGTTAGATTAATCTTGCAAGAACATTACACAACGGCCAGTGAAATAAGTCAGAACAGAAAACATTACCATCAACTACCTATTTCCTTGTTGTAACTTTTTCATGCATAAGAACTCAAAATAAAAACTATCTTCCATCGCTTTGTATGGGAAATTTATGAAAATTACAAAATTACTAATTATGACGCATGAATAGTATATCATGTCTAGTCTACAATTTCTTTATTTTTAATTTGCGTGGTTGCCAAAGATTAATGCTCTTCCTGATGTCATAAATAAAGGTAATGGCGACAACGTGAACATAATATGAGTGTCACAGAATAGATATCTTAAAGGTTCACTCGTGTCGGAACCTTTGATGTTCGTGTCCCCCACTTTTCTGAAGTAAATTCTAAGCAGACACGCCCTCCAGCAAGATACTTCAGCAAGATTGCAATAGGAAATATAGAGGTTTTTACAAATATATTGTTTCGCACTGCAAAAGCTTGGTACCTTATCTCCTACCAAAGATGATAACTCTTTGTAAAAATTTTGTCAAACTTTTGCTTTAAACGTGAATTATTAGTAAAATAACATTCATGTGCAATACTACTTCACAGAAAACTTCCAGGATGAATAATGGTCTGTTTATCTGGGCCAGACTAAGCAGACGTTGCGTTCAACCACACGAAAACTAAACAGTAAATGCAGAAAAGAACCTTAAGGCTAAATTCATCGCGCTAATGATTGTTCACTATGCGCAATTGTTGTTTTTATCGCTCATTTGAAAATGAATAAACGGCATGAAATAAATCGCTATTTTTTTGAACATCCCTTTTAGTCATTTCGCATTCTATTGTTGCTATATTGAAAGAAGAAACGCACTATTAAATATACAACACGTCTTATTGAATAGTTATTTTCTCTTAATGCATGACAAATGCTTTACTAGCTACACAAACCATGCAATTTTTCATAATAATCAAATCAAAATCAAAACGAGAAACAAAATAAAATAAATAATTGATTTCCAATAATTCTTACTTTTCATGAGTGTCTCAAGGGAATAGCCAACAAAGGGCATCCACCATGTCGCCTAATAACAATGATATCTAATGATATTCGTTTGTAAGGAGTCCAACAACATGGCGCTCATGAAAACCACCAATTGGTGGATTATATGTTAAGCCACACTATAGGATGCTAAATGCAACATAATATTTTATCAATGCGTTTGTGTTTATACAAAATATTAGGTTTAAAGTTACGTGCCATGTTTTTCTCTCATCAAAACATTTTATGATAGATTACCCAGAATTTCAAATCAAGATTCTGGAGTTGACAAATACGTTCTTGTTAGTTTAGATCTCCTGGTTTTAAATAACGACATACTTGGAAAGAAGATTAATGCCACCTGGACCGTTTCCATTGCCAGTTATTGGTAATATGTTACAACTGGATATTAAGTCTGGAAAACCATTTCATAAACTTTCTAAGACGTACGGTGACATAATGACATTACAAATACACACAAAGTATATACTTGTGAACACTGCATCACTTGCCAGAAAGGCAAAGTTTGAGTATAATAACGATGTTGTAAGCAGAGAACAAGACATGACTTTATGTAAATAACAAGGACCAAATGATGTTGTGATGGCGGAATATGGAACAGCATTCGTGTTCAGAAAAAGAGTATTCAAATCAGCAATGCACGGGTTTGGAGCAGGAATCAAGGCAGCACAAGAACGAGGACTTCATGCAGTAGCATGTACTTTGGAGCAAATAAAAACATTGAAAGATCAACCATTCTGTCCCCAAGAAATTCATGCTCTGGGGAGAGACAAATTACCGAGAATGGACGACGCCGACAACATGCCTTATCTTCAAGCTACCATTTGTGAAGTGATATGCAAGACCTCTCCAGTGCCCAGACCAGATACGGTGACAATAAACGATGTAGCACTTGCAGGATATCACTTTCCAAAAGGAAGTACGATTATAGCTAATAACGCAGAAATTCACAAAGATGAGCGAGAATGGCTGGAACCACATCAATTCAGGCCAGAGCGTTTCTTAGACGAAGATGGGAAGTTTGTTGGATGGAGAAAGTATCCAGCATTTATGCCGTTTGGTTTATGTCGAAGAGAATGCGCTGGAATATCGTTTGCAAAGATCATGTTATTTACGTTTGCTGCAGCATTATTGCAACAGCTCAAATTTGAGCTTCCTGAAGGAGTGGAAAGACTTGCAGAAGATGGACCACATTTGGGAATTGTAAATGGTCGAGAGAACTTCTGTTATCACAAGGAAAAGGTTATAAGCTATTATTATAGCTTATTTGAGCTATTTCTCAAATGTTATACAACAATCGTATAATTTCCACGGACGGATTTCAGGGGGTTGCAGGGGGTGCTATACTCTCAAAACATCAGATTTCATCCGGCTAAATAAATTGTTCACGTCTCTCTAAGAAACACTTTGACGCCTTCTATTTTCAACAACATAAACAGTAGTTCATTTTAACTGAGTTTCTCTAGGCAATATTTCAACTTTGTACACTACTTTTGGTGTCCATACTTCCAGATTGCCACTAAAATCTAGATCCTAACTTTATCTTGCATCAATTTTTTACCAGCTCACCCTTCTAAGATTATTAGCATCACCCCTGTAAAGATATGAAAATCCGTCCATGATAATTTTATATATAATTTGCAGAATAATTGTCATATTGAACATACATGTAAGACAAGGACGTTTATATGTGCACGACGACTGATTTTGTATCATAATATTGTAATAATAGTTATTATTTTACAGAAGAGCGTGCAAGGACTCTGTTGAATAGAAAGAAATTAAAAGAAATGATTTGTATACAAGCAGCTATAGCTAGAGCGATCTGAATTCATACATGGTAAATGAACAAAATATAGGAGATGTATTCCATTTCCTTAACTGTGAAATCTGAACTCTTCTTAACCACATAGACATAGCCACTGGAACAAAACCAACAGAAAAACACTTGAATTGGAGCATCTCTAAAATATTTCATCCCAAAATGTTTAGAAAAAACAGGTCTTCAAAAAAACCTCATCTGTGTTTGTGCACAACTAACCCGAAAACATAAGCAGTTAAAACAGCGATACTAACCCAATACCAGTAAAACATTCATCGAGAACCAACATACAATGACTTAAGAAAACGTCTGTAAAAAGCATGGCACAAAGTACAGAACACCTATGACATGCGCAACACATCTTTCTCAAATCGGATCACAAACCACCCATGGGAACACAGTAAAAACCAAACAATTAATTCCCGAATATCAAAAAGCAACAAAGGCTTCATTGTAGTGGCACTACCATTTATTCCTTGTTCTGTAATAAAAATCAAACGCTTACAGAAAAAAGAAACAAAAATAAACAAAATTGTTTGTATATCACTTAAAGGTGCATGGAATTTAAATCTTCAGCTCATAAAACTAAATACCGTAAATGCTCGAATAAGCGCCCGGGGCGCTTATTTAATTTTTGGAGGCGAGAGGGGGGCGCTAATTCGAAGGGGGGCGCTTATTGGAAGGGGGGCGCTTATTTCATTTTCGGATTTTTGACGTGAAAATGACACTGGTATTTTTATTTCTTGTGACCTTAACTGTAACATAAGTATGAAAATTTTGAAAACGTTAACATTCTAGAAAGCAACATTAACATTTTGTGAAACTTGAAATGTTCTCCAAGCGATTTCCTGGTGCCCGTTAAAGGGCATGTGTATTGTACAATGCGTTTAACATCGTGAAATGTTTTGTATATATAAAGAAAGCCTGCCGTTAATGTTCAGCGGTTGTCTTCAATTTAACACACAATGAAAATAGTACTGACATTGTTTATGCTATATCGCGTCTTTCGCTAACCATTTGATCCTTAATCAATCTCAATTTCTGTATCGCTGTCATCAAGCAATGTTGACACAGGAGCAGCATCTTCAACATCTGATAGCGTGATATCCTGAAAAGGATCATTCTCCAGTGTTTGCTGAAGTTGCTGCTGAACTGCCTTCAGTTGTGCCAGGCCAGAATGACAAGGTTGACTCGGCTTTAAGCAGTGTATCAGCTCATCTTGAGAACCGTCGACAGCAAGTGTCAGCGCACAGCACTTGAAGGAGTTAACAATAATGTCCTTATCCAGATCATTCCATGCTTCAATGATCCACTGGACAATCTCTCGCCTAGGAGGAGCTCGCATGTTCCCTGCTGCAGTAAACGTGTGTTGACCATTTGCCATCCACTCGTCATATCTCTCAGTCACTTTGGCTTTGAATGGTTTGTTCCACGATACATCAGGCGCTTGGATATATTTCGTACACCCCAGGTATAATTACAGGATCTATCTTTGCGCGATTGAGCTCTTGTTTAACGCTGTCTAAGACGTGGCATCTAAAAGAATCCCAAGCCAGCATCCGTCTGGTGAACGAAAACTGGCCCAAGACACTTTTAACCCAAGAAACGGTTAGTTCTTCATTCATCCATCCATTAATCGAGGACGCTACGACACACTTTGTTCTGAATTCCTCATTCAGTGCTTTCGACTCTCTCTTGGCACCTGGAAAAACGATGAACGGCTTTAGTTTGGTACCGTCTCCCTTTGCAGTCAAACACACTGAAACCTTCGTTTTTTCATGGCCAGTTGTTTTCAATCGAATTGTGCTTTCGCCAATGTTGTCGACCGTGGTATTGGATACCATATCTTGCCATACTGCTGTCTCATCCATTGCAATGATATCCCTGTCTTGGTAAGCGATTTTTACGTTGCCGGCGAATCTGCAAAACATACGCTATGAGTTTGTCTATCACTTTCTCGGGGTCCTTTTGTGATTCAGTGGTTTTGCGTCTGATTGCCAAACCATGTCTTGACATGAACCGCTGTAACCAACCGGAACTGGCAAGAAACGATGGTGGCATTTCCTTCTCTTTGCATTTCTCGTTATCGAAAATTTTGCTTTGCTTGCGATCATTTTTCTGGAAACACGAAGGCCATTGGAACGGCGCTCATGTACCCACTGTAATAATGCTTCTTCTAGGTCTTCATCGAATGGCTTTCGTCCGCCTCCTTCAAGCCGCTTTCTCTTGCTGCTAGTATCTTCCAATTTGCTTTTCTTTTGTCGCCATTCTCTTACTCTCTTGCGGTCGACACCAAACTTTGCTGCGGCTTTTCGGTTACTGTTACACTCTTCGGCAAATTGAACAGCCTTAAGTTTAAATTCGTTAGAATAAGAAGAGTTCTTCAATCCTGCGTGCGATGTAGATGCTAGAGTTATACTTTCGTCCATGATGTCAAAGGTAAGCATGCTGTAATGCGAGAAGGCCGGAAAAGACCTCCCATGAGAAGATCACATTGTATCACGTGCTACCAAACACGTGTGTGACATTCATCTGCTGTTTACAACATGGCGCGTTCAAGCTATACCTTTACTTGGCAAATGGTTTACGAAATAGAATTTGCGTCTGTGATAAGAGGACACCATGTTTATAAAGCTGAATGGTCACCACAGCTTGGAGAACGGCTAGTGTGTCGGAAAGACGATCGAAAGGAGGCTAAAGAGCACGATGAATATGCGATTGGAACATTTATTCAAGACAGTGGCAAGCTGGTTGGACATGCGCCCATTGAACTTTCCTTCCTCGTGTTTACATTTTTACGAGCTCATGAGGATAATGCGGTGGAGGTAAAAGTAACTGGAAAAGAAAACTTGAAAACGGCCTAGTTGTTCCAGGAACTTTTAAAGCAGTAACACGAAGCCGGCGACTGGGAGCAAAGTTTAACGAGGAACTTGATAAAGTAAAGCTCCTATGTGCCCACATGGATATTGAAATCAAGCAAATGAGAAGCAAACCTCTGAAGAACATTGATTTTGAGTTCTAACGAATGTCCGTTACCGATGTAAAAAATTAAAAATACTGTGTATCGAACTGAGTACCGAAGTTCATCTTTTATCGGGGGAAGGGTGGGGGGGTGGGGGGCGCTTATTTGAGAGGACGCTTAGCAAAACCCGTCTTTTCTCGAGGGGGCGCTTATTGGAAGGGGGGCGCTTATTTCAAAATTTGAGTCCTAGGGGGGGCGCTAATTCGAAGCGGGGCGCTTATTGGAAGCTGGGCGCTTATTCGAGCATTTACGGTACCTAGCACGAAACAATATTTTAACGGTGAGCAAATTAATTAAAACAAAATAGTATCGTAGGATAAATTATCACCAAGAAATTATTTCCTTGATGATATATGAAGTTTGCAAGTGTAAAGAAAAAAATAAAGCTTTCTTACATGGCTGTCACGGTCAGAATGACAATGAAACATGATACAAGTCAAACTATGACGAGGAAATACAATTAAATAAATGAAGCATTATTTGCACAGAATATATAATAGTCGAAAATAAAGTTATACAAATCGTGTGTATGTAAATTAATACAAATCATAAGCTGTTTTAAAACAGACGTTGATGACGATATATTATTTATGGCAAAAAATGTTTTTCAATAAAAACAATAATGTATTTATGTTTACAAAATTACTGAGAAATCTTAAGGACTCCACTTATTACAATCTAATCAAATGTATTTGGTGAATGGATAAAGAATTTGAAAATGATTGCGTTATTAGATTAAACAGTGAGCACAAAACACATTTTTCAATCTCAAACAAGTTTTGTGTAAATAATATTAGAAATACATTATTATTTGAACTAGTTTTATTAATCCACTTACGACCATAAGCTTCACTGACTACCCATTCGTAAGCAAATGTACCTATGTTTAAAGTCTACGTTTGCAAGCGTGTCAGCAATGCGAAATATGACTGTTGTGTTGAATTTGTTGACAGTTGACTGCTCTTTCTGACGTCATAAAACACGGGCAAATAATAACAACACAATCTCGGGTCAAGCGCCAAGACATTAAACTGTTGATGAACAACATTAAAACGGTGAGTGAATTTATTCAGATAAGAAATGGTGTTAATATATAGAATTATCATCAAGCAATTGAAATTCTATTGTGATTTTGGCCAGTACAAGCAATTAAGATTAGCAGCGTTCTTGAGTCGTTATATTGCTACTGTAAACAAATAAACCTTATTCAAATAAGAAATGATGTTAGTATACAGAATTTTTTTCAAATCCTTTTGCAACCTTTGCTAGCGCAAGCAATATAAGACTAACAGCTTTCTTGTGTGATTTATCATTATTTTGCTACTGTAAACCATGTATGGCAACGCATTATTTTGTCCTAATATATACAGATTGTAAGGCTGGTAAGCAAAGACACTTTGAGAAATTTTTGTAAATTTTTGTATTCGAGTATACTGCATGATTATACATTCAGTATTTGCTTAAAAAATGTCATTCTCCGTTGTAAATGTCTATAAACACTAAACAATATGGCGGCTAAAACAATGAGTAATAATTTCTGTGTTCTACAAATATCCGAGATTGATCATCTAACCCAGGGGTCTCCAAACTACGGCCCGCGGGCCAGATGCGGCCCGTTGGGCCTCTCAATCCGGCCCGCAGAGGCACTTAAGAAAAAAAAATATTATTATTAAACAAAATAAACTTTGTGCAGAAAGTTCACGTTATGTCGCATGCCAACTAGCTAGAGTGGCTTACGTCAATTTTTCTCCCAACTTCCTACTTCCGTTTCAAGCACATTGCGAAATTTAAAAAGCTGAAAGATAACGTGGAAATTTTTTATATTCTTCGGCCCTCAACATGCTGGATGAAAGTTCATGTGGCCCTCTGGCTGTAAAGTTTGGAGACCCCTGATCTAACCGACTAATACTATGCAATGTCAAATGATCTTCCAGTTGAAGATTTTCCTATGAACGACCTTGAGAAATAATTTGCTGCAATTCCGGTCTCATGAAAAATGTAAAATTTGCGTAGTTCATTCGTTTACTCGGCAATTACAGTTAAAAGAAAACGATAAAAGCGATAGAGAGACAGAAGGCATTACGCTATTTTGGTTTGATAAGAAATTTATTGAGCATGCGCTGTATTGGAAACACAAAAGCAATTTGCTTCAAGACGCCGCACACGGACAAATCGACAAAGCATTTCGCCACGCGTGGCAAAAAATATCAAACATACTAGATATTTTCCAGTTCTGCCTGGAATGGCAAAAGTCGTCGGAAACAGCAAGCGCACACGAGAGCAACTTGCAAACGCCACTTGGCACGAATGACATTTTGCCAAGCACATAATTCTCGTGTGCGCCGGGCTTAAGAGAGAACCCATCGCAACACCGTCCGTCTGGAGTTTAAAATGCGTTTTTCCAGTGATGTCGCGAGATTTTACAAATTAAGCGTGACTGACACGAAGTTTTTTAAATCAATCAAAATATTTCTTGGATTGTTTCACACGCGTGAGTGTCACTAATGACACGTAAAACGAACACAATTGACATAATGTATTGCCACATGTGAAACTGAATTGCCGTGAGTTTTGTCGACCATTTGGGAACTATTATAATACGCAAAGAAAACCAAACACATGTTTTCCCCTAATTATAAACGTATAATTACAGGTTTTCCTGAAGTTCTCATCATGATTCTAGAATTAACAACAACGCTAACATTACTATGGATCACCTGGTATTTAATATCGACATACTTGGAAAGAAGATTAATGCCACCTGGACCGTTTCCATTGCCAGTCATTGGTAATATGTTACAACTGGATATTAAGTCTGGAAAGCCATTTCATAAACTTTATAAGACCTACGGTGATATAATGACATTACAATTACACAAAAGCACTGTGTTTGTGAATACAGCTTCACTTGCCAGAAAAGCTAAGATTGAGTATAGTAACGATGTTGTAAGCAGAGAAATAGGTACGCCTCTATATAAAGTAGTGGGACCAAATGACGTTGTCTTTGCCGAATATGGAAAAGCATATATGTTCAGAAAAAGAGTATTCAAATCAGCAATGCACGTGTTTGGAGCAGGTATCAAGGCAGCAGAAGAACGAGGACTTCATGCAGTAGCATGTACTTTGGAGCAAATAAAAACAATGAAAGATCAACCATTCTCTCCAAAAAATATTATTGGATCCGCCATTGTAGTTCAACTGTGGCAATGGCTCACTGCCGAGAAAATTTCTTTAGATGATCCAGTAATAGTGAAACTCCTCGAGTTTAATGATCTCGTTGCAAAAAAAATCCCGTCTACTTTTTTAATTCACAGGATGATACCATTTTACTCCTATCTGCCAATAAAGCTTTCTAAATTTGTTAAACGAGGTCAAAATATAAAATTCTCGATACTTTCACCAGTTTTACAATCCCATTTAGAAACTTACACACCTGGTACTATCCGCAACATGACTGATAGTTTTATTGAAGCATACAAAAAGGAAGCGGCCAAAGAAAGTAAAAAAGATATAGGATCCATTAATGATATCAAAGATTTGATGATTGATGTCACTTTGGCCGGTTCGGACACAACTTCTTCCTCACTATCGTGGTTTATATTGTACATGACCCTATATCCTGAAACTCAACAAAAAATTCATGAAGAAATTGTTCATGCACTGGGGAGAGACAAATTACCGAGAATGGACGACGCCGACAACATGCCCTATCTTCAAGCTACCATTTGTGAAGTGGTACGCAAGACCTCTCCAGTGCCCAGAGCAGGTACAGTGACAATAAACGATGTAGAACTTGCAGGATATCATATTCCAAAAGGAACTACGATTATCGTCAACATTGCTGAAATTCATAAAGATGAGCGAGAATGGCTGGAACCACATAAATTCAAGCCAGAGCGTTTCTTAGACGAAGATGGGAAATTTGTTGGATGGACAAAGTATCCTGCATTTATGCCGTTTGGTTTAGGTCGAAGAGAATGCGCTGGAATATCGTTTGCAAAGATTATGTTATTTACGTTTACTGCAGCATTACTGCAACAGCTCAAGTTTGAGCTTCCTGAAGGAGCGGAAAGACCTGCAGAAGATGGACCACACTTGGGAATTGTTAATGGTCCAGAGAATTTCCAAGTTATCATGAGAAAAAGGTTTTAAGAAGTTAACTTATTTCTCAGTGTTGCACAATGGTATGATCTCATAAAATTTTTAAAATAGTTGTAAATGGCGGATACATATTTACTATATACACTTACATTTGTACGATGACTGATGTTACTTCATATTATTGTAATAATCATTTGTATTTTAAATTAAGGTGAGAAAGACCTATATTAAAATAGCAATAAATCAGTAAAGGCAGTTTACTACAGAGTGTAGAAAAAAGACATACGTCAATTCTATTTGCACTTTTAACGACACAACAACGAAGAACTGTGATGTTGTTTCAGGTTTCTACATTTTTACAGATTTATGAACAGTTGTTTCAAAATCTAGCATCGCGTTATCGCTTTGCTCTGATATTGATTCCCATAAATATTATTTGGGATAAATGCATTAAACAAACCAATCACACTCAAGTACTCAGCATTCTTTGTTCTAAATAAATATTCTATGAACCATATGGTGGCCAAAACGCTATGCCTGCAAAGTATGATTAAAATCTTGACGGATATTATGAGTATTACAAGTATTACCGAATAACCGTTGCAAAATATTTCCATAGCCTTACTCTGCATTTGTATTTCTAATATTCAACGATCAGTAAAATAGAAATTTTAGTTCAACCTCACGTGATCACAAACACTTCAACCTATCGTAAATTTTTCCAGTGACTAGCGCTATTCGGCCTTCGTGCAACCTAGGTCCCACATTTGCATTATTATATTCTTTCAAAACACTCTTTGCAATAAATGCGCTTAATGAAGCGATCACAATCCTACTTGAGCATCGTTCCTTGTGTATTGTAACCAGTGATCGACTGTAACATTAAAAGACAAACAATTATTGCACGAGGCTGAGCAGTGATATCAGGAATTATTCAGACTCAGGTCAATGTTATCTTCTTTTGGCGTTTTCATAGATATTTTTTCAGTTGTGGTCTCTTCCTACACTGTGTGAACAAAGCAATGCGTTTAAAGGAACGATTGCATGGATGCCGTCGCTTAAATTTTTTTACACACGTAGAATTACTTAACTGCACGATATATTTACAGAAATATTTTTACAAGTATACAGATTTGAATCGTTTTCTAACCTCCGCACGTGTCCGGATTTTCAAAAACGCTGTTGGTATAAACAACGCATTGCATTAGAATGAAACGTAGGTTTTTTTGTTTCTAGTACGATAAGTGCTATTTGCTCCTTGGGGCTGTATCGCAGGATGATACTTACGTCTTTTTTTCTGCCAAATGACTCGAATAGCTATATAGCCTTTTGTAAATCCTTTTGGTTGGGAAAATAATAGTTTGCCCTGCTACTTAACTGGCAAACAATTTTGGCGAACATTTGCCGCCATAACATCTTGTCATCACGTACCCTCATACCCAATTATCGATTGATCATCAAATTGCTGTTTTTCTTCTAATTGTGCAAACATATTGCTCATCGTACTTATGTAATGAAGAAAACAGAGACGTTTAAGGGATTATTAGACTGTTTACGGGTTTTGAGAGTTTCAGTTCTGCAACGTTATTTGCAGTTTTTTTTGGCATTAGCGGCAAACAATTTAAAGCCTTTCCGTATGTTTGTCGCTTTTTAGCGCTAAAAGATCTTTGTCACATTTGTAAGAAAGACTCTTTCGTTATCGGATGAAGGCAGGCGATCACTATCCTCATGCAAATTTTCTTCAACATGTTCGGTAACGATAAAAAATAAACTTTAATTTCTGAGTAGCAGCAAGTTTAAAAAACATTTGATAAAAATGACGATTTTTTTAAGAGGAAACATGTTTCGACATCAACAAAATGCCATCTTCAGTACAAAACGATTAGTGTAACGAAATATGATACGGTAAGGGAAGAAACGATATGAATAAATTATTTACATTAAATGGGATTGTGATCCAAAAAACGTTATTTAAAAACAAATGTGAAGAGCTTCTTTGATTTTGAAAGAGAAAGTTGATTGATCGGTGTCGATGATTTTAAAGCAAAAAAATCCACTTTAAAGACCACTTTCTGTACTCTCCAAATCTATGGTACAGTTTACCAATTTAAATCATGTGAAGGGGGAGGAATTTTCTCCCCAGATTTCGCACTATTGAGCGCAGCCAAAGCATGTTCCCACCATATAGGGACAAAAAACAATCAAAGCATTAGTTTGGAAAGCACATTTCCAAATTGAAAAAGTAAAAGGCCACTGACAATTTACTTATGAAAACAAAACTTGGAGTAATTGTATGCGAGCGTGACACAAAAATCCTATCTTGGTCTGACTGTTGTCGGCAGTCTTATAATAAGATTACCTATCCTAACTGCTGCTGATTTACATAGCATAGCTAACAGGTTTTATCTTCAAGAGTCAAACGAATTTTTAATCTCACACGTCTCCTTGTAGGTTTTTCAGAGAAAATGCTTCTAGAGTTAACAACGTTGTTAGTATGGATCACTTGGTATTTCATGACGACATACTTGGAAAGAAGATCAATGCCACCTGGACCGTTTCCATTGCCAGTTATTGGTAATATGTTACAACTGGATATTAAGTCTGGAAAACCATTTCATGAACTTTCTAAGACGTTCGGTGATATAATGACATTGCATATACACACAAACACTGCATTTTTGAACACTGCATCACTTGCCAGAAAAGCAAAGATAGGGTACAATAACGCTGTTTCAAGCAAAGAGCAAGACATTCCTTCGTGTAAAGTACTAGGACCAAATGATGTTATCTTTGCTGAATATGGACCACCGTTTTTGTTCCGAAAAAGAGTATTCAAATCAGCAATCAGCAATGCACGTGTTTGGAACAGGTATCAAGGCAGCACACAAACGAGGACTTCATGCAGTAACATGTACATCAACCATTCTCTCCCAAAGAAATAATTGCATCAGCCATTATGGTTCAATTGTGGCAATGAACTCTCGAGTTTAGTGATCTCGTAGGGAAAAAAATCCCGTTGAGTTATTTATCTTCCAAACTGATACCATTCCATTTTTTCTTTCCAACAGAGCTTTCCAAATTTGTTAAACGAGGTCAAAATATAAAATTCTCGATACTTTCACCAGTTTTACAATCCCATCTAGAAACGTACACACCTGGTACTATCCGCAACATGCCTGATAGTTTTATTGAAGCATACAAAAAGGAAGCGGCCAAAGAAAGTAAAAAAGATATAGGATTCATAAAAAAAGATATAGGATTCATCAAAGATTTCATGATCGATGTCACTTTTGCCGGTTCGGACACTACTTCTTCCTCACTATCGTGGTTTATATTGTACATGACCTTATACCTTGAAACTCAAAAAAAAAATTCACGAAGAAATTGTTCATGCACTGGGGAGAGACAACTTACCGAGAATGGACGACGCCGACAAAATGCTTTATCTTCAAGCTACCATTTGCTAAGTGATACGCAAGACCTCTCCAGTGCCCAGAGCAGGTACAGTGACAATAAACGATGTAGCACTTGCAGGATATCATATTCCAAAAGGAACTACGATTATGGTCAATATTGCTGAAATTCACAAAGATGAGCGAGAATGGCTGCAGCCACATAAATTCAAGCCAGAGCGTTTCTTAGATGAAGATGGGAAGTTTGTTGGATGGACAAAGTATCCTGTATTTATGCCGTTTGGTTTAGGTCGAAGAAAATGCGCCGGAATATTGTTTGCAAAGATCATGTTATTAACGTTTGCTGCAGCATTATTGCAACAACTCAAGTTTGAGCTTCCAGAAAGAGCAAAGAAACGGGATGAAGATGGATCACGTTGGGGAATCATTAATGATCCTGATGATTTTCAGGCTGTTGCCACGAAAAGGTTTTGAGAAGTTTATATATATAAATACTTCACATAAAATCAAATAAAAGCGTGGTTAATGTTACAGGATATATATCTGCATGCTACTAACAATATTTCAATATACTTGACGACTATTGTTCTTTTATGATTTTGCCAAGATAACTATTAATAACAAGGACTGTGTACAATAGCAATAACTCGGAAATAAAGCTTTATAAACGTTATTTGCTCCTGAGGCTGTCGTGCAAGGTTGACAATTTGATCTTTTCTTCAGCCAATCTATATAATCTGTATAGACATAAAAAATCTATGTAGATTTTTTCAAATCCTTTTGACTGGGAAAATAATGGTATGTGTTTGTAGATGTAGATCGTCCAGGTTAGTAGATTCCTTTCATCTTCAGAGTCAAAATATTGGTATTGCGGGCTAATTAGCTGGCAAAAGTGATAAAACCTGTTTTGGCCAAATTCTGTTTTCATACCCTTCTATTGTCACGTATTTTACTTATACCCAATAGTCGATCGATCATCAAGTTAGCAATTTGACCATTTTTAATACCATTTGTTTATTTTTGCGATCAGCCATATACGTCATATACGATGTCATGGCAACATGCCAACACAGCAGTAATGCTGCGAAGATTTGTGTAATCTGTAATCTATCATTGTGTAATGTAATCTATAGGAGTGAAGAACCACAAACTTTGGCCATGGTGGCTTCCCCAGCAAACTTTAAAGTTGTGGCAAAACAACGTCTCATTCAATAGACATTCGACTGGCTAATTAAACGTTTATTTATTTGTTCATTTTTATGTATAACTAATGTAAAATACAAAAACAACCGAAATAATATTGTATATAAGAAGAAACCTTAAGGAAGAGAATGTGCAGGAGCATCGTTTGCAAAGATTATGTTGGTCACATTTACAGCAGCATTATTGCAACAGCTCAAGTTTGAGCTTCCTGAATGAGAAAAGATCCTGGATGAAGATGGATCTCGCATAGCAATCGTTTTTGCTCTCGATATTTACAGGTTGTCGCAAGGAAAATGTTTGAGAAGTTAATTTGCTTTCATATTGTCGCATTAGTATAAAATTTTTGATCACAGTTTGATTTAGGAAAGTAGAAAGACAAGGGTAGCATAGCTAATTTCATAAAAACTTGTGAAATTATTTATGGAAATAACACATTCTAAACAGTTCTAATGTATTGTAACATGTAATTGTTAGTTTTACATACTAAAGAAAATGAATCGAACGATTTTGATGACGTTATAAATACATACGCTAAGGCCTGTTTCAAACGTCGTATTTTGCATGTGTCGAATAAAATTTGGCTCTTGCGTTTTACTCAAACAAAGAAGCGAAGACGTCGTGTAATAATTCTGTTCAACGCATGCAAAATTCGACGTTAGAAATGCACAGTCAAATTTTGCAGTTCGGTCGAATTAAATAGCTAATTGTATTCGACGCGTGCAAAATTCGACGTTTGTAACAGGCCCAACATTGGATTACGTATAATGGAGTATGTTAGGTTCGAGTGTATTTATAGATTCATTGCTATTTACATCAGTGAAGGAATTTAGCATTCCCAATGTGGACGACTCTTTGCGTACGAATAATTCCAATGTCTTGTTGTTTCGTGAATATCTATCCCATACCTCGGTTTTATAAGTTTGAAGATTTGTAATCCAGGCATGTTGATTGTTGTTTATAATAGCAGTTTCTCCGGATATTTTTATGTACATAAATGGCTCTTGATATTTGATCCTGGCCAATCACATACACTGTGCAACAAAACAATACTGACACTGACACAGAGCATTGCCAAATTTGGGTAATTCGCATAATTATATTCTACGACTAAACTATTGCATCAATATTACTCAGTATAAATTCTGTTTCTTGAGATCTACGCTCAAATCGTACTGTCAAACTTCATGTTCACATCCAACAAAGAAAACAATAAAAGAAACGCAAGAGCAGATACACATTGAAGGTAAATACCGTATGCTGAAGGCGCAATTATTATGTCTATCATCTATCTCAACGATATATAAATAATATAATTTCGTCAAAAAGCTGAAATCATTGCCATGCACAGTATAGATGTGTGTTTCAAACTTTGTTACAATGTTAGGACTGAAGCGACTATCCACCATACCCCAGCGACAAGAGTATATTTTGGCAAACGCTCTTCATTTGCTTTGCAAGCTCATTTGTAAACATGCCTTTCATGACCGCTTGTAAATGCTTCGAAGTTTTTTGTCATAGTTGCCATCATGTGCAGTTACTCGCATTAGAGAAACATTTCCTCCACCTGGTGGCCCTGCAGAGGAATTTCAATTTGAAGGCTTCCACTATGCTGGTTTTGCTATGTTAATATTTAAGAATGAATGTACAAAAGTTGTCTTCACTGATGCAACATCATATTATATGGGCATGGAAAAACCTATTGCCATAGCTAACTTCACCACTGACTGATGTTCCTTTACAAGTACTTCTTTCCTGGGTGGACATGATTTAGAAATGTTCTTTGGAAGATTCTCGCCATGATGTACAAGTTCAATCTCCTCAGTTTTGCATGCATTCACAACCTCGGCAAGTAGTATATCAATGTACTGGTATTCTTTCTTTTTTTCCATTGCTTTTACAACCCATTGCTTCTTTGTTTTAGCAAAAATCATTTTGTAACGGTCTTGCCCTTTGTTTGTCCCTGACTTAATGACTGCTTTATCACGGTTAATATTGTTGTTGTGATCAAATGCTGCTAACTGAGTGCGGGCTACCATTCCAGGAAATGAAAAATGCTCTCGCTTTGGGCAGTATTTCAGTAAAAGGGAATGGTAAACCTCCCAACTGTCCTGTATGACAAAACTCAGATAGCTTCCGCAGGTCTTTTAGAAGCCTCTTGTCACAAATCACCTTCTCTGCAGCATTATATGCTTGTCAAGTAGGAGATAACCACTTCTTCTGCTTGTTTGTCTTTCTGTTAATTGTTGGTAGCAACATTGATGAAAATATGTGTTCCCTCTCCAGAAATGCTTGTTGTTGGTTAAGGATAGACTTCCATTTTTCCACCAAATCTTCTGCATTCTTGTTACAACTTGCAGAGCACCACCAAAGATGATTAGAAATGGACTTAATCCAATGGGTCAAGTCATCATTTCCCTTAATGTTAGCCTTTGTTAGTTTTTTTTTGTGACAGATTTAGACAAATGCCACACATCATATTGGTGATCAATATGAGGGTGTTTGTTTTTCATAGCACTGGCAATTTTTGTCCAAAATGTGACTTAAAAGAGGGAAATTATGTACAAATAATAAGGAAACTATAAGTTCATACTTTACGTCAAGGAAACTACACCTAAATTCTGTACACGAAAGGCTAATTTTATAATGGTTTTATGTAGGATTATTTTCTAACCATAATGAATCTAAATTACACAACCATGTTTTATTATTATTCAATGTTATTCATGGCAATAGACTGGTTTCACATCAGTAGAAACTGTTGTTAAGGTTGAATTCGGAGGACAAGCAAACGAAGCAAACGGCATTACAGCACAGTTTCCACACAAATAAACCTTCGTATTTTTTAAAAAATAATATTAATCGATATTTAAATTCTATATGTAGTGCGGAAACTGAGCGATAATGGCCTTTATGGATGTGAAACCGTTCGATTAAAACAGAATACAAATAACCAGCTCAATACTTGCACGTAAGCTATAAAAGTTGCTTGTGTATATACCTATGAATAAAAAATTCTGAAGTTTCGAGAAGAAACATTTTGTGATTAGGAGAAGCATTTTGACGCAAGTTTGTTATGGCTGTGCAATGACTTTACGTAGAGCTTTGAGCAGCAATTGACGATATGACGTCAAATCATTGAACTAAATATAACTAAATATATAGCAAATATAACTAAATTTAGTTATATATATATATAACTAAATAGTCTATAATAACTGAGTTCTATAATAACTGGAGCGGCTAACTTTACTGGGGCGAGGCAGTGAACTCCATATATATATATATCTGGAATGATAACGACAATACATTTTATAGATATAAAATTGAAGCCAAAGTCCTAGTCACTTGCGCGGTTTGTACGTCAGTTCCAGTCCTTCAAAGTCGAATATTCACGCGGTTTGTACGTCAGTATCATTCCCCTGACTGCCAAACATACACGGCCAATATAAATTTGAATACAAATTGCGAAAGCACAAACATATAAACAACATCACGACAAACAACACACGAGGCCAACTCCTCGCAAAAGGTTATTTTTTACAGCTGAAACTTTACTACAGTGAGTTCGTTGTAACTTACAACTTGTAACGATGAAAACCCAACTAAAAATTACATTGTATGCTAAAAAGACAATACAATAGAAAATATGACGAGAAAATATTCAAGCATAAATTTTTCTCTCGTCGGAAGGTAAATTTTCAAACGGTGTCAGACAGTGTTTGTCTTTTTTTGTCATTTCAGTGGATTTAAAGATCTGTTTTTCCGAAGAAAAAAGAAACTTGAATATTCGGTTTCATAAAAAATATTGAGTCTATAACTCGCATTTTTACTTTTTACAGAGCGATTGTATTTTTCATCGATTTTGATAGTGCTTGAAATACTAAATGGTTATTATCTCGATATCAATAATTGAATATTCTTAAAGACTTTGCATGTTTGTAAATGTAGATCGTCCAGGTTAGTATAGTTCTGAGAAGGACTGTTTTTGTTGTTGTTGACTGACGTTTCGACAACCTTAGCGGTAGTCATCTTCAGAGTCGTTTTTTGAATCTGAAGATGACAACCGCTAAGGTTGTCGAAACGTCAGTCAACAACAACAAAAATAGTCCTTCTCAGGACTATACCAACCTGGACGATCTACATTTACAAACATGTAACGATACTCCCGGGTTCAAACCATTTACCTTAAATACTTTGATATGTTTTAAAGGAAAACCGCAGCGTAAGAGCAGAGCGACCACGTTCACCTCACCTTGCTTCTCGATTTATCACTTTGATTCACTTTCCGTGAACCTTTTCCTTCCAAAAATTTCGTTATTTTTACGCTCTGATCAAGATCCGAACTCTACCATTACCAAGGGACAAATGATTAAAAAAAATTAAAATGAACACGCGAGAGACTAGAGCCTGACGTGTAATGACGAATGATGACGACAAATATTTCTTTGGCTTCAATTTTTGGCTCCGGTTATCATTCCAGTTATTCAAATGTCGAGTTCACTGGGGCGAGGACGCCAAAAAAATGGCGGCCAAAGGACGTATTTCCGCTGAAATGAACGCTTTGCAGAAAAATAATATTCTCGACCTCCCCCTGGCGTCTATAGTAAATTATAAAGAATTTTTCAAAAACAAACACGATATCACAGAATATGGATATAGTTAGTTCCATATTCTGTGACGATTCTTTTTTGGCATTTATTTTATAATGCCAACACTTCAATCGTTCAATTGTTGGATGTCGTAGTTTCCACAAAAAGGAACATATCGCTTCTCACAGGTGAGGTAGTTGTTTGTTTTGTTAGTCCGTCAACGATTGAAAAGCAATTATACATGCACTTGAAAAGCCATAAAATACATATTAAAGATCGTATTTTTTAAAACTGACTTGAACGCCAAATATACTGATGTTTTCCTGTTTTTGTTTATAAAATTCTGCATACTTTTCTGTCATTTGTTAATGCATGAAATCGTAAATTTACCCATTTATTTGCAAAATAGTTTCCCTAAAGCAAAAAAAGCCCTGCACACATTTTGCTATGTGAGTAAGTATCAAAAAGAAATGATCAGCCCCAACGGTACCCATGATTTGGAGCAGAGCTTGTTATGTTCTATTTGCTGACAACATGCAGGGAAGATCAAGGAGTAAAGATGACTGGAAGATGTTATTGAGCAGGCAGAATCTTAAAAAATGCTAATGCTGTAAAGATAATTGATTTATTGTCTGCCCTATCCAAAGTTATTTAATTTGATCGTAGTCAAATTCTATGGATGGAGACAATGGATTCACTAAGGACGCCTTGAATGCTTTGAAGTTAAAGTTCATGATCCATAGAAAGATGGCAAGAAGGTTGTGTGTGTTTTGATGCTTAATGAAATGTCAATTCACAAACATGTAAAATGGAAGGCCATAAAGTTTGTGTCTTTGTAAACATTTGTACTGAGATTGATGATGACTCGATGCAGATGTGAAGCTTCAAACTGTATATGCAGATGTGAAGCTTCAAACTATAAGCCATTGGGTTTTATGTAACTTAATGTTTAAATCATGTCATATCTTTATCAAAATATTTTAGTTGAGTGTTGTTTGAATGTTACTAATATCTAATGCACTATACTGAAGCATTAAAGATTCAGTGATGAAACCTTTAAAGTTACTGTACTGTATATTTTTTTATATATTTCTTATATTTCTTTAAGAAAAATTTGAGCTTATTTACGTATTAGAGTACAGAATGGAGATTTATCATATGCATTATTGCTGCTTTTTTAAAGAAAAGTTTTTCACTTTTCAAAGCTTTTCTACAAATTTTTTGCTTCTTATTTCTTATCATGAGATTGATGATATAGAGGTAATATAATCCAATAACTTTCTAATTTCTAAAAAGCTTTTAAGCTTCTAGCATAAAAGTACACTATAGGTATGTAATTCATTTGGTTTTATTGCCTTGCTGTGACATCTCTACTTGCACTTCATCATTCTTGTATTAACAAAACACCAGATGTGGATACTCAGAGAACAAAATGCACTACCAACTGCTTATGAAATTTATTATTGAGGTGAAAACTGTGTTAATCATTCAAATTATAGTGCACTTTTATTGCAAATATAGGAAAAACAAAACAAAGTGAAAAAGAAAGGTAGAAGTATTAAAACTACAAATGAATTATAAACACCATTGGAAGCATAAGTGTTTTGATGATTATTTGCATTTTGCCCAATTCACATATCAATACAACAAAATCAAAATGTGCTACAACTTTACAAGTATTTGATGCAGTTGCACTTCAGAACATCACAAAAAGGTTACTTAATGTAATTTCTATACAATATTACCAAACCTATGCAGACTTGAGTCTTTTTGAAATTTAATATGAAACTCAATTACAGAAAATCCGTAAATATCCAGAGATTTAATATTTACTTTTTTAAAGAAACATAAAAATCCTACAATTGTGGCGAAAAAAGCCATTGCCTTTCCACGAAAAGAAGCAAAATAGCAATGATAACAAATAAGCTAAATTCTCTCCCGTGAACCATTGTGGAGATGAGCTATGATATACTTTTTTGTATAGACTAAAGAGTTTAATCGATCAAACAAGTTTGACGCTGGTAAGAAAACGACGCTCATCTGCATTCATACATGTGTAGCCGACATATAGGTCTTTCGTCGATAGTTATAAATGCATCCTCGTAGGAGCAGATAACTGACAACCACAGTTGACTCGCTGTTATGAATTTAAGGTTTTTACCTTGATTTTCATCAAAAAATTGCTTGCCGAATCCCAAATACACACATAGATTTTCCTCACTCTTTCCTCAGGAGGGAGTGGGAAATTGTGAAATTTTCGAAAAAGCGGTCAATTTCGGTAAATCTCAGCGGCAAAGGACGAAATCCGCCATTTTTTGGCGTCATCAGATATCTAAGGCCGCGCTTGAGATAGCCGCTCCAGTTATTATAGAACTCAATGATTTCAACTCATTTTTTGTGAAAATATTGAATCAAACAAACAAAAAAATTGCCGAATATTTATTTTCACGGGACTGACAAAGTTTTAAGACCAACATTATGTGAGGGTGGAGTTCCCCTTTAACATGGCTATCGCAGTTTGTTGTCGATCCTCGTCTATTCCTAAAATCTGGACTTACACAGAGTAAATTTGCATGCATGTTTTTCACTCGCACGTATACACTGATCTTAAAATATACTGGATAACGCACTCCTCTATTTCTGTGAAGCCAGAATCGCCATATTGGAAGGTCCCATTTAATACGAAAAAATAATCATAATATTAAACAAAATCATATTTCCACAAAATCTGCTATGTTCGTACATGGTTTTGAGTTCCAAAAATAACAGAAATAAGTCTTCATTAAAGCTCTGTCGTATATTATAGTTTGTTTTTGTTCCTCAAGTGGGACGTCGTAATCGGGTGATTACAATAGTGGCACCCGATTATTTGGCTTCAACTTTTGATTGGGCGTTGTATTGCAGTGCGCTATCTAGATTAATATACATATCTATGAACGTATCGCGGCAAAACGTAACATGGCGTATGCGTGCTTATGAATTCGATTGTCAATAGGCACAAGCACGCATGCGCCATGGTACATTTTGCTATGATAAGTTACGATACGTGGCTAGTGGAAAACAGGCTTTATTATATTGCAAGCTGTTCAAATATCGTCACGAGAGACTGCAGAATAGATTATCATGGTTGCAATTATTTGCTTGGCTATTCTAACATCTTCTGTCTCTTTAGAGAAATAAAAATGATAACTGAAGCTATAGTAACCCTGCTTCTTTTCTGGATAACATGGCATTTCCTCAAAACATACTTAGAAAGACGGACCATGCCTCCAGGACCATGGCCTTATCCACTAATTGGTAATCTTGCCAATCTGGACTTGCAGTCTGGCAAACCTTTTAACAAACTCAGAGAAAAATATGGCGATATTGTTAGCGCCACGTTCACCATACGATCAGTAATTGTTAGCAATAGTTCTCTTGCTCGAGAAGCCCGCCTTGGCTTAAATATAAATATCACTGTTGATATCCTTGAAGAAATCATCTTTCCAATGGATTGTTTTGTAAGTGGAGACGATATTATAAGTGGCAGGTATGGAGAAAAATACATTTTCCGAAAAAGAGTATTCAAGTCAGCAATGCATATGTTTGGCGCGGGAATAGACGCAGCGGAAAAGAGAGGAAATCACGCAGTAAGATCGACTATGGAAAAGATATATTCCTTAAAAGATCAAACATTTTCTCCTAAAGATATCATAAGCTCAGCAATAATTGTTCAGCTTTGGCAGTGGCTTACCTCGGAAGAGCTACCACTCGACCATAATGTAATCAAACTACTTCTTGAATTCACAGAACTTGCAGCGAACGTGGATTATTTCGCCTCAATGTTTTACAAAAAGATACCATTCTTTAAACTTCTCCCAGTTGAATTTAGCAGGCGAATAAAGAGATCGCAAGCAATAAAATCCTCAGTTATCACACCGGTGTTTAATTCCCACCTGAAGACATTCCATGCTGGTGTAGTTCGTGATATGACAGATAGTTTAATCCAAGCTTATAAGAAAGAAGAGTCAAAAACTTTTAAAAAAGATATTGGATGTATGCAAGATATTAAAGAACTAATGATTGATGCCATCGTTGCTGGTTCTGATACAACATCATCAACATTATCTTGGCTTATACTTTATATGGTATTATATCCTGAAGTTCAAGATAAAATCCACGATGAGCTTGACCAAGTGCTAGGGAAAGATAAACAGCCCTCCTGGCAAGATGTGACTCTTTTTCCCTATCTGCAAGCTACAATATGCGAGGTCTTGCGCAGAGCAACTCCCGTTCCAATAATTGGAAGAAACACAACCAAAGACACAGTCATCGGAGGATATCATATACCCAAAGGCACTCTTGTTCTTCTGGATTTCTTTCAAATTCACACAAATGAACGCGAGTGGCCAGAACCTAACAGATTCAAGCCTGAACGTTTTCTTTCCGATGACGGAAAATTTGTTGGTTGGACAAAACACAGTGCCTTTATGCCGTTTGGTCTTGGAAGAAGAGAATGTGCTGGCATTGCGTTTGCAAAAATCATGTTGTTTACATTCGCTGCAACATTATTACATCGACTCAAGTTTGAGTTACCCGAAGGAGCAGAAAAGCCAAGTGAGGAACCACAAACTTCAGCCATTGTGGCTTCTCCAGCAAACTTTAAAGTTGTGGCAAAGCAACGTCTCATTAAATAGACTTTTGACTGACTAGTTAAACGTTTATTTATTTGTTGATTGCTATGTTTAAATCATATAAAACACAAAAAAACTGAAATAATTTTATTTATGACAAAAAATGTTAAGGAAAAAAATGTGCTGGAATATCGTTTGCAAGATTAGGTTATTCACGTTTACTGCAGCTTGTTGCAACCGTTCAAGTTTGAGCTTCCTGAAAGAGCAAAGAAACCGGATGAAGATGGATCTCGCATAGCAATTGTTATTTCTCCCGAGAATTTCCAGGTTGTCGCAAGGAAAAGGTTTTGAGAAATTGATTTGCTATCATATTGTTGCAGTGGTATAATTTTTTTGGTCAGAGTTTGATTTAGGAAAATAGAAAGACAAGGGTAGCATAGCTAATTTCATAAAAACTTGTGAAATTATTTATGGAAATAAACACATTCTAAACAGTTCTAATGTATCGTAACATGTAATTATTAGTTTTATGTACTAAAGAAAATGTGTCAAACGATGTTGATGACTTTGTTTTTTGTGATTCTTGACTGCATGTTGTAAATCATTGATTTTTATATCAAATACATATACATATATATACATAAAGGTTTGAAGATTAATAATCCAGGCATATTTTTTGTTTATAGTAGAAATTTCTCCGCATTTGTTTCCAAATAATTTTGTCGAGCTCACGAGTTGGTGCTTCGAGCCTTCTTCCAAACATAGGGCCTTATTAAAAATTGATTGGATTAAAGGATGAATTAAGAGAATTGGATTATGTAAAATGCGCTATGTTAGGTTCCAGTGTATTTATAGATTCGTCGCTGTTTACATTAGTGAGGAAAGTTTAGCAGTTCCAATGTGGATGACTCTTTGCGTGTGAATAATTCCACTTTTCTTCTTGTTTTGAGAGTATCCATCCCATACGTTGGTTTTATGAGTTTGAAGATTGGTATCCAGGCATGTTTATTGCTTATAATAGCAGTTTCTCCGAATTTTTTTATGTATGTAAATAGACTCTCGATTTTCAATCCTGGCCAATCACATACACAGAGCAAAACACAATACAGACACCGGGGCTGTACCTACACACTTAAAGGAATGGGAGGAATAGAGCGAAAATTTGTCCACCTGTCGAGCGCATTCTATCCATTCAACTTCTGTCACGAGGACATGGCTGTTTGTAGCTATGTTCATATGTTCGACAACTTCAAAGTGTAGAGACTTTTCAGTATTTATTATCTTATGAAATTTTGTTTCATCCAACATGCTCTCGTTTTTATAACTCGTTTCGTGCTAATGTACGCTTCGCCAATCACATCTCTATATGATGTCCTCTCTTCTGATTTCATTTCATTTGTCGAAAGTTTTTGAATTTCTTGCTCGCGTTCCACTAAAATGCTGTTTTTATTTAGCGTACTTATTGTAGACAATCTGAAAAGCGATAACACATTACTTATAGTATGCTATATACGTCACAGGAGTATCAAATTATTGCATATTTTTGTATAACCTTCACATAGTGAAAAGAATACATACCTCAAAAGGACTGCTTGGTGCTCCTGCCACTTTATACTGAACTATATGCGTCACGGTTTTAAATGCTCTGGGTGGCATAACTCGTTGTTTTCTTTCTGTCGCATGACAAACTAAGCACTCTACTTTGAAACGCTTTGCTTTTGGTGGCATTTGTCACGAAAGTATAAACTGTATGCGAAAATATCGTTAGACAGCAAAACTACCAGAACATGTAATGTACCAAGCTAATTGTGCACACGTTTACATACTAAAGCTAAAAGGGAGTACAGTCAAACCTGTATTAAGCGGACACCCTAGTAGTCCGGCGGATTTGTGACAGAATTGTGGGTTTTGGGTTAAAAACACGAAACTTGACCCATTTGTAATCTTTGGCATGCTGAATAAAACTGGCTAGGGACCCCAGCGTGATTGTGCCTGTAAACAGAGTAAAACGCTTCCTAAATATGACGTCATATGACGTTACCAAATACTTTCCAAAATCGTTGTTTTAAGGTTTAAAAGAATTAAATTTTGTACAGTTATAATTTTGACATGATAAACAAAACTATCGGTGTGATTGTACTTCACTGTTTTAACAACAGTGAAGATCGCTACCTTGCTAACGCATTACGTGACGTCACTAAAGCATTTCAGACTTCTTATACGTCTAATGCAGAGACGTATTCACAACATAAAGTGCAAAAAGTAATAGTGAGTGATATTAACACAACGTGAAAACATTTGGAAGCTTTCTGGATAGTGGTCCACATAATTGCAAATTACAAAGGTGGTGAATGCTCTGTTGACATACCCCAAACATAGCCAGCTTCGTATACACTTCTCTTAACAAATGTAACAGAGAATATCTTGTGGGCGGAATACATTTGACAGATTTACCTTTCCGGGTGAATAGATCTTTGCGGGGTTTGGTAATGGTCGTACACGAGCTTGTGCGAACGTGCATTAATATAACAAAACGCTCAATTTGCGGAAGTGCGATTTCGACAGCATGAAGAGAAGGGCGTTTGCTCATTAATTAAACAAAGGAGAAAAAACAAAATTTGACAGTTAGTTTTATGCCTTTCGCTGCAAATGTTGATGTTTGGTCGCATCCAGTAAGTGCGTGAAAGAATAAAAATCCTGTCAAACAATCAGGACCCATACGTCGTGAAAATTCATGGATTGGTAGATAACGCAGATGTTTTCCAGTGCCAAACACCACCCAAAACTCGTCTAATTGGACTTCTGGAAAGAATGCCACAAAAATGACATCAGCATCCGTGTCTACAGTCCTCATTAACTCGACGGGACGATGCACTGCAGCATCAGCTGCATAGAGGATAAGCCTGGTGACGGCCAATGTGAGAGCATGTTGACAATTGCAGCACCATCAATCATGACAGCCTTTGCATGTGAAGATTCAGTTTAACAGTTTCGTTCTACTGAGCTTTCTAGACATGTCAGCCAGACAAATTGTTTCGGTGACCTCAGTTTTCCGAAGTGCGAGAGAGATAGGGAAAATCCTTGATTTTTATGAGCAAAGACTTTATTCTGGTCATCATTGCGAACTTGACAAGAGACGTACAATCTTAAAAATAAAGCATTATGAAGAGACGATGTTTGGGTACATTCCTATAAGCTCCTGCGATGTTTCAAAATCAAAGGATAACTCCAAAAAGTTCTGGGCCCGATCTATCCATCTTAATAGCTATATCTTGTCTTCCGTCAGTCCATTTGCGCCTCCGTCACCTTTCACAATCTTGCTGTTTTGTTCGTGAGCCTGGTCAATGGGAATTTCTGAAAAGCGGCGTTGGCTCTTATTCACCGCAAAGTTACCCTTGTTGAGTTCCGACGAGACTAATGGAGGTAACCACTTAGTGTTTGCCAGGTCAAGAATATGAACAGCCAACCATCTAGCATAATTTGTGTGGTCAAGTGCAAAAAACACGAAACTAAAGACTAACAAAATTCCTTGTAAAGCTGGAAGTAGTTTTCAACAGTGGTGTAGCCAGCCCGCAAATTTTGGTCCTGCTATCTCAATTTCAGTACATTAATATTATTCATTTCTTTATAAATCTATTGTTTTTTTGGGAGTGAACACAGAAAAATTAACATAGCAGGAACAAATTTGCGGGCTGGCTACGCAACTGGTTCTCAAGAAATGACCTTACAAATTCCAAGATAGCAAGTTCGTAATCCAGTGTTAATGACTAGTAATGAAACTGTGGAACTCATTTCGTCTGTTTCGTTCAGCATATCAAAGAATGTGCCAAGATTGGTAGTAACTCAAAACTTGCAATTTTGATGATTAACTAGCGACGCAACATTTTATAAACAGCGGTTTTTACTTTTCACACGTACAATCACACTTATATCTACAGTCTGTTTTCTTTTGCAAGTCAAAATCCACAACTGTATCTGGTTTTGTGCTTTTAAAAACTTAAAACAAAAATTTTGAAAATTTATTAGTGACGTCACTGTACGTCATAATTTAGGAAGCGTATTTTTATGTTTACAAACGCAATCACGCTAGGGTCCACTTCCAGTTTTATTCAGCATGTCAAAATCTACAATTGGGCCAAGTTTGTCGCTTTTAACCCAAAACCCACAATTCTTCAGAAAAAGGCACAAATCCTCCGGACTATAGAGGAACGGAGCGGTGTCGTCACCAGGCCTCTCCCGGTTAAAAATAACGCAAATGGTAAAAGCAACAACTAAACGGCGCAGATATATTTAGGAATGACTTTAGTTAATAACAAAACTGAGAAATATTTTTAGTAATATTTAGTAATATACAGTAAGTAATAAGTGGCTAAATGATGATGTTGCTGTAATTTGATCTCTTCTAAACAACGACAATCTACATTTGACATTGATAAGATATTCGTGTTAAAAAGACAATTGCCCAACATAAAAATAAAGCCATTTTTTTAAAGTAATTATTTATTACTTGTAATGTTTCGTCTTTACACAAGACATCATCAGAGAGGTAGTTAATGTGATCAAGTGTGCGTTCATATTTAAATATTAGAAGTGTAGTTATGAGTGTTAGATTACAGTGAGGTGTGATGAACATGATATAAATGTATATAAAAATCTTATATAAAGTATGCGTGAAACACTGATATGGAATGTGAAATGGACACAAAACGTAGTGGGATATTAAAAAAGTTCGAGTGGTATGGAACTGCCTTGGACATTCAGTGTAGGTGTTAGATTTGAGATCAGGAGGCTTTCGTGGATCATTATTAAGTCAGGAGTGTAAGGTGAGGAAGAGATGATAGTAAAGTCGTGAAAGGAAACTTTGTGACCTGATATGTTGATGTGAGATAGGATGCTGGATTTGGTAGGGTATGATGACTGTTTTCCTATCAGTGGCGTTTTTCCCATCTCACATCAACATATCAGGTCACACAGCTTACTTTGACGACTTTACTATCATCTCATCCTCACCTTACACTCCTGACTTAATGATCCATGAAAGCCTCCTGATCTCAAATTTAACACCTACACTGAATGTCCAAGGCAGTTCCATCCCACTCGAACTTTTTTAAATGTCCCACTACGTTTTGTGTCCATTTCACACTCCATTTCAGTATCTTCACTCATACTTCATATAATATTTTTATATACATATCATGTTCATAACACCTCACTGTAATCTAACACTCATAACTACACTTCTAATATGTAAATATGAACGCACACTTGATCACATTAACTACCTCTCTGATGATGTCTTGTGTAAAGACGAAACGTTACAAGGTAGGACTGCTTGGTGCTCCTGCCACTTTATACTGATATGCGTCGCGGTTTTAAATGCTCTGGGTGACATAAGTCGTTGTGTTTCTTTCTGTCGCATGACAAACTAAGCACTCTACGTTGAAACGCTTTGCTTTTGGTGGCATTATTTGTCGCGAAAGTATAAACTGTATACGAAAATATCGTTGGACAGCAAAACTTCCAGAACATGTAATGTACCAAGCTAATTGTGCACACGTTTACATACTAAAGCTAAAAGGGAGTACAGTCAAACCTGTATTAAGCGGACACCAGTCCGTTCCCCGAGGGTGTCCGCTTAATACAGTTGTTTATTTCACAGAGGTTCTCGTCACCAGGCCTATCCCGGCTAAAAATAGCGTAAATGGTAAAAGCATCTAAAAGCAACAACTATACGGCGCATATATATTTAGAAATGACTTCAGTTAGTAATAATAATACTGAGAAATATTTTTAGTAATATTTAGTAATATACAGTAAGTTATAAGTGGCTGTCCGCTTAATGCAGGGCCGCTTAATACAGGTTGGATTGTATGCAAAGTTGTGACAATGGATTTGCCAGGCGGAAAGCGAATTCTTAGTATGAAAAGAATTCCCCCAACATGAAACTTTTAATTTGGCCATGGAGAAATACTTTTACTAACAGTAACGTTTCTTAAGTTAAAGACGAAACGTTATTGTTGTTAAAAGTATCTATGCATGGCCATATTGAAAGTTTCCAATTGGGGAGTTATTTTCATACTAAAAGAAGTGTTCTAAATATGAGTCATGTCCTGTACGTAATTGTGATATGACTTTAGGTCTATTTCAGCGCGTTAATGAGCTTATGCATGCTTTGTCTTCACAGCGCGTGCTTGTTCTCATTTTTATATCCGTTGACGCACAACCGTGAAAGAGCGAATGAAAGAGAGTGTTGTATATTGAAAGGAGAAATTATGAAGCATTTCGTACGAGAAATGAAGACTTGCATGCATTGACGTCAAGATCTTTTTTAGGCGTGATAAGTCAATTATAGAAGTAATATGCACTCGTGATCTTTGAACATTACAAGTTTTATTTGCTTGTAATTAAACGAAATAATTTTTCATTGCGTTATAAATGACTAAATTCAAGCAAGGCTAATCACTTACCCATATTCTAATCTTTTGTGAACGAAGATTACAAAGATTAAGAGCGAATTTTCCGAATATTGCGTAAAAGAAGAAACTTGAGGGTGCCCCCCTTGGGTACGGCCCCAAGTAAGTTCCTGACTGGCACTCAGTATAAATTCCGTTTGCTGAGCTCTACGTTTAAATCGTACTGTCAAGCTTCGTGTTCACATCGAAGAAAGCAAACAATAAAAGAAACGCAAGAGCAGATACAAATTGAAGGTAAATACCGTATGTTGAAGCCGTGGTTATTATGTCTATCATCTGCGAATTTAATTAAGACATACAACAACATCAAAAAGCTGAAATCATTGCAATGCACAGTAAAAAATATAGCTTTGTAATTTAAAACTTCGTTAAAAATGTTAGGCCTAAAACGATTATCTTCTATACCCTAGTGACAAGTGTATATTTGGCGAACGCTAATTTGCTTTGCAAGCTCATTTGTAAACATGCCTTTCGTGACCGTATGTAACCACTTTGTAGTTATTTGCCATAGTAACTATTACTTGGTAAAATAATTCTGGTTTTAAGAATGCTCCTTTTCAACAACTACGGGTAAGGGTTTGTGATAAATCCCTTTGGTTGCAAGTATTAGTTGTGGTTATTAAATCTGTCGTCGATCTTCGTCTATTTATAATCCATCTACCTGAATTTCCCAATGTAAGTAAATAGAAGGGGAAAATACTCATAAACAATCGACTTTATCTTTAAGTATTCTCGACGTACATATAGTAAATTTGCATAAATTATTACATTGCAAACAGTTCAAATATTGTCACGAGAGACTGTAGAATAAATTATCATGGTTGCAATGATATGCTTGGCTATTCTTACATCTTCTGTCTCTTTAGAGAAACAAAAATGATAACTGAAGCTGTCGTAACCCTGCTTCTTTTCTGGTTAACATGGCATTTCCTCAAAACATACTTAGAAAGACGGAACATGCCTCCAGGACCATGGCCTTATCCACTAATTGGTAATCTTGCCAATCTGGAATCGCAGTCTGGCAAACCTTTCAAGAAACTCAGAGAAAAATATGGCGATATTGTTAGCGGCACGTTCACCATGAGATCTGTAATAGTTAGCAATAGTTCTCTTGCTCGAGAAGCCCGCCTTGGCTTAAATAAAGATATCACTGTTGATTCCTCTGATGTAAGCATATTCCCTTCGAATCGTATGGTAGGTGTAAACGATATTATATTCTCCAAGTTTGGAGAAAAATACATTTTTCGAAAAAAGGTATTCAAGTTAGCAATGCATATGTTTGGCGCAGGAATAGACGCCGCGGAAAAGAGAGGAAATCACGCAGTAAGATTGACTATGGAAAAGATATATTCTTTAAACAATCAAGCATTTTCCCCTAAAGATATCATAGCCTCAGCAATACTTGTTCAACTTTGGCAGTGGCTCACCTCAGAAGAGCTACCACTCGACCATAATGTAATCAAACTACTTCTTGAATTCACAGAACTTGCAGCGAACGTGGATTATTTCGCCTCAATGTTATACATAAAGATACCATTCTTTGAATATCTCCCAGTTGAATTTAACAGGCGAATAAAGAGAGCGCAAGCAATAAAATCCTCAGTTGTCACACCAGTATTTAATTCCCACCTGAAGACATTCGATGATGGTGTAGTTCGTGATATGACAGATAGTTTAATCCAAGCTTATAAGAAAGAAGAGTCAAAAACTTTTAAAAAAGATATTGGACGTATAGAAGATATTAAAGAACTAATGATTGATGCCATCATTGCTGGTTCTGATACAACATCATCAACATTATCTTGGCTTATACTTTATATGGTATTATATCCTGAAGTTCAAGAGAAAATCCACGATGAGCTTGACCAAGTGTTAGGGAAAGATAAACAGCCTTCCTGGCAAGATGTGACTCTTTTTCCCTATCTGCAAGCTACAATATGCGAGGTCATGCGCAGAGTAACTCCCATTCCAGAGACAGGAGGAATCACAACCAAAGACACAGTCATCGGAGGATATCATGTACCCAAAGACACTCTTGTTCTTCTGGATTTATTTCAAATACACACGAACGAGCGCGAGTGGCCAGAGCCTAACAGATTCAAGCCTGAACGTTTTCTTACTGATGACGGAAAATTTGTTGGTTGGACAAAACGCAGTGCCTTTATGCCGTTTGGCCTTGGAAGAAGAGAATGTGCTGGCATCGCGTTTGCAAAAATCATGTTGTTTACATTCGCTGCGACATTATTACATCGATTCAAGTTCGAGTTACCCCAAGGAGCAGAAAAGCCAAGTGAGGAACCACAAACTTTGGCCATTGTGGCTTCTCCAGCAAACTTTAAAGTTGTGGCAAAGCAACGTCTCATTTAATTATTTGTTGATTAGTGTATTACTTGTTTACGACAAGAAACATTGACGGATTGAACTTGATTAGAGTTATCATCATTGTACAAATGACTTCAACTAAATTAGTCAACACATGTGAGTGAAACAAAAGTTTTTTTAGTTTAAATTGTTTTTAACTTGAGACTATGTTTTCTAGTTTATACAAGACAACGTCGTTTTAAAAAACTGTGCTGCCTAGAATGTGCCATGGTACCAAAGGAGGCTTTTTGGTTCCAGGTGAGAGCCAGCAAAATTGTCTTTATTTTCAGACATAATTAAAATTCCAACGACAGCATTTAAAATTTCCGTGTATAGATGGCCTTACATCCAAACACGGGCTCTCACCAATCAAAGCACGCGTTTCACATAATTTATTTTAGAAACTCAATTCTATGTAAATTTCTTTAGTAAGTCCAAACAAGAGTAGACTCGCATTGATAACGCAATAAATTAAGCAAGTGTTATCTAATCAAGCAAACGTTTCACGACATTTGTGTCCGGTTGCACAGGGCTGCCCAAACAATTTTTTAGCCTGGGGCGAAACTTTTCGAAAATGTTAATTAACATAATTATAGTAGCGTAACAAATTTACTTTATTAACTCCCTCTTATTATACTCGCACTTATTTTCCCAGCGATGTATTGTTGTTTTTATTTTGCCTGAAGAAGCCTTGGACGCATTGGGCAAATTCCCCTCTTCCTTTTCCCCATCCCTTTTAATCGGCACTGCGGTTGCGGGTTGCATTAACATTTGCTTTCACAAGTTGAAGAACTTTTTTGAAAATGAATTTCCGGAAGAAACGGCCGCAGCTCGATGTATTTTAAGAATTTCGAGTTTTCGTCATTCATGTCGCATGATGCATTATTTTCAAAGGAAAATAGCGACTCTCCTTTGTCCGAAATGATTTTACAGCTTTATATTAGGATAATATAAAAGCCTATGAAATGAAAGCATTATTCTTCCCTCTCAACGAGAAGGTAACAAGAAAAATTCCGAGTTTTTTCTTTGACCAAACATTCGTTTTTGTAATACGAATGAACACATCATTCCCACTACGTATGAGCAATCAAGCCAGACATACCTGGTTAACAAGATCCTTCCAATCTTTGATGATGGAAATTTCTTTACCAGAGGAATCCACGTACACAGTTATCGAGAAAACGGCTCCCGCACCCCACAACTCCAGTTCACGAAGCGCTTCTCTAATGGATACCTCCCCCTGAGCTCGACTATTCAATTCCTACGTCACACAAAATATATCTTTGAAATACACTATAATGCAAAATATCCAATGATTTAGAACCTAGTCTTCTAGATGTCTAACTACCGTGTCAAGGTGAGCCAAGGACGCCATCTTGAAAGGTGGCAAAAAGCAAAACACAAAATGAAAAATAAGCTAAAACAAAATTTAAAAAATCCATCCTATCGAACATTTCAAGAATTAAACCTAGACTATCAACTTTGCCACTCTATATTAACTCAGCAAAAGTAGATATTATTCGTAAATATCGTCAGTTCTGCCACCTTTCAAGATGGCGGCTTGACTCACTCACTACTATACAATATCGGCGGAATCAGATATCTAGTAGATTGGGTTCTAGTTCATTGAAAATACGCAAAAGATCCATCAATGGCGAATATTCGAGCAATACGATGACAGTTGCATATACGATGACTTGAAAATCACTCCGCTTTCAATTTATTAGGCCACTTTCAAAACTACACGGCTAGTTTGTATTTTTCCAGCGAAATAATTTGGCTTTCGCGCAACTTTTTTAGTAATGATAACAATCATCATGTCAAAGCCAACGTTTTTCATGTCATGTCATAAATATACCACATATATAATTCAAAGAGCAGTTATACAAGTTGCCCCATTTTTAAGACATACTTCAACCATAGTCGTGCAAGAGTTTTGTTATTTAGCTGTTGTTGAATACCTTAATGGCGTCGGCATTGGCGATGATAGCGTCAGCAACTTTCATGATATCACCAAAGGTAAGTTTTTCCAATATTGTTCCTTTGGGTAACATTAACAATCGGAACATGTCTAACCAATGATCTGGTGACAGCTGCTCGCCTCTGACAAACTTCAGCAACGGGTAAACGATCTACACGTCATGATTGTGTTGAAATAAAGACATTTAAAATAAATAAAGTGATCCCTGTGTCCGCCACTAGTTACAAAATAATATAAAATTATCAATTCGACCTATCTAAAAATAATATTGTTCTTGGGCTTAAATGTACTTTTTTGCTCTTTAAATAGGTTTATCTGATACCATCACTACTTTCCAGAGCGGTAATAAGCCTTGTTAATTAAATCTTTACTATTCATAGTAACAACAAATACTTTAATTTTACCTTGTATTTATCAATTTCTTTCTGTAAGCGAACTGTCATGGTAGTTGGTTCGCGGGTTTTAAGTTCATCTGTCCAAAGCATCAAAAATTCTTCGAACTTATAGGTTTGTCCCCTGCAAGAAAATGAATGTAATAATACAAATTTGTATATGTAACACAAACATCTGTTTACGCACAAGTTGTAGAAGTGTGTATGTGGGGTGGGAGGGGGAGCTAAGGGCGAGGAGAGTCCTCTTCAAAATTCGAGGTTGCGAGGCACTTCTGATTCTAGAAAAATCATAATTTATGAGGAACATTTTCGTAAATAGTTTCAATACTATTCAAGAAGTAAAATGAAGTTAAAACTATTACAATGTGGTCTTTCTGTTCTTTAAATTCTTGCAGTAAGGTCATGATGAAATACAAGCCCGTTACTGCATTATTCGTGTGTTGCACTACTTTATTTCCACGGTGAAGACAGCCAAGTACAAATGTAAAAATAAAACAAATATGCAATAGACAAAATGGTCGTAAAGAAAAAACCCCAATATTTCATTTACACTCATTGCATATCAGCTAACCTGAATGAAATCCAATCCTCTTTGGCAAGATTATCCAAACCATTACTAAACCTTTCAAACAAAATCCAGTTGGATTCATATCGCTCGATATCGCTTCTCAGCTCGTCAGCCACAGGAAACTCTGGTTCAGAGAGGTCAAAGTGTTTGCATTCAAAACTGTAGAGAGAGATTTATAGCAACGAGTTTTTATCAAGAATTTTCATGCATAGCAATGGAGGTATACATCCTTCACAAAATGTCTATCGGTATACGTTGGATAAATCACAGCAGAACGTAAAGGAATGTAACTCATGACTCAGTGACGGACCTAGGGTAAGTCAGAAGACATTATAACACCTCACTTTAGGTTCAAAATACCATTACATTCTGTTGGTTAAAAAATTTTAAAGAATATTTTCAAGGCAAAATCTTACAAATAAGATCGTTTATAAAGTATTTTCAATTGAGACTTTGTCCTGGTGACAAATCTGAAAATTGTTTTAAAGATTGCAAATACCATGGTGAATGGTAAAAGTAATAAGTTAATAGTTCCTAAAAGAACTGTTTTAAGTAAAGAGCACTAACCCAATGGTTCTAAAAGAACTGTTATGAAACTAAACGACACAATGCATTTCGGCAGACTACTCTAGAGGTGTCAACGTCTGCTAAATGAAAATGAAAATTTTAAAAAAAAATTTTATAATAATAAAATATACCCTAGATCCGTCACTGTCAGGAATTGCTAAGAAACCACAACATTAATGGTATACCATGTGTTATCATGCAATCAAGTACCAGCTTTGTACTTTTAAAACAGACAAAACAGCACTTCTGACTACACGACCATAGAAATTAAAAAAGAATAGAGACGGCAATCTAGGTTGAGTTATATAATGAATTTTTGACGATTTAAATGTTCGTATTTGGTTCTGAATTCAGGACCCGGATGTAATCACGCACGTTGCCTAACGACTACAAGATCTTTCTAAGGATTATAGATTTTTTCGAGAAATCCTTCTTCCTATGGTGTTACATTTGTCAACAACCCAACAGGCCATGTACTTTGCTATTGCCGCTTACTTTCTAATAATATACATGAAAAAATTTCTCCAATTTGATTGGCTAAGAGCAATGCAATTTTTCGTAAATACCAGTGAAAAAATGAAATACGAGAGCAAAGTACTTTTTAAAAGTACTCCAGATTGGTTAGTCAAAGAAAGAAATAATCATGATAGCTAACCAAAATAAAACATTTCAAAGGAAGGAGAGTTATTGTAAACGAAAGCAATTACAATAGCTGGCGTAAGTTTTAACTTTTAGGTAGCTAGATTTTCTTTGGCAGCCGAGTTTACAGTTGAACATTTGCAAGACATTTCCAGCCAAATATAAAAAAACATTGCTAAAAGTGAATAATTTGTTTTGGCTACTTGTGCACAATCTATGATGTGTGAAATATGTCACCGAATTGAAAAATACGAGCCGGTCCATATAAATAACTTGCCGACCGAAATGTATGTATGCTGAAGATAAAAAATGATCCGAACTGAGCAATTTTGTCATGTATATTATTAACAAGCAATAGCCATTGAAAAACTCACTTGTGCAAGTTTTTTCCAAATAGCACTCGAAACCATGTGATTACCAACACAAACAATCATCCGTCATCAATAACCGAAATTTGCAGCGAAGTTTAAAATCTTAAAACGCACGCGCTTTGCATATCTCTCTTGACTTTTACACCCTGTTCATAAATTGGCTCATTATATAGCTTTGTTTGCGTGAAACATCATCAATGCCACCTCTATTGCTCTATAAAACAGCATGCATAATTTATGCCAAGACTGTGTCGAAAAATATGATGCACATGTGAACGAAAGTCTCGTCCCTTCACGAAAAGAAAGGTTTTTTAATTTGCATCCTTTGCTTCGTCTCAAATTGGAACAGATTCATGCTATTAACATACATCAACTTCTATTTGCTCTCTTCCAATTCATTGAACATACATCAACATTCATCAACTTCATTGAACATAAGTCAACATACATTTACATACATCAACTTCATTCAACATACATCAACAACATTGAACATACATTAACATACATCAACTTCTCTTTGCTCTCTTCAAATTCATTGAACTCAGCTCTGCGTTCTTTTATAGACTTCACGGCGTTAAGGCAAGCTTCATTGTCACCTTCCATGTCGATATCTTTTGGCTTCAACTGATTCCATCTGGCAGCAAACTTATCTAGATTTTGCACGAAAGTATTGACTCTTGATTCGACGTTACTTTTCATCACTTCAACCTAAAAAGGTGAATGTATAACTATCATTTTTCATTCACATATCCAAAGAAGCGACTATATCTATATCGTCGTAAGGCAATACTCGTTAGTTCTTTGGTATGAGAGAATTTTGTGGGGAAACAGTCAATACCCTCTGATTAATGGTAGCAGGGGTTCGCACCCCTCCTCTAGATTGACCCCTGTGTTTCAACAAATTTGAATTCATGTCGTCAGTCATCTTGTTTTCGATGTTTTGTTACTTTGAGTCTTCAAAAAAGACTACTGCGTTAAATCAGCATATTCAAATAGCAACGTTACGTCTTTTAATGCAAGTTTGTACTATCATCAGGATCGCTAGCCTTTATCAGGAATTCGTTACATAAATAGGCAGTTGATAAACCAATAATATCATTTAGCTAATAAATCAGTTCTTTACACAATAATTAATTAAAATGTTATAACATAAGGATATAGACAGTTATGTTAAATTTAGACTGTACAAATGACTTCGACTTCAATTGTTTGCTTCGACACTAAATGAAACAAGGGCAGTTTCAAATCGTTACCTCAATGACTAATACCGGCCTTGCGTGCACCCACCATAAAGGTAAAATATCTAATACACAACAATAGAAATTACAATGGAAACAAAAAGAAAATGCTTACATGTCAACCGTGGACAAAAAAAAACAAGCTTGTGATGGACTTTATCAAAAATGTTTTTATTTGAGATGAATTGTCAATGGATGTCCATTTCATGATACAATAATCAAAATTAAAAGAGAGACAATGGAGAAATGAAAACATGCGTTAAAACCCCTTTATGCCAAAAGACATAGTTCTTTTAAAACTTTGCAATATCCTTGGATCATTGGTTTAATCTCTTTATTTATGCCTTGTTAGCCACCAATAATAAAATATTTGTAACATCAATTATCCATTTTCATCACAGGATGAGATCTACTTTTAACAAAAATAATTATTAATTTCAATTCAAGGAGGACATTTATTTTTCTTCATCTCGAATGACGCAATTTGAAAAGCAGTCCAGAACAATGCATCTTTGTTCCAGAAAAACGAAATAGTTTTTCTTCTTTGATCTGACGTCATTGAATGATCTTACTAGTGCGTCATGTTCAACTCAACAAGTTCGACCTTTTGACATAATCCAAGGATTGTATGTAAAGACTATAAACTTTATTTTTTTTGTCACCAAACTACACAGCCATCAAAGGTTTTTTCATCAAACTACAAGGACATCTACATATTTTTTTTCGCCGAACTACACAGACATCTACAAAAGTGATGCCGTCAAAATTGATTCTGAAGTAAGTTGAAGCTGATTAAGAAACCTGAGTTTCTTCTCCCATATTAAACGCGTGTTGCTCGTTAGACCAAAGCAGAAGTTAAAAAGCTTGCCGAAGAAAACAAATAACTGCTTTGACAGTTCGCCATGTCAGTTTGAAAATGCTTTTTAAAAGTGATCGGTCTATGACGCATATATCATTAGCTAGCTGTGTATACCTAGATATTGTTATCGTGATTAAATTAACATAAAATGCGTTGTTTAAAAAGCGATCGGTCTATGACGCGTACATCATTTGCTACCTATGTATACCTAGATATTGTTATCTTCATTAAATTAACATAAAATGGGTTGTTTCCAAAAATACTCTGCATTTTCACTGAAGGTTGATAAAACTAGAGTCTGTTAAACAGTTATGTTAGAAAAAGTCGTTGAGTACAAGCCTCAAAAAAACTTCGAACAATGTAGCCTGTTTTGTCTTGAAATATCTCAAAAACCATTCACTTGGTAAGATTTTATATTTTGGATATTCATAGCCAATATTTATAACCACTTCAATTCATAACCAACGTTGTTATACAAAAATAATTTGAACGTAGAATTGACCAGCAAGAATTTATTTTGCCTTAAACTCGATATTTTTTCGCCATGATTTACAACCCAATCCCTAAATACTTAACTACAGTGTCAAGGTGAAGTAAGGACGCCATCACGAATAGTGTGAAAAAGCGAGATTGTCGGTGAAAAATAAGTTAAAAGAAAGTTTAAAAACCACACCAAACCTCTACAACTAAATATCAAGATAGAAGAAGCACAGTTTACTCAAAGCTTGCCCACTCGTAACTACAGAATGTCGGCGGAGTCAGGCATTAAGTAGGTTAAAATTCTAGGTAATTCTTTATTGATCCATACCTGCTCTTTTACCATCAACTCGTGGCTTTCCATCATCAACTCAAGTTTGTCCCATCTTCCTTTCAATGGACTGATTTGATCAATTCCCTCTCCAGCTGTCGAACGCAGTAACTTGTTTTTGGATTCGACCTTTTCAAACAGCTGTTGGATCTTGCATTTAGAACAGAAATAAAAACATTTTTTCAAATAACTGTAATAAAAATACTAATCATAACATCATAATCATGTCAATAAAAAATACATCATAATTGATATTAAAAGACGAACACTCTTCTGTCAACAAATGTAAGGTATTTGGGTTTAAATGTCAGTAATTCAGTCACCACTACACCAAGCAAACATATGATATCAGGGTTGTCAATAAGTTTTAGAATAGGCAGGGGCATAAAGCAATGGCAATATGGCGCAGTCTAAAATAAATAGCTTTTTCACTAGTCTGGGACCGAAGCAAGAAAAGCAAAAAAATGATACTATTTGTGAATTCGACAACTAGAACTACAATGGTCAAAATGCCACGCCACTACCAAGACATTTTTTGTTATTCAGCCCACAATGCAAAGCATCTTCCGCCGCCACTGAGAATAGGTGGTTGTAGGACGAAAGTAGACGGTAAGGGCTAAATAGATGGTTGTATGACGAAAGTAGACGGTAAGGGCTAAATAGGTGGTTGTAGGACGAAAGTAGACGGTAAGGGCTAAATATCGCACAAATATGTTGGAGGGCGTCCTCACAAAAACTCAAAAAAACTTGGCATTCCACTTTAACGGTATTTTTATAAAAAAAGTCGACAGCATTGATTTGTAGATAGTACACAGATTCGCTACTATTAGAAGTGCCGTGAAGGTGTTAGCTTGTTGGTGTTGGTGAATAAAAACTTTTGTCTTGGTCTTGGTAATACTTTAGTGTTTAAAAGTTTAATGATATAATTAATATGAAATCGGCAGGAAAAATATTTATTGAAACAAATCAACATCCAAAAATGTGCTTTCTTAACAATTAGAAAATGAGCACAAAAAGTTACCATTGATGACAATGAATAACAATTGTCGACAGCTAGTTATCTTACTCTATATGTCGCCGCATGTGTAACAGTTTGCCTGGTGAAAAATTTAAAAATTGTCTTAAAAAGAGCAAACACTATGGTGAATGGTCAAATACTAACGAAATAGTTCTTAAAAGAACTGTTTACACCAGAACACTAAACCAATAATTCTAAAATAACTGTTTTTAAAGATGAAAGACACTATGCATTTCGGCAGACCACTCATCAGGTGTCAGCGTGTGCTAAATGAGAGCTTAGCATCATGCGATATTTATAGTACTACCAAAAGTCTACGTCATCTCTAAATTGAAACAACGAAGTCACCACGACAAAGTCTCTGTTTTACTGATGAGCGTTTGGACGTAATTTCAGTGAATTTAACTCTGCCACATGAATTTTCATGTCATCGATTGAGATTTATCCTGTGTTCGTGATTTTCACTCTGAAATAGCATCGAATTAAGTTTCATAGAAGTGACAAGCCTTACTAACACAGTTGCGCAAGTGTATCTCCTCATCATAGAGCAAACAACATTTTAGCCGGCGATTGGTGCCGAAGTAGACGGCGATGTATCGCCAGTGACAGGCTTCTATTGACAACCCTGCTGATATGTTGTTAAATCAGTTGAATTGTACAAATACTTTGTTGATGTCATAGAGTTGCAAAATTTGCCATACAAACTTACCTCTGGAATTTTACCACTTAGTTCCTGGTGTTTAGAATTTGCCAAACCAATTTCTTCTACAGTTTGCGGTCTGCTGGATAAGGCTTCCATGCCATCCGTGACAAACATGTCAATGGTCTGTATGTGAGTGATAGTACTACGCCGCAGAGAATTTAGCAATGCATCAAACAACTGCTGGATGAGATCGTCGATTGTCGATTTTACTGAAGCAGTGGACACCGTTATGCAGTCGACTTTAATGGACCTAACACGATGTCGAAAATGATGGACGTTTAGTTTAATACACATTCTGAAGGGAGAAATGGTGAATTTATACTGCTATGAAGACAAAACTATATAATTAGATACAGATGCATCAACAGAAAGACGTACTTGCAGAAAGGAAATATCCCACGTAAAACCAAATGCCCCATTTTTAGTAACCCTTTCATACACTTTCGATTTTCCATGCGAGTATATAAGTCGATCGACTCCTTGCAACGGGTATTTGACTCTCAATGTGTCACAAACTCTGGTTGATACACAAACGTTCAATAGAATTTTTTCCCCTCCACTTCCATCACTTTTACGACATTTGCAATCCTTGTCAAAAATCCATTGCTTTGAAGTTTGTTTTTGAAAAAGAAACGTGATTACCGTTCTTCAAACGTCATTGAAAACAAATAATATTTGTTAACCGGACCTTTGTAAAAAAATTAATTGCATTTGCTAAACTACAAGAAATGTCGTAAGCCACCAAGTTGTTTTTCAAACTTTATTTCTGTCATTAGGTTTTTAAAGTTTTGGAGTGCAATGCGCATGCGAATTTCAAGTGCCCAGTACCTTTAAATCTGTTTTTATCAAGTGACTCGACGAGTTGTTCATTCCACAGTTTTAAATAAACTTTCTTCTAAAAGGAGCTGCATGTACGTATACACTTTCATGACAAAAATAATAATTCTCTCATGGTTGTAAGGAGATTGATTGCTCTACAAACCTTAATTATTCCCAATTGAGCTTTCCAAATTAAGAAACATTTTGTAAAGTTATACAAAAAATTAAACAAAGTATCCCATTGAAACGATAACACCACAACCGTCAACAATGACTACAATATATTTCCATCACAAGTCTCTGCATTGCTCCGATAAAGAAGTTGAACTTACCCTGGGATTTTTTCTGCTTCTTTTCCCTTAGCTTTGAGAGCTTTAAAATTTTTCTCCCAATCGCTTGTCTTGACGAGATGTTCTTCTATCATTGAATCGATGTCAACCACCCCAAGCACAATCCAATCTTGGAAATCGTCCAAAATGCTGGCAAGGCGTCGAAAAAGCTCCTCGGCCTTGGCGTAGACAGTGGAAAATGCTGAAGCATGGCGTTCAATGAGAGGAGGATATATGCTCGTGTCGTCGCTTACACCGCGAAAATGCAACGGAATGGATATGAATTTTTTCATTTCCCGGTAGTACTTCGCACGGACTTCTTCGAAGGGTGGTCGAAATTGTAATTTCTGTTTCCTGAAATCCAAAATTTTCAAACTTGTAGAAGGATAGGGAGCTGGTTTGATTTGGTATTGCAGCATAAAAAAGATTTTCACACGACAACAATTCAGAGAATAAAGGAGCTTTAATGGAAGCATGCGTACCAAATAATCAAATACTATATTTTCTCAAGCTGAGGTATGAATTTAAAAAATATGTCATTTGCCGTAGCTAGTTGCTTACATTGTATAAAAATTTTATGACCAAATGGTCAGCTTAATAAAAAATTCATCCCTTTCTTGTCCATTTGGCGACTGATCTTAACACCAATCACAAAGAAATATGACGAGTCGGACCTGTTTACAAAAGTTTCTGTTATCTGCGATTAGATATGTAATGCAAATGCAGTCATCTAACAATCGCTTCAAACATACAGTCAAACCTTTACTTTCAGGCACATTATGTACGCGGACGATACTTTTAGGTCCTTGCTAATACGCTCATACCACTTTAAACCTCTCATAAGTGAAAATCCCCCTGATGTGTGCATATATATAGATACAATTTCGTGGCCGCAAGGGTGTCCATGTATACAATAATGACCTCTTGCAACTTGTTTATGACAATGATGTCGTGTGCTATTTACACTACTATTGTGAGAATGGTGCAATGTTTAGTTAGCAAAGCAAATGCAATGGTTAACTATCATCAGAATAAACACAATGAAACGCGTGCGCTGATTAGTCTACAGCTGAGTTTGCATTAGCCAGTGCAAAACACATCTGAGCTCAACCAATCAACTCTATCTAAACAATCAATCAGTCAAAGAGAATTTGCAAATCGATCATGAATACATTTTAGAGGAAAAATTAAAATGTTTGTCTTTTTCGCATTATTGTTATTTTATAAAAGAAATAAAAGATGTTTTTCGTGTTTGCACTAGCTTATGCAAACTAGTTCTCCTAAAGTTTTCCTCGGTTTGCAAAAGCCTGTGCAAACACAGTAAACATCTCTTATTTCTTAAACAAAGAATAGAAGACGGACATGAAGTAACGGACATTCAACCGATGAACACAAGACGTGAAGAAAAAGCAAAGGACAATTTCTTACTTGAATATGAGTTCAATCTTCAATTCAGGAAGATTTTGATTAAGTGCAACGAGACCCAACTCGTACTGATGTTCTAAAGCTTTGTATAACTGACGATCCCAATGCATTTTCCATGGCTTCATGTTATCGGATTTAAAGCCCTTAAATTGTGTAAAAATATCACATTCGTAAGATTTTCAATATTTTCACGTGAAGAGACAATATTGGGCATTCCTGCAAAAAAGACCAACCAATCGGCTGGGTATCCTTGTTTTATACGTACATAAAGCTGACACTTACTTGTTGAACAAGATTTGCAATTATCTGCCTGATCTCCAACAGGCCTTCTTTCCACCTTGACTGCTGTCGAAGTAAGTCCACACTCATCAATTGAATGACCTGTGTAGACATGACACAAAATGATGAGGTTGCCAATTACATGACGGAGCAACTACATGATTTTGGCGATCTCATGCTAGATATATTTACTTAAAGCAAAAAGCAATTGTCCACCTACAGGCGATGGGACAAAATTGAGAAAATATCTATGTAGTTGACCTAAAAGACAATGAATGCAGTTTATTATGGCAAAAACTATTTTCTAAATATCTTGCTACAAAAAACAATCATAATTGTTTCTTTATTTAAAACATTTAAAAGTTGCAACAAAAATATGTAATCGTCCTGCTATCTTTACGCTAACTTTGAACTGCCGGACAATGAAAAATACCTTTTCTCCAATTATATGGTGACATTTCCTGAGTCGTCGATTTTCAGTTGTCAAGCGATCAGCAGCCTTCTGTAATTTGTTGATATAGTTCTCTAATTCGGTAGGATTGTCCCACGTCACCTGGGTCTTGTCATTACTGTTTCGAGAATTTGATTTTGGATTCTTAACGAGCTTCTCGAACGCAAGAGCTGAATCCAACATCATCGCTTGTTGACTTGGAATCATCTGCTGGTCAATCGTGTTGTAAAAATGTGCAACCTGTGCAAAAATTATTGATCAACATGTAAAATATTGGTGAATTAACACAAAGCTGTCATGTCGCGTTTGTGTAAATGTCACTGATTTATTCTAATTAATACATTGTTTGCATATAATCAAAACTTTCACATAGAAGAAAACGAGGTAGTACACAAGTACACAATGTAGTACACAAAAACACGAGGTAGAGCACAAGTATACGAGGCACTATACAAAAACACGAGGTAGTGCACAAGTATATGAGGTAGTATACAAGAACACGAGGTAGTACACAAGTATACGAGATAGTACACAAATATGCGAATTAGTATACAAAAACACGAGGTAGTGCACAAGTATACGAGGCACTATACAAAAACACGAGGTAGTACACAAGTATATGAGGTAGTGTACAAGAGCACAAGGTAGTACACAAGTGTACGAGATAGAACACAAATATACGAGGTAGTATACAAAAACACGAGGTAGTACACAAGTATATGAGGTAGTATACAAGAACACGAGGTAGTACACAAGTATATGAGGTAGTATACAAGAACACAAGGTAGTACACAAGTGTACGAGATAGTACACAAATATACGAGGTAGTATACAAAAACACGAGGTAATTCACAAGAATACGAGGTAGTATACAAGAACACTAGGTAGTACACAAGTATACGAGGTAGTATACAAAAACACGAGGTAGTACACAAGTATACAATGTAGTACACAAAAACACGAGATAGTGCACAAGTATACGAGGCACTATACAAGAACACTAGGTAGTGCACAAGTATAGGAGGTTGTATACAAAAACACTAGATAGTACACAAGTATACAAGGTAGTATACTTCAAACCATCAAAAATGATGTGTTGTGTTTATGTTGACAAAGCAACAAATAAAATGGAAATCTTTGATGAATATCCTCACCTGTTTTAAAACAACGCCATGTCTATAAAATTTATTCGCAACATCAGCAGTAGATTGTATTTTTTTCGGTATTGTAAAGCCAAGTGCTGCAAGCTGGCGAACCTCGCGTATTAAGGTGACCAGACGCTCGCTGTAATGAACTTTAAGTTTACCATCAGAGTGACTCAATTCCATCAACCGACCATTAGTTTGCAAACTAGTGAAAATAGCAAATATCCTTCTCATTAAAAAATTAGTTCACAAAAATTTCATATTTATTTTCCTATGGTTACACATAACGATACATGTTGACAAATGGTTAAACCTATAATAACACTCGCCCCCTTCCTTTACTGCACGAAAGTAAACTCCATTTGGAGCACAAAGTACCTCAAAGAATCGTGTGGTCTACCAATTGCATCCTGCATTTCACTTGACCATGACTCAAATTGCTCACTTTGGTAAAGTTTAAGCTCTTCATGCAAATCAGCAGCTTGTTTCTTGAAAGATTGAAATCCAGTTAAATCGCCGAGAAGCGATTCTGCTGTCTTGAGGGTGTCAGACACCTGAGATGGATAAGTTAAGTAAATGAATTTGTATTTTTGCTACGCGTTAGATACTGGCTTCTAACGTTAATCCAATATAAGCTCCAACTTTACCTTAGCCTGCAGATGACTGACCCACACAATACTGTTGACAATATGTGGAAGATTCTTTCCTTTGGGTACTGCAACATTACTTCCGCCATATTCTCCGCTCTTTGTTGAGAAGTCTTCTTGTATGCTCTTGATATGTACTGTCAACTGACCGAGCAAAGTTTCTCTAATGAAAGGAAGATATAGCAGCAAACATGAAAAAAGGAGAAGTTATTTAAGCACGTTATTTCATAGCCGCCAAGTGGAATGAGCTTGAAAAAGGTTTTTCCTAGTTTAAGCAAGCTTCGCACGAGCACAGTATAAGCAATAAACAGTAGCTCCACTTCGCTGCGCAACTTGCTGCTACATATTTAATTAGGTTACTGACTGCGGTTAGACATCTCAGCTCTACCTCAAGTCAGGAAATACAGTTTACTTGCTGTCACTATGGTAATCACGTGCGCAATGAGATATGCACGGTACAAAAATTCAGTAGAGTGGCCCTACTGTATATTCCTATACTGGGCGCTTTCATTTTGCACAAACCAGGTGCAATTATAGGAACATTTGATGATAAAATGAAACAATCCAACGAAGGCAGGCTTGTGGAATAGTTAGTTCATGTAAATGGCGATAAATTTTAGCAGCTTTGTAAAACGTTCATTCTAACGATAATTATGTGATTTTGGGTAGCAAACTATCTTAAATATCTTGCGGAGCAATTTAAAGTGTGTAGATGGATTTTATTGCTGAACAATTTCTTTGTACTTAAGATATGTGCTTTCGTATTTATATCTTATTCAAGAGTGCCATCAAGGACCCATTATTTTACTTAATGTGGAGGGTGGACTTGGTAAGGACTTGAAACAAAAAACGCAAAACGTGACAAAGGAACAGATTTTCGATCAAATGGAAAGCGTCCACTGTGACACAAGTGAAATAAGGACAAATGAAGAGAAATTATTAAGCAAAGACAATCAATCAAGCAACCTAAGCATCCAACATAAGCAAAAGCTTAACGAAAAGACAAAAACATAAGCAGAAAGAAGAACAAAATAAAATTCCGTGTCAGTAATAAGTTGACTAAGCTTATTGCGAGTAATGTTCTTAGTGAAACACCTAAATCATGTTTTTCATTTCTTAACTTAATAAGCATATCATATAAAACAACGTCTGCCTACCTTCGACTCCCTGTCCTCCAACGTCTGTCTACCTTGCACTCCCTGTCCTCCAACGTCTGCCTACCTTCGGCTCCCTGTCCTCTAACGTCTGACTATCTTCCACTCCCTTTCTTCCAACGTCTGCCTACCTTTTACTCCCTGTCCTCCAACGTATGCCTACCTTTCACTTCCTGTCCTCCAACGTCTGCCTACCTTCCACTCCCTGTCCTCCAACGTCTGCCTACCGTCCACTCCCTGTCCTCCAACGTAACTGCTTATTAAGTTGAAATATGAAAAACATGATTTAGGTGTTTCACTAAAAACAATACTTGCAATAAGCTTAGTCAACTTATCATTAGCATAATATTTCTGAATAGCGAATGTGGCATTATTAAAATAAAATTCCACTGTCTTTGTCTTCGTAATCTTTTTCTCGAGTGAATAATGCAGATGTTACTATATACATTCAATTCAACATGGCAAAAATCCTATGAAGTAAAACTCCTTTTTTTTTGATTGAAACCAGCCTCTATATAATTATCAAACAATGTGGCTTGTCCACGACGGCCAGTGACCACAAATAGCATCAATAAAATATTCTTTTGTTTTGAACCACCAAAATGGCGGCCGTGACGTAACATGCAAGCCACCTATTTGTTGGTTAAAAAATGATTTCTGATGTGGTTTTTTTGCTCAATGGTGACGATGTTGTTTGGAATAGTTAACATTTAAATATTAATATTTGTTAGAAGTTCGCTGCAAAAACATTATTGATGCTGACATCGCTGTTGTTTGATTTTTAGTTTGTTCGATAGAACAGCTAACGTAAATATTGATTGACTAACCTCTCAGGAGCAAGCTCATTCTTAACACTGTTTCTTTTTACTAGTTCTTTGTAACGCTGAAATTCTCGCAACAGCTACATAAGCAATTACATTGAATTTTTAAAAACAACACAAAGCATTCAACAAATGTCAACTGGGAACAACATTTGACGATAAATCTTAGCGCAACCAGTAGAAGGAGCAATCTTCAAATCATTGCTAAAAATTGTCGAGCGAGGAGTATCGTTTATTTTATGACAGAATCCTTTCTATTAGCTGGAAGAAAATTTAGCGTGAAACGGTTCCGCAAATCTCATAAGACACAGCCGTATGAAAAAAAAGCTCATCTTTGAAATAAAACCGAATTAGAATTTGTATGATTTAGCAGTAATTGTCCCCACACAGCCGTAAACGCAATTGAATTCAGTAGTAGCTACATAAGTATTGCAACTACTGCACACTGAAAATCCCCCAAACAAACTCAGCCATTACGATTACGCCTCCTTTGGGATCAATTATTGCTGAATTCAGTAGTAGCTACATAAGTATTGCAACTACTGCACACTGAAAATCCCCCAAACAAACTCAGTTCCATTACGATTACGCCTCCTTTGGGATCAATTATTGCTGAATTCAGTAGTAGCTAAATAAGTATTGCACACTGAAAATCCCCCAAACAAACTCAGTTCCAATACGATTACGCCTCCTTTGGGATCAATTATTGCTGAATTCAGTAGTAGCTACATAAGTATTGCAGCTACTGCACACTGAAAATCCCCCAAACAAACTCAGTTCAATTACGATTACACCTCCTTGGGGATCAATTACTACTGAATTATGCAAACGCGTGTCATTTCAAAAGGAAGCCGATTTTCAAGAAAAAGAAGAACTTTAGATATTAAACTATGATGAAAAAATTGCACATTATCCAACCGTAAAAAATATCGGTTATCTTAAGGCAAGACTAAAACCGCTTGATATGCCATTATATTTTAATACTATTTCAGTGGCCGGTTGCGCGAAGTTATTGCAAATTTTTTCCTAACTTATTGCAAATTTTTTTGAACGCTTACAACATTCCTTAATAGGAAAAAATACACGATTTCAACTGAGCAATCGATGAAATAAAGTTTTGCTTCTACGATTGCAAAATTACTCTGTCGTAAGGAAAAAATAAACACCTTTCTTTACAAATTTGAAAATTTACTATCCAATGGATAATATTATGCAGGCTTCGTGCAACCAGCCCCAGATCGCTAAAAGACAATGAAAGAGACACGTTACTACTTGAAAAATCATAAGTATATTATAGTGGTCGAACCTGATGAGGGTTAGCCGAAACTTTTTGAAATTGATCACGTAATTTCCTAGCGATCTTTTGCTCTGCGGGCATCATGGCTTTCTCGTACTGCGCAACAGCTGCGCGCCATAAAGGCTCCGTATAGGAATTATAATGAAGTGGATTAAGACCAAAGAATGGTGAAAAGGCATCCGATGTTTTATACTGCTGGCATTCTGACATCGTGAGTAAAGGAGTTAGCTGCTCATGAACTGTTCTCAGTGTTACAACCTTGAAAATTAAAAAATGTTGAAAATAGACACGGTGGTCCAAAAGGACATGGTAGAAATTAAAGCCTGGTTCACACGAGTGAAATAAGGACAAGAAGAAGCGTAGACAAAAGATAAAATAAAGATAATCAACGAAGCATGTGACACAAGCATCGACATAAGCGCAAGCATAAGGAAAAAATTCAAGCATAAGCAAGGAGAAGAACAAAAGAAGAACAAAAAAAGGATTTAAAGAAGATCCCAATGTCTTTGTCTTTACAAGCCTCTAGAGCAATATTTTACTCGTGCCTATTTTACTAAAGTGAACCAGGCTTAATGGCTTTTCATCTTATTTATGTTCCCTATTCGCATAAGCAAACTGCGAGAGGAAGGTTACATATTTGTTCTTAAACATTACTGTCACTAAGACTGTCAATCAAACGACTACAGAACGTCACAATTAGATTACTGTGTGGCAAAATTTCTAAAAAACTCAACAATAGTAAAATTTTGATAACAAATATCAAACGCATGATACATAAATCATCGATGAAATGGACGACATTTGCTTATGTCCAGGGATGGACGACATCCCTGTATACGAGGAGATGCGAGGTTTGCTTATGGAACGGGGTTTCATGTCAAATTTTAGAAACTGAAACTTTTTTCGATGATGAAAAATAATTTAAAAGCGGTATTATTTTTTATCGCGAAAGAGAAAAGCTCTTGGACTCTTTCTCTTTCTTTTCATAACTACGAGCAACATTGACACACAAAATATATCTACAAATCCAAAATCTCAGTAGTGTACCGCAATTATTTTAAACCATGCATTCCAACACATTACCTCATCAAGCCTCGCAGCGAGTTGCGCAGTAAGCGGAGGTGTATACATTTGACCCTCCCAAGGATGTAATGGAAATCGTTTCCAAAATTGTGACGTCAGAGTTTCACATACATTGACCCATTGTTCACAGAGCGCAATTCCTTTTCGAAGTTGATCACGAGTTACGACGAATGCGCCGTGCCAAATATCTAATGTACTCAGTTTTCTTTGAACGTAACGCGAGAGATCCTAGAATTGGTATTGACACATAAAATATAGAGACAAATGGAGTAGGAATTTCGAGCTCCCGCCATTAATAAAGTAGGTAGCAGAGACGGCGGAGCAACATGCGTATGAAGTGTGGGAGCTAAGTCTTCAATTCTACTATAATGTCTTAAAAAACAGTTCAAAATATCAACTTCAGCTCAGTCTAAATATCTTTTTTGTTTTGCTGTTACAAAAAGTGGGGGCTACTTCAGCTCCCCCCCCTCCAACAGCCCCCCTTTTCTGGCATCCTTTGGTAGTAACTGGGGCAAGAGTTTGGAAGATGTTAAAGTAATTTGCAGTGTGCCACTGTTTTCAATTAAAAGCACAATCATATTTTGAGTGACTTGTTACAATTTCCAATGAGAGAAAGTTTTATTGATCCTAGGCAAGAAAAGGGGAGTAACTTTGATCCTCAACCTGTCCGAGACAGCTGCTTGGAACCTGGGCATGAATTAAAATTACCGTATGTATACCTGCAATTGATTCAAGGAGATGTTGCATTCTCACTTCTAAATATGGTTTATGTTCATCCTGTTTCCACACTTCATCAAGCGTATCTTGAGTTGCATCAATAAACTCCATGGCATCTGCTAGCTCCAGACCATCCAAATTCATGAATATATGACTTACATTTCCTGTGAAAATGTGAGCAACATCAAAGTATGTAGATGTTAGCCGTATATATTCCCAAAATCTGATCAACCTGTATAACCTAGACTCTCCATCACTCTAAAATTGCCTTATTGACATAAAAACATTATACAGAAAGTAAAAACAACACTTAAGTGTATACGTAAACAACTTTGCATATAAAAATATGCATACTTTAATGTTTCAAATTTTGCATGTAGCAATTCTGTTACAAAAGTCTTCACAGATGTAAGTTAAAGCCAATACTAAGGACATTTGTTCATTTGTTCACTCAAAATGCTACTCCACTAAAATTGTAAGCAAACAATCAATAACTGCACGTCATGCATGTATCACAGGTATATGAAGGTACGTACATGAACCTAAAAAAGACTATGCATCTTAACTATGCATTTCTATGGCTGGTGGCAGTACAAAAAGTAAATCATGATAGTACACTTTCCAAATAGCAAGTCTTTATAAATTACCTTTTTGGAATAATTCCAGAAAATATGCAGCCCTTTCTCTCTCTTTCAAATCATACCCAGAGATGGCAGCATCAGACCAATATTGAAATTCATCCTCTGGTGTCAGGATATTACCAATATTTTCTTCGCCATCTGGCGATTTTTTGCCCTCGCCAGACAACTGCTGCCTTCGTACTAGAGTAGCAAGACCTGTCTCAAGCTCACTGAGCAAAGTCTGTAACTTTGGATGAAATATTTGATTCCATTTATCATTTTTCAACAGAAGCGGTGCATAGACTTTTTGGACAGAGTGATAAAAAGTATCCACGGGAGACGCTAACATAGACGACACGAATACATTTTCGTGTAAATTTTCGGGGGTAATTACAGCAGGTCGAATTTTGAAAAACAGCAGTTGTTTGTCAGTTGATAATGTTGAACCAAACTCATTGCTCAAAACTATTTTACAATGCTTGATATGACATTTAGCCACTAATACTGGACAGTTCCCGTCGTCTAAGAACGTATTTAACTCTTTTTGGCGTTGAAAATCTTTGATAATGTCATCTGAAGACAAACCGAAATAGTTGGCTATTGTCGTCAAGACGAATGTCTTTCTTGTATCCATACCAGCCGATGTTGGGAAAGCACAGTGTCTTAACAACGATTGATAACAACTGTTCTTCAATATATACTTTACATTTCTCTAGCGCATAGCAATAACTTTTCGGAAATGACAAAAGAACTACAAGACACTTGTTGAAACGTTTTTAAAATTGCCTCGAGTCGATCGAGTTGCAAAGTTTTGTGTGGCGTTGCTAAGAGACATTTAGGGGATACGATGAGATATTCATATACACAAAGAGATTAGCTGACACTATTTAGTAGGGATTTTGTGGGATATATAGAAACCTAATTCTTATTCATTTCAAAAATTATTGTATCAATTGTCACGACTGTAACATTAATTAATTTCTGTATTTACTAACTTAGGAGTAAGTTGCTGATGAAAGGAAATACATACCTGTTAGTATGTCGGACGATTTCTTTTCGTTAACCCATAATTAATAGCAATATATGATGTACATGGTTTTGTTGTCCTTTATTTTGGGAATAGTCTTTACTTTATGTATTGAAGTTGTCTTGATTTATCAATGGTGGACGCGGAAGCCCCTAGAAGAGCCATCGTCACATGCTCCAAGAACTAAAGTTAAAAACCCGGAGGTGAAAATTGTCGAACAAACTTTTTGTCTTTAGAAGATTACATATCTGATACAAATGTGTCAAATTTACATATCTCACAACTGATAAAGAGATTATTTAACCAAGGTGGAGGGCATCATTACGATTAATCTGCATTTTTCTTCATATTTTACATATTAAAAATGGTTGATTGCTATCACTGCTTTGTCCACTTTGTGCAGTTTTTGGCACAATTATTAACTACTGAATCTTCAGTGCTTTCAGTGCTAATCCTAATCTTTTATGAAATTATTGATTAATATTAACAGCAACCACCCAGAACTGCTTCCCTCTAAATTTGCCTTAGTGAATGTTATGATCAACTCCAATCACTTTATTCTATTTCTATTTTTGGCAAGCAATGCAGCACCGTGTTCAATAATAGACATTACTGTAGGAAAATATGTTTTGCATGAAAATTTCATCATCACATTCCATAATCATGATTTACTGTTCTCTAGGAACTTCTGAATTTTTTTAAGAAATTATCTGACATACCTGTAGAAGAAGTGAGGGAACAATTGAGAATACCCGACACATGTTTGTGTTTGAATGTGATATTTGCATTCCTGTGGAAGGAGTGGCGAGATTCTCCGGAATTGAAGTGCATTTTCATTTCAAAGTTGAATAGAGAATTAAATGATCTCATTGGCTCAAAGGCAGCAAAGGGAATCATTGAAGAAATCAATGTAAAAAGTTATAGTCTAGGAGATTCATTGCCCTATATCAAAGGTAGAATCTACTTTCAACAGTTTTATATGCTTTCATTGATGAGTTTCCACTCAAACCCTTAAGATTCATCAGTGGCATATTAAGTAGAAAATACAATGAAATTGTACTCAAATGTAGTTACTTTAGATACAGAAACATGAATGGTACTATATTGGGTAAGATTAGTGAAATAAATCATAAAAAGAATTAGCAAATAATGATAGCTACATAGCTTTGTGCACAATTCTTGAGAATTGGATGCATTAATTCTTGTAATGGTTGCTTTTCCATGTATTGTTTGCAATTCACAAACCAGCTTTTTATATATAAAATTTCCATTGTGGGGCATACGATGTGGGAAGTTGTGGGGGTAGGGGGACAGTGGCAGCGACCACTTTTTTTGGAAAATGTTTGGTAAATTTTACGAGATGGATAGTTGTTAGTTTTTTGAAAAGCAGTTGATAAACTTTAAATTTATCCTATCAAGAAAAGCATTTCCTCCATTTACTAAGGGTCGGGATATCACTCTTTCACATTCATTTGTAATCTGTTTATAAACTTACGAATTATGATTTGCAACAATTGCAAAGAAGCTTTCTCAATGTATCATCATCTTCATCGGTAAAACAGTTCAAGAAAACTCTCTGAATCTGAACGCCTTTGGTATGCTGCTCTATCTTGTTGTTGACACTGTCTTAGATATCCATGCACTCTGACCATTGTGGTCCATTGCCTTTAGCGTAAATCGTTAGGCTCACAGCATTTCACTTGATCAATCTAACTTAATTAAATACAATTTTATGCGTTATGTTTTCCGTTTTAATGTAACTGTCCACACTGTCCTTGATAAATTTAGACGCCGTGTTAATGAACATTAAATCTCAAAGTGCAGAAGATGTTCCAGACGAGATAGACATTGCGCTGAACGTTTCGTATGCCGGAGGCTCTTATGTCAACGCAGACTTCACGTTAGCTTTGAAAAAATCCGTTTATTTATCGATAAAAGCTGTGAAAATATCAGGAAGAGTAAAACTTAGTTTCCGTCGACATCCTATCTCGCGATGGTCATTCTCATTTTATCAGGTATGACTTTCATGGTATTGGAAAAGTTGTTTTTTTATATAAAAAAAATTTTTCCAAGTTGGTTAATTATTTGACATGAATTACGCACCTAATGTAATTAGCCTTGTTGTTGCTTTTATATATACATAGGATCCTGATCCAGTGATCGAACTGGACGCAGAATCTCGTTTTGAAGGGAAAAGTTTTCCGCAACTAAATGCCATGATCCTGAGACATTTCAAAAAAGTCATTCGTAAGAAATATGTTTTACCCAACTACATCGTTCGCTATAAACCCTTTCTTCGAACAAAAGTTCCACATGACGAGCAGAGAAAGCTGTATGTTCACAACTCAGAAGTTACTGTCGGTGTTTTGTCCGTTCAAGTTCTCGGATGCAGTCGTTTACCATTGAAAAAGAAAAGCAGCACTCATTATAATTGGACTTTTTGCAGTCTGTCTGTCGATGCAATGCCTTTCTCTGAAAGGAAAAACAATGATTCTTCCATGTGGCCGATATCAGAGGTTTGATTACCTTATTAAGGACGTTTTATCATCTTCATTGTGCTATATTACAGTTTCGTCTTTTCTCATGCCATATTAACTACCATACAGTATTTTTGTTTGTGATAGCTACCACATTATTCAAACTTAACAATCTACTTTACATACTATACATTTCCCATTCTATCGTACAATTTGACCCCTTTCGAGGGTACTTTAAATTGTACGATACAATGAGAAATGTAAAATGGGAAATATTTACCCCGGAATTTTTATTTGCGATATGAATTTTAGATATGAATTCTAACGTGTCGGCGAAAAAGTTTTTAAGTTCGTCAAATCGTTCCACTTTTATGGCTATTTAAAATTGGCAAAATGCTCCTTTTAATGGACCTTGCCCGTCGTCCGAAACGACTTACTTTAGTGACTTCATGCAAGGGACTCCTCAATACATGATCATGAAAAATAGATGTATACCAACTACCTTGGATGACGTCAAAATTTGGCTAGACCCAGTCTTCATGCCACGACGAACGAGGTCCATTGAAAGGCAACATTAAACCTCCATAACAAGAGGACGATTTGACCAAATTAGAAAATTTTGTCCATACCGTTAACCATCACCCTTAGTTTTAATACTGCAAGTAAACGTTTTTGCTGATAAGGGAAATTTAACTACCGCATTCCCAATGGAAAAGCAGATTTCACATTTTTTTAATATAGTACGTAGTTAATTCCGTTATATAGTAGCTACCTTGTATCTGCCACACTTCCCACACTATAATAACTACCACATTTTCTAAGTGGTAGCTAACATATCGTTTTCCTCTTTGTAGTCACTAGTCTTTCTTATCCCCCCCTCCCCACCCACCTCAAAACACTCCCATCCCGGGAACAATGTTCGGGATATACATTGTTCCCACACAATTTTCTGTTTATGTCACCTCATTCATGAGAAACAATACTGTTATTTTGTCAGCACGAAGTTGTAAAGAACAACGAAAGAAAAATCGGTCTAACTTATTACGAAGCATCAATGGAAGGCGATGGCGCTTCACGGAAGAAAATAATCATCGCCAGTATTGATCCCGAATCTCCGGTTGGTAACAGCTTACTACGAGAAGGAGATGTCATACTGGAAATCAACGGGACGGCTGTAGTTGACGCGAAGCATGTTTCAAAACTCATTAGGGGATCAAGTAGGAGGTAAGGATTCTTTTTCCTAATATTACTGTTGTATCGAACAAAAAAATATACGTATGTCACTCTAACAACTTGAAACTGCCAATCGCTATTCAGGATTTTCCAAAAAAATTTACCTTATTGACATTATTAAATTACAGTCAACGTCAAAATTCAACGGTTGAACAAATGAATGCTCCCATAGTTATTGCCTACGATTGATCTAAAGTTACTCGCCATGCAAAAGTGAGCGGTTACGAATTAATCAAGTGCTTAATGACTCTAAAGCAATGTTGAATATTATTACATTAGATATTATTATTTTATTATATTAGTTAACCGCAAAGCTGCAACGCATATGAATAATTTATTCCATGTATTTTACGTATGTACACGAAGGAAAACCTTAATGACTACAGTTTTTTTCCTTGGTATAGCAAACTGGCAGTACCGTGCAACGAATTCATTTATGATGTTACTGTAGGCTAACCGTTATGGTGAAGAGGCCACCTTCGAACTTACCAGTCTCTGAAGCTGAAGATTTGCCACATAAGATCGATGTTGACACTGTGTCTATTTCAGGCGAAAATTCATCTGAAGTGGATAATGAAGCCGACGAATTCGTGAACATTGTGGCACTACCATTGATCGAAGGAAGCGATCTCAATCAAACCAAAGGTACGCCATTGCGATATCTCTTTACTATATTTACCCTTCATTGTCTACGGTTGTCATTTGGCAATCGTCCCTAAGCAAAATGAAATTCAATTGAAAAAACTCGTCCACGAAAAGGTTGAAAACTCGTCCACATGAATATCTGTGTTAGCAAGCAACGGAGTAATTTATGCCACGCATGTAAATAATTAACATGTCAAAAACGGGTCATGTGAGCATTCCTGTATATTTGGATGTTGTCGTGTTTGATGCCGTTCTTAATGTAGTTTTCTACGAATATCTCAACATATTTTCGCATTAATCACATAGAATGATTCATCTTAGTGCACGTCTATAAACAAAATATACGTCTCACTAAACGGACCTTCCCATTGTTTTTGCGCAATTCATAAATATCCCTTGGCATCTTAGCTTTCTTTTAGACTTGTTCATCTACATGGTCAAATCTTTTAGATACGTAGCTATATTGCTGTAGACTTAAGCCGATTATCAGAACTATATCTTTTTGTTATTTTAAATCTTGTTATCGGCAATGCAGTTTATGTTTTTAGACTTGTAGCATTGCAACTTACGAAACAAAATCCAGTTTCTAAGTCGCACGGTAATGAATAATATTTTTTTATAAATACCTATACAAATATGAAGTATACATACTTATGCGAGTTGCTTTTTATATGATAGGTAAAATTGAAGAGCCTGACTCTGTCTCAAGTGTATCGTTCAGGTTTGTGTAATACACGAGTATCGTTCCCTGTTCGTAGATGTTCATCGTCTTATGCTGAGAATGACTGTTGGTATTGGTGTTGACTGACCTTTCGACATCCTTAGCGGTAGTCATCTTCAGAGTCAAGTAGCTGAAGATCAACATCTACAAACGTGTAACATGTAACTTTAATCGCGCATGAGGTATCTAGTATCCATAATGCGTGACGTATATACACGATCTGAAGTACAACTTATAAGGAATAAAATGAATAATTCGTGATGAAATGACCACATTGTGGAGCGAATGTTCTCTGTGATGTTTGCATCCGTATTTCAAAAATCAGAAATAAGTTGTTCCCTTAGTTGGTAAATTATTGACTTATTTGGTAAACTACAGTGGCGAAACTATATAAATTTTAGCGATTACGAAAGATTTGAAAGCAGCAATTTAGACGGCGTTCCTTCAAATCCCATCATATTTGAGAAAACTCATCCCATAAATGAGAATGAAGTAGATTTTATTGACAACTTCGATGCAAGAGGATCAAATAGTTTGAACGAGAAGAAGACGAAGCTTGCAAAATCATCGAAGGTGTGACATTATCATTGAGTAAAGGCATATGGGATGTATTTAGCCATGTGTTATATGTTAGTTTACAGTTGCTTGTGTATGGGTAACTGTATTGCTGACTTAAATTATTAATCAGCCGTTCATATAGTCACTCGACTGTCATTCCAATGATATTTCTTTTGAGTGTTTGAAAACAGATACTTTGATTTTCAAGCAATTATAAATGACGATGTTTGAATTGTATAAGTGAAAGAAATTGTCATATACGTATTTTCGAAAAACGAACAATTTGTTTTTGCGAGTTTTGAGTGTCACAGTTATTCTTTGGATTACTGCTAATCCTATCTTGACGCAGATGTTTGTTTTCACTGAAAATTTACTATCTTAAAACTATATTAATGAGTTAATAACCGTTTTCTATTGTTTCAATTATATACTGCATTAAAGCTCACTCACTTTTTGTTTACTGTAGAGCCCGCAATGGAAAGAAACTTTCGAGTTTCGTGTTGAAAACGAACATAAATATCTCAACGTACTTGTGTGGTATCAATATCGAAATGAATCTGGAAAAGAAGGAAATAGCGAAGATCAGCAACCAAAGAATATACTTCTTGGATATGTAACTATCATAAAATACAATTTGAGAAGTGGTGATGGTTTCTTTGTTCACGTCAATGTTTACTAAAAAACTGCTTAAGTTACAACAAAATTGTTACGTGGCTATTGCCTCTACCAAATACTTCATCCTGCGTATAATTATATGTGTAGAGGGAGAAATTAAAATGATTTGAGAACATATATGGCCGTTAGTATAAATAAAATGCTTTTCTCTCTCGATGTTGAAGGTCACTATCCCATTGACAGACATCGCAGTGCAGTGCCTGGAGACCGGAGATCGTTATCATCAACAGGAATATGTTTTGGTTTCGACAGCGTATGACAAAGTCTTTGCAAGGTTTAAAATCTCCAGTAACAATGACTAGCTATACATCTCATTGTTTAAGGGTCTTAGTGTTTGACAGATGTTATTTCTTTCCTTGTCGACAGTCACTTTGTGAAAACTCCCTCTCTCGTTCAAAAATCGCACTACTTTAATCTCCTTCACCATTGTCTATCCTGACAGCTGATATGTATGTGCATATATGGAAGGAGAAAGAAATGCATTAATAAAGTCACAGCAGTTGCTCAAATTGTTATGGACAAGTTTCGCTTCCAACGTGCATATCTATACACTAAAGTTCGAGTAGAGTTTTGCTTCACTAATGCGCTCGTAATGATTTTTGTTTCTCTTATATCGCTAGCTCTTATTTTGTATGTGTTATTGAACGTGAAGCGTTTCTTTTAAACAGTCGATCGCATCTTGGTGGTCATCCTGGCTTGAACAGAACGGCTTGTTGCGGTGATATCACTTTGGCTTTTACGTATAAGCCATCCTTCGCTGATGAATCAGATGGAGTGCCATTTGTAGAGACCAAAGTTATCACGTCAGAATATATTGATGAGGTATAATCGTTCGTGTTTGCTTTGCATGTGTAGTCTGATTACAGTTCATAGAAAACTCTATTTCTCATATTTCAGGAGTTACCACATTTTTCTCCGAACGATGACGAAGTTGTAGAGTAAGTGGCTACGAAGATTTTGTCGTCATGATTTGGCAGTTGTCTAATCATTTGCAAATTTTCTTAATCTTTCATTAGCTTTGACGTGACAATCAAGAGGCACAGTTTTGTTGACACACAGTTCTACCATCAAACAAAATGTGATTTTTGTACTAAGAAGGTAAACACACATAATGTTTTCTTTGTTATTGAATGCACTTCACGTGTTTTGTTTATAGATAATATTTTATGTATGATGTTTCTTCCAGATCTGGACGAAATCTGCTTATCAATGTCGACAATGTGGTATGGCATGCCATAAAAAATGTTTGCAACGGGCGCTGAAGCATACAGCATGCTATAGGTAAGAATGATGCCCAATATTAAGCTATTACCCAGGGTTTTTTGTTTGGGATAATAACGTCCCTATGGTTTGCCAATACTTGCATGCACATATAGCTAGTTTCCAATACCTGCATGGTAGTACATGCTCAGGAATCCTATAGGATTCCTTAGCATATATGCGAATATAATAGATATGGTGTTGTGTTATAGATTTTATTATTGTTTGAAAGTTCAGGCCATACAAGTATCCATTTCAGAATAACGAACATGTCAACATGAGATTTTAAACGAAAGTTTGAAAGAACCCTAATGTAACTGCAATAAAACTGTCACCATTTTTGTTTGAAAATAGCTCATAAAATAACTGTTATATGAATGGACGAACTGCTTTTTCACATGCGACATGCTTCACATCAAATCCATCGTTGTCAGGATGTGCCTGCGTGTAACTTTGTATACGCGATATTGATACATGAAAAACAAATACAAGCTACGCAGTTTGATTTTTATTCCAGTCAACCTGCTGATATCACAAAGCAAGACGAGACAAGAACGGAGCTTGATGAAAATAAGGTATGACATGTCTTTCGAATGGCTTTCGAGGCCATTATTTTTGCCATTTGTATAAGCAAATGAAAAACAGCTTTTCAACTTAACTTTAAATCTCTTTGAGTTGATTGTCTTGCTGTTGCAATGTCATAGAGTGATGCGACAAACTCTGCTCCATCATTTGATCCACGTTCAACTGCGAGGAAGATAGAAATGGTATGTTTACTTTTTACCTCTTTTGTTCAATTTGTACATTTCCTTGAACTTCTGTATAAGAGCGCGTGCATTTGTTTCAATAGCGTAGCTCTCTTCAATATGGAGAGGGGGAGGGTATCTACACATGACGCATGTTTTGCCCTGTTAAGATTCTTTCAAATCAATTGTAAATCTATGAATAATAGCCCTCTCTCCCAATTTTTGAGATGGCTGCGCCACTGATTTCTTACATTAGAGTCTTTACTTGAAATGTCACGCAATGTACTTTCTCGAAACGGAGAGTCATATAATATGTACGTAACTATGATTATGAAGAAGGATACTATCCCAGCTTGCATCATGTTAAATTGAATTGTAAACATTGAACTAAAATACATGGAACGCTACCTCAAGCAAATAATTGAAGCCATATCTTACGCCAGACACGCGAGATTTACCCCAGACACGCGTGTTTAGTGTTTCGAGATTCTCTCGCGGAGTAATATTTGATTGACTATACACACCCGTGTCTGGGGTAAAATCACGGCTTCAAAAAATCATTAGGGTTTTGTATTACAGGTATCGTTCCATGTATTTTAGTTCAATGATCGTAAACAACCTAATTTACATATTTATTTTTATTAGGTAGGAAAAGAGTTATACTCAGAACTTTCTCCAAAATCAAGGAATCGAAAGTTGCAAAGTATGGTAAGGAACGAGCGCAATCATTCACAAGCTTTGAATACCATGAATGTTGTCACTTCGACCACTCGACAGTTTTTAAAAATTTCACCTCAGTACTTTTTTATATTTACAAAAAGGACGAGGTGTGATAGTCCTTTGTGAACCCGTACGACAAGCAAGCATATAATTAATGATTAACATAAAGTATCCATATATATGACTCGTACTATATGTATTGTCTGTAATGGACTTTCTTTTCAACATTTACATGTTAGCATCAATTGCATGCTTACGTTTTGAGCTATTAAAGCTTTTGTGGTTGGTTGATTCGTATAGTTATAAATATCCTTTATTTTATTTACTTTTTCCATTATCGAAAAAGAACTTGGGTTTATACATTATGTATGACAGTGTCACAAATATATTCAGCATAGTTCAATGAACTTATGATTTTATATCAAGGTGAGCAATCTGCAAGTTGAGATAGACGAAGAGAACGAAGAACGAATCCGTCTTCACGAGATGAAAAAACTTTCAAAACCAACTTCGATGACATCAAGAATTGATCAACAAATTGTGAGTGAATTTCGTGGTGAATTGCTTATTTTTACTTTAGTCAACTTGTGAGATTCTACAGATATCCGAAACGGTAGTTAGGAATACCTAACGATTCAATCCTGAACTAGAAGCGTTGATCAGTTTCGATTGTACAATTAGTCAGTTCATGAAACTTCATAAAAAAATGGTGAAATGTATCAAGGTAATCAATGTTTGGCGTGCTCTTCGTATAGATTGATATGACAATGTTTTGAGACTGGAAAAGAGTCAATGAAATAAAAGTGCAAGCTGTGTGTCGTGAAACTATGAGATGATATAATTGGACTAACAAAACAATTACTAATCTTATGAAAAAGCAACATTTCCTACTACTAGACTCACTTTTCAAAAAAAAAATTTCCGTATGTACATGTCTTTTCTCAGTTAAATCTTTCCTCAGTCTTACGTATTTTAATGGAAAGGAAACTCAAAACACTTATGCTTGTTGAGATATCACACACAAATGATAAAATTTTGGGAAAGTTTTATCTTATTAACTTATTAGAAAATTATTGCAATCATTAAACAATTTTTTTAAAGTTTGCATTTGCTATCCAGTTTAAAAGTTTAACTAGACTGATATATGACTACATATTTACACAACCGTGAAGTAAACATTTTGAATTTCTACTGTAGATGATTTAAAGTAAAAGTCACATCAAAGGTTTAGAGATTAAAAAATCGTGTTATGTACCCAGGAACCCTAAGCTGTGTAAATTAAGTTTCGTTACTTTGTAATTTTTTGTTGAATTTTAATGTCTCTCAATGGTTCATGTTTTTAGTTCGCCAGGGACGCCATTCTTTTACAATGATACATTTCGTTATCTTTTTGTAGACGAAATCCGAACAAAGGAGTGAATCTTTGAAATTTCTAATGCTTCAATACTTATCTGGTTTGGGAGATGTTGAAGCGACGTAATTGTTAATAACCAGACATGCATTAAGTAAATTACATAGCTGGACTTTTTTGATTTAGCTATAACTGACGAAGTTACTTCACTTACGTACGCATGTTTGTAGTTTGGTATTTGTTGGCATATTAATTTAATGAACATTTCAATTAATAAACGTTCGATGCAGGACATTGACGGTCGATGACTCTCTATAAATAAATGAGAAATAGCTTTTTAGTACTCATTAATTGATCATCTAATTAACAATTTCCATAAACTTCTTCACATATTTCATGGTTTGTTTTGTTTAAAGAAGCAATAGGGCTTCTTCAGTTTGCACAAGTGTAAAATTTTGAATATAACTGGCAGGCTAAATACGTCAAAATTTGAAGCCAGCATTTCAACTACACTCAAACTTGTACAAAGCGAACAGCCCTGGAGAGTGAATTAGTGTTTGCTTAATGAAAGTGTCATTTGGTGGTAGTCATTAGGCATTACCAGACCCCTCTCCGTTATCAAATAAAATAAAAATAAACAATTAAAAAATTAAGATATATTCAGAAACAGTTTGAGGAACGTGAGAACTGGTGAGCTTACGGGGAAGTACCTACCCCTCAATGCTCAACTTAGGGGCCCCCCATAGAAAAGAGCAGAATGTTGTTTACAATTGAATAATTAAGTATAATATGGTCTTTTCCAGCCCTCTAGAGGATCTTAATTTTCAAAAATTTTCTATTAATTTTGCAAACTATACATGATTATTTTTTGAATTGATGATTCATATGTAATGAAGACTGTTTGTAAAGATAACTCCTATAAACTGACGACTTTTTGAAATATCAACTCTTATGAATCGACGGCTTATTGGAATAACAACCTTGAAGATGATGAGGATATAAAATGGCTATTTAATTGCAGCCATTTACAGGATCTGAATTTTCAAAATTTACTTATGAATTTATTCTATAATGCAACAGCTCCATCACTGTGATTTTTGTTTCGACAGTAATATCCAGACCGTTGGAGTTAGGCCTGCTTTTTTGTTCAGAGTAATTTCTACATTTGAATGAACTTCTTTCTTGACACGAGCACAGCTTTCTACTCCACAAAACATTCCATATTTTTCAGTAAAGTTTGAGGAACGAGCTCGGAACAGTTGAGTAAAAACAAAAGAACAAACGTAAAAAAAGTGAAAACAAAAGAACAAACAAATACTATATGACTAAAGGTTCAAAAGTGTAGAATCTTTCGCGCTCGTGTATAAAAGCTAAAACGCCCATACAAATAGTACATGCGGTTATACATTTAAAATAGCTAATACAAGATAAACAATGTTCTTTCACAACGCTATCTCATATGAGAATTAAAATATTTACCATTATTAGACCAACAATTTTCGATCAGTGAACCCGACATCATAAAGCTATCTTTAGTTCAGTATCTCCTCCAGTAATATCTTCTGAAATGATCTTTAATCCCCAGTACATATTCCCATTTGTCTCATTCAAACAGTCCTAAGTCGTCGATAGTACTTGAAGAGATATCGTCGATAATTTTCTTCGACAGCTTGTAACGGTGAACATTGTAAGAAAAATTGAATATTTCTCTTGACTTGAAGAGCGAATCACCACTATTTACTCCTCAAGTACAGGGTGTATAAAAAAAAACTGCAAATACCATAATTTGTATGCAGAGTTTATACATTAAAATTGTAACTGTGCAACTAGTTAGGCTTCGAAGATTCAATAGCCTATCCATTTATAGTACTGCACGTGGTGACGTATTTTAAAATCCCAGATGGGAAATTATTTACACAGCCATTGTATATGATCTCGTGGATACAAATTATGCAGGGTATTTGCAGTTTTTTTATAATACATAAAAATTAACATTAGTCAAGCATTGTAAGTTAATCTCATTATCGCTTCAATTCCCACACGAAAGACTAAGTATAAAAAGTTAGCTATACCACAGCTCCGATGAGTTTTATAAAAGCGTTTATGTTACTAACAAGTTATTGAATCAATGAACCTGCTTATTGGAAGTTTACACAAAGACTTGCGAAAGCCTTTTGACATAGACAGTGATATCGTTGATGACATTTCGGTCTCCTGCGTAGCATCATCAAATTTTCTTAATTGTGACACTCCAGAGCAATCTTTATGACCTTGTTTGATGACCTCACAGTTTAAACAAGATCTCGTGATGCACCATAGGATTTGAATGAAACACTATCCTTGGATAGTTTATTTGCAGCGTTGTAAACAACAGCAGAGTCGGAGTGTGTTGTGAAAATATTCTACGTAATTACAGGTTAGTCTGATAATGTCTCTTAATAATAATAATCAAGATCACTGGTCCACTTATATGGATTAGTTAAAAATATATTTAAACACTAAAAACGGTATGTAAGTCTTTACCAAATAAATGTTTTAACATTACTTAAAATCACGTGCAACTAAAATAACCAGAGAATAAGTAGTATTTGCCTCTCGTTCAGTCCCTTATTACTAAAACGTTATTCTATCCATGCACAGAAAAAACTATAACATTTGCGCAACATTTAGCCTGCCTTTTATTTAGGAAAAATTAAAAATTAAGGCTGAGGCGTGTTCATGTGATGCAACCAGTGCTGTAGAACTAAATTTATCAGATGAGGGGCTTTCTTGACGTTCCTGTTAATAGTGCCCTTTTAATTTACTCATTTCAAATGTAGAAGAGGGCCTCCTTTCCCAAGCGCCCCTCCACTTCTAGAGCACTGGATGCAACTGAAAGTTGTCCTGCTATGGCCGAGTCAATACAAATAAAAGAAAAATGAATCTTTTTCAGCAATCATTGCTCAATATTTTCAAAACAGTATTTGAAATGCTTCTAGATTTTCATGCCGATATAATTGAAAAACGATTAAGTTCTTGTTCAGCAAAATTAAATTGTTCGTAACAAGTTGTAACGTTGTACTTCTGGAAACATCACGTGATCAGCTCGAGGAAGTTCTACTCTTTCTATGTGAATCTCATCCTGACTTTCGTTTGGTTTAATTCAATAAAATCAGTTTGCATAGAAGCTTACGTTATTCATAGGCGGCTTTTCCAAATCCTCATTTTCCTTAGAAAATTGCATTTGCTTTTTATTCGTAAGAAATGAGAAATTTTACCATTTCACACGACCAAACACTTTGAGCAGTGCATGCGTTTTCGGATGTTACAATGATTTTTCGTAATTTACTTATTTTCTCGTGATTTTTCTGAAGATGTAAAAGATATGAATTAGCTGACCCTCGAAGTGAAATTATGCCAGTTTAAAGTAATCATACACTCATAAAAAGCTACAGCAACGAGAACAGCATACCACAGGCACACGGACATAACAATAAATTGTGGCAAGGGACTTCATTAGTTACACTATAAGGTTCAACTTCACCTCCCCGCACTTTCAAACGGACATCATCATGATGCGCAAACTCATCTTACCCTAATGTCAAATGGACAACACACCATTACCTAAAAACTCACCTTGACACAATGTGAGAGGTAACTCACTTCTAATAAGTGGAATCTTATTATCACGGCCTCGCGACCTGATAACATTATATTGGAAACACTCATCTCCACATGTAAAGTCAAACGAACCTCACCAAAACTTAAACATCTCTTATCTTCTCCTTTCAGCTCTCCCTTATTCTGGGTCGCTACAGTATGTTTTTACTTTTAAATGTATTACTTCCATCACTGACAACCTCCTTGATCACTTTCATGTTACTCATAACATCCCTCATGACATCCATCCACCGCTTGCATGGTTTTCTTCTTCTTCTCTAACTTGGCACAGCCATCTTTGATGTCTGTCTCCCCACATACTCCTCTCCACATTACATGTCCAAATCATTGCAGTCTCGCCTTTTGGAATTCTTCTCCCACCTTCGTGATTTTCGCAGTGCCACGATAGTACTCATTCCTTATTTTGTCTTACAAGTCCCTTGAAATATCTATCTCACCATTCTCGTATCATAAAAATTCTAGTGATCATCAGCCTAAGTGAAAGAGAGGATTTATAACAGTGTTGGTAACCAGTAATGAAGTTATGATTAAAGTACTCTCTCCACCACCTTTTAACCTTTCCTCATTCACCAGTGACCACTCTTTTTTAACTCGTAATAACTCGCACTTGTTGCACGTCTTTTCCTCCCTTGTTTAATGTTTTGCCTACTTGAATAGCTCTGTTCCCACATCTTTGTCTCTAGCTACTGTTGCAGGTCAAACGTGAAACTCTATCACATAAAAACTCACTTCACCACATTGTTAAATAAAATCCACGAGTAATGAGTAGGATTTTACCATTACATGCAAGCAATCTCACTATAACTATACCATGTACAAATTCTTCTCTCCACAATTTCAAAAGACCCACCTTGATGCAGCTACTCATCTCACCTGTCAAAAACCACATCATTATGTGCAATAGTTATTGCTCGAATTCTTATGACGTGAACAGTTATTGTTCACATTCCTATGATATGGAACAGTTATTGTTCACATTCCTATGATGTGGAAAAGTTATTGTTCACATTCCTATGATGTGGAACAGTTATTGTTCACATTCCTATGATGTGGAACAGTTATTGTTCACATTCCTATGATGTGCAACAGTTATTGCTCACATTTCTTACGTGCAACAGTTATTGCCCGCTTTTCCATAATAATGTGCCACAGTTATTACTCACATTCTATAATGATGTGCAACAGGTATTGCTTATATTTCTTTAATGATAAAAAGAAACTACCATACAAAATTCATTAAATAGAAATAAATTGCGTATATTTTAGTCTTTAAAACAACCCTTTTGTTTTGGAACATCGACCACCTCCGAGTAAATCCAGAATGCTGTTGTACATTTTACATGAAATAACTATTTTACATTCGCAGCTATATAACTTACGACGTTGGAAATGAAAGTTCTCTGGGGAATTTTGTGGATTATATTGTTGCTGTTTATTGGTTGGCCAATAGGATTCTTCTGCGCTGGATGGTATGTTTGTCTATCACCTTTTGAGTCATGTCTCATAATTTGCAAAGACATATCGGAGTTCCTGATGAAAGGTGTAAAGCTGCCGTTGGAAATCGCCAGGCATGCGGCTGCAGGAGCTAGTTCGTGGTAGATTTACTATGACCAATGAAAACCATTTTTATGTAATTTTTACATGCTGTTTTGATATTAGTTGAACACGTGCTTCGTAGCTAAACTGCTACAGATGCTTATTATTTCCTATAAAATACTTAAATGATTATTTTGTTAACTCAATTCCGACTGCATATTTTGAAAAAAATATTCAAAGATGATGTGTATTAAATATCACCGTTAGAAACTTTCGTGATGTTTTCCTGCGTTAAAATTATTCAATACATAGCTATCATAATGTACATGTTCGTGGAAAAGTTGTAGAGATTCTGGACGAAATTCTGTTTCCTTGCACAAGTTCTTTCCTTCATGCAAAAAAGTCCCGTGTAAATGCGTAAATATAACAATTACATGGAAAAACACCAAATGTAAAGTATGAATAGCGATAAAGCGCGTTAAGGTAAGCTACTGGCAGTAGCTTAGCCTGGTAGAGGCAAAATAAATTATTTCGACGAGCTTTCGGTAAAAGCCCCCACTAACCAAGTGCGAGGTCTTCACGAAAAAATATCGAACGAGGTGTTGGACAGAACGAGCCTGTGAGGCGACTAAAATATGGAGGTCAGTCTGGTATTTCTCTGTAAAGACCGAGAAAGCAAATTGCCACAACTGCACATCTAAGTCATAAAAAACCCTGTCTGTGCTGATCACTTTATCAATGACACCAGTTCCCATTCCACGTGGTAACATAACCTAATTTACATGTTTGTAAATGTAGATCGTCCAGGTTAGTATAGTCCTGAGAAAGTTAGTATAGTCGTGAGGTTAGTATAGTCCTGGACGATCTACATTTACAAACATGTAACGATACTCCCGGGTTCAATCCATTTACTTTATAACCTAATTTGGTATGTAAGGTAATAAATTGGCAAACGACTGGTTTACGTGAACTAGAGTGCAAAGGATGGTGCGTAGCATTTTAAAAAACACTGTCTTTTGACTCGTAACTTGAATCAACCAACTTAATTTTGATTCATTTGTCAATTTTGTTGTCATTTTGATTCATGTTTATTTTTTAATAACTCTATCTCTCATTCACTGTTTAATGCATCATGACCGAAATCTATGCACTTCATGGAAAACAAAATTATCTGCTTTCCTAGTGGGCCTGTTCGTATGAGACGGGCCAGCAGGCTTAATAGTTTGCCTAGATCTCGCCTCATAAATTATTTTACAATAATATCTGAGTAGCAGCAAGCTTAAAAACATTTAAAAAAAAAACGATTTTTTTAAAAGCAAACATGTTTCGACATTAACAAAATGGCATCTCCAGTGCGAAATTATTCGTGTTATGAAATATGATACAGAATAGGAAGAAACGATATGAATAAATTATTTACATTGAATGGAATGTGATCTAAAATAAGGTTCTAAAAAAAGAAAATAGATGAATAAGTGTTTACATTAAAAATGGTGATAACTGAAATTAGCCTTATTATAAAGTAACCATTTTTAATTTAAAACTTATTTATATATATTTTTTCTTTCTTAAAACCTTATTTTAGATCACATTTCCAGTCAATGTAAATAATTTATTCATATCGTTTCTTCCTTTACTGCATCTTATTTCATAACACTAATCATTTCGTACTGAAGATGATGGCAATCATGGCATTTTATTAATGTCGAATTGTGTTTGCTTTTAAAAAAATCGTCGTTTTTACTATTTTACAATAATGGTTTGACATTGCGTTCATATGAACAGCGGGCCTGCCCGGCTTGGCGAAGGAAGCGGGATCTCGCTTCTAACGGGCCAGCCCGGCCGAGCCGGGCTGGAAGTGATGAGACTGCGCATGCTCTTGTCTTATTTGTTTACTTCAATATGGCAAAAACTTCACAACAACAATGAGCACTTGAAAAATAAGTTTGAAATTTAGTGTAATTCCACAACAATAATAGGTGGAACTCAATGGTAGCAATCAGATTGTTGTAATGTATGAGTCTAAACACATTTTAGTTTTCCATCAAAATACAACATTTCGGCCGGGCCATTCCGGCTCATATGAATGCGAATTCCAATTGACCCGGCAGACTTGCTAGCCCATGTCATGTGAACGGGCCTGTTGAAATAAATAATTAAGTCCAGTAGACTTTAAACTTTGTATCATAAGCCAAGCTTTTGAATAATATAAATTGAATTCCACTTTTAACCTTTATGTTATGAAATTTTAATACATTTTGAAGTAAGGACTTTGTTAGCTCATCAAATGCAAACTCGCGATTTAATTCACCATACAGAAAAACGTCAAAATTATCTGTTATGTCAATTTACAATCATCCTAAAACTAGCACAAACCAACTGAGCTGTGATTTCTTAATTTCTCCGTATAATTTTAATGTTTACAAGAACTAGTTTTTTCAAGGCTTTTATTTTAGTCAATGATTATGCGGTGCATTATATCTATTTATTAATTTGACCTTTGTTTCATTGAAAATGTTCAGTGTTTTTTTGGAAACAACGCATTTTATGTTAATTTAATCGAAAGGGCAACATCTACATACAGCTTGCTGGCGACGAACACGTTGTAAAAATTTCTCTATTAACGTTTACAATATTTTTAAAAGCTAGTAGAGTTTCAATAACAACAGTAATGGAATTTGAGAAGCTTACAACTTCACATCAACATGTAATGTTATGAAGCTGCTAGAAGTTAGGGTTTATAACTGACATAAACAAGTTAATGCCGATGAGCTTGCAAAACCTAGACGTAAATTGAGTTCATATAACGGCAAAAATCATCCAAAGATCAAGTTGATAATGTCACCATTCGTTTACTATGCGTTTGGACAGCGTTGCAAATGGACTTACATCCCTTATCTAAATTAAAACTCAATACTTCAAGAGTGGGAGGAGGGACATACGCAATTTTAAAAAAAGACGTGATGTACACGTCAAGGCAATAACATAGCTATTTATTACATAAATATCTATATAGAACGGTGGAATTAGAGGATTGAAGTCTGAAAGCATACGATGCACGAAAGACGCAAATTTTGCATGAAAATGACGCAAAAGATGCACGAATAACGCAAATACTAAAAATGCTTGCAGTAACTTTGCACTAAAATTAATGAAAGTCGATCAACAAGTCACACATCGCGTAAAGTGTATATTTAAGCACTTCTACAGCTTTTTAGAAGTTCATTTTACATTCTCTATGCAAGCTCAGTCGCAATTTAATCCACACACATAAATATACATCACACATAAGATCAATAACTTAGCAGAATAAAACGATAATGGTGTAAAAATTGGCAAGTCACACGCTTTTACATAAAAAAGATGAAAATTCATTTCCTTTTAAGAGATAGATATATTCTGCATCATAATGGTAAATCTGAAAAACGTAAAAATGGCATTAAGCATTGTGTTTAAAGAACATTTCTAAAATAACAGACCACCGAAGTAACTACAATTTTATACAATGACTTTAAAAAGTTTACACAGTAGTGACATGTGGCAGGAATTGTGACGAAAGAAATAAAATATAGCTATAGTCTGGCAGTAGCTAGAATTGAACAATGCAAGGAATGCGGTTCGTAGCCTCACTATAATAAGTCATCCAGTGAAAGTGTCAAATTTGCTTTTCCAAATTTTTTTTGATTTAATTGGTAGATGCTTCATTTTAGTTTGAAGGTAATGTCAAATTGTGTACAATCTACAGACAACAATATGTTGAATGCACGCGTAAATTGGCTAGAGAACGAGTCAGACGGGAAACATACCTTTTGTAAAATTTTAAAAACTTGTCCATGGCTGTTTAAAAAGAGAAATCGTAATAAAATTCATTTGCTTGAAGTGAACATTTAAAATTTTCTCAGGCACCAAAAGATTTTGTATGTTTAATGCCCCTCACTCCCTTCTTTTAACACCGATTTAAAGAAAAAAGTTAAAATTAAATGGTGAATGCAAAGGAATTGATATTTATGGTCAATTAACGACAAGTTACATTACCTGATAATACACAGCGGGAACGTATACAACATTTTGATACTAAAATGATAAATAAATTAAAATGTGAAACAGACTCCTCAAAACAATTAGTGAAAAGGGTAATTTGCACGTTATGTATTAACGTTTGTGCTAGAGAGGTCGCAATTTTTTTGGGGAAGTCTTGTGGACGACTACAACTGATTGTTACCAAAGCAATCTTGTAAAATAAACATGGATAAAGTTGTTGCAATGCAATTGGCATAATAATTGAATTTAATAAAGATGAATCTGAATGGCAGCAGAAAAAGCTGAAATGCAAAGTACTATAGTTTGGCGCAATTAAAATAACGTGACTATGGTTACAAAGAGTAGAGTATGCCGAGTTCCTACATTTATTTTAGTTTTAGAACATTTGAGTTTCTTTTAAGGTGCAAAGCATGGGCATTTCACTCGGTGAGTCATGAAGACCCAGGTTGTCCTGTTTCTGAAAACAGAATGGAAGTAACAGGTGAGAGGCCGTTTTTGAAACAGGGCAAACAAGACAAAAATAATGGCAATTAGCTAAGGACAACAACAAATCGGAAGTAATTTCTCGATTCGAACGAATTTCATGACCATTTCTTGCAAAAAATAAGAGAACCTGTTTCTTTCCGACATCTTTTATTTTTGGTGATGTAAAGGTGTTACTGCCGAAAGATGTATATAATAGAAAAATTAAGCCATGAGTTTTCCAAATCCTTGTCTTCACAGCATACTTGTATCGTTGGGGCGCTAAATTCTCATATGATGGCAGGTTTTACACGTCTAATTAAACTAAATATGGTATTTGAAGCCAGCAGAAATATGGCTTCAACTCCCCCCTCCCCCAATCCAAACAGCCTGGGTTTGAGTGCCACTGCTGTCAGAATCCCTAAATTTGATGAAAAATACAGTAAAAAGAAATTTTTAAAACTTACAGCCAATGCGTAATGATAATTTTGATATTCAGCAGCTGTAGGCGGCCATAAGTATGTATAGTACATGTTGTCTGCATGGTTTACTGAAATAAGGAATACAGCAGCAAATTAATAATGCTTGAATAATCAGGCTAAAATTGAAAATAGGCATAGTCACCCCTTCCTTCTCACAAACAAAACACACACGTAAATATAGCTAATACAATTTACCTTTAGGCTGAGAGTTTAGAAATTTCAATTTGAAATTTTCTTTCTTTTCATCCTCGAATTGACCTTGGCCCTTACAAGTTTAATGAAAACAAGTTAACAAAGCAAGACGTATTTTAAATTATCTCAAAAATTTGTATTACAGTTTCAAGGTAAATTATAATTGCATGCAGGCACAAACTGCAACAATGCAGGATGGACATGCATGTTTTTTTTTTTATTTCAAAACAAACGTTTAATTTGCAAATTCTCGTCGATTGATTGACTGAATCTATTTGGCCCATAACAGTTTGCTAATGTAAAAACAGCTATAGACCAATCACCGTACACATTTTGTTGTTTTTATTTTATAATTATTTATGTTGCTCATTCGCGTTAAGTCTGGGTATTTTATATTGAAGAAGCTTTTCTACTATCTAACTTTCTCAACGGCAATTACCACAACGCAAACAATAACATTTCATAAATATCATAAATTTTTTCACAACAGCAATTGAAACAAATGCGACGATCAGGTCCGCAGAAAGATTATTAACGGGGGGTGGGGGCTCGTAATCATATACGCGTGGTATGCTGTAATAAGTTCCATTGAAATCATTATTTTTGACCGATTATAACATGCACATATAAATATGTCCCCCCACCGATTTATCGATTTTCGTACTTCCATGGCATGTCCATGGCGACTATACATGAGTTCCATTGAGCTCAATATAGCAAATAGTATGCCTAATCAGTCCGCTTCCGTTCAACCATGGATTTTACGGTAAATACACAAAAATAGAACAGTCACATCATACTTAAAAGTATTGCTCAGTTGGGCAATTGTTTTGTTTTCACCATGAAATTCAGACCTCGACTGACAATGCCAAAAAACGATTCATACAAGATTGCATTCATTGTAATCATCTATTTTCTTGAAATCATTCTCATTATTAGCCATAACTAGTCGCATGCAACTAGCAATGCAACCCGAAATGGGTCATTCTCCCGTCACGTTTTTGACATTACATCTTAACTCTGTTGTTTTTGGTTTAAAACAATCATTAAGATCTTACATAGGATATATATTGTGTCCTGAGGTAACATCGTAAAAAGATATGCTGTTAGAGCTTTGCCTAAGGCAAAGTGAGTGGTGGGTGACCTACAAAAACTGACGTTTTCTGAGGCCTTTATGGCACACACAAGGCAGTAAACATTCTGATATAACAAAGTAATGACAATACATAAAATACTACATCAAATAATCTCGATTTTAACTGAAATTGACATATTATAACACATCATAATGGTCTTTTAAATAAAACATTTCCATGGAAACTCAATTTCAAAGAATTGCGCAAATCTTCAGCATCGATAATTGGAGGGGCAGTATTTCAATATTCATGATATAATCCGCAGAAAACAATCGATTTCGAAAGAACTTAATACGAAAAAAACATGAATATATAAAAATTGCCCCCTCCCTCCCAATTATCTATCTGGCTACGCCACTGCTAATCTTGATTTTGATTTATAATCACGAGAGCTATATCAGGTGAATGAGGATGTGCTAGATCAAAAGAAAGGTTCTTGGGAAAACAACAAGGCATATATATGTTTAAGACAACAGCATGCACACATTGAGAGAAAGATTGAGGTGGGGAAGAACGCCTTTTGTACCTTTCTTCTAACGGCAGTTCGAACTCGCAGTGTTTTCCCCTCATACTCAATGGAGCCCTGCAAACAAAAAATACAGCAAACGATGGAGCATCATCAAAAAGTCTGAGATGTTAGCAGAAATTTTTGGGCAAAATAACTTTACGAGTGGGTGAACACCACAGTCCGGTTTTGCGAGAAACAAATTCTCTATGCCATTGGCTGGAAGTTCGTGTTGCTTACTGCCACCTAGCAGCAAAACACACTGCCACATAGCAGCAAAAAGAGAATCAGGTAAGTAGCCAGAACGATGGGGTGGCCCATATTCATATATGCATGACATGCCGTATTAATTTCTTTTGAAATCCATCGTTCTTCTACGGATGGTAAAATGAATATATGGAAATATGCCCCCAACAAATTATCGTTCTGGCTACGTGCTTGAATTAGCTTTCTTTGGGCCGTGTTGATGGAAAGATTGGGACTAGTTAAAGAATGCTTGTCAACCAAGATGCATTGCGCGTTAATCTCGAGAAAATGGCGGATTCTGTTATTGTACGTAGTCCTCTGGTCCACGCAAGCAACTTAGTTTAGACAAACGAAAATAATGCAAAATAGAGTTTTCAATGAATGCTTTTTCTTGCTAACATTTCGTATAAATTAGACTACGTAGTGACGAAATTGAATTCACTGTGCGGCAAGCTCAAAAAGTAACGATATAAACACAAACAAAAGCACGCAATGCATCTTGGTTGATACATATTCTTTAAATTGCTGGCTTCATATTTTGGCGGGAGGTAGCCTTCAGTTATACTCAGTTTAATAGAAAAAAAAACAATTAGTGATAACCTATGTGCAACAAACCGTGTATTGAGAGATTTTCAATGCAATAATATTTAATAATAGAGCAAAAATATTTAACAATAGTGAAAAAATCTTTGACAAGCATGCAAAAATCTGTAATCAACAGTGCAAAAAATCTGGAACGACCGTGAAAAAATCTATAACGACCGAGCATTAAGAACAAGGCAAAAACCTTTTACAACAGTTCAAAACTCTATAAAATGCAAAAATGCGTGGCAGCAGTACAAAAATTTGAAACGAAAGTTCCAAATTCTGTAAATAACAATGCCAAAATCTCCAACAAAATGCCTCGTTCATTACCTGCTATGCTGTTATGATTGATGGTATAGGTGGCTATATTTCTCTAGCATTTCAACGGCTTAATATACACGATTAGTCTTAAGAAAAATACCTGTTTGATTAGTTCTTGACAAACGTCGACGTTTTCAAAGGTAACAAATCCATAACTAAAACAAAACAAAGCATTCATAGGTTCCATGAACTTGTTAAAACGTGATTGGAATGTTTTGAGGGAAAAAACAAGCTTTTGGTTACACAAGCACACGCTATGTTCTTTAAAACGTATAATGGATGAAAACAATTAAAACTGACCACACTGTTTATTTAATTATTTATTATAAACTTCACAACAGTAGCTAAAACGTTATTAGAGAGCTTTAGCAAGAGTACGACTACGAGTACGAAGTTTGACCGTGTAAGGGAATGGCACGAGGAAGTTTTTTGTCTTTGTCGCTTCGTCAAAACAGTGTTGCCAGATTGTGAACAAAGCTCACAGATTTGTGAACTTTTTGCCCTCTGCATGAACATTTCATGAACATTAAAAGTTTGTGAACTTTTTGTGAACTTTTCTAAATTTTATGCATTTTTCTATTTTCATCATTTTCACAAAGAATGTATAGACAAATCATAGTTCATTGAAAAGAAGATCTTCATCGCTCGACAGTTCCTTCAAAACAACGACGATTTTAAGATAATCCGATGTTTTCCGAATACTTCCGACAGTTTTCGAAAATTCCCGAGGTTTCCGTAAATTTCCGAAATAATCCGTTAGCTTCAAACCCTAAAAATTAGATGTAATATGAACTTTTTGCCATTTTTGTGAACATTTGACGCAAGCGAGCATGAATATTTTAAAATTTCATCTGGCAACACTGCGTCAAAATTTAGTTTTAGCTATAAACAACAGAACGAGCATTTTTATGGTGAAAAACACCGACGTTTGCGAAGCAGCTACGGATCCATTTGTCAATAATGATACAACTAATCGGTAATACTGATTTTGTGAGAACATAGGACTCTTTAGAATGAAAAATATTCACTATTCTAAATTTTATGTACGATATATTTATGCTATTTTATTGTTTGTAAACTGTTCACTTTGCGTACGAAATACGTGAAAGTTTTCAAGGTCATATTTTCCTTTTAAATGTACAAATGCGCTCAAAAAAGGTTTTAAAGTAAAGTCTAGATGCTCGAAAATAGTACTGTAAACTAATTTCTTACAAAATGAAAAAATATACCTACTTTCTCTGCTTAACAAATTATCGTAGTCGCGACTACTAATTATTTACAAAACATCTTAGATTGATGACGGCTACGTGTTGCTGTTGTCGCAACAATGTTTTCGCGCCAAAATGACGTAAATTCGTACTCGTAGTCTTTGCCAAAGCTCTCTATTTTGTGCAGCTAAACGTAAACGATTTGTCAATGTTCAGGAAACATGAGAAAACATCTGTATCATTCTTTGAATTTTTTGTAGCCTGCTACTTTTTTGTGACTTTCGTCTTTTCTTCTCGATTTTTAAGCTCTTTGATTTTGAAAAGTTGTTCATAGCTGCCAGAGATACATTGTGCGAAAGTGAATGGTAGGATAATTCGAAAATTTTAGTTGAACGACAAGGAATTTAACCGTTCGAATTGTAAAAGCTATTTATTTTATGGATATAATACAGCAAAACAACTTTCGAGCATCACTTTGCGTGGTCCACACAGAGTGAATGGGCAAGTAGGCTTGTGGCTTAAATAAAAATACAAGAAAAACAGAAATATCGCATGCTTGGTTGACTGTGTTTGTTATAAATCTTTTTTCTTTGCTCGTGTGTCATTCATCAAGTCCTTTCTTTAAGTAAGATCAAAGATGCCGGTAATTGTCTGATGTTTTTAATCGTAAACAAAACCAAACCACACCGAAATAATCATGAGAAGGGATACATCAGTAACTGAAGGTCTTATAGGCCGTTTAAGGCAATACTAGTTCGCCTTGTATACAAGGTTTTCCCAAAGAACTTGGAATTATCCTGTAAATAATCACTCGAGTAACCAAACAAACCATAGGCAGTTTGCACAAAATAAGCCGAAAAGATATCATCTATAATTCACACTAATTTAACTTCAACTACAGCGTTTTCTGTTGGTAGAGCTCTCTGAGCACATCGCACGCCGAGGTATAATTAACTTCGATAGCAAAAAAAGCCAGAAATAATCACCCTTTAGACAATCCAGTTTTTCTATCGCAAACAATCCGTACATCATTTACTGGACCAATCTCTGAGAAAAATTTTTCTAACTGCAGCTCCGTAAACTTAAAAAAAAGAAAGAGCAAATTACTGGGCAAATGAAGTTGTTGAGGAGAAGGTAAGAAAATTTTAATTTCACGTTACCTTACGATCTAGGCCCCCGAGAAAAACTCGGTTTGGAAATATTTCCTCCTGCATAAAAACAAATGAATAAAGCAATCACTTTGCCGGTATACATACATATATAAAAATAAACATACAGATGTCCAAGCAGATAAGGGGAAATTAGTAAACACACACTATAATATCAAAAGGTTCTATCTGGCAAGCACACTTGCCATGTACACGCTTTTACACATATTAAAAGCGCTAAAAACACACTTGCCTCAGGTTGAAGGCCTTCGAAGGCTGGTTCCATCATCATTTTATTTGAAAATTAAGTTAAAAACCCCCCAAAAATTCGGTCTGCTCAACCTGGTAATAGAGAACGAAAGAGATGATAGTATGCTCAGTTGGATTTCACAGAATGGACACAATGGGTGTTGTCATTGGATCTGACCAATAGGAGCAAAGAACAATTCCCTCGCGCTCATTTCGGATATTCAAATTTTACTTGCAACCCAAAGCAATCGTCATAAAACTGATTTTACTTACAGAACAAAATTTCACCTTACCTTAATAGGATACTATAATTCATAGGACAATTGTTAAGCATGACTGAAGTGCGTCGATTTAAGTAACTATTACACGGTGAATAATTCAGTTCACGATCAAGAAATCCTTTGATATGGATGGACAATTCATACTTCCAAAAGACAATTTGGGTTCTTTGGTTTAAAGGTATAGGACATCTCAACGACTGCACTAGTAGAAGCCAAAGCAAGCAAAAATCCTCCCAAGAATGTAATGGTTCAACGCCGACTAAACGTCCATCACAAACTGCGTAAACAAGACGATTACATGCTCAGGGGAATTGAATTAAAAATGGTTTTGCGTTTCGCCGGCGTCTTAAGTAGCAATTTATTTTAGGTATTGCCACTGACTTCAATTCGAAAAACAAGATCGGCGTGTGGTAAACGAAGACTGAACTGAACGACCTGATGTCAACAATGTTATTAGTAATGAAAAGTGGCTAAATAGCAAATAAATGGCTTTCAATGGTTTCTTTGCTTTGAACAAAGAAATAGTACCTATCTTCTTGGCGTTTTCACAATGTGACTCTTACGGCCTCGAAAAAGCGACATTTTAGCCAACTTCAGTATGCTCAAATCAAGTTTCTCATGTTTACAGCAAACTTCTCCGTTTGTAAAAGCATCAAACGCCAAGCAAAAAACTGCCAATAGTCCGCATTTTACTAGCCAGTCCAAGGCACTATCGCCATAGTTCGTGTTTCGGGGTAGTAAATATCTTCAAACTCACCTCACCAGATATTTGCTATGTAATGATTGCTTGCGCAACTGGAAGTCAAACTCAAGGATTGAGCAAAGAATGGGCACAATTTCAATGAATTTAGCATGAACTGTGAAACTAGTATTCTTGAAGCAACGTATGCACACGACGCTTAGCCAGCTAAAATATATTTTTTGTATAAATATATACTTCTTCTTGAACATATAAATACACTACACGTACAACAACAGTAAAATTCTACTGTTACGTACACCTACATCTGTAAAATTCTTGCCAACGTCTGCTTTTCGTGCGAATTCAGTCCATTATTGAATGAAGTAAACGTAGGATGTCTGGAGAATGCAACTAAATACTCCACTAGATAGTTCTAAAATAAAAAATGTATTGACTCGCCACAATATGCACAACATTTTAGTGAACTAATTTTCATGAACTAATATTACACTATAACATGTGACTCTGATCCTACATAAAGTCAGGCAAGGTGTGAGAGCTCTCATCTCGTACAGATGCCATGTGCTAGCTACTAATCATTGTCTTCAATTATAGTGCAATCCTGTTTTCTGTAAGCACATCGCTATACACATAGAATAAGGTAGACTGGCTTGAAATGAACTCCCTCTACGTGAATATTGAATGAGTCCCATTAATAATTTCTTTTAGACATTTTATGTCGATTGTTCGTACACGCAGGCCATATACAAAAGTTGAACGGACCGAGTACGCTGAACACAATATAAGATAGTTTTAAACAAATTTAATTCGTGTGTTTATTCGTATATTCAATAATCTCCGACTGATTTCTTTTCAAAGTAATTCACTTACAAAAGAAATTAGTCGGGCACAACTGAATACATGAATAAACACCCTTCCCCGTCAATTAACGGTCTGGAGACGGCTCTGGCTCTCGTTCCCACTTAAAATCAATAGTTTCAAGTTTAACGCTCAAACAAAACACTTTAAACTAAAGAAACTTGAAAGATCCACCCGGTTAGCTAAACAGAGCTTGGTATATCTTATCGCAACAGAATTCAATCTACCAAACCTGAATATCCATACTGTATATCGGATCTTCTAAAACATCAGGATCATCTTCAACCTCTTCGACAGGAAAATCAAACATAAAATCAAATCCTGAAGAAAAAAAACACGTTTACAATTCACATATACTTAACGCAAGCGTTCTATGGGACAGTATCGGAGCAACCTGGAAAATCGGAAGCAGGAGCAAAAGAAGAGCCAACTATATTTTTCAGATCTCCACATTCACTGATCTCATCCTCGTCATCCCAATCCTCCTTCCAAAAAATAATAAAAATATTATGTTCACAAAGAGCCTCTCGATGGGCGAGTTTCCAATCCGACAAAGGTATGATTAATTAATTTAATTTCGTACATTTAGGGGCTGTTCACATGAGCCCGGTAAACGGGATTCAGCGAGGCGTTAAATCATTTTGGCAAATTGCAAAGATTAAATATTTCACAACAAAAAACTTATTTGAGCAATTTTTCTATGTTCTAACTTTACAAATTCACAAAACCTTTAAATGAAATCAAATAATTTAGCCTGATTTGAAAATTACAACTAAAATGATTTATGACGCTTAAAAAAGGTTGTAAGTTTTGCGTTGAAGTTTTTGCTCCTTTCAATGACTGAAAATCATTTCACGCCTCGCTGAATCCCGGTTACCGGTCTCCTGTGAACAGCTCCTAAAGCGTAGGGAACATAAGAATGATAAAGTTCACTTTGATCCCTTGTGTTATTATTTTTGTTGTGTGAACGAAACATTTTTTCGACATGACAGCATCCGCGACAGCATCACAATCACATGAACATAACGACAAAAGGAAAAAAGCGGATTATTTCCATACGTCGTTATGTTTATATCATTGGGTAATAGGTGTAATGTTACCGTCATTATGTCATTAGTGTGAACCAACTTTATTTGCTAATTTTGCTTAAGCGAATTGTTTTCAGAAGAACTCGGTTGGGCACAACTGAACATATATTTATAACCTCCCTCTAATTAACGTTATAAGTGCGGCTTAGGCCCCGTTTACACTATGCCGGATTGCTTTCGTTACAGGTTGAACATTCTTATAGACTAAATCTATCAGCTTAATAAGCTTTTACTCCGAACAGTTACGCCTTTATATCAAATGAAGATGTCGTGATCAGCGAATCCGGTATAGTGTAAACGCAGCCTTAGCATTTACCAAAGAGCGAAACAATTATTTAGGTGTGAACAATAACAATTGTCAGCGACGTATATAATAATCAGGCTAAAAACATTGATCACGTCATCTGTCAATGTCACCTACATCATCCGTGATTTCCTCGATTTCATCCGTGCTTTGATTCATATTTGATAGCTCGTCGATTAGGAGTTTGAAAAACTTCACAGGAGCTTGAATATGTGTCCAATGCTCCGGTTCTGAACGAAAAATTGCCATGCAAGTCACACAACAAACAACGTTCAAAAGCGACAAATGAAAGAGAAAAAAATAATTAAGTCTCAAATGAGAGACTTAGCTTGTCTTAAATTTTCAAATTAAATTAATGCATGCAAAACTGTAATATTTGACAATCTAGACCACAAACGCTAACACGCCCAAACTGAGAACACTTACGTTTTGCAGCCTTTGATCTTGTTCGAATTTCTTTAGAAGCGAAAAGAAAAACAAAACTTTGCTAAGGAAGTAAGTTACGTAACAAATTCGGGGCAGGCACTTGATGAAATAGTGGCTGGGAGAGGGGAGGGGAGATAAGTCAAAAGATGATTTGAAATTTTGAACGAAGGGACTCAATGAATAATTTATTTAACTAATTCACATTTAATAAATACGACAAGTTTTTTTTTAAATAAACATGTTTCGACATCTCACGATGCCATCTTTAGTATAATAGAGAATATTATGCGTATGATAAATTTATATAACATATGATAGAGTGATATAATTTATACAATTATGAGCAGATTATATATATATATATATAATATATACATACTGTACATATTGCTATTATATAAATTTATTATATTCAAAATATTCTTTATTATACAGAAGATGGCATCATAAGATGTTGAAACATGTTTATTTAAAAAAAAACTTGTCTTCTTTATTAAATGCGCATTTTCAATAGTACTTTTACGCAGTTATTTAAATAACTCAAGTTGATCTGGTTGGAGCAACCTCCCTCTTCACCACGTTCGTTTATGCCCGATTCAGACGCAGCACAAAACTTTAAAGCGCACACATAACTGACGACGAGGATCAATATATACCTCTCAAAACCAAACACAAGGAAGTTCTTTTATCACAATTGGATTTTATCAGACGCCGTTAGATTTCGCACTTTTCCGAATAAAAAATCTCATTTACATTCGCAAGTGTTGTTTATGTTATTGAGTATTTACAAAAATTTCAGACCGGAAATCAGTCGTGGGCATTTCTGCGCACGAGCAGTACCATAAAAGTCATAAATTTCGCAAGGTCATACATTTCGCGTGACATATTTCTCCCAACGACGTTAAAATGCAGAAGGAAACATTCAACGTCCAAAGGAAACCAAGATTCTCAAATCCAGTTTTGCAAGAACGTGCAGCAGAACAGATCGATGTTAATCGTTGCAAAACATAATTAAAATACAGTCACCTGTTTCAAGTTCAACATGTCTATCGCCTTTCACGATTATATCACTAAGCCTCCTGTCGCCGCTATTCACAAAATGCTCCAGCATTTTACATAATGCTAAAATCCTATTAATGATAAAAACATCGAAAAGTAAAAAAAAGACTTTTTAAGAAATACAATTAATTGAAATTGTAGATAGTTTGGCTTTCATCACACATACCTAACCTTAGAGTCAAAAGCACCGTGAAATTCCTGCTGTCTGTTACACCAAATATTTATAATAAAATCAAGAGCAGACTTTCCTGACGGATCGGGCACGTTTGATAAAAAGTTTAGGGTATCTTCAAGACGATGATACATCAGGCTTATGAACACCATCATTAATGACTGATTGAAAAGAAAAACGAGACCTGTATTCAACGAGTGCAAAGCTTTCTGGGATTGCGCCATGGGAAAGAGATAACTGACAACATAGACGGTTTGGTTCAATCGGGAAAGTTTAAAGTTTGAAAAAAATTGTGGCATTTATTATTAAATACTAATGACGAATGAGATACCTGAATAACTGTCAATGTCTGTGTGTTTTGCAATTTACTAAGACTCTCCCGCAAGATAGTATCCAACTTTTCTCCCAAATTATTTCCCACCTAAACAGTGAAAAACGTAAATCAATAACAATAGACTATACGGGATACTACAATCTTCAGTGTATTTTGAGCATTGAAGAAACTTGTAATATACCTTTTTTACAAGAATAATTATCAGTTTTCCGACAAAAACTGAAGCATATTCTGAAATACCGGGATGCAGTATATGTGAAATTACACGTATAACATATGTCAAGCCGTTATTTGATGAGCTGTCCTGCCTACAGCAAGGAAACAATTGACGGTCAATGTATGTTGATTTAACTGACTATAGACATCACAACAGGTCAAACGTCTGCTCATATCAGAGTTACATTGCGCCAAAACCCTCATCTTAGATGACCCTTCCCTTAAAGTTCTTAGACTTTCTGTAAATGAGGCTTGAAAAGGTCAGTGAATAAGAGGCCGCGGGCCGTATTAAAAACATGGCAGACTGAAAATTTTTTCAACCACCATGTCAAAAATGCAATGGCAGTTAAATTCTGTTGTGAATAATGTACTAGATTTTGGGGGGTTCGCATGCGTCATTAAATGTTCAGTTGGGTGGAAAATGCGTGTGTGCACCTTCAAATTCAACAACCAATAAAGTTAACACGTGATAAAAAGGAGATTATAGTGCGTTTTCACCTGACGTTGGAGCCGCGATTTTAGGGTACCAATTGAGAAAAATTTTAAAGCAGTTATTTTGCTTGGTACACCAATATGACCGCTTTCTCTATTGTTTAGCAGATTCCTGGGAACGAGTGAAAACGCTCTATGAACTTACAGTTTTTATTTAATTGCAGAAGGCAACAACTCCAAAACGGAGGGAAAACTTTACAAGTTACATTGAATAACTAGATATTCAAATGCAACCTACCAGTTTAGGAGTTGTTCGGAACCTTTTGAAACAAAGGCGCGAACGCATTCACCGCCACTCTAAACAAAGAAAAAAACCATACGAGACGAATTACGATAAAGTTGGTGGATAGCTGAGAAAATAAGATTAAAAACTTGATAAAGTGTAACATGAAGTAATGACAATAAAAATTGCGCGAGTTGGAGGCAAACCGCAGCAAACTATCACGCATCATCATTTCCATTTTAAAGAAACGAAAGGGTTCCATTAAGGCTAAATGAAGGAAACATCTTGCCTTAAAAATATACACGTTTCAACATACCTGTAAAATAGCATTGTCGTCTGAACGTAAAATAAATGACACCAAAACTGGAAAGACATTATTGACAAGAGCGTTTGACAAACCACTAGCACTACCTCGAATTATGTGACATAAAATATCCATGGCGACCTATTTAATAAAAATTTACATAATAAGAAACTTATTTAGCGAATTTTGGGTGAACAAGAATAATTTTCGGTAAATGAGGAAATAGGCTCTAGAGTAAGTTGGATGAACGATTCTATTGAGATTATTAGGAGGAGGGGTTGAAATTGAGACTGTTGAGTTGATTGGGTGAATGATGAAGAATAAGACTATTGATATGATTGGGTTGATAAGAATGAGACTACTGAGATGATAGGGTGAATGAAGAATGAAACTACTGAGATGATTGGGTTGATGATGAAGAATAAGACAACGGAGATGATTGGGTTGATAAAGAATGAGACTACGGAGATGATTGGGTGGATGATAAAGAATAAGACTACTGAGTTGATTGGGTGCATGAAGAACGAGATCACTGAGCTGATTGGATGAATGAGGAATGAAGTCACAGGTGCAGTCGAAACGATTACATGGAAGCCTTCATAAAAAAAACGTACTGCTCTATATCCCAAAGGAACTTTTTCATGCGGCCCATCAAGTAAATTAACCAACGTAGGAAGGAATCTTTCTTGGAGTAGCTGAAAAAAGAAAATAACTGAAGAAAGACAGACAAAAACTTATCCACGAGCATTGATAGACATAAATCTTAACACGCCATAACTTTTCTTCGTGTAATGTCGCGATAAGATCTTCCTACTGTATGCACAGGTTTCGTGAAGTTTCATTTTACCGGTAAACATGCTTCGTTGTAAGCCAACTCCTTAAAAAGACCTTCAATGATAGGATTCAGTTGGGGATCTACACAACAAAACAAAAGCGTGCATGAAAACAACAAAATGAAATGAATTTCATTTTCAAATAAAAAATTACCAAGTCACATCTTAAGCAAACACTGCCATTGACTAATCAAGGAGCGAGCCCTTATTTATGTATGATAAATGTTGATGTTGTTGTTAGTCCAGCTAAAGCTTCACAAAAAGTTAGTGGCGGAGCCCAGTATCCAGCTGGCCTAGCTCCATAACTGGGGGCAATATTGATATGTCAAAAATACGAATCTATTTTCTATCTTAGGCTAATGCAATCAAGGTCATCGTCACACGATAAAAGAAATCATATAAATTGAAATATGAATATTACCATGCTATAAGAGTTCCTCGTGTGATAAAAACATAGACATAAAGATCTATAACTGAGAAGATCCTATGGATTAAAAACATACCATTTCCATGTTTTAGGAACATAGCTACAACAAGAGGCGAAATCTTTTCTTCCCAAGCAGCTGTTATTTCTTTGTTCATCTGTATGAAAGCAAACCTTTGTATATCAAGTCGACAAATCAACTATCAAGGGATGAATATTTATTGTTTTTTGTTTGACATAAACGTTAACATGCGACGCTCTTATTTCATACAAAAAACAACATTTGTTACAAATTGCTGACATTGTACAGGCTATTAAACTTGATACTGAAAATTAATTGCTGATTTGTTATATAAACATTTGTTGTTTTCATATTGTATAACAATACGTTTTTAGCCTTAAGCCAAAGTTCAGAATTTTGCCCATTCAAGCTAGGGGTGATTTCAGAGTTAAATATCGGCACATAACCAATATTGAAAACAACACTATCTCGCTCAATTCTTGCTGCGAACGCTATTCAAGATAGAATATTAAAGGTGTCCAGGAGTAAGATCCTTTATTATTTTATAATTTACCCAACCGACACTCAAACGTTACAAAATTTACGATAAAGACAATGGCTTCTGAAATTTTTGTGATCTTGGCAAAATGACTAATTAATTTTATAATAATTTTATAACTATTTACTTAGCCTGCATTGAAAAAATTACATTCACTCCCGGAAAGTTTACACTGAGTATGACTCGTTTCCATGGAAACTTTGCACCAATAAAAAGACGGCAAGATAATCTTACACAATACTTTATACTTACACCAAGTATGATCCACAAAGTTTCGAGAACTAACGAAAGAACATCCTCTCTGAATTGGGTGGACATATTAATTAAACTGTTGATTGCGTCGGGTAAATAAGAATTGAACAATGCTGCGTTGCCACTCGACTTCAATCGATCGCAGAACCTACAGAATAAATTAAGTTATCCCTGCATGTGTCTTTGCTTTTACAGGACAACGGGTTATCTGAGACATGAAAAGCAGCCTTTCGAATGATTCCCAAGTCGCCTTGAAAATAAGACGTTCATTTGCTTGAAAAATTCTGGAGCATACATGGATTTTAACTGTCGCTATAGTCGATCATAAAAGTCAACTGTCACTTGCTTTATATTTAGTTGCGTGAGTAAGTTTTGGTAGCTTATCCATCATTCCCTTTTTTCTGTCTCTAAACTTTAGGAATCCAAGAAAGATGTCGAAATTTCATAATAGCTACACAACAACTGAATGCAAACCATTCAATTGTTATAAAGCCATATGTTTTGTGTTTGTGGTTTGTGGCTGAATCATCAAAATTTCATCTTCTTTCTGCATTGAATTCTATTTGTTAATATTTGTGCCTGCCGTTGTTTCTCTTATTTTGAAACTATTAGCTATAATATACTTCTTTGTCGCACTATTTGAATCGCAAATCAAGAAACCCCAAACACTGTCGTGAGTCGAGACATGTGTCGGTTTATCAAAAGAAAAGCCAAAGACGACACTCACTCCCTTTTTTGGACATTTACCCATATGTAGCTCGAGCAGCTCCAATACGAATAGCAGGAACTTGAGTTTCACGAAGACCGTTCACCGCCCCTTCCAAGAATCTAAAAGAACAAATATCAAAACCCGCTGACCAAGAAGATCGCAAGTAGTATCAAGTCATGGTATGCCAAACTTGGTTTGAGTTTGTTTTCGCTTTCCTTTAATCAAACTGGCTTTATGGAAATTTCAAGCTTTATTAGAGTGGCTGCCTGCCATAGAAAGCGCTAAATTTGACTCAAACTATGTACAAAAAGTCACCCCAAGGCATCAGTCGAAAGATTTCGGATTTTCTTTAGGAAACACGACTGAAAATAACAGAAATTTTCAAACTTTTCATACTACTGTACCTTGCCAACAACTCAGGTGTCATCTCGCAAGTGAAACGACTACTGAACCATAACGCACGACCAATAAGAAACGGCGATGCTGCAAAATAAGCAAACACAGTTGACAAGGAACAAAGAACAATCAGCTTCAATATTATTTTCATTTATAAAATGATGACATTAATGTCATACATAATACTGTGTTCGTAAATGGTTCTGTGTATGATTAAATAGTTCTAAATTTTAAATAGTCAACTCATAAAACAAACGATTCATATAAGTCGATGATAAACTTGTTCACTCTCAATTGGCTCAGATATGTTCTCGAACGTTAAACTATCATAGCAGTCAAAATTTATACACCAAATGACCTTTTCGTGCATTTTGCATCTTTCTAGTGCCTAGGGCTGGTCAACTCTTACGAAGACGCTGGACAATCTAAATGTGCAAGTGTGTGAATGGGTTGATGTGTGTGTGGGTGGGAGTGTCGGAAAGTGGGTGGGTTGCTATGTGGATGGGTTAGTGTGTGGGTGGGTTGATGTGTGAGTGGGTTAGCGTGTAGGTGGGCTGGTTTGTAGGTGGGTTGGTGTGTAGGTGTACTGGTTTGTAGGTGGGTTGGTGTGTAGGTGGGTTCATGTGTGGATAGGGTTGGTATTTGAGTGGGTTGGTGTGTGTGGGTATTTTGAGTGGGTTGGTGTGTGTGGGATATTTGAGTGGGTTGAAGTGTGAGTGTGTGTTCAGGAGAAGGCATAGTTTCTCAATCAGATTGTTTATAGACACAAGCTAACGAGAAGCTCAGCATAAGTAATATTAGACAAATGAGCTCTAAATGATCGGGTGACATCTCACATCCTGGCTTACTGCCAGTTTAGACAAGGTAGCTTTCGTAAATACCAGACGAATCGTTGAGAGCCACCAAAACAACCTCCGTCAAAAATCCTGGAACATCAAACTGTAATTCGCCGTTTAAAATCTTTTCTGATATAAGAGGTTGAACGGAACCAATAGCGAGCATACACGATTCGTCCACTTTCCACCTAAAGAAACAAAGGGGTTTATTTGGAAGTAGCGTATGAAAGCTAAGCTTTGGGCGACAGCTCATTATTGGATATTTTTACATCTCAAAACACTCAATAAGCTGTTTCATTGGTATGACTTTACTCTTTTCAAATTCACAACAACTAAGAAAGAATGTTAAATTTAGGTTTTTTCATTGTATACATAGCTAAAAGTGCGCACATTTCGAACACTTGAATTACGTATATGTAAGGCGTGAATGCGAAGCAAATACACCAATTTTTCATCATATATAGCGAATGACTGGCGAGATGCAAACACGAGCAAATTGTCTCGAGAAAAACAATACTTCTTATGGACGCCCTCGAGCACAAAGCTTTGATTAGAGAGGGGGTTAATACGAAAAAACTGCGCTCAAGCACAATGACACTCTCGTACACATAGCCTTTACTTAGAGAGGTAAAATTGTGAGAAAATTGCGCTCCAAGAAAACAATGTTGCGTGTGTATATTCTCGTACAAATAACCTTTGACTATCTAAAGTTGCACAACAAGGAGAAAATAGCGCTCTAGATGATGTGCGTGAAATGCTTTACCAGAATTACGGAAAAGCTGTTTCTATGATATAATAATACATCAAATAACCATTTATGTACCAAAACATACGTTGAGCTTTAAATAAGAAGCTAACGAATTCTGCGTTCTTACATGTAATGGACGAACCATTGCAACATGCTTATTTTTTATACGCGAAACTACTTCCCTACCAAAATTGATCTCCGTTCGATTTTGCTGTTCGTGATTCGTGTAAGTGTTTGGATAACGCTTGTACCAAACATGCAGCAGTTTCATCTTTCATTTCGGATGCGAGTGTCTAAAAGTGAAAAAAGATTACGTATGAAAAAAATCATAGCCATAGCTACCTAGAAATACCACACGCAACCCTGAAAGAAATCCTTTCACCAAAAACAAACAAACTGATTCACTGATTCAGAAATGCATTTAATCTGTTTCTACACTTTATACCACCTTTCAGTGATAACACAATATCCTGGATTTGGTCATTAGCATTTATTGCGCAAAGCTGCCTCCGTCTACATAATAGTTAGAAGCCTTCAAAAACTGCACGCAAACGCTGGTAATTTACGCATGCATCAAAAACAAGTTTTACTACATTCGAAACTTCGATTATCTCATGTCGAGTGTTGCAAATTGCAAGCCGCTTTACATTGAGTTACCAATACATATACGTACACACTTACCAGTAGGAGATTCTGCGCAGAAATTCGAACTGAAAACGAGAAGGTATCGTCATCTTCGTCTTCAACAAATCTATTAGGATCTGACATCCATATGCAAGCCTACAATTTAGATAGATTGTTCAGAAAAACGTCAACGACAACGCAAAAAGAACATCTACATACAATTTATATTTCATCATTTTGAAAGACGAAAACGACTAGTGTACACAATTCTTCGTAATCAATTGTCAATACAACAACGGCTAGTTGCATTCAACACATGTGATTACATGCGATTACTTTACAAGAGAGAGATGTAGATCCTGCACGGCCATTTATACGTGAAATGGCATACAGTTGAGCACAAGTTTATGTTAACGTTCACCGCAAAAAAAAACCCAGAAGAACGCGAGTCTTCATGGGCAAATTTTCTTTTTCAAAACAAGAGGAAAAAAAACATTAAGAAAGCGAGGGGGGAGGGGAAGGAATTTACTCATACTAGTTTGTTTTTCTGTCTGCCTTTGTACCTAACATTCCGAAACCTCTCACGTTATTTGAATAGTTTACATCTTGATGCTCGATACCATTATATTGATATTATAACCCAACGATGGCGTTTTCAAGACGTTCTACGTCTTCCTGAAGTTACGTTTTCTTCACTTTTCATGTCTGACGAACTTTTATTAAAACCGTAGGAACATGTAACAACAATCTTGCGAAAGTAATCCTTTGATCACAGTCCTCCACCCCTCCATTTATTTTAAGGAGACCTGATCGACTTTGTGTACCTGATCCTCGGTGATTTCCATGTAAACAAGAAGAAAATAGAGCAACTGATCGAGGTGAGTCTTAACGACAACTTTAAATCTTGATTCAACTAATGCTTGTATGAACTCGAAGACCTGAAATACCACTGCTTCAAAGGTAAGAATTTCACCTGTGGAGAATAATTTCATGTACATTGCTGTATGGAAGAGCATAATTCATCATAAACTAAGAAGGCGGATGTATATTTTACAAATATGCATTGTGATTGTAAATCTTTGAAAATTTAGGTTGACATTGGTATAAGACAATAGTAAGACTAGCAAATAAGCTGTTCATCTTGTCGAAGTTTTATCTCATAAGATAGATTAGTTCATCGATAAGTTTTCTATAGTAGCTTTCAATGAAAGACCGGATTGTATTTGAAAGAATTTTTTGCATTCTTGTATACGTAGTTCAAAAGGTCTTTCAATGACCGTTGTCTTTAAGTTTCAAATAAATTACTGATTTTAATGTCCGATTATTACTAATTACATACTTAAGTGTTTGCATTATTGTAATTTATTGTTCCAATTCAACAATAATCAACAACGTGAACAATTAAATTATCACTTGTGAAAACCAAAACATAATGTTTTCGGATACAATGTGACGATGTTGCTGTTCAGGCCACAATGAAAATCCCTTAGCTATTCTGCACTATGGGCATTATATGAAGCAGGGGGTACAGGAGGGTATATTAAAGGGTAACTCGATTGAATAAAGGGGCTTACGTACTTCGTTGTCAGTAATAAATTATTTATAACGCCAACATTATTATCACATAAATGCTTCGAAAAACTTTCACCAGAGTGTTTCGATCGATTAAATTCGCTATTTTTGCAACAACAAAAAAATTGAAAAACATGTCAAACAAAAAAAAATTATTTGGCAACCTAACAAGTTACAACACTGTGAATGCAATACCCCTTAATCGCATCTTGTACAAGAAAAAGACAAGACAAACAAAAAAAACACCAACACGACAGATCTAAGTACAGTCAAGTACCAGTGATAAGATTTCATCAACGTTCATATAACTTACCATCCGAATCAACCGGATCATCGGCTTCTTCCATGAAATTGATTACCGTTTTATGGTAACGCTCGGCTCCATGAGTCAATATATTCCACACATGTGGTAGTACGGCACTCAATTGAGAAGCCATCTCTTTTGGAAATTTTTCAATAAGTGTAGTCAATGCCTGTGGATATGGATAAAGATGTGCCAATAATGTATTTTAAATATGAGAAATACAGCATGAAAAAATACAATTCTGTTGAAATGTATGTGGCATTCAATAGGCAATTAAATACTTAAAAAGCCAGTCAATGCTTGGAATAAATGCGAATCTCTTTATGCGTCTGATGTCGCACTGACAACATTGTAAATGCACACATTGCAGTATAAATGATGCTTGAAATTCTTACTCAATGCCCGAGCGGAATTTTATGTTACCTTTAGACTGACAGATCCGACTGTCGGAAGCTAACTTTATATGTGTTAAAGTAAATGGTTTGAACCCGGGAGTATCGTCACATGTTTGTAAATGTAGTTCATCCAGGTTGGTATAGTCCTGAGAAGGACTGTTTTTGTCTCTGAACATGACTACCGTTAAGGTTGTCGAAACGTCAGTCAACAACAACAAAAACAGTCCTTCTCAGGACTTTATGTGTGTTCATACGATCCGTTTTTTAGGATCCGACAAATCGGATCGTGTGAACGGGCCTTTATAATGACATTAATCAGTAGCGTTGCCGAGGAGGGAACTGAGGGGGACGTCCCCTCCCCAGTTATTCTAAAGACTAATTTTGAGATTAAAGGAGCAAAGTTTTTATAGTAAACAGCAATCTTGTTCATACATCTAACAAGATGCTGCCATTCTAAAAATATGTGGCTTTTAGATTATCATAAATTCTGCCGGTGAGAAATGGCGTTTTAGAGAACATAATGTCAAACATTTTTTCAGGGAGCATGCCTCAAAATCCCCATTGAAGTCTCACAAATTTGACGTTTGCATTGTCCCTCTGGTCTGAACAATCTGACGACGCCACTGCCATCAGTATAGTAAAATGCTAAACAGTCCTGTCTTTTAGTTTTTGTTCGCATTAATGGAAAAGCAATGAGTTCCCGAGAAATAAATATGGAACAATTGGGATGTCCAAAAAATGCACAATCAAATGATGGATTTGCCGACAAATAACACAACAAGCAAAGGAAGTTGCAATAGCTATAATCACATGCACCTGACGCTAATCACAAAGACATGACAAATGCACTTATTTTCTTACTTAGGTACTATGTATAATACAAAAATGCCTGAATTAGTCCCATATGTTATAAGACGATACTCGCGAGTTTTTTTTGCGAGCCAGTAAAAAAAGGAAACGAAAAAAACATGTCTAGGTATTTAATTAATATATATATTAGTTAATAAGTAGTCTCGCCATGAGAATACCTTTAGAACTTCCATTTTTAAACCACAGTCCGACGTTTCCCCGTCTGGTACAGCAAGGACTTGCGTCAAAACAGGAGGAAAGCTCTTCATGACGGGGAATAACTGTTTTCTTACCGACTGAAAATAGTTTTTAATCATTCAAAATAATTCATAAAGGCACAGCAAAAATCATCAACCATTGAAAGTAATTTTGATTAATATACGTATATCCGAAATTTTACCCACAAAAGTCGCCTTTTTAAAACGCATTTTAAAAAATTGCAGAATAATTTCATCGATAAGAAATTGACAAAAGATGTCATAAAAACAAAATTTAAACAAAATATTTTCGATACATATCAAATAATGTACTGTTTGTAAAACAAAATTACCTTAGAACAAGAGGATCCGATCAATTCAGCGAAAGTGTTAAATATACTCACGGCCCGACTTCTGGTTCGAATGTGATATTTCTTAAAAAATTGACAACATGAATATGATATAGCTATGTGTGTTCACTCTTTACTGTATAAAATGTTTCCCATATATTAATGTTAATGTGCGAAAATAGGATTTCTAAAAACAACGAAGCACAGATATAATTATTTGGAAGAGAATACTTTCTAATGCCAATTATTCCTCTACATATAATAAATTCTAACAAGATAGAACTGACGGGAAAGAATCGCTAAAGTTATAAAGAGCACTAGCCAGTAGGTAGGATTTTGAACTTTCGCATGTTGAAAAATATTTCTTCTAAAAGCGCGCCGTGCCAATTAAAAAATCATATACAAAAAATACAACAAATGAAGACACAAAAGTACGAAATTAAAGTATAAAAACATGGCTTACCACATCTTCGGTGAGTATTAGACACATCTGAGGTAGGATAATAGGAGCAACTTGGGATATCTGAGCATCGGTGACTTCACTCGAGAATTCCGTGAGCACGCGCATTGCACCATGAACAAAGTTGTGATCTTCTGATAGAAGTGCCTGCATCAAGGTGCCAAATAAGTCTGGCCAAGCTTCAGGCCAATCCCAATGTGCAATCGCTGACATCGCATACGCCTGAACAAAGTTCACACTTTCAACAAAAGAAAAACATAGGCAAATATTACCATACAGGGTTGTTGAAATGTTTGGCAAATAGCTAGTCCTTGAATATCTTCATTCTTCGGCTATTTTAATAATTTTCGAATTTCTTTTTGGTTTGAACTTATGACATTCATGGAACGGTAACGCTTCTCAAAATAAAGTGAATAGTTTGAACGAGGGAGTATTGCTACATGTGTGTGAACGTGGATCGTCCCGAAGATGACTACCGCCAAGGTTGTCGAAACATCATTGAATATCAACACCAACAGCCCTTTTCAGGACTCTACTAACCTGGACGATCTAGCTACATCTACAAACATGTAGCTTCTCAAAAATCGTGGAACAAACAACAGTTTGCGAAAAAAAAACAAAGGAAGAAACAGTGGTCTTATCTTCTTACAAAATGGATTTACAATTTATGAGTTTTACGTAACGAATCAACTATTCGCTTACCACACTCAAGCGGACCTTGCTGATTGGATCTTTTAAACCATGAGGAAGAATTTCACGAATGGCAGCCTTCGCCTGTGAGAAAAAATTAGTAAAATAATGAAACAAAACTGATTCGGTAAACATTCTGCTTCTTGAAACATTGAGTCCAAAGTCAAACAAGGACGTTGATTTGGATATGGGCCTGGTTTGACAAAGTTACCATCGAGAAAGTAATTTTTCAGGTAAATGTCGTCGTACAGTGAAAATACTTCGTTCGTAGCCGGATTTCAACTCAAATTTTCGAGAGATCTTATATACTTTCACTAATGACGTATTTTTTGTGTCTAAATAATTAACTTTGATGGAAGAAATAACATAACTAGTCTCTGAAGATGACTACCGCTAAGGATGTTAAAACGTCATTCAATACTAACACCAACAGTCCTCACGACTGTACTAACTACTTTACCAATCAACATGTACAAACATATACCAAAGAACAGTTACCCAGAGTATAATAATGGATTGTTGGTCTACGCTCATAATCAAATGGCATGAATGTAATGGCTGACTTGACAACCCCTATTCAAATTTATTATTTCTAGGCTGCTATTGTTTTCAATACAAGCATTTTTCCTAGCCTTCATACTTCACCATAACTAGCTATAATGTTGAAGTTGTGCATACATACTTTGCTGGGTGTTACAGGAGGGGTGAACTTCTCTGATATTGGCATCCAATGAGATTGAACATACTGTTTCAGGATGACAGATGCCAACTGGAAAACAATTTGTGAAATTTGAACAAAAACCAGCACACTGTTTGGATGGTTTATGGGTTATATTACATAAATATGTAATGAATACTAACTTGTCGGATAGGTAATGCACTGTTTTCATCCACAGACAACTGAGCCAGATGAATACCATAGTCTAACAAGAGGGGTTAACAAGTGTAAAATGTTATCGAAAATATAAAATGAATTTTTTAACAACTAAGCTAAGAGACAGTCGATACATGCATCTTAAGAGTCACTCTTGTTGCAACGAAAAGTCATTTTATGAAATCATGTACAATTGTGTCAAATCGATAAAATATAACAAGTTAAGAAAGACTTTGGAGATATCAAAGACCACAAAAACTTCCTGCAACTCTTGAAAAGATCATGTTAGATTGTCCATGATTATGCTGGGATACTATTGCTAGAATTTATCCCAGTCTGACATATTTAATCGCATCAAATCCCAGAAAATAGGATAAGAGCTTGTCTTTTACAGTCAAATAAATCGTGTATTACATTGTATTTTCTTTATATACTTTTCTATAATGATTTACTCATGGACTCCACACAGGTGCTAAATATTCACTTTGCTTTGCCAATATCAATATCACAATGATTTATTTCACTTTAGTTAGAACTTCTCCACCATATGGCCCGTAAATGGCTCTCACGTACACCACAGTAAAAAATACTTTGTATTATGTAAGCTGTACGTATACAAAAATGGCTCATCTCCAATAAATACTAAATGGCTCGATTCCTGTCTTGTATAATTGCGCGGCGTCTGTACGATTAAGTATATTGAAATTAATACAAAATGCACGAGTCGATAAATCAAAATTCTCAGATATCAACATCAAGAAAAAGCATTATTAATTACGATTAAATAAACACAAAAGAAACGTGCAGCAGAGCAGTATAAGCTTTTCATACTCAAAAACTCTACGGAACAGTCGACTACCTTCGGTAACTTCAAGAAGTTTCAACCTTTCTTCAGCATTCAATCTCAATTGCTGCTCAGGAGACAAAATATGAGAAAGACATTCAATAAGAGCTTCTCGAAGGGCCATATTGTCATTGCATAATTGATCCTCCATCTTGGCATCGCAAATGGCGCAAAAATTTAAAGTTTAATGACGTAATTATCATAGTTCTCATGAAGAAAAGAGCATATTATATAATTTATTTCGCCTTTTAACATTTTGCATCCAGGGCCGCCAAAGTATAACTTAAGATTTCTAAACTCGCCAGAGAAACTGTAGAGCACGCGTGGCAAGATGGCAAGCCCATGTTTGCACCATGCAGAAAAATAAATGCAATGATAAGACTAACAGCAAATGTATACGAAAACCACTTCAAATCTGTCTTAAACATGGTTGCAAAATTATCATAACTGTAAATCGAATTGCTCGCATGAATTGCATAAATAACTAAAATAAGCACTTTTTCAGACTCCACTGAGTCAGTTTCATATTTTTTCCCTTTGCAAAACTAGTTTGAGAATTCCACTATTCCTTGCCTAGCTTATATGTTGTTTAATCATAATTCATAATAGACTTTGATTTCGAATTTTCATTTTCATTGGATGGTAAACAAGTTTGACTACAAGTACTACATTTTACAAAAAGAAATATGAAATTGGAATATTTACTAAAAACTCAAGTTGACTGAGACTACTATTGAAACACGTTAGAATTCCCTAAATGCGAGAGAGATCTACCATTTGCTGAATGTGTTACAAACAGTAAAGACGTGAGCGTAGCTTCATATTGCAATTTTTTTGCTTTTTTTGTAATTAAGTGGTGACGTAATCATCAATCTTTAAGTTTTGCATGCCGACGTAACTAAAGTAACTCGACCCACAACAAAAGTCAATTCGAATTGTAGTCAAATTTTCTAATGGCAAAATAGAGGAAATAGGTTAAAGCATTTGAAGAATATTTATGGTGGAGACTGATGCGAGCTTAACTAAATCCCACGATGGGTAATAGTACATCTTTTCCAACAAAGAAATCGCGCAGTACGAGAACTCTGTGCTCTCTGTCTCAATGTGATCATGACATCCATGCAAAGAAAAAACATAATTTGGGTACAATTGCTCGAATAGCGGAGGCAAAAACTAAATTCATCAACACAAATTCGAGAAAGGAAGCAATGCAAGGCTCAAAACAGGTGAAAACTGGAATATTAAACATAAATGCCATAGATACAAACGTATGACGGATTTATACGACTAATATGACGGAATTTTTAACAATGTACAGTGTTATATTTCACTTCATTGATGCTCGTGTGTCAAGTTATCTTCTGAAGTCAAAACATTACATTAATATAAATTAATTATAAATAAGTAACAGTGCAACATTAAAACCTTACAGCACTTGAATTTTTTTGTTGTGGGATAACAGTTGATAAACCGCTTTTAGAAGTTTTTGTTGTGGGGTAACTATGGATAATTTTTACCAGAGCAACGCTTTTCATCATTTCGGCAAATGTGTTAGTGCTGATCCAGGACTGATCTTTTATAGAAGAGTGAACAAAGGCTTTCATTTGAAACGTAAAAAAACTGTATTTAAGAACGTCGTTCATGAATCTGTTACAGCCTCTAATATATAAAATCAATAGTTTTAATAGATATGGTTATGACGCTCTTTTACTTTCACAAGAAATCAGCCTGGCAAAGAAGGTTCCCCTGATTGATGCCCGTGTTCCCAATGCATTAAGTTTTTCTCTCATACAGTCTAACATTCACAGGTTAATGGAACGAACTTTATCAAGGAGTTATATCATAGACTGGACCCCAGCATAGCGCTACCAAATGGAGTAGATATCACTGGTGAAATCCAGGTCGCATTGAAATACAACAGTGACGCAAAACTTTTGCTAATCAAAGTTATCCAGGCTAGAGATTTGGTTCCAAGAAATCTCACTGGCTTCTCCGATCCTTATGCAGCTGTTAAAATAGTGCCTGACAGGTAAAACGAACACATAAAATAACTGCTCGCGATGAAAATATTCTATGAAGATGATTGGCGGTCAGCTGATTAGTAGGGATAATGCACTTATGAAAAAACTCAGTAGAATGTTTAGTATACATGTATATTGTTTGTCAATGCACTTGAAGAAGAAAAGTTGAGAGCTTTAGTACTTCACAATCATACACGAAGGCATGCAAAAATTACGGTTTTCTGGAAAAATCATAGATACAATGAAGGAGTGAAATCGACAAGAAGAAAGCTACGGACTGTCAATCCGATTTTCCAAGAAATATTTTCATTCACATCGGAAGAAACTGAGTTGCAAGAAACAAAAGTTTGCATTGATTTGTTCGACCATGACTTGGTTGGCTCAGATGATTTTTTGGGAGAAGCTGTAATCGACATATCAAAGATGAATTTGTCAAATGAACTCACGTATTCGGAGTGGTTTATGTTACAACATCAGGTAAAACATCACTTTTTGACTGATGCATGTAGTTCCTTTAATTAACAACTTTGAACAATCGGAATGAGTTTTTCTTGTTCACATTACAATATCATAGAAATGTCTTTTGACTGGTGATTAGTTATACCTATTTAGCATAAAACATGTTTTGCTTTTAATCTTAAACTCAAAACAATCCACGTGAACCCAAATTTTGATTAATAAGAGAAATGAAAAATGGCTGCTTTCTAAGCTTGCTCCAAGATAAGTTGTCAATATAGTAGATCCAAAACAGAAGTGAAAATGAGAAAAAAGTAAGTTTCATCAATGAAGATACCATATCATGTAAAATTATTTAAGTAAATGGACCTTCTATTTCACTTAAAATTAAGCGATGATCAATGTTTGTTGTAAAGATTGAAAACTGGAGGCTGTGACATTCTACTGTGGTTTACTACTTTCCATCGTTTTTCTGAATTTTGAATGTCTTTTAGACCAACTTCTCCGTTACTGGTGACGTTGATGTTTCTCTTTACCACGATGCTGACATCCTTTTTGTGACAATTCACAAGGCAACAGATCTTTTGGACTGTGCTTTGAAAGATTGTTCTACACTTGTGTCAATTCACATTCCGTTCACAAATCAGAGCAAGATGTCGAAGGTGAAATGTTTGCTATATTACAAAATAACACGATAACGTGCCATCTAATTTTATTAATGTCTTTCGATACAATTATTTCTTATTGACTTCCAACTTATTCGAGCCAAATCGCTTTAATGGCCACTGTTTATTCGTTTAGTCTCTGCAGGTAAAAATATTCTCGGCAACGTGGCTTCAATCCTTTAATGTCGTTTTTTCTAAGTTTTATCCACCCATATAGACTCTAACTTCCAAACAATCCTTGTTGTTCAAATGAGACTTACCTTTGCTTCGTAGTGTTTGTGCAGATAGGAAGTATGACGAAACATTGACATCGAACGAACAACAATGTTTCGGTTCAAATGCTCAAGTCTTTCTTCAAACAGCACCACACACATTTCTTTTCGAGATAAAATCAATTCGAAAAACCTAATTTTCATAAAAGAAGTGATGTGACTTTGAAACATAAAAACTGTTTGAAATATTCATTTCAACGAGCAAATTCCTCACTCATGAAGAAAACAAAGCACGATTTATGAATATGTCAGGTCTGGATCGTCTAGATTCTTTTGTTTCTACTCTGTTCAAACACTATACAATTTCAAAGTAAGTATTATAGTTTGATTTGAGTTCGTATAGATTGCTGATGGTTGCATCAATCCCCAATTTGAAGAAACATTTGAATTTGATATGTGTGCAAACGAGGTTCCATTCAGGTAATTTTTGATAAATTATTTAAATTTATTTATACTCTGGTTCATATTGTTCTACGATGATGGATAAATGTACAATGAATGTATGCTTGAAATGTACCTATAGCAGGGGCGGATCTAGGGGTAGGCACCATAGGCAAGTGCCTATGGTGAAATTACCAAAATATACTTCGACTTAGATTCGATACGAATTTATCGAATTATGAAACTATGAATAGCACTTTATCGCAGTCAAATCATCTGACTTTTGTTTAGAAATGTTGTGCAATTAAATGACGTAATTTTGATATGAATCGTAGTCCAGATGCGTATGATTATCTATAAAGCTCCGTGTCGTTAGGCAAAGCAGCCATTTTGCCTAAGTCAAGAAGGCGATCTAGCCATTTGATTGGTTGTTAGCAATTTGCCTAAACAAGATGAATTTGCCTAACTTGACATCGTGTATAGGTATTCTGATTGGGCAATTTTTGCAACCGTATGCTTTCATTGGTCAATTTTTTGCCTAACTTGAGCAATTCCAACCAATCATTGCTGTTGATAAGCATAGTTGAACTAGGCAAATTAGGCAATTGAAAATTAACATACACTCGTATTGTTTCTGAACAGCCTCTGTGCTCAGTTTACGGTTTTGTGATATTTATAATGTCTTCATTGTGTTGTGGTAATTTATACGAGACTGCTCAGTCTGCGTTGGCCAAAACGATTTAAAATGCCTTAATGAGCTTTATTCTCGTTTATTGGTCGACGTTCGACCTATGTTTACTAACGAGCAGCTGTTAGATAGAATTTATGACCCCGACCATACTCTGTGTCGAAATTTTGGAGCTGAAATATATGTGCCAAAGCACGCTCATGACGGAAAGACTTGTACTGCAATAAGGTAAATATATTATAATTATATATATCGTATTGTAGTATTTATATATACGTGTAAAATGGTTAAATCTCAATTTCGCTAGGCTATATCTTTGTCTACAGTCAGCAATTCATTCATACAATGCAATCAATCTACCAAACAAAATATTAATTTCTTTTCTTGAATATTTTTAAGATCTGAAGCTTCTGGCAATTGCCTCTACAGTTCAGCTTCCTAGTTCTGGTAGGTAACAATGCATTGGTCCCTACTTTGCGAATTTTAACATCGCTTGAGCTATTTATTCATGCTGCTTTTTATGCTCAACACCCATGCTTTTGTCTGTTATAAGTGAGCACAGTGATTACTTTGCCCAAAGCTTAAACAATCTTTTGCCTTTGTCAGTGTCTAAAGAATGTTTAGACACTGGATATACAACAGATGAACTGGTAAAACAGGAGGCTATTTTAAATTGTAATGACCAGAAATGGTCATCTTTTCTTTGTATTTTGGGCCTATCTTCTGTTTTAGGTAGAAAAATTCATACTTTTATCCTGATTCTGGTGAAAGTAGATATAAATTGTTATTTAATCGTATTGTTCAGCCCGGTTATTAAGCCAAAGAGGTTTGGATGCTATTAATATTTTGTTTTGTCATGAAGGATCTGTACAACCAGGTGAGACTTTTCAGTCTAATCATTTTGTGCCTCTCATTTTCCATGCCCACAGGTTGAAGCAAAATTGTCTAATTCCTGTACACAGTCTAATTCTAGCAGCTCAACAACAGAGAAACGAAAATTTGTCAAAATTTTTCCAAATATTGCACCAAAAACAGTTGACATTTCAAATTTTTTTACTTCAACTAATAGGCCTGCTGCCCAACCAACTTTTAAAAGGATGCCCAATGAGAGTTTTTCTTCTGCTGCAGCTCTTGCTCAGACATTAAATAAAGCCAATAGTCTTTTGCTTCACACATCATCCCAGGAACTATTGCCTGGTATTCCAACTTCTGGTGATATGCAACCTGCTGTTTTAACCCATAATTTTGATGTTTCCTTGTATAGGGAGAAAGTTAAGGGTATGGATAATTCTGAAATATGTCATTTGATAAAAAATGTATATAAACCAGATAAAAAGTATCATTTTCCTAAATCTAATGGCAGATCATTTAGGCATGATTGGCTAGACCAGCATGAATGGCTTTGCTATTCACCTTCACAAAATGGTGCGTATTGTCTATCGTGTGTGTTGTTTGGCAATAGATTCCCAGGCAAGGCCAGTAAAGTAAAAAAGTTGTTTACTGAACCTCTTCAAGATTGGAAGAATGCTAAATGCTCTTTCACTCAACATGCTGGAAAAAGTAAAGGGAGGGAAGTCGGTTTGCATGCATCCACATCACCAATTTTGATGCTTTGCGTTCCCAAATATCAGGTACTCTGCAGCCTATCGAGATGATCATGGATGCTGGTATCAAGAAAGAAATAGAACAGAATAGGGAAATACTATCTCCAATTATTGATTCTGTCATTTTTTGTGGACGTCTAGGTTTACCTCTTCGTGGGCATCGTGATGATTCCAAGTATCACCCTACTGTTGGTTGTTATTCATCTGGAGGGGTTGGTAATTTCATTGAAACACTCAATTATGGAGTTAGGAGAGGGGATAAAGTTTTAGAAAATCATTTAAAGAATTGTGGTAAGAATAGAAGTTATATTTCTAAAACAAGTCAAAATAAAATCATTAAATGTTGTGGCCAGGTAATCAGTAATCAGATTATTTCTGATATCAAAAAGTAAGTTTTTTCTGTTATTGCTGATGAAGCATCTGATTCTTCACATAAAGAACAAATGTCTCTTGTTTTGCTTTGTTGATACCGATATGAATATCAGGGAAGAATTCATTTCATTTCTTTTTGTAAGTGGGGACTAAGTGGTGCTCAACTTGCCAAGCTACTTTTAGAGGCTCTAAAGGAACTGACTTTATCAATAGATGATTGTAGGGGGCAAGGTTATGATGGGGCTGGTTCAGTTGCTGGTTGCACTAATGGTCTAGCAGCTCAAATTTTAAAGCTTAACCCAAAGGCTCTTTATACACACTGCTATAGTCATAGGTTAAACTTATCCATTTGCGATTCTTTGAGTATACGTGTTGTCAATGATATGTTGAAACATGTTAACAATGCCACTAATTTTATTAAAATTTCCCAAACTCGCAATATTCCCTTTGAAAAACATATACGTAATTCAGAAACAAACTCGAAAAAGACTAGATTAACAGACGTTTGCAAAACTAGATGGGTAGAACGTATCGAAGGTTTAGATACATTCCAAGAGCTTTTGTACCTGTATACACCACCCTTAACGATATGTCTGAAAATCTAGATGGTGAGTTCAAACCGTCGCTTCAGTCTGATGCCTCATCTTTGTTTCAACTTATTGACAGGTTTGATTTCGTCGTTGCTTTAGTTATCACGAGAAATATTCTTGATTCAACTCTTCCAGTAACACAGTTATTACAGGGTAAGAGTATCGATATAATGGATGGTATTCATTTAATTTCAACTTTGAAAACTGAGGTGGTGAACATGAGGAATTCCTCTGATTTTTATCATGACACCTGGTATGACGAAGCGCTTGAACTGGCAGCAAAAGTTGGCATTGAAGAATGGAAACCAAGAACAGTGCGCAAACAAACGACCAGGAAAATATTCCCCACACAACCATTTCTGAGTATTATAAACGTGCAATTACTCTTCCTCTACTAGATCATTTGCAATCTTCTTTAGAATCACGATTCGACCTTGAGAGTGTGAATGTCTATAAAGGCCTTAGCATTGTACCGACGAAAATGATGTCCATGACAAGAGATGGGGTGGATTGGAAAGAGCCATTCAAAACTGTGGCTAACTTTTATTATGATGATTTGCCAAATCCTTTGGCCTTAGATGCTGAACTTAGGTTGTGGTACACTTATTGGGAGACCCACTGCGGCCTCCTTCCTGATAACATTGCCCAGACTTTAAAATCTGTTCATTTCGCCGGATTTGAAAACATTAAAATTTTACTACGTATTTTAAGAACGCTCCCCATTACCTCTTGTGAATGTGAACGATCTATTTCTTCCCTTAGGACACTTAAAAACTATCAGCAAAGTACCATGGTTGGGGAACGCTTAAATGGTTTGGCTATGATGCAAATTCATCAGGAAATTGTACCAGATATTGGTGAGGTTATTAATACTTTTGCTGTTGGAAATACAAGGCTAAAATTTGCATGAATTTATTCATATCCTAGTTTTTTATTTTGTTGAAATGTCCATATGTTAACCATTTATTGTGCGTTGTACACAATAGTAACGTCAATAGAATTTGCATCAAACTAATAGCTCGCCCGATAAAGGTTTTTTCCCCTATATACATTCCAAACTTAAAACTGCTGAGTACGTGTATGGTACTCGGCCGTTGTCGACATAAATTTACTTTCACAAAAATTGTTAGGCATAAATAGAATAATTTTTCCTTACACCAAATTTTAGTCTTCACAAAGACTCTTTATACAAAGCTCTATTTTGACTATTACATTACATTTACATTCTGCTCATTTGTTGGCAAATGAGAGTGCACATTTTAGGTGGGGGGTAAAGGGTTGGAATTGACTGGGATGGTGTAAGAAACTGAGCAATCTTACATCCATGAAATGTCCCACATAGTCACCCATTTCTAACCAAACTCCTTTTGCTATTTGCTAAAGGTGTGAAAGGCGAGTTTCTGGCGCCTTCAAAACCAGAGTGCTCATTTTAGGGGGTAAAGGGTTGGAATTGACTGGGATGGTGAAAAATTGAGCAATATCACATCCATGAAATATCCCATATAGTCACCCATTTCTAACCAAACTCCTTTTCAAAGGTGTGTAGGCGAACTTCTGGCGCCATAACCAGTCTGCTTAATTCGGCTCTCACAGGGCTGTCCATGCCGGATCACGATTTTTTGTTTTGCGTTAAAGTGTTCCTAGGCATGCTGATGAGCCCTGATATGGGGCGAAACAGTCTTGTGTGCATTCAATAATCTGAATAGTGAAAATCAACGACCTTGTGATATGTAAGTATAAATATACAATGTTTTTATGTATTTATACGATTGAGATCTACAAGATTCTGCATAGCTGAATGATTAGACTGTTTGATTTAAACAATTTATCGAAAGCATAAATAGTGTAGTATGTTTTGCAAAGTATGACGTCATAGGTTTAGCACTGAATGACGTCATAATGTTTTGCCTATGGTATCCAAAATCCTAGATCCGCCCCTGTACCTATAGTTGATATAATTCATTGCATTTAAAATTGTTGTAGAAAAATCACGTGATTTATAGACTTGACTTTCCAGTGCTAAACAATTTTACTGCACGAATTGCTGGGTTTTTGTTGTTTCATGTTAAACGAATAAATTGCTTTCTACGTTTATGTTGGTTATCTGCTGAGCGATCTGATCCTCACCTTAGCAAGAATAAAAACAACATTTAGTATCCTGTAACATGGATTACTGAAATGTCATGATTAAGAAGTGTGCATAATGTAACAAGAATAAAAATGTGCGCATAAGCCTACCAGCAGCTACCAATCTGCCGCCCGTCCCGTACCCCTATGAGCGTGAGAAAAAAAATTTTCAAGCCTTGGTTTGACGTTGAAAGAGAAGAAAATGATAAAAAATAATATTGACAGTGTTGTATAATACATAAAAATATCTGCCGATAAACCTCTGTTGATATAGAACTTGACGTTTCGAAACGAGGTGAAGTTTCTTACTCTCTGGGACTTAGTATGAGCTAGGGTTCACTGATTACTTTAAATAAACACATAAGCCTTTTCTATCTTTTTCTAACTTTTTTTTAATGTAGAAGTATCATTGTGAACATCTATCGCATTTCTCAATCGGAGGAAAAACCTATTGGAAGCATTAATATCAATCTAAAAAGATACAAAACAGGCCAAAGATGTAGAAATTGGTACCGTGTTACTGACATGGTAAGTCAAGAGGGTGATTTTATAAAAATTTATACATTGGAGACCATTGATTGAGAAAGGTGCTTACTTTAGAGAGACACGAAGTAAAAGAAAGGTACAAGGGTTATCATCATACAAAAAAGAATCCTTTCATTGATGTCCAGGGGGTGCACATTAGGGGTGTGAGGGGGGAGAGGATGACAGCCAGATTTTTTAAGAGTCGATCCATAAACTGATAGAGTACGAAGAAAATAGGTGCAGCTAAAATTTTATGTTTCTCTATGAAATAAAGACACCCCAAGAGTTGCTCCTAGAACGTAGATCCCCCCCGTTTTTTGGATGATGTGCTCTCCTGATGATAACACTAAAGTATTAAAGTAGTTATGCAACAACTGCAACAAATGACCACATTAAAATAATCAATTCTTTTTGAGTGGTGTCAACGTTAAAGGGATCATTTATTATCGATGATAGCGATTATATTGAAAATGAGTATTATATTAACTTTTGAGATATCTTCCCAGAAGAGATCGTAACACACGGGTATTTGTATAATATCAAAGGTGGTGAGTGGTCATCTAATGATAACGAAGATCACATTAATCATATAAGAGAGAATTACGATGTCGGGCTTATTGATTCTTACAGAAAACAAAATGATTGTCTCTATTAAACAAAAATACAGTCTCTAAGAAAACAATACAAAAAAGGTTATACGGTTTAAAATCATCACTGAAGTCTCATGTACAAAACGTTTCTGAAAGGATTGGTTTTGTTTACCATATTTAAGCTTTAGATTACTACTTTTTACAAAACTCACATGCCGGCTTTCCTCAAATGCGAAGAGATGTATGGAATTGTTTCGTTATATAATCATTTGTAGAAAAACACAGGTCGACAGAGGACACTCCTGGGGGAAAGTATTGTCACCCAAGAATTCCGTGAAGCAATGTTTGCTCACAGTTTTTACCATTGCCCCTCCTTTATGTTTCGAAACGACAGGTCTGGAAAAAAGGTATGGTTGTTAACATGAGACACGTCAAAAAATGAAGGGGAATAATAGCTACCTCTTACGATTTTTCTTTTTGTCTACACTATATAAGTGGGGAATGAAGCCCGAATCTTTAGAAAAATTACTATTTCATTCCATTTCATTAGAAAGTTAATATCATTCATTGTTTTTCTGATAAAGAACACGAAAATATTTGCATGCATTTTAAGAGTGATAAAAGCTTGTTTTTCTGCTGAACTATGTAAAGATGATGATATACTATGTCAGACAATGATTTCACTTCTAAAAAAAATGGAGTGAAAGAGCCTTGTATTAAAATATTATTTGAGCAAGGATTCTTGCTCTTGGACTTTTAATTTACTCGAAATTTTATTTTAATATTTGTTAGAATCATTTTGGAAAATTCATTTCGACATTCGAAATTGTTCAAGCCAGTATCCATGCAAATAATATTTTGGAGATAGTTAAAACAAATCGAAATAGAAAGCAAATTTGCAATATACGTAAACTATGTTGAAGAATTTCATTTATTCCTTTTAAATATTTTCAACAGAGATGCCAGGCATTTAACAATTGTTTTTTTTATAAAAGATTCGAGGAAAAGTTCATGCAATTGCAAAGCCAGCCGAAATTTTGCTTATGAAACAATGAACTATAGATCAAATGAACCATAATTTTCCTGAAAAACTTACATAGCTCAAATTAAAAATTTAGGCACTGCATCGTGGACAAAATTTGATTGACTGGTTTATGGTAAAACGGTTAGGCTCGTTTTAACTAAAAAAGAAAAAAAATAAATTCAAACGTAAAGAAAATTGTATATTGGACTATGTTAGAAAAAGGAATCAATCATTGGCAGTGCATAGCTATACATTGGTTGGTGTTGCATACTTTTTTGTCGATCATACTTTCTTTTGTGTGAACATAGGTGTATTCCGTTTCATGCCGGCAAGCATCTTCGTCCTCGAAAGTCATACTCGTCAACGGCTTCCCACTTCGATGAAAATTTTAAGGTAGAGAAAGCAATATTTCTGGTTATTTTCCAAATGTTTGTTTGCTTTTTCATCATAGCTCATAGTTGACAGGTTTCAGTCGTTTGGCATGTAGCTAGATCATCTTTGATTTATATCCTCAAGACTTCAATGTAAAATATATTTAGCATTGCATGCAATCTGTAGCTAAAAAGTTGCATCTCCTGATTCTGAACAGCATTGGATTCACGCGACAGTTTAATATTAGTTTCTATATCAGTGAAGATTGAAGACTGTGCAAATGTGCATCATTGCATTAATTAAAATAATTAATTGCTGTATGAATTTAAAACGATCAGTAATAAAACCATTGAATAAAACCGACACCACTTTCCTTTTAAAGGAGTTAGAAGATTGCGTCATCTTTTCATGCATAACCTTCCAAAAATACGCGAAGCTCGATGGTCAGACATAAATTGCCATATAAAATTTAAAAAAAGCTTCTAACATGAAAGTTTTATTTATTTGAAATGAAGATCTATGCATAGTTCATGAAAGTATACTTTTCCATGCACATGGACTTGCGAAAGCAAGCAATTAACTAAGAATGGGTGCTAACAAACCAACATGAAAATGGTGTGCAAATTCATTGCCCTCAGTTCCGGATGAATTATATGCATAGTTGTTGCAAATTATGTTAAAGTTATGTTGGGTTCAATTGTACATTCGGGTACGTCGGGGACGATAGGGAACAATACAAAAAACATAGTGTGACGGAAGTAGAGAGGGGAGAGAACGGAAGTGAGAATGGCGAGATAGGGAAGATACTTTTGGGAGTGAGAATAAAATTGTTTAAGATACCCAAAGATTGTGATTATTTCTCGTGTTCCGAAGACATTGGGACGGAGGTCAATTTTTGGAAGATAGTTGCCGTATGACAATGGAATATTCCGCACAAGATCGACTTTCATGGAAATGTTACTTTCATATTTATGTTTTGTGTCCAAGTTCAGCAGTTGTTAAGAAAAAAATGGACAACTGTAATTATATAAGCACGATATTTGCCCATGTATTTTCTTTTATTGAATATTTGCTCCACATAAAAAATCAGGTAGTCACAGATCACAACAAACGAACTTCGTTTTTATATCTCAGTAAAATAAAACGAAGTTGTCCAAGTTAGCAGAGTCCTGAGAAGGACTGTTGTTGTTGACGTTGACTGATTAATGAACACGAACAGTTCTTCTCAAGACTCCACTAACCTGGACGATCTACATTTACAAACATGTAACGATACTCGGTTCAAACCATTTATGTAAACTTTTTCAATGCTGTGCGTAAACTTTTCGATGTCCAAACTTAAGGTTAATTGATTTTATGTTACAAAAATGTTAGATACATCTAATTACCTATTATGCTGCGTGTGCTACAATTTTATTTAACTTAGTGATAGGTTTTAGAATCATTGGATCATTGCGTTGTTGGATCATTGCCTCATTGGTTCATTAGGTCATTGGGTTATTAGATCATTGAGTGATCAGGTCATGTGATGATTGGGTTATTGGCTTATGGAGTTACTGGGTAATCTAGGAGTATTGTATCATTTGGTCACTGGGTAACTGGTTCAATGAATTATACACTGGTCAACAAAAAGAAACTTTTTAAAAGGTGTCTGATATTTTTTGACTGATTTACTATATTTTTGCTATGCTAAATCTAGAAATAACATTCATTTTGCGCTCGGAGGTCAAATTTTTTTGCAAATTTGAATTTAAAATTATGCGTCTTTAGTTATATTTTTTTAAAACAATGTTTTCAAGATTTACATGTTTTCAAGATGTTTCAAAACAAAATGCCAGTTTTTATGATAAAATTGCAGTATTCCAAGAAAGAATCATATACACTTCATGTACAGTACATGTAACTAAAAATGAAAACTTAATGTTTGCATTATTACGGTCTAAATTTTCGTTTTTTTGATTGTCGCGAATGTTTTGGTGCTTGCACATCTCTTTTTAAATTCCAACAGTAGTCCGCCATCATCACCATGTCCCACCTTTCTCTTAAGTCATGGTGAAAGCGCTCTCCTTGCTCATCGCTTAAAGAGCCAAGATTTTCGGGATCAATACCAGCTTTTAATTTTTCAGTTGACAAATTGGGGAAGGTTTTACAACGAAACTGAAAACACCGTCCATCTTTATCCAAAGTTTTAGTGAAATGCCTCATCAAACCGAACTTTATGTGCAGTGGAGGAAATAAAATACGTCCCCTGTCAACGAGAGGCTTGTTTATCACTTTTTTGCTCTACAACTTGCAAGCTCTTCACGTACTGGCCATTCTTTTATCACGTAATGATGAGTACGATCCCTACTATCCCAGATGCATAAAAAGTATGGGTATTTGGTAAATCCAGACTGTTGACCAAGCAAGAAGTTGACCATTTTTAAGTCAACGCAAATCAGCCATTTATGATGGTCATAAGAAATTCTTTCTAGGACGTACTTAATTGCTTCATGCTGTTCTTTTAATGTTGTCGAATGTGCCAATGGCACAGATGCAAATTGATTTCCATTGTGTAACAACACACATTTCAAGGACCTTTTGCTGCTGTCGATAAAAAGTCACCAGTCCTCTGATTTGTATTCAGGTACGCCGAGATGTTTCAGTAGCTCTACTATGTCATTGCGATAGACTAATTATTTTTCTTGAGCAAAATATCTTAAAAATTCCTGGTCCCTGGTACGGAAGAAACTTACCTTAACTTTACCATTTAGCATGTTCTTGTCCTTTAAAGAAGTTCGGCAGAAGTTCGGCAAGAAGTTCGGCAGAGTCTTTTGGCAAATTTAAATCGCGAACAAGATCGTTTAGTTCGTTTTTGGAAAACAATTTTGGCTGCTCATCATTGTCATCGGGAAAGGATGCATCATCGGTAGTGGCAATGCTTTGAGTTTCATCCTGGCTACTACTGCTTTCTTCAATACTTGTATCTTCAAATACAAGTACGGGAATTTCTTCACTATAAGGAGTAGGGCGCATAGCTGACGGTAGATTGGGATACTCCAGTGTTGTGCGATTTTTTCTGTTAATTCCCATGACATTGATAACACAAAAGTAGCAATCGGTTGCATGATTTAAGGCTCTCGCCAAATCATGGGGATGCCAAAGTTCATGGACTTTTGCGTGCCTTTGCTCCATTGACGGAGATGCTCTGTGCATCTTTTGCAAACCATGTGAGGTGTCCAACTTTTGTCTTGCTCGCCGAGCTTCATGCCACAATATGCATAGTAAACGCGCTTGATAAAGGTGGTGACAGTATTGCGATTTGGTGCAAGTGTGTATTCACCACAAACATAGCAAAAAACATCCGGCTTATTTTTATTATTTCTACTTTTTATTATTTTTTACTTACATTAATATGTTGGTGTGTTTTAACAAGTTTTACCATTGAATTCCAGTATGGGCTAAATAAAGCCTTATTTTATCTTTAAATATCCCATAATAATCGCAAAACCTAAACTCCCTAATTGAAATTCAATCAATAATTGCATATTCAAATGCTTTCTTCTTTGTATTGCTAGTGCTAAAAAATTTAAATTTGTTCAGATAATAGAACTTTAAAAGGTAAATGGTTAGTACTTCTGTTGTACCTTTCTCGGGTATTTAAAAGTAAAAAAATAGAAAATTAACGATAGCTTAAAATCTCGACCTGACCCAGCAAAAATAGTGTTATTTTTGGAATCAGCACATCAAAATTGTCCAAAATCAGTTTACAAAACTGAGACACCAAATTTGCTGTTGACCAGTGTTATTGGTTCAATGGGACATTGTTTCAATGAGTCGTTCTCGTTGGTTCATTGTGTGAGTTTTGAGGCATTGGGTGATGGAGATATCGGATCATGAAGGGGTGTTGGTTAACTGGTTGAAAGGATCATCGGCTTAATGGGTCATTATTTTATTAGGTCATCTGGTGGGTGTTGGATCATCAGGTCAGTTTCTGTTAAGTCATTAGCAGTAATGTCTGCAAGTTTTTTGATGTGTGTGTTTGGGGGGGTGAGGTGGCAGAGAGTTCCTAAATATGGCTCTTACACGTTTCACTTACTTGTACTTCTAATTTTACAATTATCGACTATGGTTTTGAAAATGCTATTGAAGGGTATGGATCGCCTAACTTGGTCTGCTTTCTTTCGCCACTGGTCATTGGCAGGATTCATTCACTATTTTCAGGGTTGACAGAAGATATATTTTATGTGGAGACGGAAGCAATACTTAGATAATTCTGGTCTTCAGCTAAAACGACTTTCGTTATACGTAATTAATAATTCCTCATCATTTTATTATGTATTTAGTCACAATTTCAAGATTGCACGATGTTTGACAACATTTGTCAGTTTTGGGAAATTGCATGTTAGCATGTACAAACTATGACTCAAGGCGTTAGTCACCTTCATCCTCTCCCTGTTTATAACAGCTTCTAACAAATGAGCCTGCCTCACATATTTCATCTTGTGTTAAGTGTGAACATCGTACCGACTTAACTTACAGAATGCATTTCTTTATGAAAGCGTGAGATTTATGAAAAATAAGTGCCGCTGTCTTTTTTGAGCCAAAATCTTGAATATTAGATGGTGAAGTCTTTGGAAGGGTTGTTCAAAAGTGGCTTGGCAGCAATAAGTCATTTAGTATCAACATTGACTCGTGATGAACCCGCAGAGCCAACCTCTTTGTTCTAGAAAGTTAATACTATTAATATAACAACGTTTGCGTTTGCGTTTGCGTTTGCATCGCATAAAAGATTTAATTGGCTGTGAGAAATTAAAATTTTTGCTTTGAAATTTTGTCAGCCAAGATCACAACCGTCGAAGTCTGCTGCTATATTGTTCCTTGATTTTTTTTTATATTACACTTCAAAGTACCCGTGTTCTCTTAAATGAAACCGTTATCAATGTTTTGTGCGAGCTCTGTTTAGTTAAAGGCATATTAAACATATGGCCTAAACAGAAATTTCGTTTGTGAAATTCGAATAGATGATATGTCACATGTGCTCCGTGGCTGTCTGTCATGTACAGCGTGATAAAACACACTTGAATATCATATCATCATTGTGTTGTTTCATACCCCATATCACACAGGGAAAAGATTACTGAATTTAGTAGCACCTCGCAGAGCCGAAGAATAAATGTATGTTTTGGCGTTGTTGAAATCATCTGCATTTTGTATAAGTACGTTTGTGTGTATCAGTCGTAAGAATTACGTCGCACAAAGAGACGCTCGCATGCTTGTCTTTGTCCCAAATAGTTCAAATCTACACCCATTTATGTAGCTACATTTCTCGCACCCATGTATATTTTATTCATCCTATTCACTTTAATATTAATTCGTTTGCTCGTTTCTGGAAAACAAAACGTCTCAAATTTTTTCAAAACGTTTGGAAAAAGCAATCCTTTAGTTATCATATGTAATTTGGACGCGTGCGACGCACCGACAAAACATGGCTTGCGAAAGTTCGAGTTCTCGAATAATGGACAGCAGATGCATCTGAAGAGCCTTGTTTGTATGAATAACATATCAGAAGATAGCATACGGACACATATATAATTGTTCACAACATGTTCATTTTTCATATTTCCATGCATATATTTTTAAATCATGAAATTCATTCATATAGGACGGATATCATAGACTAAACCGCTTTAACATGAATAAAGCACGCACTAAAGTCTGGGCGATGTACCTGTACACACAAAATAATGAATTTTTTGCCAAGAATTAAGCACACACTTTTTGACTTTTTTTCCCAGTGAGAACAGGCTGCAAATCTAAAGATTGAGGATGTGCTTACGCGTTCTGTCGGGAGCATAAACCAGGTTTAATTAGATACTTATTTGCGTGCATGCAAAACACTTTCCCGCATAGAGCGGCTATGAGAAACGGGCAGGTGATTCTGTAAAGCAACAACTACACTTGCAAATTTTAAGACGCTTTCTTGCGTCGAGTGGGATTGATTTGAATGTGTTCCATGTGCAACATATGCAATGCATTTTGTGCGCTTCACAACATATGATTTAAATTGCTTTTTGAGATAAAATCTCGACCTTTTATTTCGTTTTTTCTTATCAATGAGGTAATTACATAGACTTACTGCATGGACATGTCGTTTTCGCAACTAAAGAAATCAATTTTCATTTGTTTCTCGCTAATTTTGCAATAACATTGGAAATTAACGCAAAATTAAAAGTTGTTTGCAAAATTCAAAGCAAAGTTGTTTGTCACTTTGCACAATTTGATATTGATAAAGTTTCATTCAATATTATTGATCTTCTGCGTATTAATATTATGTTGAGTTTGATGTATTGTTTTCGTAACATCTGTCAGTGAGCTATATTTATATATATATATATATATAACCTATGTCTGTGAGCTATATGCATGCGCATTGTTTTTCGCGTGATCAGCTTTTGCTTCGCTTTTAAAAGACTTAAACCGTTCATTTATTTAATTGTGTTGTAATTAACGTTGGCATGCGCAAGAAATAAGAATAACAAATAAGGAAGATTTGGACGTCCTCAAGTTTTTTTTGAGACGAAAACATCTTTAGAAATTGTATACATTATTGCAAATGTTGACTGTGTATAAGAGGGAAAACAATAACTTTTAAGTAGAAAACATAGAGAATTCTTAATTTTTGTTTGTGTGATGTTGTTGCGAGTTTACAGAAATTATTCAGATTCAGATTCCAGAAGTAGATCATACTACTTTCGTCATTATAGTTTCTATCGCTCGCTTGATAACATCATCATAAAAACGAAAACGAACGAGAGAGCAATATTGGGCGTTTAATGTCATAAAAATGGATTCACATCAGAAACCTTTCAGAACTTTTTCCTACAATTGTAGGGCGGCATGACGATTTATTTGGTAACAATATTAACTAATGTCAGATTAACGCGCTTGATATCAGTGTTCTAGTGAACACACGTTGCTACACCATATAAATATGTTCTACACATGATAGGACTCAGATATGTGTCTATATGGACAATATCTGTGACAAATGCACCTACCTAAATCGTATATTCATTGTTTATTTTTTTTATGTCCCTTGATGTAATGCTGTTATGTCATGATTGATGTTGGGAAAATAAACGACAAATGGAGTTCTCAAATAAGACACTGTGAATTCTCGATATCAATAGCAGCATGAATAGCTGATATGTAAATTATACCAATGGTAAATCGATTGCAACAGGTCAATAAATTTTTATAACGTCATTGATTTCGTTTCTATTTAATGTAATATATACTCCTTATAGGCTTCATCTGAAAGAATAAAAACTATAATACATCTGTTTCAATATTTTTCCAGCCCTTTCCATTATTAAATACTAAGTCATTTTTCGAATTTTATATACTTTGTGTATGACTGTTTTTTCACCTGTACAATTCACGTGTTTGGTCCACATATATTACTTCTGTTTGCGTCACGACTATTGTGGACGCTAATAGTAACGCCCCTCACCTCCAATAGCAAGTATTTTTTCATATGAATTAAAACCGCAAAGAAATTGTGTATTCAAAATTCTGCTATGGATTTTTGTTCCCCGCTGGAGATTGGGTAACGTTAAAAGAGCAACTGACGACCCTCTGTTTATGGAGGCTTGACTCCCACGATGAATAACCACGCGGGTTCAGAAGGATCTCATCGCTCAACTGATACTGCTTAGGGAATGTTGAGGAACAATAGGCGCAAATAACCCGGGATGTAGTGGGTGAATAGGTTTCATTGATGGATGTATCATCTGGCTGCTTATAACAGATGATCCGGGAAATGGAAACATCGACTCTTGACTGCTTATATAATGGTTGCCATCCTGTTTGCCGTCTTCTTGTTTTATATCGCTGTGCTTCTTGTTCTTTTTCGTTTTCGACGAAACCTTTCTGTTTCGCGTTTGTATTCCGTCTTTTTTCATCGACAAGGGTCTATTCACCTGCATGAACATTGGACTAATTAGTAAAAAAGCATGTCGATTGAAATAACTATATAACTATATGTATATTCAAAAGCAATTATATTCGTCGTCGTTCACTATTAATAGATTTAATGTAGCACAAACGACAAAAGATTCGAGGATTTATTTTCGTTTTTTTTCAATTGCACGCCCATCAAGAGAAAACCAACAAAATTTGCTTAATTTGAAAAGTTACTAAGATTTCAGAAAAGATTTAGCCTCGCGATTGATCCATAGATTGCGCGTCCAATTAAGTAACTTGAAATTTTGAATAATGAATCTCAGTTGATATAAATTCACTGCTATTCTTTGTTTCGAATCGATAAACGTCTAAATCAATGGAAATGGGACATGTTTACGTTCACGCCATTTAAATGCGTTTTCAAACAAGTGCTGTGTTCATCAACACTTCATCGTTGCGTTAGAGCTTTCCGAAAATTCCGCGAATAAACATTTTGAATCAACAAATACAGACAAAGTGTGTCACGCCTTGTGGAAAACGTCACATTTGCCACTATTATTGTTGACTAAAAATGTCCGCGACTTAAGACCAGCTATATTTTCATAACTGTAGAATTTTACATCCTTCCACGTCTTGAGAACGGTGGGCGAAAACATTATCTAAAGTATGTTTGCCAAATCGTCTCGACAAAGTCTTTCATATTTACGAAATGAAGATGTCTACACTAATAATCATGTTTTAATAAATTTGAATAATAAAATTGGCTATAGGTTGCATGTTAGTCCAATATAACTGGCTACTCTCAGCAATATACATATAGTTGTTGTGGTCCGTATATAAATTGCCAGGCATAAAAAAATGCTTTGAAAATTAAGTGGTTTTTATATTTTAATTTCAATGGTGTCTGGCTACTTTTGCGCATCGCTTAACACATTAACTCGATGAAAGAACGCTTTCACTCTGCAAAGTTGTTCGATTTTGATGCTGGAAGTACAACATATAAAAATCGTGACCTCTAAAAACATGTACAATCAGTTTCCGCATATTTTTGTATTATGAATCGTATTTTACGAGAAAGAAATAGTTTCAAATTATTGAAAGGGAAATTATGCGGCTGACGCGGATCTCATGCAATGAATTTATTTGTTTATGGTATCTGCTTGTTAATTCGACATGAAAATTCACATCAATATTTGGACTGCAGTAGGTAGCTGTGATTTTTCTCTGAACACTCCGAGAAAATACTCCTACATTCGCCGCAACAAAGTTTGAAGTCGACGCAATGTGAAAATTGCTCAACAAAATGTAGACGCAACATCTATAAACGCGTTTCATATCGCTGGAGACGAAAAGTCTGACCTCATACAGGCCATTCGTTTACTATCTCTATCGTTAGAATAGAATTGTTTATTTGCGTGCTAACAACAACAGTGTGTCATTAAACGAAAATTGCTACCATACTGCGTTTAATTGCCGGTCTTTGTATTTCGCCTCAAATTGTACACATTTAAAAAGGATCATGGCAGATGGCGATGGTGTATTTGATGGGATTCTTGATCGGCCTTGCAATTTCCACAGCGTAAACTGCTCGTTTACGTTCGCACATGCAACGCCTTAATGCCATAGCTGCTTAGCTCGGATTTTGTCTCTTCGTAATAAGGATGTATTCCCTGCCATTTGCATGCCCTCGAGTATACAATATTCATGTATTAAATATACGCCCTCTTTGTTTCGAAGATCTCTTATCAATGGAGTTTCTAAATTACGCCGCTAACAGCGAAATTATCGTGATCTTATGCCTGACAAATCAATATAAGGCAAAATTGATAGAATTATTGTTTATGTACCACCGACAACAAGCTAGAAAGCCATTTAAAACCTTTATGTTATAGTAACTTTTATCAGAAACAGTGTCATGTACGCAAATTATTGTGAACGTGCATATGAATTCAAATCGATAGTCAAAATGTTTTTTCAAATAGCCTACCCAATACGGCCTGAATGCAACAGATTACTGAAAAAAGTTCATTGATTGTCTAGGATTCGTACATGTACATACTACATTCGGCTCTTTTACGATTATAAAATACCCTAGACTACGCCATAGCAAACGGCTTCCCCTTTTAAGTGCCGTCCAGCACCCAAAGCCTTTTAAAGATCTTAGTCTTCAAAGATAATTTTTTCAAATAACAATGATATCAATAAACACATGCAACGGTATACTTACCGCGTGCAGTTTCCAGTATAATCCGCAAGCATTACATACAGGTTCACCATTTGCGTTTCGTCTCCATAATGTAGTCTGCGAGGTGCCACAATTCGCACAACTTGTTCCCGCTCGACGAGCAGCCGACTGATATTAAAATAAAAAATTCGAAATTAGTTTTTTCGAGAAGGTAAACTTTTTTCATAACCCTTCAGAAGTTTTGCATTGTTAAAAGTTTCGTTACCTACATTTCAAATATGAAGATAGCAGGGAAAAGTTGTAGCTACAATTATTGATTCCATAAAAGCGGTCAACTAAGCGTCCACGTTTATACTTTATCAAAAATTTGAGTCGAAAATCAACGTATTAGAAATGAAATCAGGCAGTTAATGTGTACTTGACTGGACGCAAAGCATATATAGTCTTTTTGTTTCTGTGTATTCAGTGAATATAATTTTGAAGGAATGCGTTGCATGTTTTAATTCTAAACGTGCGAACTGCGAGCCTTTAACGCAGATCTCATCATCCAATTTTCAAATCATTTTCAAGCAGGCTCTGTAATGCACCTATATTTTCAAACACAACTATGTTACGATAAAAAAATGAAAGAACGCATTGTTGAAATATTACAATTGCACATCAATTACTTGCCAAAGAATCGTTTTGTTCCATTTTAAAACAAACTATTGACAAAGCATACATGCTTCGTCAACAATGAATGTATACATTTTAGAAAATTCGAGATTACAAAAAATTATTCGAAATGGAATAATGGGTACGTGTATACATAGCCATGTATATAATTATTATCGAATGAAATTAGTATGAAATGTACCTATATGTGTTCTAAATTAAAAATAAATAAGGTGGAAGAGAGATTATCACGCTAGTGTAGATAGTAAACTTTAAGATATCGTTCAAAATCATTTGATAAATTAGAAAGATTGCCGTCCCTTATTTTAACGATTGCGTTGAAAACAATGAAAATTTGCTGATCATTTCGTGATCGTATTTTGTGATACGCGATGACGCAGAGGTAGGAAGACGCAAATGGCGTGATAAAAATAAAAATTTGCGATAAGGAGGAGAACGTTTGAGTCGCGAATGTGGCAAATTAAGATAGCGTGTTAAGGTTGCATGAGTAGGCACCAAATAATGGAGGTCAAATGCATTTAGTGAAAGAATTATCTAAGGAAATGCCATTTAGCACTTTTTGGACTTCTACGAAATAATTTCAACAGCAATGAGCCTAATAAATAGGCTAATCACGGATTCAAAAGGATCTTGTTGCTCATGTTTTTATAGTGAATGAAATGTATATTAAACAGCTTTCATTAATCATGAAGGGGTAACAGCAGATTTTCATAGCAATATTGATAATTTCCATGAACTTACACGCAAGTCACAAGTTCATTTGAACTTCTGTATAATGCTTATGAATGATGGTGATGTCTTGTTTTAAAGGGTTCGCTCTATTTAAGAAGAACTCGTCATAAGATTTTAAAGTATTTTGGTCATTTCGTGACATATTTTCTTCGGCCGAGTGTTAAAACCGTTATATTATAAATAATTCAAGTTCCAGTGCAACTGTCGATAAACAATGGAAAACAGCGGAACACATGGCCAGAATGAAACAGACAGATTAATAAAACAAAGCCCATATTAGTATCTTAAAACTTTATAAACCTAATATACGCATGAAAGTTGTCGTCGCATCTCAACACGCGTACTTAAGAAAGTTGTTGAAAATATTTCAATAAAAGAGAAATTTAAGCAATTATTGTACTAAAGTGCTTTAATAATACATATATGCTTACCAGCCTTCTTTTTGGCTTGATAAGAGGTCTGTTCGAGCCATTCATTTTGTGATATAAGCCACAGGCATTGCATAAGTAATGTCCGCTCCCATCTCTCCGCCACAACGGTGTGGACGTTGCACCACAGTTAATGCACTCTCTGCCCTCGACTGAAAAACAGAGAAAATGTGCTATTGGTAACTTATTTTCTTAAAAAATTAGGTGTCTTTGAAGTAACTCTAATTTGATATTTTATGCAAATTATAATCACAACACAATGTATCTTTCAAGTTTTAAATCTGCCAAGCGAACTCAAGGAAGCGTGAAAAATACTGTTTGCTATCCATTGTGCCTTAAAACGCAAAATGAGCAAATATTTACTTTCTACGCCCGTTATTATACTTGGACATTTTGTAACAAACAATTGCTACTGTCTACCGATAAATGAGGCTTCTCATTCAATATCTGTGCTGTTGTGAGAAGGCAAAGAGCGCTCACAGACGACATAATAATTACTTTAAAATCCATACTTAATCGTCTCGAAGAACTTGTCACGACAGTGCAAACAAACAGAAAAAGCTACGACCGCTTGCCATTAATTCAAAATAACACGAACATAAGAAAGGCAAAAATGGCATGTTAATCACATACACTGACAAATTGTGGCTCTAGAGATTTCGAAACAATCACACATTCAAGATTCTATTTCACGCAGTTAACATGAAGAATGCGTCTTTTGCTTCTTTCCATTTCTTATTCGTCAGTTCTGTTCACATCAGAGTACAACTATTTGCCGTTAAGCTAATAAGAGCTGGTGTATACAAACAAGCGTTACAAGTTACCTTGTTGTGCGTACGAGTCAGAACGCGAGCTGGAGAATTGCATGCCAGCCTTGAGAAGACTTTTCTCGTCAGGATAACCGTAAGGCTCGAGCATTGGCTTTACTGAACCATCTTGAAGTAAGTCCTTTGGTGGCGTCGGTGGAAACGCGAATATAGAATGACCGAGTGATGAGCTACCTTGAGTAACTTGAGGGGAAGAAACCGACCCTGAGCTACGTGCAAATGGCGGACACCAGACTGATGGCGGCGTTGCAACAGAACAACCGTAGTTCGACGCTGCTTTGCTTTCTATCCATTGGATTGGTGTGTGAAAATGATGCGGTCGACATACTTGATTTGATGGGACTCGTGCAGTCGGAAGAAATACTCTGCTACAGCTTCCAGGCTGAGCTGAGACTTGAGTTTGTGAATCAGGAAACGCAGTTGGACCATGGGCAGTCATTTGACACATAGTTGGTCGATATGGATGCGCTCTAGCGCCTGGAGGATACGGCCAAGTGTTGGTAGCGTTCCCCGAACTATCTAGGTGATGAAAAAACACGTCGACCTCATCCGGAGGTAGCAATTGAGAGGGTTCGATAAGATTGAGATTAGACGAAGGAGTCGGAACTATACTTGAGCAACTTCCAGGCATCGTCTGCTGCATTTTGTAGTGACTATTGCTACCTTGTGAGTCACTTGATGTCGTTCTTGATTCGCTCGTACTTGCCATATACTATTTATAGAGGGTCGAAATCGGCGTGACACTCTATTTGAATACGAGCTAGAAATGTACCACCCTGTTTAGTTCCTCGAGCAGACTACCCGTTGTTTGTTGATCGTGACCTGAAAATAGAACAGAGAAAAATCGTTCCACTAAGCTGTCTTTGTATAATTGTATGCGACGAATAACAATAGGCTCTCGTCTTTAGCGTCCGCTTGCCAACTATTTACTTCGTTTTAACGCAAGTGTGTGTGGTATGATTTCAAAACGAGGCGGAAATACGTCCGTTAGCCATGCGTTCGTCAAAAATTAAGCTAACAAAGCTAATAGCTTATCGCTGCACTTCTAATCTCCTTCTACATCATTACCATTTCACACTTTCACACATTGTTATATCTGCGCACAATTTTTGCCGAGTAAGAGACTTTCTCATGTGTGCTGCGCCAATCTCTAGCAATTTGATCAACAAGCGCGCGCGATAAGGTCAGAAAATATTTGTGGTCAAAATTGCGACAATCAAACTAAACGATACACTGAGACAACTTATCTTTTTCTCCAGTCAAATATTATGAAAATTATTTTAAAATAAATACAACGAACCACAACGTTTGCTTGCTGCCAAGAACAAAGTAGCGATACGCAAATGTAGCTTCGTGCACGGAAAAGATTTTACAATAGCTTGCTTTGAAGCCAGCGTCTGAACCTCTCGACGTGATGCCTTGAGAGAGTGACTTGTACTCCTAAAAGTTGTCAAGAAAAATGAACGTTGCTCGAGCTTTTGGGCGCCGTAAAGCCTGGTCTAGGCCGTCACACTGTCTGCAGAGCCAATCAAATTGCGGCTTCCTTTGTCGACTTGACGTTTAAGGTATGCAACATACTCACTCTGACAGCTTATTGGATACCCTCGTCAAACAAATAAACAATTCATTTGCGAAAAATCTGTCAGTCAGATTTTTTGCATAATGTGTTCTCAAACGACAGGAAGGGAAAAATTTTGAATGTGAAGTTTTTAAGCTCAATGAACGGATTGGCGATTTGAACGCCACTAGTGTTGAATCCATACGTGATAATAGCATGGTCCAATCAATACATCTTATCAAACACATGATTTCTTCAATATTTGACAGAGACTAGAGTCTTTGCCTAAAGCTCCATCTGATATTGATGAGCCCATGTTTGCATTTCTTATCGGGGCATTGCAAGCACTAATGAAAATATAATACTAGCAAAAACAAACTTGTACATTATATTTCATTTGATGTTCCAATTGAAAGTTATCGAAGTGCCGATTATTTCTAAGTAGGGCTTATTTTGTTTATTTGTGAATAGGCTAGTGCAGAAATGGATAAATCGGATTCTCCAAGAATTCACAGGGAGAGACTATAAGACTTTCTTTTAAATAGATATGTGCCTCAATACATGACATTATTGAGATTCTTTGACGCTCTTGAATAGCAAGTGTATTGACTATTGTGTTGTTGAAATAAATTTTGAGTTTCATAGTAAAACAAGTGCGGATGAAATTGCGAAGTATTCCGTGATTGGCTCTCGTTGTTCAAGTCATATGGCGTGAAAACAGGACCAGGTGGACACGCAATTGCTTGAAACTGTGTGGGCTATGTAATTCCCTTCGTGAAGAGATAAGACTCAAACTTGTCTTGAAGATCTTATCCGCGCCTATCTTTTCGTGGCGTTATCTTAAAAACAACGAGACGTGTCGTTCAAGAGAATGAGCCATCCATGCACGCTGCCATTATTCTTCAACCGGTAACAAAAAACACACAATGTTGTTTCGAGCATGGAAAGAGCAAAAAATAGCTAGATGCCCACAAGCACGATCCTCGCATAAAAATCTCGTGCGTCATTATAAATATTCGCAAAATCGGAAAATGAATAAAGTGCAGTTTGTGTAACGCAGTGCTGTCCCATATAGACTAAGCATTATCATATAATCAGATAAAGCGATGCAAAAATGCATTTGATGTGTCCACTTTCACAAAATGCAATTAATGACTATCTGCAAAATTATGAAAATAATGCATACACACACACTAAACTTTCTCTTATATTACATACAGTTTATCTTTTTTTGTTTGGACGCTATATCTTTTCGCGCATTAATTTACCCTTTGCGGTTCCGAAATCGCTTTTATTTTATCTAGTTTTGATGCGGAGAGAGACTGAAAATTTAAAAGCAAATCGTTTTCATTTTTTTTTACATGAACTCCACTTCAATCTTACCTCCTTAGCGGCTACAATAATACTTTGGTGTATGTAGTATCCAAGGAAAGACTAGTTGAAGAAACATTTTTGGTAGCTTGCTAGCTATATAGAATCGTGACTACATTTAATTATAAAAAGAAAACTGGAACATATAATGTTCACTGTATATTAACTATACTTTACATATAATGTTCTTTATATGTATTAAATAAATACTTAAACATTCGAGGCTTCGGCTTTTAATTTTGTTCATTTATAACCAAGTTTATCGTTCTCACCGCAAACACCAATAATATCTTTTACTTTGTAAAATATCGCATAATGCATGAATCATTAATGGCGTTGTAATTATTTTGCTATTGAAAATACCAATATGTCGACTCGTAAAATACTTTGAAAGATACGCTATCTTTACTGGAACGTGCGTTCGTAGATCAAGAAAGATTAAAAAAGCTTGCACCTGTAGTCTCATTGTCTTTCCTAGTTTTCTTATTTTCATTCCAAGCTAGAACATTTTATTACCAAGACTTAAGTTAATCGGGCTCTTTTTCGTATGTAAAAATTACATTGGCCATTTTATTTGCAGAACAGCATTTAAGGCAGCGCAAAGCTTCGCGGGTAAACTCTTTTCTGCATTTGTAAGCCACGCGCAAACTTAAGTTGTTCATGTACAGATGAGCATTTGTCCTCCTGTGAATGTTTAAAAAAGGGAATTTTTTGATGTCTGAATACTTTACTTTATATGCGTGAATGTTGCAAATCGATTGCTCATATAGCTAGCATAATGAGGCTACCATAGCTATATAACAGGAAGATAAATTAACGTTTTATATACAATCTAGATTAGGATGTTGCGAACTTTGCCTGAATTACTTCGTATCTCATTAACGGATAGTGGGAATGTAGATAAACGTAAACAGTCTTATGTGTGTATATGTTGTAATTTATCAACCATCATAACTTTGATAAATAGCGCTTCTGATGAAAAAGTGCTTATAATGATTTGGCCAGCCCAACGTCTATAAAAAATATTTGATAACGATTCAAGAGATGTGAGGACATGCAGTAAAGGGACGGGGCTTGAAAGCGAAGATACTTATTTACCCTTAAACTAGGTGGCAATTCATTATGAATTTGTTGGACTTCGTTTAGAAAGAGTGTAGCGTGTATATTTCCATGATAGAATAGCCATAGGTTGTTATCTGAACGGTAGACACTAAATTGGTTTGCCCTCATATCATTCATTTAGATATACATTTCATATCTCTATGAACGTCGCCCGCTAAAGCGAGCTTCATTATATAATGATTATACTTTAATGCACACACAAATGCAGACCAAAGGTATATATGTACATCATTTACGACAAAAAATGTACTACACAGAATGTGCATTTACAGTGCGTATAACAATTGGTACTCCTTTATGTAACTCCAGAAAAACATGGAAGCAAGATGGGATGAAAAGTTGTCATCTAAAGATTTTTGTTATATATTCGTATGCATTTTAAGTCTCACAAATATTTCGCAAACATAGCTTTAATTGTAAATGCGTTCAATGAATACTTTTTAATTATGTTTTTATCTGTTCATGTGAAGACATATGTGTGTTTCGTTTCATTCATTAAATCAGTATATTGTGAATGTCAACGTAAAGTTAAAGTGGTCAAATAAAATGTCTTGAAAACTTGATACTGCTGTAGCAGCTTGCTTCTCACTCGGATAAAAAAGCAACTATTGTACAAACTAATTTTCGATTTCATAAAAACTGTATCTGCGCAAAAGTTGTGAAGTCAAAAGTGACAATATTATTTAATGATTTGCATTTGCTCAGTGTGAAATCCAATAGACGCCAACCGTTCTTATAAAAATAAAAACGCCTCACTGTTAACGGCGCGCTCTAATGTAAATGTAGCAAAATAATAACGAGTTAATTTCGTCGACCACGTTTTGTCTGGACCTGCTTATGACTTATTTATTCATAGTAAATGTTCATATTACAATTATGAATAAAGTAAAACTGTAAAAGTGGACAAAATTTTGCTGTCCCCAAATTTAGTTTCAATTAAGCGTTGGGACGATCATCACACTCACATATAAATATACAATTGGGACATATATGAGTAGATATGAACATAGAAATATATGTATATGCATGGGACTCAATACATAACACATCTTGTATTACATTAATGTATTGTTTGTGAGATGTATGATGACACGATCTCAATATATCTGGCCTTATATACAAGATTGTATACTTGGTGGTGTGGTCGAATAGAGAATTTCCGTTTTTTAATCGCACTTTTTGTAATTCATTTGTCGACACGCTCAGCGCACCCTCCAATCTGGCAGCAATATGGATTCTCGGGATTGTCAAGAATGTGGGCAGCTAGCGTCAGTTGTCCTACTTTAGCCATATGGAAGACAAACTATTCATATATTTGCGCTTAATTGAACGATCCTATGTTAGAACGGAAGGCATTAACCTGTACGTTTTTTTAACTGCATCCAGACCGAGATTGCTAGAAACAAAACAAAATAACATTGACGCTGTCGTTAAACGGAAAGCCCATTTTGCCCACAAATACAGAGAATCTTAGGTGACGTGCGCAAAACAAATACTTCCTGGTCGTCTTAAGTTGTGTATTTTGAATCGACAGACGTTTTTGCCTCCCACATGCGATTACAAACAATAGAAAAAAAGGCATACGCACAACGACTAAAATTAAATGATTTTACCTAAGGACAACAGCTTGAAAACGATCAATGTCTGTTATGTAATAAAATGAACATTTATATTCTTATTATATTATGTACATTGTTATATTAGTGATCACATACACAACGTACGCTCGTTTACTTAATTGCGCGTGGATATCCTAGGGTGAGAATTTCATTTTTGCTTTGTTGTTCAATTTCCTTCGCTTATATATTAAATTCCTTTTATGTCATTTCCTACGGAGAGTCAAAAATGCTAAATTCAATTTCTGAAGTTGCCCATTGGCCCTTAAACTACGCATCTGGCTTTTAGGGACGATGCCGACTCGCACATTCATAACGACTATACATGTACACACTATGCCTCAATTTATCGAAATTCAGCCATCTGAACAAACCGTTTCATTCTTATCGCGAACTTTTAGCGCTATTAGCAAAAACAACGCTAAACATTAGCATTTCGTGAATGGACGTTCTTTGAGATAAGAAGATAAAAATTCTCAATAATAAATGCCACACGGCTACATACAGAGATCATTTCAGGCGTACAAATGAATTTATTAGCCTTCAAAAAAGCTAGAATATCCTTGAAGGTCTTTTCGACGCGCGTCTGAGCACGGCTAGTGCTCTTGTCAATTTTTCAAGCTTCGTCATTACAATACTATATAGCTCTCGATTGTGATGGAAAAAATAAGATCAATGTTTGATTGTTGACCGTGTGGTTTTGAATTGTTCATATTCTTCTTAATTCAACGCTGTCAACCCAAACGATTAACCACAATTCACTAACATGGTGTTTAGAGTAGTTCTCGAACTAATTGATATTTTAATTTATTGTACCTGCCATCTA